AGTTTTCCTCGGGTTCTTCCTTCATTTCAAACTTGTTCTTCTCGAGCTTAACGTTGATACATTGCCCACATTGAATTCTCTTCAGGAATTCTTTGAAATCTTGATTCCCCTAATTTCTAATTAGGTGTCCTTCTACAAACCCAATTATAAGGCTTGGCAATCTTTTTTTCTTCTAGTCATTGAAAACTCTTCGCCTCTGACTCATTGATGCTTTAAAAATGGTAATCCCTTGTCCAAAATTAACTGGGACCAACATTTAATTTCATGGGACCCTCCTCGTCAAAGATCAAATTGAAAATTCCTTTCCGTGGTTTTCATTTCGAAATTTTGCGCGATTGTTCTGATTTCATTTGTCTCCTATTATTTGCTGATTATGAGGATCCATAAATCATAAGCCATTTCAGAACTTGGAATTTTGAGCAGGATTGTTCGGACGCCGTTGCTCGAAAATTCGAGGATACTCGATTCCAAAAAATTTTTCCAAATTTTTTCTCGTTGAAAATTGCGCTAAATGCATTTTAATAGCTGAAAATTATCATTAGCTGAATTCCAGTCAATCAATTAATATGTACATAATAATCCTCTCCAAAAAAAATCCCAAAAAATTGACAAATCTAAAATTTCTAGCCAAATTTATTCGGGAATATTGTCTTTTGGGTTCTCAAAAGGGATCATCTCGCAACCAAAAATTCCTTCATTTTCGCGCAGACCCCCAACAAGCTCCACCCATTTACGACACCATTCGCAAGTTTTTTCCTTCATAATCCCCCCTATCTATCAATTTCTAACAACTCAGGTCATTTTCGAAGAAACGAGACGAGTCGACAAAAAAAAGTAATTAAGATGAATGAGTAGATGGAGCGCGTCGTTTCACACGGATGGGCATGTTTCAAAAAGAAAAAAAAGCGATACGTCATCAAATTAATCTAAAAATAATCATTTGCTTTTCGCACTTCTTCTTCAATTCATTTGGTTCCTCATCCCTTCCCCTCACGTCGTATTCGAGTTTCGAATTCCATTCAATCCAAGGGGAGCATGTGGACCACAAAAACTTTTCAATTTGCCGCGATTAGTCGGTGCGTTGTTGGTGCCATCTCAACACATAAAGCCCATTTCAACGGCTGCACTGTCCTTTTAAACTGATTGAATTTTTCTTTTGCTCTCCGATCACGATTTTCGATCAACTCAAAAAAAAAATGACAAACTCATTTTTGAATACAACAAAAATAAAGAAGAGAGAGAGATCGTTTAATGTAGAAATTTGAAGAATTGCGTTCATTCGACTATGAAAAATTAGTGTCTCGTTGAGACGATTTATGAGCGCAATATTCTGTCTTCCCCCCCCCCTCAAAAAAAATTGAGCACGATTTCGAATTTTTTTTTTTGATAATTTCGAACCGAATCTGTCCCTTCAGGTCTAGTTGATGTTTAATTCAAATTTTCCGCTTCTTTATTGCCATTCGTTCAGCTTGTCTCATCCGCCCAAAAATTTGTTGGGAATTTAGCGTTGAGACCATTAGCATGCGCCTTTAAACACTGCAATAATGTGCCTCGTAAATCCATTTTTGGCAATTTCGTTGAGACATTGAGTTGCTGAATTCCGATGAGGACCTCTGCCAACAATGTTGCCCCAATTAGGTTAATTCGAATTTTCGAAAATGAGCAGAATTGATAGGTCGACTCAGAATCTCATTTGAATTCACGTCCACACCATTTTTATTTGCGGACACTAACTTGACTTGCAAAATTGTCCGCAGCTGTTTTGTCCAAATCGCCATTTCAATTTCTCTTTGATTGAATGATAAAAATTTGCTAGAATTATTGCGCGTGTAAATATAATTTTGCGGCGGCGCCCCGCGTTTGAATATCAAACCGAATTATGCCGAAAAATCGCGCCGACGGCGTCACCATTTCCACTCGATTATTGCAATTTATCTTCGCCTTTTTTTCTCAGACACAAACCAGATTCCAAAAATTTGCATAAATAAATGTATTGTTGAGAAATGACAAATGTATCCAGGTGTCGTGGGATGTTGCGTTTTGTACGCAATGCGATGAGCCAGTTACCGTAATCCTCGCAGCGATTTACGGGCGACTTTTTGAATTTCCTATTTCCATTTTTTTCGTATTTTCTTTTGAATTTTTTTTTAATTAAAAATCAGTAAAACCCGATTTTAATTATTTATATTAACAACAAAAAAAACAGAGATGTTAAAAATCTATTCTATTTTTACCAAAAAATATAGTTTAAAAGTGCATATTCTGTCTGCTAAATAAATAATTAAATTCGGATTCTACAGATTTTAAATAACAAAATTTCAAAGGAAAATACGAAAATTGAGCGAAAAAAATGAATATGCGAAATTAAAAAAAAAGTCGCCCGTAAATCGCTGCGAGGATTACTGTAACTCGCTCATCGCATTGCGTACAAAACGCAGGATCCCACGACACTTGGAATACATTTGTCATTTCTCAATAATAATGGAAATGAAATTTTTCTTCTCGCCTATTCTTCGACTTCGTTTTTCGATTTTCGAAATGTTTGAATTGTCCAAGAATGAATAGTGGGGGGCAGAAGAAGAAAAAATAAGAAAATGCTCATGACTCATTTTGATATTTCTTTTTGGCCTCTGATTTTTATTAAAAAACCCTTCGCATCAAACATCCATGATCTACGAGTTCCCATCGGTGTTTGCGGACATGTGCAACAGCTGCAAGCGATTTTTGAGAATGCGTCAACCCATATATTGCGTGCTCCTTAAAATCAAACAAATTTTCATTAATGCAATATTTTCTTCGCTTCTCTTTTATGTTCAAGTTATCCATATGAATTTGTTTGCCCAATTATTCGTAATTTGATCTACTTGAACTAACTGGAAATCAAATTTCGATTGTTTTAATGTCGGAGTCAAACGATTGGACGAAATTTAAGAATATATTGGGGCGGCCACGAAAAATCTAGGCCACACGTCCACCAAAGAAAATTCGTTTAGCCATGAGTCGGAATAATCAACAGTGAGACGTTAAGTACTTCCTAATTGCTTTATAATCATCGGAGATACAATTTGGAGCCGTTTATTGTCGAAAAATTAATGACTTGTTATTTATATGCTAATATAATGAATTAACCTTTATTTGCATCTATTATCGGAGTCAAACGACTTGACGAAATTCAAAAAAATTGCTGGCTATGTGCCAATGCGTCTGCAGCGAGACGTACGCGAGATTGCGTACATTGCATTATAGTGTACGCGCATTTAATATTCAGTCAACGATTAATTTAAATCGACACTGATTTCGCAAATTTCAAGGCTCCGCCTCCCTTTGACACTGACAATATCAAGCGAAAGAATGTAATCTAAAAAATAATATTCGCTCCGTGAGCCAAGGTATCTCGAAAGTAGATCAAATTGGATGAGTTGCAATTGTTTCAATTACAGGGTGTCATTTAAGTTCCCGCACAACTTTGAAGACGTATATTTCTGAGACTAAAAGTCCAAATCAAACGAGACTTGAAATATTTTTTATCTATAGTATAACAAATAATTTTATATTAACTCTTTTCGATTCGGCCTTCTTTCGGAGCTATGACTTCACAGAGACGCTTCGGGTAGGATGCGACTGTGGTACGCAGGTATTCGATGGAAAGATTGTGCCATGCCGCCAGTAATGTCTTCTTCAGAGCCTCTACACTTTAGTGGGGTTTTGCGTTGACCTTCTCCTGCAAGACCCCATCACGGAAAAGTCAAGCTGATTCAGGTCTGGGGAGCAATCAGTCCATTCGGATGACTTGATAAAGTCGGGAAAATGGGTCTGGCACCACTCCTGAGTAGTTTTGGCATTGTGGGCGGGAGCTCTGTCCTGTTGAATGACCCATTTCTGCCCACCGAAATGCGTTTGAGTCCAGGGCATCACATGCTTCTTTAAAATGTCCCAAACGTAGACTTCTTTGTTCATTTTCACCCCCTGATCCACGAAATCCAGGGGGCACCTCCCGGTTGAGCAGATGGCACCGAAAACCATCACACTGGCAGGATGTGAGGCTCGATTAATTGTTCTTCCTTTCTCAGAAGCTTGCTGGGATGTCTGGGCAAGTACTCAATGGTTTTGTGAGTAGAATGCCGTCTCCATAGTGAATAGCTTCTCGTCGGAGAAGACAGTGACGAGGTGTTCTCCAGACCGCGTGCGCGCAAGAAGTCGTTTTGCTTTTTCGAAGCGTCTCTGCTTGTTGACGGCCGATAGAATTGCCGCTTTTTGGACACGATATGGGGTCAGTACAAGCTTCGTTTTGACGATTTGTTCCAAAGCGAAGATGCTCATTCCCACGTCTGACGCCATCTTTCTCATGCTCCTGTAGGGGTTTCGCCTGATCCTCGATTTGACGGCGTTGATCTTCTGAGGAGTGGTTACCGAGACGGGTCTTCCTTGTCTGAGACGGTCACTGGTCGTATTTAGCTCCTTGAAACGTTTGAAGGTGTCGTAAAGCGTTCTACGAGGCACACCGAGGCGTTGAATGATGGCTCTCGGGCTCACATTTTGCTTATGAAGTTCGATAATGGAAGCGCGATGGATGTTAGCCTTCGCCATTTCTCGGAAACACATCCGAATGAAGTGAAACTTGGAAAATAAGTAAAATATACCTTATTTAACAAAAATAAATTGTATTGTTTCACGAAAAGTGCGACAGCCAAGCTCTTCATGACGTCAAACTTTTGTGCGGGAACTTAAATGACACCCTGTAGTCTCCACTCCCCCCCCCTTTTCCACCCACATTTCATGTTTTATTCATCCTCATTGTCGCCTCATTTTTCAATTAAACACATGTTTCTTTTTTGTTGTCGAACTCCTCACTTCTCATTTCTTGTCGCCAATTAATCTTTCCCACCTCAATTATCGTTTTTTGTTTCAAACTACCCCTTTCAACTTTCGCCTTCGCGCCTCCACAAAATCGTTGCCGCCAATCAGTTTGGTTGCTCGTTTTTGTTTCAGCCGACATCCGAATGCCGGACAACATCGAATTTCTGTCGCAAATCGGCGAAAAAGTGTGCGACACCGAGTCGAAAAATGCGAGTTTGCCGGATTATCTCAATGGAATATTCTACTGTTCGCAAGTCGAAAATGATACAATGTGAGTTCGAATTTCGTTGAGGGAGAAGCTCGCTTTCTCTCAGTGGTTTACTGTAACGCCCCAAAACTCGATGTACCATTGAAACTGCTTATTGTCGACGTCGCGCGACTGCGGAAAATTGGCAAAATGCCAAAAAAATTAGAGGTCTTGGTGCGCGGTGTGCGCCTTTAACCCTTTCTAATACATAGGCCCGTAAATCTACACTTTTAATTTTGCGCCAAGACCACAGTCTTTGTTTTTTTTGGCATTTTTCCAATTTTCCGCAATCGCGCGACGCCGACAATATATGGCATTTTTTTATACAGTACTCTATTTAAAGGTGCACTGCTAATTCTCTTTCAGGTCTCCACAATTTCAGACCTTTCGGTGGCTTTATAAATATGAAACAGTTGCAATTAGCCAATTTGCAATGCTTTCTATATCAATGGGCCAATTTTTCAAATATCATTATGAAAATTAGTACACACATGTATTTTTTAGGCCTGAATTCAATTTTGAAAACAGAATTCAGAAAGTTTAACAATTGAAAAAGTTAAGCCCAAAAAAGGGCTAGGAAAATAGTATGAAACTAAATTTTAAAATCGTCCGCAAAATGTTCAATTTTGATGCAAAAAGCCTGTTTGCTTTTTGAATTTTTTGTAATGTTTCATCTTTTTATTTAATTCAAACGCCTTTCACATTTTTTGTGAAATTTTCGAGTTTGGATGATAAATTTATTCTAACTTTTCCCTCCAAATCTCTTACTTAACCTACTTTAAAAGAACATATTTACTACTAACAAATCATTTTCAAAGTAATCAATCTTTTTTTAAACATTTAATAAAACAGTAAAGTTAAATTTCAAACATTTTCGTCAGCTAATAAGCTTTTTTTTGAAGTATTCGATTGGAAAATTGAAAAATGATATCACAGAAAATGATATTTGTTTTGTTTTTTTAAACCACTTATTGCTCACATATCTATAAGAGAATCAAGCAAGATTCATTTTAAAATATAAATTATAGAAAAAAGTTCAAAGTAGATCAAAACAATGATAATAATTTTGGATTGCAGTGCGACGCAAGTGTTCGCCGCTGTCGCGTTCGTTCTGCTCATGGTAGTTGCTCTAACCGGCAACTCAGTTGTGATGTGGATCATCTACGAGCACAAAGTCATGCACCACGGCTTCAATTTCTTTCTCTTCAACATGGCGTTCGCCGATTTGCTGATTGCTTTGTTCAACGTCGGCACCTCTTGGACCTACAATTTGTACTACGATTGGTGGTTCGGCGATCTGTGCATTCTCACCTCATTTTTTGGCATCGCTCCAACGACCGTCTCGGTTTTCTCAATGATGGCGCTGAGTTGGGATAGGTTGCTCGAAATCGATCATTTCGCCTCGAAACTCCTCGTTGCTCATTTCAGATGTCAAGCCGTTGTAAATCCGCTGAAAAAACGACCGCTGTCTCGACGGCGATCATTGATCGCAATTTCGTGCATTTGGCTCATCTCTACCATCACCGCACTTCCATTCGCGCTAGCGGCTAATGTAAATTTTTCGCAATTAATTCGACATTTCAACCCGCCAATTTTAATTGTAGGTGAGCACAATCTATATGTATGATTTGGAATCGTCAAAATTGGTTGTTCGAAAACTCTGCGCCTCGCCGGTCAACTCAATGTAAGTTCGATTTTCGAATTTCAAAAATCGAAAAGAATCCCTATATTTGTTGGTGTTTGATATGTAGTTTTTAAAAAGAAATTATGATATTTTGATGTTTGGGGAAAAAATTTAAAAAATTCGAATATATAAAAAATATCGGAAGAATTGTACAGTCGGGATGAGAATTAAAGCTCAATTGAATGTTAATTGACTAAGAATAATTTATTGCAACCTCAAACTTGGGCAAACGAAAAAAAAACACAATGAGGCACAAACAAAATGCAAAAAAGTGACTCGCACAACATTTGAATTCCTTCGGCCGCGGCCGCGTCCACGTCCACGCATAACTCGGCCAGCCGCTGTTGCTAACCAAACGATTAGAAGAGAATCCCAACAATGTTCGACTTGCAGGTTCGATCACATGCTATTCTTCATACAATACGCGGTTCCATTATTTGTTCTTTCGTTCACATTTGCGCGAATCGCGATGGCGTTTCGGACCACTGACGAGGCGACCGGCAACAATTCGAAGGCGAACAATCATACCCGCGCAAAGAGCAAGGTTCATTTGTGTACAATTTCGAGCAATTCCTTCGTTGAATTCCAGGCCGTCAAAATGTTGGCGTTGATGGTGTTCGCGTTCATGTTCTGCTGGCTTCCCTATCACCTCTACCACACATTCGAGCTCAGCGTAATTTTTGTTCATTGCTCAATGCAATGTCTGCAAACGCCAATTTTCAGAATTTCATCGCGGGTCCTAATGCGAAATACATTTACCTTGCAATCTACTGGGTTGCAATGTCGAGTTCCGCGTATAATCCGATCATTTATTGTTTCGCGAACGAGCGATTCCGAATCGGATTCCGATACGTGTTCCGATGGATGCCGTTGGTTGAATGCAAGCGAGAAGCATATGAGTATTCGCAATTGTTTCCTGATAAAATGAGAAGTGCGAATTGAATGAATCGAAATCAATTTTCGGCAACAAGTTTTTTCAGGCATGGCGATATCTCTGCAAAAGGGCAAATGTCTCAAAGAGCCATCATATTTGCTCGAGAAACAATCCAAAGAGTTTTCATCGTTCACGTGCCAGACTTCGCCGGATATCGTGCAATGTGTTATCGGAACTGAGAAACCCAAGAAACCATCGAGGACTGCATTGCTGAGTTGCCATAACGCTGATTGATTGTATATAATTGATTGATTTTTGTAAATTATGTTATTTTAAAGGCTCTTAATAATAATGTATACATATAAAAATACGTCCATTTCAACTTATCTCTCTTCACATTTTTCTAAAGCAACATATAGTCAACGTCCGGCGACTGCTGTACGCGGGTAGATTTACGCGCATGCGTCTTTCGAAATGGTCTCGCAAGGACTAACAGGTTATTTTTATGGACGATAATCGACTGATGTTGGAAATTCCAGGAAATGCGAAACTCATCAAGAAAAATGAAGCAGTTCACGTGAAAACAGCGAAATAAGCATTCACGCGTGGCGAGACCTTTTCAAGGCGCATGCGCGTAAATCTACCCGCTTGCAGCACTCGCCGGACGTCGACTATACTCATTTTTGAATATAGAATATTTTTTCTGAAAGCTGATTTTTGCTAGAAATGCACAATAAAATGAGATTGAAAACTATTAGATGATTTAAAAATAAAAAAAATATACGCGCAAGCATTCAAAAAAATTCAAAAATAAATTCTACAATTCACTATTTCTTTAAACAATGCTTAGCGAATTATTTTTTTCGGTATTTCCCCCAAAACCAATAATATTAATCGGCCTATTACACACTGATTAATGGATGGGTCGTTGAGACTGTAAAGTCATAAATTACCACCGAAAATGATTTGGACTGCATTGAGAAATGTGTTTTATTGCATTCCCTATTCGACAAAGCAAAAATAATCAAAATTTCAAGTGCCAGCAAAAATATTGAAAATCACTGCAACTGGGAAATGAGAAAACAATTTTTTAAGTGGATGAAAAATGGATATTTCTATGTGTGTTTAGTCTGAACCGTTTTTTATTAACTTTTAAATTTAATTTTTTCAAAAAAGATTTGTTTTAATTACGTTAATGTTCATTTTTTACAACCCTTCATTGGAAAAAATGTGTAATTTTTACATTTTTGTAAAAAACAAAATTTCATGAATATAAACTAAACTATTAAAACTACATAAACTATTTTTCGTCTTTTTCTCAGTTGCAGTGATGAACAAGTATTCGTGAATCTCGATTTATTGATATTTGAGGTTTATAAAATCGAAAAATTAAAATGAATAGCAGCGCTGGAAAATTCGTGAAATTTCACAGAAAAATCAACAAAAAAAAAAACGGTTTTTTAATGTTTTAAAATCTATTTTGCGGGGCCTTCAAATTCGTGAAATCAGTGTCGATTTAAATTAATCGTTGGCTGAAATTTAAATGCGCGTAGACTATAATGCAATGTACGCAGTCTCGCGTACGTCTCACTGCAGACGCATTGGCACATAGCCAAATATATTTTTTAATTTCATTCAATCGTTTGAGAAGTTCGCCGAAACCAGTTTACACTGAACTATAATTTATTTGCAAATTAATTATTATCAATTTTGTTATTTTACCTTTTTTTTAATGAGGGAATAGAGGATTATTTCAACTATCTTGCATCTCTCAAGAAGAAGTCGATGAGAAAAAAATGCAGCTTTGGCGAACTCGACAATCAAGAAATGAGTTTCAGAACGAATATTGAAATCATTTTCAGAAATTTGTGTTTGAAAAATTGCAGCAAAGTTTATTCTTTCTGGTTAACAAAAATGACAAAAATATTTAAAGCAATGTGTTCAAAAAAAATCTACAATAATTATAATACATATACGAGTCATTAGAAAACCTGATATTTAAAAAAAAAGTGAGTGAGAGAGAGAGAGAGAGAGAGAGAGAGAGAGAGAGAAACGACACGGTCGTCAGTCAAGTGAATTCGATCAATAATATGCGAATGAATTGAATAAATGAGATCAATTTTCGGTGTCAAAATAACACAAAAAATAATTAGACCTCTGGACGATCGGTTTTTAAGCTCTTTTCAGCGACCCGATTGGTTTCCGGCTCTTCTGGCACAATGCAAAGTCCCGCAATATTGGTTTCCTGAGTTGGCGGCGGAGTACAAGCGATCATTTCCGATGAGTTTTTCGCTTCATCTTCCATTCTAAAATTCAAATATAATATATTTTTTAATTTTCAAAATTTACCTAGAGTAGCTATCCTCGCTGGCTCGCGTACGTCTCGATAGCCGTCGGACGATGGTAGCTGAAAAACAAAAAACGACTGAAATGCTATCCGAGCAGTTGCTCACACACACACACAACGGACGAAGGACAATAAGAACACACAAATTATTTATTTTTAACAATTGTAACACCAAGAAACGTACACATTCGTCGCACGAATTCGTTGAATGTCTCCTCTTTTTCCGGTTCGCGAGCCCATTCCTTCAATTATTTTTTTTTTAATTTGAGCATATCACAATCATCTATTCATACCAAAACTTCTCCCTTGGCGAACAAAAGGTAGAAAATGATGCCAAATGCGTCGACACTGGTCGCCAGAATGAACACCCATTTCCAGCCATCGGGATTCTGACATTCAAGAATTTCGAAAATACGAACTAGAGTGGTGATGCTTACATTAATGGTGAGCGTGTTGGTGATGAGTCCGCCGGCTCCGGCGCACGCGCCCAGCCCATTCGCAATTCCCATCAGAATCGAGGCGTACCTCGGAGCAATGTCGAAATGGTTGACGTTGAAGCCCGACTGTGCTGCTCCAGCTCCAGCGCACGCGGTAATCAAACAGGCAATCGCGATGATCGGATTTCGCACGAACGCCAACGAGCCGAGCATCACCGCCTCGATGGTGAATCCGATCGTATTGAACATCTTGCGGACGCCTTCCGTCGTCATTTTGCCGGAAGCGCGAATATAATCAGCGAGTTGGCCACTGGCCAAGGTCACAATTGTTGTGCAGAGTTGAGGGAAGATGGCGATAATTCCACTCTACAATCAAACCATATTTGGAATTTCGAAAGTTCGTTGTCTACATTAGTAATATCAATATGAAGAACATCCTTCATATATGTCAACTGATTTCCGAGAAGCAAAAAGAAGCTCCACGATCGGCAGAATGTGCAAATAATGATTGCCCAAACAGCCGTCGACGTCAGCATATTCTTCCATGGGAGTGTCGTGAGCTGAAAATGAGCATCTCGTGCCGAATCCATCATCAGCTCCCTCCAATTACCGTCATGTTCTGTACAGTGACCTCTCCGATTTTTTCGGTGATATAAGTTCGCTCATCATTGCTAATGTAACTATGAGTTTTCGGGCTTCCACCGGCGACGTAGACCCACATGAGAGCCCATATAACGCCGGCGGCTCCGAACGCATAGAACGGCGCACTCCAATGGATATGTGAGACGAGGAATGCGCCCGTCGGCAGTCCCACCATCACACCAACAGCTGATCCAGTGAATGTCGTCGTTGCGAGTTTTGATCTAGAAATCAATTGAATCCAATTTTTCGATGAAATGCTACCGTTCTAGAGGTGGAGCCCAGTGCTTCCAGACGCCGTGCATGGCGGGATAAGTGACACCCTAAATATGGAGCGTATTTCGATATTCGGCCGATTCCTACCAATGCGAGACCCTGAACTGATTGGATGAACATCACAACAAAATCGGTGGTCGGATGGAATCGAAGAGCAAACGCGGTGGCGATGTTGAGAGCAGCGGCAACAATTACACCAGTCAAAAAAATTCTAAACATCCACGATTTCGATTTTTTTGGCAATTTCCTCTCAATCTACCTATTTGGAGCATATTTGGCAGCGAGCACACCAGCCGGAATCTGCGAAGCGGCGTATCCATAGAAAAACGAGCTCTCCATCATTCCGACTTCAGTGGCCGTCCAGAAGAATTCCTTCTCCTAAAAGAGAACAACGCCGGTTTTTTTTCTCGGTATTCTGACATTTTTTCTTTGAATGCGTCACACGCCAACTTCCGCTACATCGGAATGGTTGTCGTTGACAAAACACAACCCTTCATGGAATCTGATGTTAACAATCAGCGCCTCGAATACGATATAATTGAATACCGTTCGATTACGGTAATATTCTCATTTTCCACATCGTTTTTTTTCTTGGTTGTTCAAAACGACTCACGTGAATATATCCGTAGGCATCCGTAAAATTATTGATCATACGATTTTTGGCGACACCAAAATTCGATCGGATTCCGAAGCTGATGGCGAATCCGATATGAGCCATTATTGCGATTTGCCATCGTACTTTTTTCAAGAAGAACTTGTTCTAAAATGATTCGCATTGTTTGACATTGAATGAACGCCGAAACCTCTTCGGTGAGCGTGTGCAGTTGCTCTTTGTGCTCCCACGTCTTCGTTGAGAACGTGCGTCGAACAGTGTCGGAAATCGCCGACGCCGATTTTTTGAGTGTCCGTCCCACCATTGTTCGCGACGATTGCGACGAGCACACTCGACTTGGGTCCGACTTTGAAATAAGCGCTAACACTGCAATGAGAACGTGTCGGCGATGAAGAAAGATCGGTGTCGAAAGCTATCGTCGGAATGCGACGACGGGCATGTCCACGAAACGATGATCAAGTAGGTAGCAAAGGGGGAAAGGGGGGAGGCGGAGGAAGACGAGGGGTCGGGCAATACGAAGAAGAAGAAGGAGTTTTTTGCTTGAATGATAAAAGAACCAAAACAAACCGACACAAAAGAGATGAATTGGGTACGGTAGAAAACGTTTTCAGAACTGTCGAGGCAGTTTGATAACGATACTTTCAAAGTGGTTCGACGAAATCAATGGTTTGGCCAAATGGATGAGAAGCCTAAAAGACAAAAAATGATAAGGATTTTGGGTGGATGATCAAAAAATGTTCGCTGATGGAATTGGCGAAACGAATTCGGATTTCGGTGAAAATCCAATCGGTTTCTATTCGCAATCTTCTTTGTGCTGCTCGAAAATGCGAACGAAACGTGATTTCTGCTATTTTCGAAATTCTCATGGAGTACTTTGAAATTTTATATCGGAATTATTCGCCATGACGAAAATGTTGGATTGTTCAACGAAACACTATCTCATTTTTTTCCGGTTGAAATTGATGTCGATTTGAAGGCGACGAATGAATGATTCCAAGTCTTGCGATTCTTATTAATTGACGTGAATCGAGATGAATCTAGAAGATGCCACGGCGTCGGCGGCGGCCACGTGGATTTCGGGTCCAATCAATATTTTGAAATTCTGATGGTCGATTCGAAATATACAGAAAGAATTTTGAAAAATAAAGAGAACCAAATAAAAAGTGAACAAAAGGGGTGTGTATAGTTGGCACCTCGCTAGTGGGACCATACAGACTTGGGTGAATGATCTGGAAATTTCGTGCACAATGCGAATCGGATAGGCGGGGACGGGCGGCACATTGATGCTAATCGCCGCGGAGAGGTCAAACTCTCATCGTACTATTGGCCGATATTAGACGGACATTCGAGACCATCAAGGTCCCAACCCCCGACAACAACGACGACGATAACAATGCGGTAAGAAAATAATTGACAAAATTCACATATTGGAGAATGTAAACAATGAAGATCAAACAGCATTCGTAAATTTTGAGAAGTTGACGACTCGTTTTGCGAGCGAAGAAACAATCGAGGGTTTCAGATGAGGCTGTCAACGACTTCTCATGATGTCTCTTTCAACTATTTATATATCGGTGTTAATTTGATCGTTTAGCGAACGTTTTTTCTCGAAAATCCGCACTCTTATCAATCACACGTGAACGTTTTGTTTTTATAATGACCGGAAAATTATATTGATACAAATTGATCTACGACTCTCATATTTTTTGGGACCCAATAGATCAACGATACGGCCGTGTTCTGAATGATGCTTCTCTAAATCAAGCATATCAAAAACGAATCGGAATGAAGGCTATTTAATGAATTATGATGTCATTCGAGTTATTAGGTTGGAATACCTCACTTTCGATTTTTTTTTCCAATTTTCGGATTGTCTTTTATTTGGCAAATATGACCAAATTTGTGATTATCACGAGGCATTGATAGCTGACTTTTAAAAATCATGCGAATCGCTTCTCTATGATCAATGATTGGCTTGACCTTGAATAGAAACCTCATGGGAGAAACTAATCACAAGCTTCAAGAGATCTCAATACATTACTCCAATTCAATTCTTGGCTTATTTTAGATAAATGGACCATCAAATTCGCGAAATCAATATTTAATGCGCGTAGGATATAATGCAAGGTACGCAGTCTCGCGTACGTCTCGCTGCAGACGCATTGGATCATAGCCAATCAATTTTAATTTTCGTTCAATCGTTTGACTCCGACAATCCTTAAACACCACAAAAATTGAATATTGGGGAATATGTGATTCAATGGACAATTTTGCCTTGAAAACTCTTTCCGATTACACATTCGGATTCCAATAATCAATGATCTCATTAGATTTTGGTGAACACCCAATCAAATTGGAGAGACGCGGGCGGCCTTTCGCCAATGGGACCATGATAATGTGGCCAAATTAGTTTCGCATTGAAAAGATCAGACTAACGTGTTACTGCTCTTGCAAAATGCTTAAAAATGAGGCCACCAAATTCGAAATTTTTGAATGCGGATTGTCAAGCACGGAATCGTCCAGCAGGCATTTCGTTTTCAAAAAAAAATTTTGGACGATAAAACCTAGCAAAACTCTAATAGCTATTTCGATGGGGCGAATTTATCATCTTCTACAGAATACCTCAAATCAACGCGAAAAAAAAATTTTGAAAATAAAATGACGAACCTTCTTCCATTTCAAGAAAAAAAAATGTCGCGTATTCAAATGATTATCGAATGATGATTTAAAATAGCAGGAAAAAAAGCAAATGGCCGGCAATAATCAAGAAATGAGAAGAATTCGACGTGCGGCGACGCCGTCTTCATCAGTTTTCAATAATAGGAATATGTGTCTACCGTAAACCGTCGACTAATTGATTGCATCATTTGATACGAGTCGCGCTTGTCCAAGACATGTTCGAAACTTGTTTTTTTTCCTTTATTTGGCCATCACGAATTCGAATAAAAATTGCACCAGTAGGGCTGCCGTCGGCTGATTTTGCTGACGTACTACGTGCTATTATGAATGATAACAACAAGACGAGAATGATGTTTGAAGAATGGGTGGAATCAGCTGAAAAGTAAACACACCATTATAAATCGCAAATCAAAATATTCGGAGATCATGATCATGTCGATAAAGGTTTCAAATGAGAGCTACTGTATGAAACGGATGTCAAATTCGACGGGTTTTTCGAAGCAACTTCATTTTGATCTCACCAAATGCACATACAAATAGAATTGTGGAGGGAAGGAATCTGATTAGTAGGTGGCAAGATTTCAAATAATTTCGTACCACTTTCAGACATTCAACTAATATAGACTGGGTCTTAATTTTGAAACGCCGTCGCGGTAAGAGAAAACAAACTCAAAAGCGAAAAGCTGCCATGTAATTTGAGGTTTTGGCATTCTTTTGGAATTTTTTAAAAGAAAACCCCCATCAAAAAAAATTGGCACTAAAAATGTTTTATTCCCAATTCGCCCTTTTTTTATCGTTGCGAAAAAAAAAATGTAGTCACAGCAAGTTTACAAAGAGAACTGATACATTCGATGGCGATCGTGATCTTCAATGATTTGGCGAAATTTTTGGGACAATTCGAAGCGGCTTCTTCTTCTTCTTTCAAAATTCTCCTCCCAAAAATTTTATTATCTTTTATTATTTTTATGATTCGGGCGCGGTCGAGAAACAAGAAAAACTGTGGAATTGGAATTGAATTTGGGTGGGGAGGGGCGCCGAACGCCAACAATTTGATGGCTATAAACTGATTGTCAATAGAAGATCAAATATGAGCGCCGAATTTCGAGGGGAGTGATATAACCATAAATGGAATATAAACCTTCGACGATCTATCATCAATGCGCATTGATAAGCATGTATTTCGTATCTGTCGATGTCGTGAACATTTTCCGCAAAACGGATTTGCAATTATTCGAATGAATATCAAATTCCTTGAAAATTTCCAACATTCACCACGAAATAAAAAATATATAAATTTCATTGAATGATTCTCCATAAATTTCGGGGTTAATACAAAAACGATCCTGATCTTTCGAGATTTCAGTGATCGCTTGATTCAATTTGTGAAGATTCAATAAAAAATTTCCGGGGGAATATTCATTAAATAGTGTATTCTAAACTCATTGATTTATTCATTTTCAAAAATTTTGTGAAGCTATCGGATTTTAGAATTGTTTATTTTTTTTTTGACATTTTTTTTGCTTGCGCCTTTGAACAAAAAAAAAGGATTCCCTAAACTGTCGATAGCCAAAATTCTTAAGATCGAGCAATTTTCGCGATCGGCACCGCGCGAGCAGTGGCTCTTAGAAAGCAGAGCCTGCACGAAACTTTTATTTTCTTAAAACAGAATCCGGAAGATGGAACCAATTTATTTTTGAAGAAGACCGAAATTCCGTACAACTCTGCTGCTAATTGGTAACAAGAGTCTCGAGATTCCCAAATAAAACCTTTGAAGGAAAAAGAATTCTATTGGTTTCGGTCTCGATTTTTCTTGGAAGCACACACTGAATACCATTCATTTTCCCATAATAATCGTCTCGCAAATAGCCAATGTAACAATTTTTAAAACATTTCTTTTTAAAGCGTTTCATGCCGATGGCATTGAGTAGACAAGAAGTTCAATAACGGAAATCAGAATCAAGCTTTGATAGTGATTCATGTTTAGTTGTCAAATTTCTAGAAGATTCGCACAACTTCGCAGTCAGCAAAAAATGTCGCTGACAAAAAATACATATGGAAACTAAACAATGTCATCTGGTCAAGGCTAAAATATCAAGTGTTAAATCATGATAACACTACAGAACACATCGCCGACGATATGAAACATCCAAAAGATCAATATCGTTTTTGGGCGATCCCTAAAAATCATTGAACAATCAGAAATTTGTTCAAATCAATTTTTTGTCGAAATTCTTGGGATTTTCAAGTCAAAATGTACGGGTTTCCATGCGGGCTGGTATCAGCGAAAAAGCTATGTCTGAATAATTAGCATTCGATATTTTTCAAAGCTTGCCGAAGCGCGGCCTAGAAAAATTGTTTTCAAAACATCGGTTCGGCCACGGCCATACTTTATAGATTAATTAAATTAATTAAGTAGAACAAGACAAACAAAACAAAATAATGTAGAAATAAAAGAAAACCGCACCTATGCATTACACATAATTCTAAAAAACTAGCCTGTAGTTGTGTGCCGCACTTCTATTTTTGATTTTTGAAAGTGTCGACCAATTTTTCTAGGCCGTTGCGGCGAGCCGTGTCGAAATAATGATGATTTGTTATTTATATGCTACTAAAATTAAATAATCTATATTTACATAAATCTATTTCACATTTATTTTCTCACTCTGTTCGTGTGCTTCAAATGAAGTTGGATGTATGGCAGCGGGCATTCAGGTAAATGAAAAAATCGAATTCGAAGAAAAATGAAATATAAATGAACCTGATTCAATTAAAATATAATTAAAATTCGATTGAGAAAGTGTTTAAATTCGCTTTGAAATTTTGGTTTCGATTCAAGAACCTTCGATTGATTTATTTCTCAATTTCAATTTTGAAATTCTTGGAATAATTCGACACAGATTGATTCATATTCGATTTCGATTGAAAACGAAAGTATTTTCGAATCCGATTGATTTCATTTACCTGAGCACGGGCGGCGCGAACTCTCAGGTAAATGAAAATCAATCGGATTCGAAAATAATTTATTTTTCAATCTAATTCGAATATAAATTAATCTGTTTCGAATTATTCCAAAATTTTAATCGAATACGATTTCAAAATGAACAATGAGAAATAAATCAATCGATTTAGAAGATTTTTTCAATTGAACCCAAGATTTCAAATCGAATACGATTTCAAAATTGAGAATGAGATATAAATCAATCGATTTCAAAGATTTTTGAATCGAAACCAAGATTTCAAATCGAATTTAAGCGTTTTCTTAATCGAATTTGAATTATTTTTCTATCGAGACAGGTTAATTTATATTTAATTTTTCTTCGAATCCGATTGATTTTCATTTACCTGAGCTGTCAAATTTTCTCCCGCGTGGAAACTCTAGGCACGATTTACTTTAATTTTTTCAAAAAAAAAAAAAAACAACAGTCACACGTAACGAGTGAATACATTTATTGGCGAATAACCGCTCATTAATTTATAAGATCACGCAACATCCCGATTTCTCTTTTTCTTCCATTTTTGGAGCCGGCGCTGTTAATTGAGATATTTGCTTCTTTTGTGAAGCCGTTGAAGCGCTAGGTGTCGACGCCTTCACTTCTTCAGAAGTTCCGCCCGGTCTGATTGCGTCTTTTGATGCTAACTGACCGGATGACGGCGGTTTGGCTTCAACCGATTTGATATTCTTCTCATCCGGCTTCTTCTTGTCAACTTCCTTCAACTCCGACTTTTTGTCATCTTTCTTCTTGTCATCAACCATTATCGATCTCGATTTTTCCTGCTTCTTATCCTTTTTCTTATCCTTTCCAGACGTTTTCGATTTTTTCTCTTTTCCTTTGACTCCCCTTCAAAAAATCCACCATTTTCCTCATTTTCCTCATTCTCACTTGCTCTCTTCCTCATCCTCAATATCGCTCAATTGAACGTCATCGTAGCCCTTCTTCTTTGGGGTAACTCCATTGTTCGCATTTTGTTTCGCAAGATCTTCAATTCCCATTTGACCCATATATTAATCTCAAATCACAATAATTGTCATGATCGAATCAACATCAACTCACCTTCTTTTCAGAAGAATGAATAAAATATAGAAATCAGTGAGAGTGTATAAATGTGAAATGGTCGATAGTTCGGTCATTTTAAATTATATTAATTATACGTCACATTTTTATTTTAAATGTGTTCGCTTTGCTCATTATAATTCTGCCCAATTTTCTCATTAATTGCCAATGTTTATCCATGCGCTCTGATCCCCATTGCCGTCAAAACATTGTTGAAATTTCTATTTTTTATTTTCGGAACTTCTCTCGGACGCTTTAACCTTTCCGTTATCTCAAGTAAAAAAAATATATTACAAAATACTATAGCAGCTGACTTGTCCACTGCTCACCTCAACTTTTATGAAAGCATCACATTGCAGTGATTGATAATCTTTGCTTTCTTCGTTTTCTTCTCAAAAAAAAAAACCCGTCACATTGATAATTTTATCTTAAATATTAGCAAAATTATGCATAGAAATAATTGCGGGTGGAATCACATAGAAAAATTAAATGGACTAATTGCAGAATGACATTTTGTGGTCCTTAAATCACAAACATACAAGAAAATATTCTCAAATGGTTCAGTTAAAGCATAGACCGGTTCTATTTGGGTGGGATTGGAGACAGGGAGAGAGAGAGAGAGGGAAAAGAGAGAGAATCTGGTGATACAAAGCCGACTAGAATAAGTTGTAGATCAAAAAAGAGAAATCAATCACAATCCATCATATCATCTTCAAAATCATAGTTTTTCGGTGTTCGGAAAGCTGTAAAAGCGTTATACGATGACGAGCTGGAGCATGTCGAATTGTTCGAGTGCATCAGCGAAGGGTGTTCGGGTATCGGAGCTTCCTCCTCCTCGAGTACGAACCCATTGGTATAATCATCACTTCGCGAGACCGACGAATGAGAATCCGAAGATACAATCGAGTCTAAAAATAAATTGACTAAAATACTTGAAAAAAATATTCACTTCGAAAAGCGTCCTCCTCGTTCACAAATCGATGCGGAGTTGTCCTCGCAGATGGCGGCAACGACACCGAAAGCGATTGGCTAAAAATAGAAAATTTCAATTTCGCAAGTCATCGCGTGATATGTCTTCTAGTACTTTCAAATTTTGATAAATTGAGTATATCCAACCAACCTTTTTTGATAATTTGTCAACGAATTACTCCGTTTCCTCTTCGATGAAAGTGTCGAATAAACCCTGGACTGTCGTCGAGATCCACCAGCCGAATGTCGATGAAGAACTGATGGTTGTGGGCGGCACATCTGAAATTGCGCCAAATTCGATATCGATCCGCAATTTGTTGGCTCACAATTGCATCCAGCGACGAGCTGGCGCACAATGGCGGTGGAGGTCGAGCTGTCGAATCAGCCATTACGACGGTAGAAGTGGCGGCACCGACGACTTCGCTTGAGCACGAGCAAGCGTTCATTGTCGAAGCAGTGACATCGGGAGCGGCAGAAGCTGACGGCGATGGCTCGAGTTGGCAGAGGTCGAGCGCCGCGAGCGTGTCGCGTTTCCTGAGATCCGCCACACGATTCTCGTCGGGCCGCAAAACGACATCTTCGACGGCCCGCTGAAATAAAGCATATTTGAAATGATATAAACGCGATACACGGTATTTTCATTTAAAAAAAAGAGCAGTGATTCTCGCAAAAATCAAAAATCATACACCAAATGCCTATTTCTGGAAATAACTTTTATCGTGGTATTTTCAAAATGTCTCAATCACAATTTATAAATTGTTACCTATAAAAGGTCGGATAACAAATACCGTAAAAAGTGATATTTGAGGAATTTCTCTGTGAAGTGGGCACAATTAATTTTGTCACATGTCAAACATCGAGAAAACCAACAGACGAGCTGTCAATTCCATTTTATTCAAAAAGTGCATTAGTTGAGCAAACCTCAACCGCATACATTTTTTTAAATTGAAACAGAAAAAAAAGAAATCAACCTTAAGATCGCTGCATCGCATTGGCACGCGTTTTGGGGAACAACCGCTGAAACCGCCAATTTTTGTGTTCCTGAAAGAAAAATATTTGTCGGATAGATTAATATTAGTGAATACAAAATGAATAATTCAATGGCGAATCGGGGCGAAATGAAAATGAAAAGAAAAAAGCGATGATGATGATGAAAGAACAAATATGAAAGAAGAAGAAGAATACGAAGAACGAAAACTATCAAAAACCGTGGGAAAAAAACGCGAAGAAATTCGATATATAAAACAAAAAATACAATTTGAAGAAAAATAAATGCTGGAATTTCCCAAACAACGCTTGTCTGAATACCATATTTCTTTCATTTCGATGCTTTCTGTGATCGACGGGTTTTTGAAAAATGGGAATAAAGCGGGCAACGAAACAGCCAATTATAATATTTTATAGCACATTCGCGGATTCTAAATCACAACCATTTTATGACATATTACTACGAAACGAATGCGTTGACGCGAAAAGCTTCAATTCAAAACGAAATGCTCACATTCTCCTACTCTGCGATGTTTTTTCCCCAAAAATTAAACATTTATTTCTATTTCAAATTAGAAAAAAAATCATTTGATTTCGCACATTTTTCCACATTCTTGTAGATCAAGACACGGTTTTTTTTTCTTCAATGCCTCGATACGCAATTTCATGTTTGAATTTGGTTTTTTCAATAGAAAACGAAAGAAAATATATAAATCCGGAGGCGAAATTGAAATGCGCATAAATCTTCACAACTGCGAACACTTTTTGAGTTATTCAAAAAAAAACTCCGAGATATTTACCGAAAAAACGTCTCTATCCATTGTTTTCCGCAAGTTTGTTCGGTGTTTGCGTACTTTTTTTAAACCATCAATTTCAAGGTTTTTTTTGGAAAAAAAATAGAGAATCCATACTTAAATAAGGATTTCTAGTTCCAGAAAAAAAAACAATGAATCTGTGACGTCTTGTTAGTATATTAGGTTATCCAAATAAGGACACAAAACATTTGGAACTAAATGCTTCGCACGATACGTTGACAACAAAAGGGTTGGGCGAAGTGGCAAAAAACGCGAATAGAATGCGTCGGACGTCGTTGTCGTCGACTTCAGAAGACGTGTGTGTCTGCTTGAGCAATGCATGCGGGCAGAGACGTAGAGGGATTCGAGCCGGCCGCGAATTCTCATTAAGCCACTGCCCCGGCGCAGTGGCAGTGTCTCCTCTGCTGACTCTGGGTCTCGACGCTGTTAGATGTTGTTGTTTTTTTTTCTTCGTCGTCTTCATTTCGTTTTCTTCTACTGCGCCAACTGAGCCACTGATGTCGAGCTCCTTCGTGGTGCAAATGAGATCTCGCCGCAAGCGAATCGTAAAGAGTGCGCGATGTTCAGAGAGTGGCACGACGACGAGAGAGTTAAAAATTGAATAAAAAAAAATGAAAAACGAGTTACTTCATTAAAAAATGGCGACATTTAAAAGAAGAGACGAACGATGATCAGAAATCGAGAATTATGGTAAATAGGAAAATGAAATTTGGTAGGAATCATATGAATTAAAATTTTCAATTTCGAGAAAATCGAAAGACACAATTGAAACGACTTTAATGACAGTTGAGAGAATAGCTTCGACTTGATGAGAACAAAGAGAAAGAATTGAAATTGCTGCCAAAAAAAAATACACAACCTTCAATAAACACTATACATAATTACTGGCTATGAAATGGTAGGTTGGCGAAACATAAACAAGAACGTTTAAATTAAAAAATATCAATACGGAAAATTTTACAGAATTTAGAAAATAATAAAAAAATAACAGAAATAAATTTTCGTGGGTAGATTTACGGAGAGAAGTAACAAATCTGCTCCATTGCACAATAACTGAATTTTTTTAATTTCTTAAACCGATTTTATCGTCGGCTTCAAACGACTGAACGAAATTTTAGATAAATCTTTTTCATTTAAATGATTGGCTATGTGCCAATGCGTCTCGTGGCAGCGAGAAGTACGCGAGACTGCGTACATTGCATTATATCCTACGCGCATTTAACATTCACTCAATAATAAATTAAAATCTACACTGTTATCGTGAATTTGAAGGCCCCGCCTTTCTTCAGTGGTTTCACGCCGACAATACATGTTTTTTTGCGAAAATTTCGTTTAATAGAAAATCCTTTTTCCTAGTTTTCCGCATGAATGATGTTTGAAGATAAATCAAAGAGAAAGAGGAAAATTCATTCCATAAAAACAAAGAATAAACTATGTTCGAGATTTTCCAGATTTCATTTATAATTGTTTTTTTTTTCAGTCATTTCAAATTACGAGGATATTTAAATTCAAATATTTTTTAAAGCAGAATGAGATCCCACTTTGGATCCCAAAATAGGGTTCTCATAAACTACATAAAAGTGTGAGCTTTCCCAACACTAATGTTTTTTATGGGTCTCTATTTATGAAATGTAAATTTTTACAAAAGATGAAAAAATTTCATTATTTGCATTGGAAAAATATGCAATTTTACCTTTTTTTTATTGCATGAATAGATCTATTAGCGAAAAACGGAAAATTTTTTGGTATCCATGATTGGCATGCTTTTCATAATTCCGTAAATATCGAATTTCCGGTTTAATTTTTGTTTGCGCTTTTTTATTTTATACACCTTTCCTCAATTTATTATACAACTATTCATATATGAATAACAAATGGAATTAATAGTTTCGGTCGCTGTTTACGCGTAATCTTGCGATAATATTTTGTGGAAAGTTGAAAACAAAAACAAAATATCGCTTCATTACTAAGCGAATAATGATTAATCAAACGAAAGAAATAAATAACTCCCCACAGTAATATGCTGACCAAAAATGAGGAGATCGATTGACAAAATGGCACCCGACGGGTTGCCATGGTGCTTAATCACCGGATTTGCGGGAATTGTTTTTTTGAAAAGCGGCAACCAAAATCAATACCATTAATGGGGAAAGGGGCGGACTGAACAGAAACAATCATAAAAATGGTTACCAAATTGGCAGTAATCGGCCAAAAAGAAAAGAAGAAAGAAAAATGGAGAACGGCAATGATGAGGGCGCGGAAGAATGTTGTTATTTTTGCTGTGTCGCGATCGTTCCGGAAAAGATGGGCATAAAAAACAGAAACAGACATGCAATGTTGATGTGTTCTGCAATAGATAGGGGGCGAAGAGAAGAACAGCCGGGTCGTCCGTTTCCCCCAAAAAAAAACAGCCAAGTGGAAGAGACAACTGCAACAAAACACACACACACAAAATATATGTATATGGGCATTTTAGTGCATGACTCAGGCTCATATAACCATTTCCTTTGGCTTTTTCTGTCAATTGAGGTTTGATAACAGATTTCGAAATTATTTTTTAAAGCATTTATATTATATGCATACACCTCATATAATTTATGACTTCAAATTATTTTGGTTCTGCCAAAAATATGGATAAACTGGCCAAATTCTATAAGACGAAGATTTTTATTTAATCTGAAACATCGGGACGAATTTTGAAGAATATATGAAAAAGAAGGCCGAGGAATTATTCATTTTACTAAATTTTCGAGAATTCGTCATGTCATTATGGAGGCGAAAAACTCATTTGTGAAACGACGAAAAAGGAGATTAAAAAGAAATGTTTCAATTGAAATTTTCTTCGCAAAAACTTGTCAACTTCATTATTCGTTGGCATATTTGGAGCATTCAATACTAGTTTTTGTGTATGTATTTATTTGAGCAACGAGCGACACAATAAACCGAGAAGAGAGAGAGCAAGTTTCGACACATAATATTGGGGCAAATAAAAAACAAATACATAATTTGAACTCAAAAAATGAAATAATTTTTTTGAAAATTTCGAAACCCCAAAAAAATTGGGGAATCATCGTGCCTAGCACAATTCCACAGGGAGCTCGCAATCTCGTACTCTCTTTTGTTTCGACATTTTATTTTTATTTTTGGAGCAAACCAGATACCAGAAAGACTACACAGAATATACAAAACCTTATATTAAAATTTAGAGGACAAATCCGCCAGGTATCGGCGGTCGATGAGTCGGCGAAGCCGTCAAAAATGCCGGAGTCGCACGCGCGAATCGATATCTCGTCGCGAAACGTGCCAATTCGTCAGCAAGCCGATCCGGGCTGTCCTCCTGCAAATATGATGGCTCATTTGTAAGAGGATACATACGAAAACGAGCGCATAATTAGCTCAGTTTACATAGTTATTTTTCAGTTTGGTGAACCGTCAACCGAATAAACACATTTAATGAGAGGAAATTTGAGAGGAGGCAAAAAATATGAGAAAAAATCGAAGTGCGCCTTTTGAAGAGAAAAATGTTTTGAATGACGAGGAATACAGATTTTCTTTTTAATCGTCTGAAGGGATTTCTTTCAAAAAATTCAAAATCTTACGTGAACACAATGTCCGACTTTCGGAAGAACACATGTCTGAAATTTGCCCTGCATTTGACCAATCTAAAGAATTTCAATTTCCATTTCTCGCAAATAATTTCATCTCCTACTGTCAGCTCTCTATCCAACCGATCAACTCCTGCCAATGCTAGCAACTTTGGGGCGGTGCACATCAGAAATTTCGCCGAAAGACCTTCAAACCATCCTTTCCAATATGGTTCTGTGTCGGCTAGCTCAATTCTCCATGCATATTCATTTTCTGATACCGCACGAATCTAAAGAAAAATTAAAAGTGATATGGTTACCAAAACTCGAATTTTTGTACTTGGGAAGGCATAGAAACCCGTGCTGATTTTGCATTTCGCACAGTTCCTGAGCTCAAACACCATTTGATTGCCTTTTCAACAGATTCGAAGGAAGATGGTCTTGAATGGAGGAAATGAACCTTTAAACACTCTGAATTGAATAGCCGGTAGTAGAAGTCATCTCACCATTCCACCAAGCGCTTCCATAGCAGATCCCTCGACTACGTCGATCACAACTAAACCCACAATGTTGGCTGGAATTGCTTTTCCAGAAACTGCATGAATTGCTAATGCGCCACCCATGCTGAAAAATTACATTGTTGATACATCAAACGAAATCGTGACACCTATGACCGACAACACAGACATCCTGATGATCGTTTTCTCCAAAAAATGCCTTATAGATATTAGCGATATCCCTAAACGATATCGATCAATCCAGTTGTAGCTTTAAACTTATTTTTCATACCTGACTTGTGTGGCCGTAGAGAGATCATGCTCATCAGCGCATTTTGAATCACCATGACCCCTCAAATCGGGCGCCAAAATGCGACAATCGACCAAATGCGTCAATTCTTTCTGGAAAAATCAATAATTTTCAATTCTTGTTCATTTTAGCGCTAACCGTCAAACACGCCCATGTTAATCCCGAATATCCTCCTCCATGAAGAAAATAAAAAATGGGACCCGTTTTTCCTTTTAAATACACATTGAATATATCTTCTCCAATATTAATTTCTCGTTTTTCGTCGAAAAATTCAGACCATTCGATTGGCGCAAAGTCGCGTTTTGGCAGGCCTTTACTGGTTGAACTTCTAAAAATTCTTGTTACTCGGAAACTTCTCTAAATTTTACTTACACAGGATGCGGAGGAAGACCGCGCTTTAATGCTTGCTTCAACAAATTTGGCTTCTATAAAAAAAAACATGATAAATAAACGTTTAACGTTTTTTACTTTCTCACTTGCGACGCTCCTGGATGGGCGATTTGGCGATCTGATGGCAAATCACATATCATATCTTCCTCCTCTTCTTCTTCGTTCAAACTCATCTTGATTATTTAATTTGATTTAAAACTATAAGAAAAACGAAAAAAAAAATCGAAAATAAATAAAATGGTGGCCTTGTGGACAAAACCGAAAACTCGGCCACCTGTTTAGTCCACCATACAAATTCAAAATTTTCGAAATTTTACTCCTGCGTTTTTAGGATATTAACTCCATTTTCTGATTTTAGTATTCGATGGCAAGTTCACAGGCTCGAGAAAGACTTTCAAGGCTCAATACAAGCCAAACTCAACTGAACACTTCTGCTGTTTCGAACACCTCTGCGTTTGAGGACAAATTTTCGCCGTTGTGCAAGACACGATTACAGAATGACACACAACGCTATGAAGATTTAAGGTAACCAAAATAAAATGAAAACATTCATGTTTAATTCGAAATATTCATAGGATTGCATCGATTTGGATGAGCTTTAAGTTACATTCAGCACTGCTTCTTGTTCTCACCGTCGATGTATGATCGTTACCAGGAAATATCGAATAATCATGAGTTTTGCAGGCACTTCTATTCAAATCATCAATTTTATCATTTCTAATTCTGTTTGGAAGTTTACCTGAAGCAATAATTCAATCGTTGTCTCTTCTTTTTATTATTTACTGTTCTGTAGTTTCAATTCTTCTTGTCGCTGATATGAAATTTCCAAAAGCTTCAAACACTGTGCTCAAAGCAATTGAACGTAAGATTTTGGCAGTTTTTATTTTAAAAAATATGAAATTGTTCAGAGCTGTATCAGTCTTCCACTGAAACTCCAGCTAAACCAAAGCATGTTGAAAAGACGCCGTCATCTGAAAAGATTCTCTCGACATCAATGTCCGATCACTCATGGGTTGATGCTCACAAATTCGGAACCCCAGTGACTACTAAACCCGTCGATATCATCTCGAAAAAGCCTTCGGATTCATTCAGAGCCCAACCAGATGTTTCGCCGTTGATTGATGATTCGAAGGTTGCTCTGAATTGGAAAAGCCCTTCGGCATATGGAAAACCAATAGATAGTATTCACACGAGAAAACAATTGGAAGTTCTTCTCAAATCTCACGCGTATGAATATCTTATGCTTTGTGTTCGTATATTAATAATTTTTTGAAGGAACGATGCACCAATTGATAAGAACGCTTCACAGTCATCATACTTTTCTTCGATTTGGAACGTGTTGGACTTTGGAAGAGGATCCGCAACCCTATTGAATAGCAGTTATCAAGTTTCGAAAGAAATTACTGATGACACACAAGGAAATTCACGTAAGAATTATAATCTTCGTTTTTCAATTTTTTTTTAATGTTATAGCATACAAGTTAAAAATCGGAAAAGATGGGCGCACGGAGCTTAAATTGGTCCGTCGGCGACAAGCGAATGAGCGTATTGATGAAGCCGATGAAAATGATGATGACGAGCTGACGAAATTGCACAAAGTTATGAATGCCGCCCGAAATGTTCCTGAAGTCAAATCGGGAATTTTGAAGCGATCAAATTCAATGGAAAGAGGGCGTAGCGGAATTCGACGGCGATCACAATCTTCGCCAGATCGTAGCCCGGTAGGCGATCAAGAAACAAGAGCAAGGTTTTTCGAGCTATTGTGACAAAACAATTGAAAGGATTATTGTAGATTGAATGATTCGCTTCTGACGGAGGAGCAGCAAAGGCGAGCTGAGTTCCGCGTTCGCGCTTGGCTTCGAAATACAATTATTTTGCCATTGGCGGAACAAATTGAGGAAATTAACGAAATTTTAGATAAGGTGAATCATTCTTAAAAATTGATAAATAGAATCATGGATGTTGAATGGGATTTTTTAGGAACATGCGAATCCTCCACTTCGTATTGGATCTTCAACTGTCGATGCTCTCAAATTAGCCATCATGGAACGCGATTCTCTCAAAACTTCGAATTTGCCATTCCTTCTTCCATTTTTGTCGATTCACACCAATCAGGTTTTCAATGCTCGATCCCCACCCGTATTGTTAAATAAATTTCATCATTGCAGGCATATCTCGTGAGTCGTGTCAAAGAGCTCAGCGCCTCCGAATTTATGGATGTCTATAAATGGAATTCGGGTGGTACCGAGCCCAGCGAGGATAAATGTAAGTTATTTCATTGCATTTTAAGTCTTTGCAGAAAAAAGATTATTTTTCATTTTTTGCATTGAAATTTTGTCCATTTTTTATTTATTTTATCTGCATTGGCTTTTTATGGAATTTATTCCCCCATTCAATTCTGCAGTGAATTCTTCGCGAATTGTGCATCGAGAATGGAATGACTCACTTCCGACAGATGCTTGCCTCGTGTTCGACGCTTTCTTGACTTATATGGACACGCAACTCAATTCGAATTGCCTTGTTGGCGAGCACAGGTGAACAACCCGTGCGCGGAAACCAACAATTTGTCTTGTTTAGATTGGATCAGCCGTTCAGCTCGCGTTACGCCCTCAAATTCCCGAAGAAGCCGTCGCCAACGCAAAAAACGCCGTTCGAATTCTATTTGCACATGGTAACGCGGGAAGAAGCTGAAAACGATTTGACATCTCTATTCAGGCTAGCATCAACCCGCCGCACTTTGAGTTTGTGCACAATGATGCGAATGGATCGCCGGTGAAGTTGACGATTGCCCGACAGACGTCGAATTTGTTCAGAGCGATTGCCCAATTTGTTCATCATGTCAAGGTTAGGAGGCCACCAAAAAATTGATTAGCCTTCATTGTTTTCAGGAAATGAATCACGGCTATTTGGATCAGACAAGCCTCGGACCAACCGGTATCAATCTCCTCTGCGTTCTCTCATAGTGTTCTTTTCGATCTCTCTTGTTTCATTTTATTATTATTGTTTGAATCGAGCATAAAAAGCGAATATTTATTCGAAAAATGACCATGATCATTCCATGAAAAACGTGTTAAACGTGCTACTCATCATTTTTGATTTGTTTTCTCTTCCGTTGTTTAATTTAATTTTTTATCTTGCATGGACGATGGAAAAATTGAGGAAAGAGCATCGAAATTTGAAATATAAAATTAAACGCGATTTTTTTTTTGAATGATGGAGCGTTCCTCGATTGTTCCATGAACCCGTTCCAAACTACAAATTGAATTTAAATAAAATAAAAATAATAAAGAAATGGGAGAGAGAGAGAGAGTTTGTGTGTGTGGGATGGATGAAAAGAGAGAGAGAGAGACAGAGAAAAAGAGAAGGCGAGACATCAAGTAGTCAATTTAAAACTAATGAAGAAAATAATGATAATATAATGATGAAGGTGATTCTCGGGACAGAACTCTCGCTTTGGGTTTTGTTTAATGTCTGAAAAAGAACATAATACACTTCACAACTAGTAAACAGGAGAAGATCTCATTAAATAGTTGCCGAAATCGAGAAAAACACGAAAAAATAGGAATAACCGACATGTGCTTGAGAGTGTGTGCATTATAAATTAATTTCCTCGTACTTCATTTTCCGGTAAGCTGAAACGAGAAAATTCATGAACGATTTGAACCGAGTTTCGGATTAACATTTGCTGGCAAGACTATTGATTTTGTCGAGCTGTTAGTTTCTACGATTATTTCGGATATTTCATTCCATAAAATTTCAAAGAAAACCGGAATAAGGGATTCAATTTCATTGCATTTACAATACTTCGTATGTTAAATTAATTTCAGAATTTATTAGTCACTTCAATTCTTTGCACGTTTTTTTCATAACATTATCATGTCAAGTTTATTTATTTATCGAGCAAAATCAATTTGTCAAAATAAATTCATAAAGATTAATTCATATAAAAATGCTCACTTTCGACGGACCGGCTCGTTCGGTGTTGTGCGAGTCCGACTCGTCGCCTTGTCCATCACTGAACGAGGAACTACTCATCACCTCCTCTTCACTGCAAAAATGGTTAGAATGGTTAACAATTCGTCGGAACAGTTCTCATGCATCATCAATCAAAACCAATCATTTTTTCATGCTTCGTTCACTTACCTTTCAACGACCATTTCCGACACCTCTTCATCGATATCGCGCCGATCGCCGCGCCGTCGATTACTATTCTCTTGGTTCATAGGTCCTTCCGGTGTCATCATGTGAGATCTTGTAGGAATTATGCCATCGGGATACAATTTTTTAATCACCTGCGCACCATTTTATAGAAGTTGAAGACAAATATTGAATTACCTCTTCAGGACAATCCGGCTTCGGTGGTCCACCACCAAATGGCAGCAGGAACGGATGTTTCAGCGCTTCGGCGGCTGTCGCTCTTAAGCTCTGAAAATTTGACAATATTATTAATTTAAGCATATTAATAAAATTTGACAATATTATTAATATTATAGAAAATCAGCTTTCTGTTTCATAAACGTATCAACTGACCGGTTCAAATGCAAGCATTGGTTCAAGGAAACTGGCAAACTGCGCAGCGTCTTGATGAGACCATTCATATTTTTGTCGTAATACGTCATACAATGACCACGGTTTTAAGTGTGAAATGTGAAGTAATCGGCCATTCTAAATATAAAAATCAATTTAACAACATTTCGAAACACATTGAAACCTTGTTGAAGAACTCCCGCCAATGTCGCCCCTTCTTATATACAGAGGGTGGTATTGGACCAAGAAGTTCAGAGATGTGTGCCAAATGGTCCTCATCTCTCGAATAATTCTCTCCCTGATGGGGCTCGAACAAATAATCTCCGGTTGCGAGTTCGAATGCCATACACGCAAGACTCCAAATATCGGCAGGTGTGCCATATCCGGCACCAATCAGCACTTCAAGCGCTCGATATTGCCGCGTTTGGATATCGTCGGTGAAATGATGATTGACCCAGCAAGCGTTTCCAAGATCAGCAATTTTCACCTAAAACGACGGGATTGAAATTCATCGCGTTTCGATTATGAATAAATAACCTCAATATCAACATAGGGATCGCTCATATCAGGTCCAACTGGAGGAGCAGGCAAAATTCCTGTCAAGTGCGATGCGTTGAACGGCATAGTCGTTGGCGAGCTGATGCTTTCCGACACTGCAAAATTTATTATAAATATGATACGTAGACGTTTTAAAGGATTTTCTCACAAAAGATACGTTTTCGAAATTTTAGAAAAAAAAAACTAACGAGGACTTTGCAACTCATGTAGTGGTAACTTCATCTCGTGATCGGACATTGGGGAAACCGTTGTACGGTCGAATGGTGCCGGACTTTTGATGTTCTAAAAAACAACAAATATTAACCTCATTAATTTAAAGGAACGCTTACAACTTGCTGCCCATTTCCATTATTGAGGTCCTCCTCGTTAACATCTTCTACTTGTGTTGCGTCTCGACTTCCATCAATTTCCTGAAAAGCAAAAGGATCATCAAATTGGAATCAAGAGAAAGAAGAAAATGAAATTAATTGGAACAAAAATAAATTATAAGGAATCATGTCAAAGACGACGACCACGACGAAGACCATGCCACCTAATTATTGCAATACGTTTACCATCACATTACGCAGAATAATTGTCCTTATAAAGTAAACCAGCATCAACCAAAAAGGCCGAAACTCATAAAATAATAATTATTATAAATTTGAGTTATTCGCGCAAATTCCAAATGCTCCGCATAAAAGCAAGCAGGCAACCATATCAGGCAATGTCAATGTTTGGGTTGATAAAAGGAGTTTTTGGGATTAGGTAAGTCGAAGAGCATCACACGTCCGAACACAACGAGTTTCGCTACCTGTACAAGATGGTAGGTCTGATTGCAGACGCCGCCTTTTTGCGCTTGTGGCGTCACTGGCGTCGAACCGATCGAGCCTTGCAACAATTGCGGAATCGGACCGTTGAGGAGCAACGACGGCGGACGCATTCGGACGCCATTCGCCTTTAGAATTTCTATTTAATTTTTGTGCTTCATCAAGCTCATTTTGCGAATCCATTCCGAAATAGTTGAAAAAAAAAAGAAAGAAAAATGGAAGCCGACTTCCAAAAATGTTTCAAAAAAAAAAGTTATAAAAACTAACCGGCGCATTGTTATAAGCCTCCTGAAGTCCATTAGCATCCATTTTAAGACCTTCAAGTCCGGCAAGTTCGGATTCGAGCTTCTCGCGCTGCTTCTTCGCCTTCTTCTTCAGCTTCTTCTTCCGGTTTTTATTGCAGTTCTCGAGCAATTTCTTCTGCAAATGTTGAGGAGCCGTGCTAACGGCTGAGCCGCTCAGTTTCAAGTTCATTTTACGTGCAACAACAGCGTGTTGAGCCATTATCTACAAAAAACTGATAAGTCGGCGTGTTTTGAAAAACAAATTCTAATACCTTGATCTCCTCGCGGGTCATCGTAATCAGCACATTTTCTGGTTTGATGTCGGTGTGAATTATTTGACATTTCTCGTGCATGTACCGCAAAGCTTCCAAAATTTGTTTACAAATTTTTCGCACTTGCTCCAAATGAAGACCGCGATAATTTGACCGAATGATCAGTTTCAGCAAATTGCAACCAAGAACCTAAAATTAATATCAATGTCCCATGATTTCAATACGAGTTGGTCCCCAGAAACACGACATTTAAACAATTTCCCAATGTTTTTCTCACGATTCGTTCGTATTCATGAATGAACGCCGCGCGTTGCCCACAGCGACTCACCTCGAATACCATGGCGACGTGTGTGCCGTTGATGCCGTCCACGGTGAACTCGTCGTGCAGTTTGACGATCTTGTCGCATCCAGGATCCGACGGATCCGCGTCTCGCACCGACAACAACAATTTGATCTCGTCGAGTGCCGCTTCCGAATAATGTTCGGCCGACTTCACAATTTTGAGCGCCACAAATATTTTGGACTGCGTGTCCCAGCACAGCCATACCGTTGAGAAATGTCCCCAGCCAAGTTTGCGAATAACATGATATCTAAAATACAAACAATATTCGAAACATGAGGATTGTACGAAGTACCGAGAATTAAAGACATCGCCAATATTTACTGGATGATATCCACCCTTACGATAGTCCTTTGGATCTTCCTGCTCCTCATCGTCAGATCCAAGAACCTCCTCCTGTACCTAAAAGCAAAAAAGACCACAATTTTCAAATATAGTAATTTTATTTACCGCTTGCTCATCGGCTGAATCCGACAGATGCCCGCATCCATACTGGCCGCCAATTGCGCCGCCTCGCGAATCACTTCGTCCCGGACTAGCGCTTCCATTCTTCTCACGGATGTCATCATTCTCGTAATCCCGCATTATTAAACTGCAAATGCAAAAAATAGTTAGAAATGAAACTAATTAAATATGCAATAATTTGTTTTTCTGTACTTTGTTGACACACGCGCAAATTTTAATTGGGCCTCCAACGAAACGAATGCGGCTTATGAATATGTCGATGGGAACTTTAGTGTAAAACCCCAACTAATTAAACGTGCAGTTTTCCATGAGAACCCAATTCTGAGAATACCAACGTTTGTGTTTGTGTGTGTGTGTGTGACCGAACTACGTAATACCCTATGCCAAGTTTTGAGTAGTTTTGAACGGAACACATTGAGAAGTCGTAAAAGTTGACCTCTTATGTGAATATACACAATAATTGGAGCGCGAATAGTTCCGAGAAACGAATTTTCTCTAACTACTAGCACTAAAGAATAAAAATTACTTCTTTACGAATTTGGGCCTGGGAATCGTCAGAGACGTTGATGGAATATCGAGCGGATACTCAAACATTTGATGTTCGATGTCCTCCGAATCATATGAATCCGCATCAGATCCTGTAGAGCTCGATGAGTCCTCAGTTCCAACCGTCTCAGTAGCAGTTGATTGCATATTCTCATACTTCGACGTCTCTTCTTCCTCTGGAACCGGTTCTTGTGGCTTTTGTGGTTCTACCTGATCTTCTTCTTCATCCTCGTCTTCTGCTTTCACTTCAACCTCATCGTCCTCTCCAGACTGGCATGACTCCATCGGCTCATTCTCAGTTCCGCTTAACTGGGACAGTGCATCTTCTTCCGAGTCAATGTCAATGTGATAGGAATCCTCTTGAGATTCGACGTCGGAGCTCGAAACGCACGACGACATTTGTTCATCGGAACCGTTTTCCGATTTCAGCGAACTCGCGTCCAATTCCAGCGCGACGATCGACGTCGAACCCTTTTCGAAAACCGGTTCGTCCAACTTTCCAACAACCGTATAATCATCTTCCGCTCTGACGAACACCAAGTTGACCTCTTCATCTTCTTCAACGGCTTCTTGCTTTTCTACTTCTTCTTCCTTCAAAGTGCAGGTTTCATCTAGTGAAACATTGTTCTCAACCGCACTCGGCGAAGAATTTTTGACAAAAAAGTAGAATCGATCGTGATTCTGTTGTCCGACGCTTATATTACAGCGAACATCAGGAGCGGTGGCGAACAACTGCATGCAGACATCGGTCTCATTATAAGACTCGTGATCATCAAGTTCAATCGTCTCATCGGTCCCAAATAGGTAACGACGGCGACGTTGTGACGGCGTAGCATTGCTTCTCCAACCGACGCCACCATTCAGCCATCGGCAGAATAACACGACGAACATTAATAGAATAGTAGGGAATATGTCGGGCGAGGCAAAGTGTGAGAATAAACTTGAATGGCTCAACGTTGCTCCAGCATTCGGAAAATCGATACGCGCTCCGACGACAGGTTGTTGGCCAGCCAGCCTGGAGGAGGGTATTGTTACGTGTGGGTGCGATTCTCACTGAATCAACGAGGAAGACGGCGAAAAACAACCGAAGATGATGAGGATGATGAAGATGATAGCGTGTGTGTGTGTGTGTGTGTGTGTGTCGATGCGAAAAAAAACAATATAGCGCGAAGCAAGCGAAAAAAAATCGCAAACGAAGGCACTGCTAGAGGGCACGATCCCGACAAGACGCAAACAGAGATAGATCGGCCGACGAGTAGATATTTGTGCGTGTGAGGTGTTCAAACTGATAGCTGATAGACCAGCACGCAACACTGCACGCGGCCAAGATCGCAGGACAGCTGACACCGACAACTGGTTGACGATGATCAAACCGTGAAAACGAAATGTCAGCGCGGCAAGCGATTCGAAGGCGTCGCCTAACCTTCAACCCGTCTTCTTTTAATAATTCTCGAACAATTACAAAAACGAATCAAAATTCAGCAGACTCTCGACTTTTTATGCACCGATTCGTTATTTCGATGATATCTCTAATTGTTGAAAAACGAACCAGTCGACCGACAGCTGTTCTCTCTGTCTTTCTTTCCAAACAGCGCTTTAGATGATTAGCGTTCGAAGACAAATGGCTTGGAAATTTTGCCACTTTAACTATCATCGGGGGGTTTTCGAAAATCGGAGGCGGCCCGGTCCGGCCCGTTTGAAAAATGAAAAGAGGGATCATTGTGAAACACACACACACACGCAAGCGAAAAATGCAAATTCGTTTCAAAATTGCACATTTCGTAAACGATAAAATGTAGAAAAAAACGGGTACTAAAACCAATATTTGAGCATATTGCTATCCAAATCTTTTTTTTTGACACAATATCACCGCTAAACGTTGAAATAAAAGGGGTGTTAAAATTGCGTAAAACTCATGTGTGTTTGTTAGGAAAATGCGAAATGAACGAGAAACTCGTAAAAATACAAAAATTTATAGCGAATATTCAATAAAATTTTAACATCCGTTTTTTAAAGATATTAGAATATATTTCGGTAGTGAACAAAGAAGATAAAACTCAATTTTTGTTAAAAAATAAACAATTCTGAGGTCAGTTGTTATTGAATTTTTTTGCCCTCTCATATAACAATTTCGAACCCTCGAAGATACCTGAATTAAACAAAGGAAAGAATCGTCCACACACAAGATTTATTACGATGACGTCCGCACATTATAAATTATTCACGTTGGAATTCTACGAATGAAACACAACTCAACATTTTCCGATGCCAATCCCTCAATCGAACCGAAACGACAAAAAAACCCAAAGTTTTAGGCTCTCATGGGAGGTCAGAGAATGCCAAGTGTCTGTCGCCCCACAAACCACAAGTGGCTCAAGAAAAGTCTCATCCAATATAACTTTTTTTGTGTTATCAACAAAAGAATGCTTTAACTAATGAGCACTGCCACTCACTTTGCCTCGTTTACGAAGTTATCCCCACAAATTCGTCTGATTTATGCCCCAATAATAATGCTTGGCTCGAGAAGAATGTGCAGCGAACACAAAATAACTCACTTTGGATTCGTCGCCGCATACTCATGCCCATTTCGAGCGTCCTGTTTCAGTCCGTCTCCGTTTTTCTTTGGTGTCGTACCATTTTGATTATTTTTATCTACGGTTGGCTGTAGTTTCGGCAAAGCTTGTGGTGGTTGGTTGGCCTGGAAAAGATAAAATTAAACTAAATTATAAATTTATTCCAATTTCTATTTGCGCATTTTGCAGACTAAATTTTTTTCGGTTGCACTTGTCAAAAGGCAACAATCTAACCAACTAATTAATCATTTAAACCGGTTCTCGCTGTGTTCATTAGGTCAAAACTAAAACACTTTTTCTGATTTCTTTTCAAAAGGGATTCTGAAGAGGCAATGTGGACGATTTTGAAGGATTGGAATTGCAACATAATAGAACACTCTCGAGACATTTGAGAAATTATTAAATTATTTCATGAAATGCGCTTATAAATGATCACAAATCGAACATGGTGTACTTCCTGTGGATCATTTTCAAGATTCATTTTTCAAATAGTTTTAATAATTCAACTTTCTCATTTATCGTTTTAGCTTTTAAAAACCAGGTCCCCACATTTGATCGGAAGATTTTGAAAAACGATAGGGATACTGCTGGCAGATGTTTTACGCTTTCTGCAAACTTTTTAACGAGTCGCGTAGATTGATATATTGATAATGACCAGAAACGTTCTCTGCAGAAAACATTTGTTCTTAGCATTTTTTTTTCCAAGTTTTAAACCCAAGATTTTCATTAAGATATATCAATGTTTGTGTTGTTTTTGGATTATTCAAATCCCTTTTGCGGAAATTTTATGGCTTCGCGCGAATTTCGTATTGCACTAATGATTTTTCGGAGAATGACGAAGATTCTGATCTAATCAGAAACATTGGACAAACAACATCGCCGAATCATCTTTGAGTGGGAAAATTCGCACGAGGCTTAAAGTAAACAATTATTAAAAGCCCCTTTGGTACAATTAAGAAACGTGAAAACTAGTTGAAAAAAATCAATGAGAATGGTAATGAGACTGTAGAAATGTATGAATCATGGATGTGAACAAACATTTCCAAAAATAGAAACTACTATGACAAGGACAACTACACCTGATCAAGAGAAATCGGTTTTGGAAAACTAGTGGGAAAAGTGGAATATTTAATGAGTTGTTTCTCGAATCATCGATGGAAACGCTCAAAATTCTAAAAAAAAAACTTTAAACAGTCACAAGAACAATCATCATTTTCTATTAAATGTATACTATTTTTTAATCGGGTTAGAGAGTCATTCATTGTGATCTAATTTTAAAAAATGTTTGAAAGAAAAGCTAAAATAAAAATTAGAAAAAAATTATTAATATTTTCAGTAAAGAAGTTGAAATAAGGGTAATGTGAACAAATATCAATTTACTCAAAAATTTCCAGAAAACTTCCATGCTTTCAATTTTTCCATAAATGATTTTACGATTAGTAGAATTGCATTGATTTATATTATAATTTATATTGAATTTCAAACTTCCTAGAAAAAAAATGAATGTAAAAACATTTGTTTTTTCCGAGCAAAATGACGTGAATATTTTGGAACATTTTGGTAAATATCGAATTTTCAACAAAAAAAATCGCAAAAATTGTTTCCATCGCTTACCTTCTTCTTATTATTCTTTTTCTTCCTTCGTTTGTTCTGAGTATTCGGTAAGACGACTTTCTCTCCGGGACCTCCCATTGAGAATTCAAATTGTTTCGCGGTTTACTATTCTGAAATACTGCGATTTTCATCAACGATAGAAAATGATTGGAAATTCTTGTTTCTAAACAATACTGCGCAAAAATTAGGAATTTGGGCGCGTTTTGAGCAAAAAATGGCGAAAGAATGCTCAGGAAGCAGTGGCGAAATGCGCCAATATCGATTTTGAATTTTGATTCGCAGGCAAGGCAGAGTACGGTAGGCCCGCCCACAGCTGGCGCGTTGCCAGCGTGTGCAATTATCTCCGGACTCTCTCATTTTCGCGTACTCTCTCGCTTTGCGCTTTTTATGATTATGAATTTGAAGACAAATAATACGATAATTTGTAGTTTGTAGCGCCTTCAAGATTTTTTCCCATCATTGATTATCGATTGACGCATACTTGCGAATAAGCACACGCCATTTCCGTCGCATTTCGCCACATTATCGATTTTCGAAGCATTGCTCATTTTAACCACGCGATTCTTTGTTTTCAGAAAACCAAAACTCGCAGTTAACTTAATTACGATGAGTGTAACGCTGAATCGTGGACCGCGTTTAAATCGCAAAGTTGCTGTGATGGGATACCCTTATGTTGGTAAGTGTTTTTTTATTATCAATGTTGTCATTAAATATCAATTAAATGCTAAATATTTGTGATTATGCTTTCGGAAGCTCCTCCAAGTTGATTATTAAAGATTAAATTAAAATAATTCGAATACTCTTTAAGGAATAGTTTTGAATTAAATATTTGAAAAATTATTATTCGAAGTTCGAACAAATTTTTGAAACTCTACGAAATTGTTTTGTATTATTAATGCCTATGAATTTTTTGGTAAATTAAGGTGGCGTGTAGTAATTTTTGCCGATTTGAAAGTGATATGAAATGTTTCTGAATCGGTACGACGGTTTATTCGATTATTCAAATTAAATTACAAATATTAACCAATTTTAATTGAAGAAAAGCATCAACTAAAGCATTAAAACGTTAAAGTAACTATAATAAATGAATCAATACAACAATATATTTAAACAATAAACATTATTTATCAAATATTTTATTAAACGAAATATGTTGCGTTCCGCCGCTGCAACTTCGTAATTCGGGGAAATTTGTTTTTTTTTTCGACAAACAAATATGGAATCATTGGAATTCGGGAGTTAACATCATTTTATTTCCGTTTTCTTATCACCGACATTTTTTACTGCTTTTTAAATGATAAGATTAAAATAAACATTGAATAAATTTTTTTAGCATTGAATATTTGAAATATAATTACGCAAATGATTATTAATGTACAAAAATAACATTATTTAAAACTTTAATATTGTTTTAAAAAATTTAGTGAGACGTCGACCTATCATTATGTCGTGCCCTTAAATCAACACGTTTAGTTTTACACCAAAACCGCTGTCATTGTTTTTCCTGGGCATTTAGCCAATTTTCCGAAGTTGCGGGATGTCGTCAATATATCACAAAAATCTTTCTTACAACTAAATTTAATTATTAATTATTTAATTTATAACAATGATAAGGTATTTTCCATTTATTAACAATACGGCAGTGCTTCCTTCTAAAAACCTAATTTTTGTGTTTATTTAATGTGAACTTTTCATTTTCATAATTATGTCTTTTAAGAAAAGTCATAAATTGATATTTTAAATTCTATCGATATAAAAAAAAAACACATTTTTTTAAAGAAATAGTTCTTCCAAATTGTATAAAATGCAAAATTATTTATTAAGATTCAAAAAGTTTCGAATGGGATTGCATTTCAATGTAAATTTTTGAATGAATTTGTTTAAAATTGAAAAAAAAAATGAGAGTTTAGATTTAAATAAATTGGTATTTTATTGAAAACTAAGGTATCAATATTTCGAGAAAAATTTCGAAAAAGAGGATTCTTAGTGTCAACTTGGAGGAGTTGATAGCAAAGTAAAAGATAAAGTGTTCCCCATTAAATTACACAGTAACTGAAAAGACGGCTAAATTGCATGGATAGGAGAGCAGAAAGTGTATACAAACAGCTCAATGGGAAACAAAAACTTTAAAATTTATTGAAAAGTAGTAAAAAAAAACCATGTTTGAGAGCCTCGAAAGATCGGAGAAACAAAAAAATATTCAGAATGAATGAAATTGGACGAGTGATATAATCTGATGTGTGTGTGTGCGGAAACTGACACAAAATACATTGATGAAGATATAAAATAAGAATTATTTTTAAGTTTAAAGTGTTATTTGACATGCATTCAACGAAAAGCTCATCTGATTTTATTGACCGGAATTTCAGAGCAAAATTGAAGCTCGAATAAAAAATTCCTTGCGCAGAAAAATTAAATTCGCACATTTTTGATGATTTTAATCTTTTAAACCTAAAATCGTTGGAATATGATGTCAAAAAAAAAACACTTCTCGTTCGAAATGACGTAATTTTAGAATTCGCATTACTATAATCCTAAATTATAAGTAGCATGAATAAAAATAATTTCTGGCGCACGAGGAGCGGTTACAGGCTGTGAACACCGTCTGCCAGATGTTTCTGTGAATGAAGGGTCTCGACTCTGCCAACGCACAGTCGGAGGACAGCATTGAATTCAGCTTGCATCTTTTCAGGCTGGGCCTGAGAAGACAAGGAGATTGTTGAGAATTGATAGCGATCGTCGACAATTCATGGAAACACACGGCAGACGACGTGCTCAACGCGAATGAATGAATGACTCTACGCTGAGGAGATGATTTGATTGTGATTTGTCGAAATGAATTAGATTTTCTCGCGAGTACGATAAACATTTTTCTCGGATTGAACGTGTGAAGGGTTTCGAAGAGAAATATGTACATATAATGTCTAGAAATAACGAAATATGTGTAATGCATTTTGCTAACCACAAAATAGATCTTCCAAACGAATTAGAGTTGCTTTTAATATCTTTAGCAGGTTTTTTGTATTAGAAGCTTCTTAAAGGTGTCATAATTTTGATAAAACAATCCCATTCCACTGGTTTTTTTCATAATTCTCTGGCTCTCCTTTCATGTTTTCACATTTTAAGACAGAATGCTTTTCGAATTGTTTAAGGAAATTTAATTATGTTGAAATCACCTGAAAACAGTTATAATTGCTAGGAATGAGTTTACAGAAAGTTTCACAGTTTTCAAGTGCGCTCAAACTAGTAGGGCAGGTTTTATACTTAAAACAAATCATCGCCCATATTTGTTTTTGTAATTTATGATAATTTATCTGACTACTCGTTTGCACCCAATTTTCAGAAAAATTTTAAAACATATTTTTTATTCGCCGCTTTTTCTTCCGACTAGATTCATTTGTAACATTTGCTTAATGTTAAGGAATCAAAGATAAACAATTGTTTGAATCAAGTAGAATGGATTAGAACTTGGGATTATCCAATACGATAGGAAAATGGATTTAGCTTGTTCGAACAAAATAGCGACGATAATCCCTCGAAAGCCTACTAGAATTAGGTTGATAGTTCAATCAAAACGAAATATCATTGCAATTCGACAAATCGTAGCATTCAGTGCTTGCGTGCTTTTTTTTATTTCTGGCAAGGTAGCGATCATTTCAAATTTTAAAAGTTGGAATACGCACGATTAATAAGTATCGAAATTACGCTAGGTTAATAAATTATTCGATCCTGCCATATTTAGGCTAGAATAGAATATCTTTGGCAAAAGAATTAGGTTGGGCTCGTGAATCTGAACATAATTACCCATATCTGATGAAAATTTAAATGCGGTCTCAATTTTGCGGAAACTCACTTGTTATTTTTTGTCATTTTTTTTAGAAAATATTTAAAGGATGTTTTTAGAAAGCATATAATTGAACGAACGCTATAAATCAAGAATGTGTTCACTTACGTTAGGCAAACTTTTTTGTAATAATGATGAAAAAAAATCTACACGAAAAACTGGTCCGCATTATAAAATTTGCATTAAAATGAACATGCAATTTGATTGCAATTAAAATGTCTATAAATTACGAATTAGAGTGATAGTTTGTTTTTTAATTAAACATTTTTACGAGCAAAACCCTGTCCAAATTTGTGTTTTCTTTTGCAAGTGAATTTGCTATAAAATTGACAGAATTTTGAATTAATTTTTCTTGTACAAATGATTGATTTGACATTAGATTAGTAAAATTCTCTATAATCACTTTACGCGGATTGGTAATTACACCCGCCAACAAAAAAAAGATTACCTACTTCCATCAAAAACATTAACGTTCGAATTTCAAGAACGAAACCGATTAGGATAGCAATTAATGGTACTTAGTCGACACTCGGAAACCGGAGAGTTTGATTTGCGGACAGGTGTCTTTTGATTGTTCCGAAGTATGGATTAGGCGTCGTCTAAGTACCAATCTGTTGGCTCAATCAGATTTCGAATAATAGTGAAATGGAGAAATAAAACGAAGTGTGGCGATTCAAGTCGCAAAACGCGCATGTTATTTCATCACCCGACTATTTATGAGAAAAAAATGTGGATGGTTGAGATTTTGAAAGAATTCGGTAGTAATCTCAGTTGATGCTTGTACAAACTGATATGAGAAATTGAAAAAAGAAATAGTGAAATGGGAAATATTGAGAAGTCGTTAAATAAACTGGAAAGTATAAAATATAAGTGGGTTTTCAAGGCAGTTGGTCCCCATGGAGTTTTTGATATTTCGTAACATTCAGAATTCAAAACTTGCTTGTTGGCACAGAAAAGGAACTCAAAACCCTATTGTCGTGTGAAGACTCAAAATAGACATGAATAACAATTTGGGTGGGATTGTGAGAATAGAATGACTGATATTTCGTCTAAAACGTGCAATTATGTGAATGTAAAAAAAAAGTGTGTTGGAATGATGCCAAAATAGGAAATCGATAAGACAACGCGAAGCATCGTTTTCGAAGAATTAGTGATCAATAAAATGTGTATGTGGCAAATATAATTCAACGAATTGGCTGAGAAAAAAAAAAACGAGGAGGGAATGCAACGAAACGAAGAAGACATGCAAAAAACGCACCTCGAAATAATGGTTTTAGGGAGGAATGGGTCACCAAACGAGCATCCAATTGTAGTGTTTGCGAGTCATCCGATTGTCGAAAACGCTGCAACCAGAGTATACTGTAGGTGTGTGAGAGAGCAGAACCAAGAAAATCGATAGGCGGTCAATTGTTGTTCTAGTTGGGAATTCACCTTTTGAATCAGAATCGGAGGCAATGCTGCCAACAGCAACTAGTAAAAGATGGGGGCCGAGTAATAATGAACGGTTTCATTTGACGGGCGGCACATGAATTTATGAGTCACTGAGTGACGGGCTTTGACCGTTTGGCGTCGTCGTCGTCGGCCCGCCGACAATGAAGCATGCTTTGAATGATTTCGCAATACGGAGGTGGGAAAAGAGGCGCTCGCCGCAATTGAATATGTTAAAACAAAACAAACAATTGAGAGGGAGCGAGAAGCGCGTCTAGACTTGAGAGGACGAAACCAAAAAAAAAAGAACGCGACCTTTTATGAACAATTATCGTGCCGAGACCCGCTGTATCCTTCTATGTGCGAGTGTGCGTGAAAAATGTTTAAAAAAAAAAGCAAAGCGAAATGTTTAATTTTTGCAGGAAAATCGGCGATAGTGTTACGATTTATTCAAGGATATTTTCCGGAGAAATATGAATCTACTATTGAGGATCAGCATTCGAAAAATTTCGCCCTGATGTCGAGAGATTATCACTTGCGTGTTACAGGTAACTGGAATATATGCTAAACGACCTCATCGAAAGACCACCCGGTTTATATAACATGGGGGTGGATGTGGTAGGGTATCTCGTTCGAACAGCATGTTGCGAAACAATGAATGTAGCCGCAGAAAATACGACAAATAGAGACAAATGTGTGTTTTTTTTTTGCAAGCCAAAAGGAAATTGGAATTATTGTAGCTTTAGACGCTTTCTATAGGAATAGCAGCGAAATATAAACACTCCTTTTTTTCGGATTATTCGTTTGGCTTCGATCTTGGTGTGTGTGTATACTATAGTATGATTGAGTTTAAAAAGCTAACCAAGATTGCGTGTTTTTCATCGACAAATGCACCAAAGCTCGCGTTTTTTTTCTTTTGCTGGTTATAGTGGATAAAAACAAGGCGTAAAACTTGAATAATAACGATATGGAAAACGGATAGAGAATACTTCATAATAGGGTTCTTTTTTTTTTTGAGAAATTGTGTGAACATTTTGCGAATCCACAAGCCTACAATAGTAGTTTGCGCGGTTTAATGGGGTGGTATTAAAACAATTGTGCGTTCCTTGTTGTTCTTTTGCTTTATGGAATAAGTACTTCCTATTCACCTGAAGCAAACATGTTTTGGCATGCAAAAAAATGGGAAAAAATTGTTCAAAATAGTTTTAGCGGGTCTTGTTTTGCAGATACGGCCGGACAACAGGAATACACAGTGTTTCCGAGGAGTTGCTCATTCGATATTCAGGGATTCATTTTGGTATACGCGATCGACGATAGGAGATCGTACGTTTCTTTCAAATTGAACCAGGTTCGTTATTGATTTGTTTCAGATTTGAAATGATAACGAACATTTATGAAAAGATTATTGAAGCTTATGGTGATACGAGGTATCCGATTAATGATTGCGTTCGCGTCATCACCGCGGTTTTCTTGTTTTTTCAGCATACCGATAATCATTGTCGGAAATAAAGCGGATTTGGAGAATCGTGCGGTGTCGCGAGCTGAAGGCGAAGCATTGGCACGCAAATGGAATGCGCAATTTATGGAAATAACGGCGAAAGAAGGGGTATGTTGTAGGAGTTGATAAACAGAATTAATGGGGTGGGGGGAGCGGAGACTCACGAAGCACTTGTTTGAGAAAAATCAATAAAGAGAGTGCCACAATAGGAAGAGACCTCCCGTGAGAAACAATACGCACGAAGATTTGAGAAGCAGATTATTGGGGGGGGATGACAAATGTCCAAATTCGGTTACTTCTTTGAGCACGTGAAGGAAAATGCGCTCCAACGCGACACACCGATTCAATGCGGAGACGTGAAGAATCCGTGGAGGAGAGTGTCGTCGGCGGCGCGCATTTTCGACAATAGATGTACTCGTTGGTCGAGAAGTTTTTTTTTAATGAAATTAAGAAAATTTCTTTCGCCCAAAGATTACTGTAGGTTTAATATTGAGCACATCTAAATTTTTAGATAAAAATTGAGAAGAAACCATCAAATTTTCATTTCGTTGGAATGAATGAAGTGTATTTTTCATTTTTTTTTCTTTCATTATTCATGAAATGTATATTTCTTTTTACAAAAATGCGAAAATTACATGAGATGTGCATTTTTTAAAACATTTTTTATTGCATGCATCAGAAATTTTCGATAGATATAGTTGTTCAATAGATTTCGTAGTCTAGTACAAGAAAATTGGTGTGAAAAGGCAGGCGATAAATGCATTATGGAATATACAATTTGCGCATGATTTCCATTGTTCGCATGAAATATGAAGGCATTATTAGAATTTGTGCGCGAATCCATTATAAATCGTCTCGCAATTCGACAATGTTTGCAAGGTTTTTTGCCTTCCAGCGTTTAGCCTTTTACGCTTCACAAAGTCATTTATGCGAAAATTGTGAAATTTGAAAAGAATAAATGCTGAGATTTTTCCATTCCAGTATCCTTTTTAGTTTCTTCAATTTTTGCTCAAAATGATCCCAATTTCGAAGCACTCCCGTGGGATATCGCATAGCTGAGACAGTTGAGAGATTTTTTTTTAAATATCTTCCTAACATCGAAATGTCGAAAGCTGATGAGACAAAGAGATGAAGTCTGAATTCTTGCAGGCCAAAGTGAATGAAGTATTTGAAACGATTCTTCGCGAGATAGAGATCTCGCGAGGCAACATGCAACGTCCGACGGATCATAAGAATACGTGTACGATCGTTTGAATCGGTTGTGTCTTGCACTTTTCCTTCTTCTTCTTTTTCTTTTTTTTTGTACAAACCAAGACCGTTATTGTTTTATATTCAATCGTTTTTACGATTCATAACTGCCATATAAGTTCACACTGTAAATAAATTGAGGTATAGTCCATTTCCCAGGGTACACGTGTTTCTTCTTACTTTCAAGCTGATCTCTGGGACATCGATTATATAAATATATTATATATATATGCCATATATGTATATGTATAATGTATCATTTTAGATTCATATTCGTTTCTTCCAAAGGCAGTAATTGTTTATTGTTTCTTCTTTTTTTTGTTTTTTTTTTTGGGAATTAAGACCTGAACAATGGTGTCGAAATGCTCAATTATGCCAATCCTTGTCGCCTCTAATCGTTTTTTGTTTCTCCTTTCATTTTCTCCTCTTATTTTTCCTCTTTTCTTCTTCTTTTTTTTGAGACGAACCATCCCGGAAACCAAGTGCCTTAATACTGTCCTAATCTTTCGCAACAGAAATGTTTTATCTCTCAATTTTCCTTTAAAATGACTCTTGAATGGTTTTACTATGAATTCAGGTTGTGCTATCCATTAAATTCAACACTTCTTGTAATATACAAGCTTTCAATTCATCTCTAGTCCTTGATAATTTCACTAATTCATCTATTCCGCTCTCTTCTCTTTTCATTTTTTGTTGTTGTTTTTGTTTTGTGTTGAAGGAAAATGGTGCCTAGTTACGTTTTATCATCTTTCATTCGTTTATCTTCTTTCTCTTTCCGATTACATGTGTTCTTCTTTTGTTTTGTCTTCTCAAAAACATTTGCCAAATGATGTTCTGTATAGCTTTGAGTCGTGTTCCCGGTTTTACTTCCTTTTTGAACCTGACCTTTCGCTTCTTTGCATTGTAAATATTTTCTGTTTTGTTTTAATAAAATCGTTTTCTTTTCGAAGCGAAAAAAAAACAATAATGAATTATTGAGTGTATTCAGGTTTTTCAACCGGCGATTTGTTCGTATTCAAGTTTCATCGCGAAGCGCCGATTTTTTTTTTCATTGATTTGTAGATGATGAATGCCACGTCATCGCAAGTGTTGCCAACGGAAGCGCCTAAGCAGGGTTTGTGAATTATTTTAATTGAAAATTAAAATATTAACAGAGTTTAATGAAATTGTTACAAGTTAATTATATTTATAAAAAGTTAGGAGTCAATTCATTTTTTTCTCCTCCATTGAAATTTTCTCTGCTTTGGCTTTGAAATTTGAACAAAATTGGCAGAATGATTTCAACTATAAAAATAAGACGTTTTTAAAAGAATTTTCGCATCAGAAAGGATATTCGCTATATTTTTGTAATTTTCTAACCTTTCTTGATTGATTTAATTCGTAATCCTCTTTTTACTGATTAGAAAGCGTGCACTGAAAATGTCCAAAGGAAAGCAAACAATGACAAAAAAATGAAACAGACGCACACAATTTCGGAAATCGATTGTGCGTGTTTTCGATAAAAACGGACGGGAGTGGCCGGTTGGTTCGATATGACGTGTCTTATCAATAATTTTTCGAAATGACTTCCAACATTCCTGCTATTTCATAATTATTATTTGCGAAAAAATTGTTCCATTCCACGCGTGACCCACTTTTCGAGACATTTCCCAACTGGTTTCAGAATCGCCTGTTGCCGACGGCGCCGATGTTATGAGCCGAATTCCTGGCTTGCCGAAGGTCGCCGAAGCGGTCTCCAAGTAAGTTGTGTTTGCACAAAAGAAAAACTGCGCGTTAAACAAGCGCCTCGAGATTATTGACATGAGCTGAAGAGTTTTGTATTTACAAGTTTCCGGATTGACTATGCCCCCGTCACATAGATCAACTACTCGATTTTCTCATTCTGTCCCTCCATATTTTTCGATTTTAAAATGGTATTCGGTTCGAAACGCAAAACTAGATATATTAAATACAAAACCGATGCAAAATGTCCGCTTGAAAAATGCCCTCGGTATTATTACCGTTTAAAGCGCTCAAATAATCGCGAATTATTCAGTATTGATACGGCTCAAGTTGCCGCGAAAGTCGACTCACTTAAAAAATGGGCAATTGGAACTTTGAAGAATTCAAGACAGCAGGTTTTGGAACATATGGGAAAGGTAGAATATTATCTGAAACCGATTATAGAAATATTTTCTCGTTTCAGATTGATAAGACCGTTGATCCAGAATTTGAAGCTCAGTGCGAGGCTCTAAAAGATATTCATAAAAGGTATGTTGAACTCGTACAATTAAAAATGTGAAAAGTTTTCAATTTTTAAAGCCCAAAAAACTGGATATTATAGATATGGACTTGTGGTGGCTGCTGCCAAGAACTTTAGCAATGTTCTTGCTCTTATGTCAGAAGCTGAAAAGAAACTTTCGGAGTCATTCCATCAATTGTCTGTGAAGGAAGAGCCTCTCCAGGTCAATTAACTCGAATTCATATGTGCTTTTAATTTCAACTTTTTAGAAGCATTGCACGAAAACATCTGAAACAATGCAAGGTCTCAGCGAGCAAGCAACGTCTCTTGATGCTTGCCTTCGGTATTTCATCTCATCCATGGAGACGGTTTATACTCAAACTATAACTGACACTTTGCATACTATTTATAACACCGAATCGGTAAATTCAAGCTTTCGCGTATTTTGTAGAGTATTTCGTTTTTTTCAGGCTCGAATTGAATATGATGTTGATCGAAATGAGATCAATGCGATTCAAACTCCGACTGGAGAAAATCAAGCAACTCCAAAGTCGCTTCCACCTGGTGCAACTGAACGCTGCCAGGAGAAACGCGAGCGATATGAAAAGCTCAAGGAGGATGTTCGGGTTCGCATTCCGGCCATCAGCAGTAAATTTTATTCTGATTTGCAGGTGAAGATGCGTCTTCTCGAGGAAAATCGCATCAATGTGGTGACGACTCAGCTCGAGAAGCTCCAAACCGCCCTTGCTGCTTATTATTCAGGAAATGCGAAACTTCTCGAATCATCAGTTCGCGAGATCCAAAGTATTCAAGTACCTCATCCAACATTCATTCCACATATGTAACAATGGTATATATATTTTTTAAAACAATAAGGTCACTTTAAGATACATGACCGGGTTTTTTTTTCGTCTAGGTTTTGATGGTTATTTCATTTTTTAAGCCTCAATTATTGCATAATATACATTTTTGTTGGTGGCAGATATTAATAGATGGTGTTGCATTATCTGGTTGTGAAACAGTTTTATCGCGATGATTTTATTCGAATAAATATTGCTATGAAGCCGAGTAGATAACAAATTGCGACGGTTACTGAAAGGCCGATCAAATCGGTACTAAGCATTGATGGTTTGAAATTGTATTGGTCAAGAATCTTGTCTCGATACTGGATATATATTTAAGGATAATTCGATTTTAATTGAATAAAGATAAACTTACAAAATCTGAGTAACGCGGATCTGAATGACTTGACCATTGGTTAACAACGAATCCTTCATATGCATATCTAAAAGTGAGAATCCAGATTCATGGATGATTTATTTTAAACCTCAAAAAGCTTGTCCATTGCATCCATTTTATGTACCATGGCATTTGCTCCGTGTTGCCAAACATTCCACTCATCAATGCGAAAAAGCTCACACAAGGTACTGCGATCGCAATTGACATCGCCGATGAACCAAACACGCACGAAATGAAAATTGCGAACGAAGTTGCCGATTGCTCAACGAGCACTCCTATCAATAGACATGTGAATACCTGAAAAAACATAAGATTTGCGTTAGGGGGGATCCGAGCCGCTGTCGAATTTAATTCTCTTAAGGAAATGGATTCGTTCTGACAATTACATCATTGGTAATATAGGGAATCATAGTATAACCCATAGCAAAAAAGAAAATTCCGGAAAAAAAGAAAACAACTTGACAAACACATGAAACAGGGGTTTTCTGAAGTTTAATCGGTACGCACCAAAACCCGACAATCAAATGCAATGTATGTGTTCTTAACTATAGAATCAGAATTCGATTTGTTTTCCTTTTTTATACTTTTTCCTGCATTCGAAAATGTGTAATTTTACATTTATTTCTTGCATGAATAATTCGGTAAGAGCAGTGAGTGCAGCGTCTGATTAATACCAACCTGTTCTACACTGGATGATAGACCAATCATCCAATAGATAATTAGAATTAGCAATGTTCCGTCCATGCTGTACAATGGAATATAAGAGAGGCAACGAGAAATATAGTAGCTAAAAGGTTTTATAAATTAAACTAACAAGGATTTAAAAACTAAATTGCAACAAAACCTCACGATGTAATAGAGGCCGTCATGATACTCTCTACAAATCAGAGGAAGTTCGTGCTCCAAAAAATTCATGATTCCTAAATTTATTTAAAAAAAAAAAACTAAAAATTTAATAAAATATAAAATATGTACCAAACATTGTAGAAAACGTGAGTTCGGCGAGTACAAAATAAAGAGCTGAATTTAGATTTTGAACACCTTTTCTGGTGAATGGAAGCTGAAAAACTGGATAATTTTTAATTTGTTTCTAATTAAAAGTGTTTACCTGGAAGTACAAAGTTCCGACGAATAATCCCATGACCACTCTTTGCACGATCTTTATTCTGAGTTGGCCAGGATTTCTGATAACATCGATTCCAGCACGATAAAATAAAGCACTAGTTTCTGTTAAAAATCCCATATTATCACACTTTGGCGGTAGAGCTGTTGGTGAAACATTGTTCAGGGCGGTATTCACGTCGGCGGCATAGGAACTGAAATTCGGTTTTTTTCGACATTTTACGGTAGACAAAATTCGCAATTCTGCGTAAAGTGTATGCAGACATTTTATTGCGTTCTCCAGAATGTTCCATTTTAGAATTTTTAAGTCGATTTTCTATCTTTTTTTTAAGTTATGGGAGGGGCATAGATAAAAGAATTTAAAATAATGCTATAAATATTTGGCATTTAGACAACCCGATTTTTGTTGTCCTTTTCTGTATATACAGTTTCTATGATATTTTATTGCTTTGGGGGAATACCCTTTCTCCAATATTGAAAAATTAATTTTTAGGGTACTAAAGATTTTTTAACCTTTGATTAAATAGTTCAACAATCTTTGATATTCTATTTTCGCTTTGAATTTCATTTCCAGGCTCTATTGCCAGTTTCTCCATAATCCATTCAGGTGGATTGAAACCAGGTGGAACTGGGTAACCGCACATGGCGAAAAAATCAAGTGAATCTTTTGGCGTTCCGATAAATGCACATTTACCAAGAGCTGAAAATTTTTTTTTCAAATTATTAGGATAAATTCAGGGTTACCGAGATACATAACCTTGTCAAACATGAAGTAAAGCTGTGAAGCTGGTTGATGAATAGTACAAACTACAGTTCGTCCTTCTCGAGTAATATTTAACAGGAGCTTTATTACTTTTTCAGCCATAAATGAATCTAAACCCGATGTCGGTTCATCGGCGAATAGAAGGGAAGGATTTGACAACATTTCACATGCAAATGTCAACCTTCTTGCTTCACCTCCTTGAAAAATATTGAAAATCAGCCTGATATATATGTAGTAGTGAACCTGATATTCCTTTCACTTTTCCAGGTACTCCAATTTTACTATCGCGACATTTTTCCAAATTCAAATGTGCGATTACTGTTTCTACTCTCTCTAAGCGCTCAGATTCATCCGCATCTATCCGTAGTTTTGCCTTAAATCCACTCGTCCATTTAATATTGAAATTTTAAGCGCAACCTGATTTCTTAAATATTCTTCAACAGTCAAAGTTCCAATAAAAATTTCCTGTTGTTGCGCAAATCCCGATAGAAGCGAAATATCATCTCCAACCTTCAAACAATTTAATAAATTATTAGTGTCTTTTAAAAACCTCATTTCCATTCACTGCTACGGATCCTTCAAATTCTAAACCTTTCATATTTCTAGACATCAACGCGTTTAATAGAGTCGTTTTTCCGGCTCCGCTATATTGAAATTTCTAGAAGTTTCTGCAATTCTTTAATACCTAGCTCCCATTAATGCCATAAGCTCGCCAGATTTTGCAATTCCACTGACATTATCGATAATAACTTTTTCAGTTTTATTTGTAGTAATTCTGAATATCGGATGTATTCTTGAAATATTTCATAGTCTACTTTATATTTTTCCAAGACAACGTTGTCGGCACAATCTCTCTATGGCTACTACTTTGTAATGATATTCTGACATCGTCTAAATTGCAATCGGTTGAAAATGTATAAAAGTTTAGAATACTTGAAGTTCTGCTCGATGTGGTGGTTGTCATTTCATATTCGTAAAAATACGGATTTCTCTATGCTATTTATCTTATCGTGCCACGTCCTAGCGTGAGAGGTTCAGAACGTTTCATTTTTTAATATTTTCCAAAAAAAATTTTTTGACTTCAGTCACGTGACCAATTCAATGTGATTTTATCTTTCGTTGTTTTGAACTCTCAAAGTTCCCGCCGCATGCTTGCTTTTGCTGTCTGCCGCACATGCCACATCGGTCCGCCCTTGTCTGATAGCGAGGCGCACTTCTCTTTCGCAATTCTCTTTTCTTCTTCCACCTCTATGCAATGTTCTCGCACTTTCTATTTTATTCTTAAATCACTTGTGTTTTTGTCGACGATTTCGTAACGATCGTTTCACTATATAAATAATTTTTCGTGATGCAAAAGATCAGACTAATTTATTAATTTGCTACAGAAAATGGTTCGTAGACGTACTGCTTCGCCACAAGCTTCGGCGCCGGTTCGTTCGCGTCCGGCACCATCTCCGCCACCGCAGAGATCCTCGTTCGCTGCTTCGCCACCACCACCACGGCCAGGTAAATTGATATTTCTATGTATAAGTGAAATATTGTGAGTTTTAGCGGCCGCTGCTCCAACGCCAACACCAACGGCTGCGCCAACTATGGCGCCACCAGCTGCTGCACCATCGCAGGGACCAGGACTCTTCGGACAAATGGCGGCTACTGCAGGAGGAGTTGCCATTGGATCTGCTGTGGTATGTTTTTTTTAGTTCGTCTGTATATTCGTAAAGAATAAAAGATGTTCTTTATATTGGAAAATTCTGAAACAATTTTTAATGCTAACTTAATACATATCGTATAGTTTGAAAATGCATTTCTTTTTTCTTTCCCATAAAGTGTTAAATTTGGTCGTATTTCTGGTACCAACGAAATTTTAGGGTCACGCCGTAGGAAGCATGTTTACTGGAGGAAGCAGTTCCCACTCGGAACCAGCTCAACAAGTTCAGCAAGCTGCTCCAGTTCCCCAATCTCAGGCCTACTCACAACCATGCGAGTTCGAATGGAAACAATTCATTGAGTGGTAAGTTCATTTTTTGTAAATTTAGATTATTTATTTTGACGATTTTCAGCTCGCAAAACCAATCGGACATTTCCCTCTGCAACGGATTCAACGAGGCCTTCAAGCAATGCAAGACCAGATACGCATAGATTATTAAATTATAGGCAGCCTGTTGTTTCCGCCCACAAATGTTCCTTTGGCGTTTCTTTTTTGTATTTTCGTTGATGTACGAGATTAAAAGTTTAGTAGTCATTCATTTTCGATAAAGTAGAACGAATTTGAGAATGTTTGCTCAACAACGCAAAAATAGAAAGAGTTTATCGATTTTAATCTACATAATGAATGTTTTCGGTTGGTCGAGGCGACCCATTTCATTCAGAGTGTCGAGGCCACACTTTATTGATTTCGTGTTCTGCCCGCTTGCTGTCTTTTTCATTTTTTCTGCCTTATATTTTCAGACGATGAATGCGCGTGCTTTGCATTATGTCTTCCGAATTGCGAATCGTGAGAAATCTTATGATTTCTATACGAAAGTTCTCAAAATGAAGGTGGTTGTTTTTTTTTTCAACAAAAATTTTAGATATATTCTAGAGTAAAAAAATAATAATAAAGCGTTTATGAAATTTTCTGAAATCATGTTAGCCTGATATGTGGAATACTTTAAAAATTTTGGAATCAAATTATTTAAAACCAATAATAGCTATTGATGCACAATTTTCCATAAATACATTTTGATAAGAATGGAAAAATAGGTGCTTCGACATGAAGAATTCAAAAAAGGATGCGAGGCGACTTGTAACGGACCATACGACGGGCAATGGAGCAAAACAATGATCGGATACGGAAGTGAGGATGAGCACTTTGTTCTCGAGCTCACTTACAACTACGAAGTTCACAAATATGAACTTGGAAACGATTATAGAGTATGTTTACGAATAAAATGAATGTTTACAAATAAAATTATAATTTGATTTCAAGGCGATTGTCATCGATTCAGATGAGTTGTTCGATGAGATTTCCAAGATCGATCATAGAAAATCCGGATGTGGAAGATTGGCGGTATCCGATTCGTTTATTTTTTTTTCTGAATCGCAAATCAGTATCTATACAGGTAAAAGATCCGGATGGTCATGAATTCAAAATCGGCAAGGCTGCTGGCCCTCCAAAAATTTGTCGTGTTCAAGTGAACGTGGCCGATTTGACAAAAAGCAAAAAATATTGGAACGAGGTTCTTGGGATGAAAATGATCGAGGATAAGCCAACCAGATCGATTTTGAGCTTTGGAGACAATCAGGTAAGAATATTAACTCGATTATACGCGAGAGATTTGATGTCAGTGTCAATGGGAAATTGTGCAATCGGATAAACCGATCAATCGTGGAACTGCTTTCGGAAGAATCGCGTTTTCCTGTCCAGGAAATGAAGTAATTTCTAGTTTATGATACAATTCCTCACTTTGACATTCCAGCTCCCAAAAATCCAGGAAAAGATCAAGTCTTCCGGTTATAAGATTATCAATGAGCTTATAACTCTCTCGACTCCTGGAAAAGCTGACGTCCAAGTCGTTATTCTTGCTGACCCGGTTTCAATTTTAACACGAATCATTTTAAAATAAGAATATGTTTCAGGATGATCACGAAATCTGCTTTGTCGGCGACGAGGGTTTCCGCGATTTGAGCAAAATCGATCAAGCTGCCGATGAGGCAATTCGTGCTGAAATCAAGAAAGACGACAGCGAGAAATGGTACAAATGAACCCATTTTTATTCGAATTTACTACTCGTGTGACTATTTCAATGAATTTTCATTTATATTTTATGGCGAATATCGAGCTCCTTCTCTTCTTTAGTAGAATTGTCGCTGTCGAGGTATTTGGCAACATACCAGCACGTCGGTTTTACCTTGAAATTGTTCTCAGCGGCATACTTCAAGCCCTCCTGCAAGAAATGATTGCTTTAAAAAATTTAAACCGAAATACTTTGACAAGAACTCGCGCAACTCCTTTTCCTGCTTGATCATCAGGTGTCACAGTGTGTTGAAAATCAAGAACATTATTTGGCAATTTCGCATATTGTAGGTAAGCCTTGCTTCCAGAACCTAACTTTGCTGATTATTTTTGTTGAAAATCTGAAAACGCACTAAATTTAATGAAAAATTCCGCGGCCGATTTACAATGTTGCACTTTAAGGGCCATCTAAATTTGGAAATAAAGATTTTAATCCTCAACTTTTTCTTAAATAAAAAGGAAATGAAACCAAGACTACAAATATAACTCCTGTTTTAAAAATTTTGACCATTTATTTCAAGCAAAAGAATTATTGATACAAAACATGGGCAAAAAATGATTAGAAAAGATAAAAAGGACTAGATAGGGGGCACAAAGTCGTTATACACACACAGGATTCACCCTTTTTTAGGCATCAGTTGGAGGATTATCTGCGAATCAAGGAATTTCTAGGATATTAAATGCTTTAAGCGAAGGAAGGTATAGGAATTGGTAATATTTTTTGACAATTATTAGAGATCAAAAAAGAAACAGAAAAACAAATATTACAAAAATTATTTAGATAAAATTGGCAACTCCGCGTCGATCTCCCAAATGATCAAGTGCGACATGTCACGCGGTCTGATCGTGCTCGCTTTCACTTCCGGCTCGTTCTCTTCTCCTATCCGGAAGTCGATGTAACCATCGCCACCAGAAATGATGAGCATTCGTCGAACCGACACTTCCGCCGATTCCTCTTCACCGTTTTTCGTTGCTCCTGGCACACCGAGGAAGAATTTCACACTGTCTTTGTGGCCGTGGAATGATAGTTGCGCGTGCGCAAGGTTCACGTATGGAATGAAATCATCGCTGCTTGAAGGACTTGCAGCCTAAATTCAGCTTTTGCATTTTTTTTTAAATTAATCTCCGCTAGATACCTTTTCAGAATCTGCGGGTTTCGCGTACACTCGAACTAAACCTCCGGGACCACCACCAACGGATGACTTCAAGTCTTTCGTTTCAATCTTTTTCTCAAGTTCTAAAAGAAATCAAAACCAATCAAAAAGGTGGCGGATTCTTCAGCTTACTATCAGTAAACGGAACCGATATGACGACACCAGTTCCAGTTCCGATCCACAATCGACGATTCGAAACCAGCAATGCCGTCGTTCTCATGTACGAAAAGTCAAGCTTCGAAGTGCCGAGCATTTTTGTCACGTACGGCTCGATGTCGACGTCTTGGAGATGCTCAAAAGTGTGCGCGTGGTAGAGTCGAAGAGTCGAGTCAAGACGAATCGTGATCCAAACTCCAGCACCGACCCATTGCATGTTTCGAACTTGGCTGTCTTTACGCGGATGAGCCAAGAACACTTTCTAAAATCGAGATTGGAATCACATTTTCGTAATTAAAAATCGATTCATACCACGATTTGTAAGCTCTCTGCATCGATGACAACAACGCAATTCTTGTACGTCGCCCAAATGTTGGAAGAAACAAGGCATAATGAGCGAACAGACGACGTCGCATTGCCAACGCGAAGCGAATGATATCCCTCATCGGACCATTCTCCATCTAAAATTGATGGTCTCATTTCACGATTAAAAAAAAACGTGGAAAGTTCACGTCGAATTGATTCAACCAAAAAAATAACCTACGTCTGTTTCGGTGGAAAATCGCAATTGTTCCATTGGCGAGGGCGGCGAAAATGCGGCCTTTGAAATGCACAATGCTCAACACCGCGTCCGGCATTTTGATTCGTCTCAAACATTGTTTCCAAGCAGTTACCGACGAGTGAATGTAGATGCTAAAAAAATGGAAATTGAAACATCAACGATGTGTCGACGCGTGATTTACTATTGATTTTGTCCGCCCATCCACACCGTCGGCAACGCCGTGCTCATTTGTCCGGACACCGAATCATACTTGCTCATCGCATCGCGAATGTGCGGCGGCAGAGCGGAACGCCCGCTGCTCACACGGGGCGGCTGAGACGCAGCGTCTTCTGGAAACTCATGATAATTGGTGAAGAAATGAACGAAGCACAACCAAATATGGGACGGATAGATATACGAACCAAGCATTTGACAGAAATTGAGTATTTATAAAGGGATAGTGCTCATGTGCTTATGCTGATTTTATGAAACAATTGTGTTTTTAGCAACATTTTTCTGTATAGTTAAAATTGCAAATTATAAAGGATTTTGAATGCTCTTTTTTTTAACCAAATTCCGAACACAAAAAACTGAGGCGACAATTTCAACGACGATGACGACGACACGATATTAAATAAAATAATCGAAAAACGAAACCTTTAATATTTTTCAATTTTTCCAGCGGAATCACCTTTGGAGGCTCTTCGGCAATCGCCGGCTCGTTGGTTCGCGCCAACTTTGTTTTTGCTAAAATCGAGAAAAGCCCGTTTTCTGATTTTCGAAATCACGATTAAAACAATGGGGATTTTTTTGGGAAAATAGACAAAACGGATAAAATGCAACGACATACTAATCTTGGGAGCTGCTGATGGATCAACTGGAGCAACATCGCTGACACTGACTAAATCATCGAAATTCAATAAATACTGAATCAATAAATTGTCTTACAATCTCTGGTTCGCTTTGGACTTGGCTTCATGTCATTCGAGCAATATGTCGGAACACCGTCCTCAGAATCCTCCATTTTACGAAGCTCAACCCAATCACATGCACCCAATCCAGCTCCATCAATTCCATCGGGCAATTCCTTGACTTTTCCGCCGCCAGAAATGAATTTCTTCGCATTCTCCTCAGTCATTTCGGGATCGCCTTCCATGACACCTTGACGTTGAGAAATAAAATCATGAATGAATCGACAATATCAATTCTTACCCGAAACCGCTTGAATGCATAGCAAATGACTATCGCAAGCCGCAAACGTCTCAATAATATTGTTCGGATTGTTGGCATCGAGAACGGCGACCAGCGATTTGCCTTGATTCGACGAAGCCACCCAAACCAATGAGGACGATTGCCATTCGGTCAGCTCACTCTCGCGAGCATCGAGGTTACGGGCTCGCTGAAATCAATAGAAAATCGTAGTCCAACAATTTCGAAATCAATTGCAACCTTAATTTCATCCTCAAGTTCACTGGGTGTGTTCGATTTTTTCGCTTTTTTCGCTCCCGGTGAGAAATAAACCGTTTCGCCAACAATATATTGTCCATCAGCATCTCGTCCACCTCGAAGGATTACACCAGTGGCACACCAGACTTTCAACGACGGTTCCGTATCGAGAAGTGGCCGACAACAAACCGGCACCGGTACAGATGCCACGTCAGAATCAACATTTGGCAATGACCAACCATACGCCTAGAAAAATACATGATGATAGTAGTAGTAAGAATCGGTTGAAGAGCACACCTCAATTCGGCCGTCCTCCTTCTTCACATGCTCGCGCACCAATTTATATTGTTCGCGTCTTTCAGCGGCCCTTCTTTCCGATATCCTGCAATTCTGTTCGTATTTTGCGAGCACAACATCAAAAAAGAAGTTTCAAAATTCATTTATAAATATTACTGATGGATTAATAGGAGAAAAAAAAATCAAAGAAAAACACGAACCCACAACAACAAAAGAACACAACCGTTTAAGCAACTAGCGAGTGCGTTTCGAAAACCGAAACACAATTTCACATTCAATATTACCCATGCCAAGATGATGAAGACGAATAAATGATGATGTTCGAACCCGTGCGTTAGGTCAAAAGGCATGTTGAACGATTTGGGATGAATCTATTAAAGCGTGCGAATACAAAAAAATCAATGCAATTATGATGATGATGAGTAGTAGAAGGAAGAGAAGAAGAAGAAGGGAAATCGATCACAAAACCTCACACGCACACACACAACAGTTAAGCCATTTGTTCGCAATTTCCCAGCTACGATAAATGAATCCTACAACATCTAGCGTTTTTCAAAATCAAACTAAAACTAGTTAGTCAAACTAAATTCCTACAAGCTCAAAAAATAATAATGAAAATTCTTGCAATTTTATTCGACTGACATGTCAGGGTCAAAGTACTCCATCGATCTTGCCATGTTCTTGCCACGTGCTGAATTGCGCCCACTTCGAGCAGAAGACGGCGGGGATCCAGCATCACCAAATAAACCGGAGAAGCTGAAAACGAATAAATCGATCGAATCAAAATTAGGCTCAAAACTTACAAGTCCCATATTCCTCCACCCTTTTTGGCGTTGAGATTCGCCTGTTGCTGCTGCTGAATTTTCTTGGCACGCTGCATTTCGGTCCACTTGATCGATTCCTCAAGCTCCATAAGGCGTTCCTAAAATCAAATGAGTAGTCGAATTATTGGCGAAAAAAGATCATTTTTAAGCAGCAATATCCAAATTTAAAATATTTTCCTCACCTTGTACGCATTTCTATCCATTAGAACTCTCTGCATTTCAGATCTTGTGAATCTCTTGCGCATCGCCATCGGCACGTCTTCCTGTAAAATGTTTAACTTTATGTAGTACTCCGTTTCAATTTCGAACCTCCTCCTGCTCATTTTCCTTTTCGGCGAGCTTCTGCTTCACTTGCTTGAGTTCCTCTTCAAGTTTTCCTATCTGATCGGCCATCTTCTCGCAAACCAGCTGTCTGCTATGACTTTCATCGCGAAGAATCATATTTTCACTGAAACGTTTTCAATAAATTTTAGAAATTCACTTCAAAAATTCTACCTGCTGAGCTCATCGACTTGATTGATCAAATCATTTTTGACAATATTAAGCGCATTCTTCATATCAAGAAGCTCCGAATTCTCTTTGATGAGATTCTCAACTTCCCGACCCATTCCTACAAAAAAGTATAAATGAATTTAAAGAATGTTGAATTGATTATTGAAGATAAGAGACTATTCATGCATTTTCAAGATTTCAAACAGCTTTTCAATGTTAATTTATATACTCAACAAATAAAAATGAGTGTGCGGTCAGTAAATGACCATTTTTGGATTTTTTTCTCCTGAAAAATTCTGAATGAAAAGCATGCCAAAAACCAATGTTTCTCCAATTATTATTTTTTGTGTGATTGTAGAAGCCAATATCATGCAAAAATGGAATGTTTTCAATATTTGAAATTCCTTTCGCGAGTTTTTTTCTTCAAAAGCACAAACACAACATTCAACTCACCGATGAATGTGTCATTAACTGTAAAAATAAACATTTCGTTCAATTTTGTTTGAAAGAATTTTTAAAAAATGGACAGAAATTTTCGTGCAACAAAATACAGACCGAAACCAAACCATGCATATCAATGAGCAGATGGAAAAATAAGAAAGAACGTTAAAACAGGAATATGATTAAAAAGAAATTTTTCAAAAAAAAAAAAGAAGAGACATGATTACCAAACGATTCAATGTCCGATGTGTCGTCAGCTTCTTCTCCAGCTTCTGCTCTCGACGATATCCGTCGTCGTCGTTGATAATTTTTCATGCCGAGACCGTTCCATTCCGATTCGTCATCTCAAAAAATCAAAAACACAAACTGCACAACATCGAACTCAATCAATTCGGTACAGAACAACAAAGAAATTAACGAATCCTACGAGAAGTTCGAAAGACACGAGAATAAAGGAGAGAAAAGCATGTTGACGTCACAACAAATTCCACGTATACATTTCGGCGGGAAAACGACGAAAACAGACCAACCACGACGAATAAAGGGGGAAAAGAAAGAAGTAATACAATCACAAGACATAAAATCCAAAAAAAAAGAATTACCCGCAGATGCAAATTCGGCCGGATCGACAAGATTTCCTGTGAAATTCATGAATAGAAGGCTGTTGGAAAATTAGGCAAAAAAAGGAAAGTTTCGAAAAGAGTGGTGAATTGTGCTCGTGATTTTCCCAAAACCAAAAAAAAATCGAAACCCCGATTAAAGAAAATTAGACAGGATAAGTGTGCAATTCTGTTTGTGATCAACGACACTTACATTAATCGAAATGTGACAATAGGATTAATAATATTTTCAAATATTCGATAAAAGTAATTGACAAAAAAATAGGAGAAGCATTGAGAATAATTTTAAAAAAATACATACCGGTGAGGTCGGCTCCAAGCAAATCGTCGGCGGCTTTCGGCTCTCTGAAATTCACTTTTAGATATTTTTCTATTTTACAATTTCATTATTTTTATAATTCGCTATAAAACGTTTCAATTAAAATAGTCGTTCATTTCAACTAAATAATTCATAAAACTCACCGTGCACTTTCTTCTTCTTCTTCTTCTCCTTCTTCTTCCTCTGATGGCTTCGGAGCTTCAGGCGCTTCCGTTTTTGGTGTCGCTGCTTTCGTCTCAACAGACGTGGAAGCCTGTGGCGCTTGCTGAAGCAGAAAATTGGCATAACCCGAAAATGAATTTGTCAACAAACCTCTTGAATGATGGGATCTCTCGGCGAAGGCTCGACATCCGAAGTAAATTCATCCTGCCAGTCTGAAAATGCTTCAATTAGTCGCAAATGTCGGCATGAATTTACCAATTAAATAGAAATGGGTCATCATTGTTGGTTAGTTGGGTGTCGGTTAGTTGGGAAAATTGAAAAGCTACTAATTCGAAAAATAAATGGAAATTTTCAGTTGAAAAAATGGGTCACGCGAAATATTGGGGAAAACCCAATTCAAAAAATCAAACCTTCATTGGAAATGTGATCAGCCAGATTCACATCCATCGTCGTTGATTGTGTCATATGCGCAGATATCAAATCGGACACTCCGCGAATAGTCGAAGCATCAACAGAAGCCGTCATTCCCATTCTGAATCAAGATTCTAGATTATTCAATTCGAATTTGGCCCAGCCGGGTCCCATTCCCATGCGTATTTTTATCAAACAAAGACAGGTCATGAAAAAAAAAAACTGAATTATGATAGATTTCGTGATGGCAAAAGGAAAACGAAAAATAAAAACCAATGAAATGAACGCATTCAAACTTACGATGGGGTCACTTCACTATTATACAAACGGTGTGACAGCGGAAACCAACTACAACAATAACACGTAGATCAAATTTAAGCTCATTGCTCATATTCCATGCCATAAAAGAGCAAAAGCGTTAAATATGCACGGAATCTCGCCGACAAACACTCTCACAATATTCAAAAAAACACGCGATTAATTCATCACTTTAAAACAATAAAGATTGAAGAAAAAAAAACAAATGTAAAAACTAACTTGTTACGCAACTGTAGATTCGGCAGCGGCATATTCTGCATCAATTCGAACTTTTCTGTTCCCATCAAATATTTAGTTCTCTCCATATGGTCCACATGTGTTCGGAGAAGAGTGTTATATCTGAATTAAAACATTTGAAAAATTAAAATTTTAGCAATTCGTTTGCTCTGTGATTTTTTGTCATTGTTGGATACGCTACTTTGAACACATATCAACAATAGTTACAGTAATCAATTAAATTTCGAACGTGTTAGGCATTTAAGTTAATTTTCTGAAAAAAAAACAATGAAATTTTTATTTATTATTTTTGACGATCACTTTGACTAATTGTGGGGTCCATCGCACATTTTCAAGGTGGTGATTCAAATTTGAATTTAAACAGTGGGAATTTGGATGCCGTACTAACTCACCTTTCATGCAATCTATCGAACTCAAGCTTTTGTTCAGCTTCACGTTCTTCTAATCTCGCCGCATGATCGGTTGCGTTTTTCGCTTTCAATTCAAGCATTCTCATAATCGATTCGAGCGATTCGATTTTCTTATCTAATTCCTTGTTTTGAGCGACTAAACTGTCTTCAATTTCAATATATTTCTGAAAAATAATTAACAATCAAACGCATTTCTAAATGGAAAACCTGTTCAGTCTGTTTCCTCAACTGCTTCTCGCGCTCATATTGCGTCTGGAGTTGCTCATTGTCTTCTTTGAGCATCTCAAGCTCAGCAACTTGTTCGTCTCGCTCAAGATATGCAAGGTCCAATGACTCGAGAACGTTTACCACAAGCGGCATGAGGGTCTACAACACGAGAAAATTGTCAAAAACACATGTCACTATTTATCTGTCTCTCTCTCTCTCTTTTTTAATTTTGCATAATCCGCGTTACAATTAAAATCAATACCATACTCATAGGTGTGTGTCAATATTTCATTTCGATTTTAGGTAATTCTCGCATTTTGTTTAGATATGTTTCGATTATTTTGATTTGATGAACTTTCAAGGGGGACAAAATTAACTGGAAAACAAGTTTCTGAAGTAAACATTTCACTAAAGTTCAAAGAACACTCAAACAGTCATTTTTGAGCTCTATTGTAAACCGTATGTAAATAATACACATTAAATCTAATTTTTTTTTTACATTTTTTGTAAAATACAACATTAAATGAATTTGTCCAAATGTATTCCATGGACAGAAAGATTAAAAAAAAAGGAAAAATTGTTTTATTCGTTGATTTCCAAGAGTCATCCCAATTTAGAATGATCAAAACGTTATTTTACGCAAAACTAGTGGATCAAAAACAGGTTTGTCTATTAGAAGCAGAATCAAATTACTATTTAAAATTTTTTCTCTCGTTTAATGAGACTGCTGACAGCGCTCAATCAATGCTTGACAAAAAATACGCACCTTGACACCCTGTTCTCCATATTCTTTGATCATCATCTCGAGTTCGCGATAAATCGCCGAGGCCATCGTTTGGACTTTGTCAGACATTGTTCGATGCTCATCCGGCGAGCCGCTCCCACCGTACACGATCTGCGACAATTTTTCGCCCATTAGCAAACGGTGTTGCATGTGAGAAAAGGGGAGGAGAGTGGCCGCCTGCCTGCCAGCCAGCCGCCACGGCCAATCAATCAATAATAATGAGTGTTGCTGACTGGGCGTGTCCCAAGATCACAAAAAAACGATAACGGTCGAGTGGCGCGGGCCAGCAGCAGCAGCAGCAATCACCTATCTTTTTTTTCGCCCCGTGGAACCTTACCTCGCTCGGTGTGCTGCTGCTGATCGAGTCCTGCATCTCGTTGACCGGCGACAGATTTCCCGCCATGTTCAGTTGCACACGTTTCAGGAATCAATGTAGCATCGATCTGTGATGAGTCAGCGATGAGTAACGACAGTAAGCGACGAAAAGATGCCCCGCGTGGTTTTTGCAATTCCACGCAAATATTTGGTGCGCTGGTGGCGAGAGAACGAGAGCGATGTGGATGACGGCAATTGGAGGCAACACAAAAGACGAGGCAAACGAAGAGGGAGAGAACGCGAAAAATCGATAGGATGCCCGGTGGCGGCGGCTGGCTGGATGGAGATTCGCGACGAACAGACGACAACCATCTGGAGGCGAAATGGAGGCGAGGCATCTGGAGGCGTCGAGTGCGTTTCGCAACACTTTCAATGGTCCCAACACGTTTTAAGTGGATTATAGGGGCATCGTTTAAGAATCCGTCAAAACAAAAGCATTTATGGCTCAACAAGTGTGGGCTTCAAATAAACGTCCAAAAAGAAATCTTTCGCATTATTTTATTCCACGAAATTATTTACTTTGCGGTTTGGTTAAATACTATTAAAAAATGGAAATTTAATCTATAAATTGCTATATAAGAAAACAAATCCCATATTATGCAATAAAAAATAAAAAATGTTTTTCCAAACCATGAATGTAAAAAATGAAAATTTAACGAAAAATTCTAAATTTTTTGTAAAACAAAAATACATTTCATGGATAGGTCCAAAAGAAGATATTGTGTTTCCACAACTTCAGAAACATCTTACTCTAATAAATTCCGGTCGCAAACGATGTTTCGAGGTCATACTCGCTTTATAATTATAGTAATTAGTGGGATTAAATGAGGCGACGTAGTCCGTAATAATACGGATTTTTACATCGAAAACATTTTGTATGATCTCGCGGAAGTTTTTGCAATGCTATTTGATAAACATTCTCCATTAGTGTGACGCAGTCAAGTGATAATTATAATTTCCCTCCTGGGAAAAATAAACAACAATCGTTTACGACAATGATAACAACAATGCACAAGAACTTCAACAACAAATGCAATCTCATAAATTTTTAAACAGAATTTCGAATGTTTCTTTCAATTTGATTGAAAGCCACCAACTTCATTCAATTTCCGAAATTTCACGCCTAGATTTTTTTCCTACCGTTATACATATTTAAAAACTGGCAAAAAATATACAAATTTTTATATTTCAAAAAAAAGAAACACAAATTGGCCACAAACAAACAGTTATACGCAATTTTGCGCGAAGGACATCTCACAAGGGCAATGTCTACCGTATCACACGAAATATTCATTTCCATTAAAACAATTTAAGCATTCTTCTTTTCGCGATTTCTCATCATCTGATCGTTGACCATAGCATTTGGAACGAACTTAATCTTTCTCTTCAATTTGATCTTCGTTATCTCTTTCATCATGTTCTCGTCTAAAACCTCAAGTTGAAAACAAAGAAAATCTAAACAAAGCGAACTCGGCGGTAGGCAAATATTTTTTGTGGCGCTGTTGTGCACCATAAACACGATGATGAAACCGATAATAACAACGACCAAAGCAATTGCCATTAGAAGGGCAAAATGCATCATTTCCACCTTGAACGGTATTATCAATCGGGGTAAGAAGATTTCCGAAAATCCCATTTTTGCACCAAACCGCTTTTCTCTGATCGATTATTCAAAAATGACACCGATGAACTCGATAAAATGAACACGTCAATATCAAGACAATATTACAAACATGTGAGTTCTTTCTCAATCATTTTATGTTTCTCATTTACGATGCCGCTAAAAGCATATTCCTAGCAGTTGTTCAAATTGAGCCGAAGTAAATGGCTGACATATTCCAAATTGCAGTTTTCCGGGTTGTCAGATCACCAATTTATACATATTTAAAGAAAAACGAATGTTGATTTATTACCCAAAAATAACAACAACAGACTCATATGTATAATTTAACGAGCTCTTCTCCAACAGCAGCTGGTGGAAGAATACCAAGATCCGTGATAAGAAGATTCAAATACTGAAAATAGGAACTAGCTTGAATTAAAAAAAAAGAAAAAATACCTGCGGTGGAGTATAATCGACTTCAGGATGCTCAACATTCAAATCTTTGTTCTCTATAACCGATGTTCGATATTTAAACTCTTTGGGGATGTCAGCTTGATTAAGAGGATATTCTTTGACAAATTTAATACTTTCAGCCATCACAAATACCGGAACATTCATCGTTTTAGCAACAATTGCAACATTTAACGTTCCAATCTGAAAAAAATGTGTGAGAAAATAAAAATAATACTCAATATGAACCTTATTGATAATTCCACCGGTTTCCATGACACCTTCTGCACCAACAACAACCATCTGCATTCGTTCCATTATATATCTGAAATAAATCATTTGGCATTATTAAATATTACTTGATGAGTTTACCCGACACAACTGTCCAGAATCAAAGTAGTTTGAATTCCCAACTTCTTCAGTTCTTCAAACATTCGCTTGCCAGAAGCATCTGGTTGTGATTCGGTCACCCATACATGGAATTTCACTCCCGAACTTTGCGCATCTCTCATAGCTTCCAAAATTACTTTACTATAAGAGTGTGTCAAAATATTCTGCAAGTAAAAATGCTTTGCTTCGAATTTTTGAAGAATTATAAAACATTCTTACAATATTGTTTCGAAAGAAGGGCCTGGAATATTTTGAAATTAAAGATCTAGAACGGCTGACACGCTCAATAAAGCTACATCCTCGTTTTCGGTAATATTCAAGTAATTTTGAAAAATCGGCTTGATCCAGAAGATCTGCTGGCGCGAGCGAAATGAACCTTTAAATTTTGATTAAAATTCCAAAGACTATAATTTCGAAACCTTCTGAACAGATCTGTAGCACTTCTAATCGATGTTGAGCTATAATCCGTCTTCTGCATTGCTTGTACAACACCTTCAAGCTCTTTTTGAAGTTCCGTTACTGTTGTCGCTTGGCTTTTATCCAAAACATCGTGAAGTATTTCAATAGCAGCCAAACTTGCCGATTTATTTGGATTTTGTTCAAGCGTCTTACAAAAAGATTTCATAAAATCTGGAGCAGACACCATCCTGTAATGAAAATTTGAAATGAATTATCCGGAAAAAATAACTGAAAAAAATTCATTGGTCCGCAAACACTGACCGCTTATCGTGCACCCATTTTTCGGAAAAAATCGAAGGAGCGCATTTGCTTCAAAATATCGATATTTTCTCATTTTCGGGTGCAATTTAATTAGCTTTCTCAGATATTCTGCATGAGCAATCGAAAAAAGGTTCTTGACCTGTATCGGCAAATCCTGAAGCTTGGAAAGAACTGGAAAGCGAAGGACGAGAGTCGAACAGCGTTAGAGCGACAGGAAATATTAGCAGAGGCTCGTTCAAAATTCCGCGAATTCCAAAAGGTACAAATTTCGTCCGAGAAATTCTTTTCACATTTCAGAGTCGTTATAGGAAACTGATCAAATTGCTATCGGGAAACTGATTTATCGCGCAGAGCAGCGAATTGTTCAGGCGGAACATTATGGAATCCCATATGAGAGACCCGAATACCTTCCTCCTGAAACCGCTTATAGTAATTCATTTTTTTTCCGGAATCTTAGCAATGTGATTATTGTATTCAGATGTCCATAGCGTCAAACAAAACTTCCAGCGAATGTCAAGAAAACGAAAAACTGAATGAGAAATTGATTTCACAGTTTTCAAGATTCTATTTGTCTTCTACAAAAATTCCGCCTACATTTTTAAACCAAATTTTACAGAAATGTTTTGAAAATGATCAGTTTTTAAGTTTGATTAGCAATAGTTTAGTAGAATCAGCTAGTTTTAAAATTCGTAAAAGTTACCAACAAAATGTTATCAAAACGATCATCTCAAAACTGGAAAAAGAGCAAATTTCTGTCCCGGATGTTCTATACGATCAATTAGGGTATTTGATGGGTCAGAAAGAAGACGAAATGGTAGAACGGGTTAGTTCTGATTAGTAGAAAAATCATAAATTGTTCAATTCTAGGTATATCTTCATTCGCATACACGAAAAGTTCTGGCGAAATTCAAAGAATCCGTTAATCAATTGTCGAAGGGAACAACTGGCCTATCCGTTTGGCAAGCTTCTTGCGATTTGGCAAACGTATCAAGAATTCTGCCGTTCGAAAATTCGCGCATTTTGGAGCTGGGTGCTGGTTGTGGGGTTTCTGGAATTGCAATTTCCTCAATGTATCCGAATTCGACCGTTTTTCTAACGGATTATGATGAAAATGTGCTCAATTTATTGCAAGAAAATGTGGAACTCAATAATTTGAAGGTATTGATGCATTTTTCATTTTAATGTATTCAATTCACAAATTAAGAATGCCCATGTGAAGTCAATCGATTGGTGTAACTTCAATGAATCGGATTGGATGGGAACCGAACCATTTGACTTTGTTATAGCTGCCGATGTTGTCTATGACACAACTCTTTTGCCAGATCTATGTTGTGTGGTGAAATGGTTTTTGAAGAATTCCAAAAATCAATCCGCTGCAATTATTGCATGCACTTTGCGGAATCCAGAGAGTTTGGAATGTTTCGAGAAAAACATTAGTGAGTACTGTGAATAATTCAACTCTCAATCTCATTTTTTCTTCTAGAAAATGCTGACCTTCGAATTGTGGAGAAATTCTCGTATCAAGACGAATGTTTTAATGATATGATATCTGACTCCTCTAAAGTATTTTTTGAATCCACTTTTCCATTTTCATCAACCATTCAAACTCCCACAATATTCTATAATTTACAGTACATAGATAATATTTAGATTTTCATTGATTCTTGTTGACCCATAAATTTTTTGGTTATTTTCTCCCTTCAACAACTCGTATCGTTTCATCTTCGTTATATCTAACCTTCTGTAATCCATCTTATACAGAATTATTAACAATTCCAGAATGGCCTCATCTCCATCGACTCCGGTTAGCCGAACTGAAATCGAGAATACGTTCGCCGCAATGTGTAGCGATGATAAGCCGCAATTAGTGAAACTCGACCAGCTCAAGCTTGTTCTTCGTGCTCTTGGATATGATCCAAGAAACTCGACAGTTCAGGAAATCGCCAAACGAATCAGGGATGGAAGATCGAAGTTGATGGGATGGCATGGAGGTAGATAAATGTATTTGGAGTGATTTTAGCATTCATACACTTACAGAAGAGGATTTTATGGATGCCAACGAACTCTGGAATGCACTTCAGAAGAGCGACAAGGAGCCTGAAGACAAAGTGACCGCTGAGATGCGTTCGGCATTCAAATTGTTCGATCAGGAAGGAAAAGGCTACATCACTATTGAGAATCTCAAAATGGTAGAATCCGCTCGTTTTCGATTCATTTTTAATATCTCATGTCAGGTGGCTCGTGAGCTCGGCGAGTCGATGCTCGATTCCGAACTTGACGAGATGATTCGTGAGGCCGCTGGAGGTTCATCAACTACCGTCAATGAGGAGCAGTTCTTCGAAATTATGAAGAAAACCTGCCTTTACTAATTTTACAAAAAATGTACAAATTTTGCTTATTTGATCTCTGTCCCATAGAATCTCATTTGATTTCCTCATATCACTATTACTACCACTTCCAAATCAAAAATTTCGATTTTAGAACGTCAGACGAATTTTTTCTCAAATTCGATTATTATGCGTAAAGAAAAATTTGTTTTTTTTTTTATTTAATTTTATTTATTTATTAAAAAAATTGGATCCAATCGAACCCGTTTTGCTACAATTAAAGTTGGCAAAAAATATAATTTACAATATATACAATTTAATAAATTAGAGTGATCAATTAGTCGACTTCTTCGATGGTTGGACCATTTCCACCGGGGTAGTTGGCACTCGAGAATCCTGATGATTGAGCATTTCCGCAGTTGGCCGAAGCTCCGCCATTCTGGTGAAGCTTCGCCATGATTGACTGGCTGATCTGCTTGAGTTCGTGTTCCTTGGCCTCAATCTCCTCCTTCTCAGCCAAAGTGTTCGATTCCATCCAGCGGATTGTTTCGTCGCAGGCTTCGCGGGCTCGTTGTACGTCTTCTGGACTCAAGCGGCTTCCGTGTTCATCGAGAGCCTGCTTGCACTGGAATGCGTACGCCTCGAGTTGGTTTCTGGCGGCGACGCGTTGTCGTTGAGCCTCATCCTCCTGCTCGAACTGCTTCGCTTCGTTCACCATTCGGTCGATCTCCGCTTGCGACAATCGGCCCTTCTCGTTCTTGATCGTGATTTTGTTCGACTTGCCGGTCGACTTGTCGACTGCCGAGACATTCAAGATTCCGTTCGCATCGATGTCAAACGTGACGTCGATCTGAGGCACTCCACGTGGTGCTGGCGGGATTCCGGAAAGTTCGAAGGTGCCGAGACGATGATTGTCACGAGTCATCGCACGTTCTCCTTCGAACACTTGGATCGAGACACCTGGTTGATTGTCGGCATACGTCGTGAATGTCTTCGTTGCCTTTGTCGGAATCGTGGTGTTACGATCGATGAGATTCGTCATAACGCCTCCAGCAGTCTCGATTCCAAGGCTCAGTGGGGCGACGTCAACGAGAAGCACATCCTTGATCGAGTTGTCTTTGACTCCGGAGAGAACTGCCGCTTGAACAGCAGCTCCGTAGGCAACAGCTTCATCCGGATTGATCGAGCAGTTCAATTCCTTTCCATTGAAGAAGTCCTTGAGGAGTTTCTGGATCTTTGGAACTCGAGTTGATCCCCCGACCAGAACGACTTCGTCGATTCGAGACTTGTCCAACTTGGCATCACGAAGCGCCTTCTCGACCGGTTCCAACGTCTTCCGGAAGAGATCCGCACAAAGCTCTTCGAACCGAGCACGGGTGACCTTCGAGTAGAAGTCGGTTCCCTCGTGGAGCGAATCGATCTCAATTGTCGCTTCCGATGAGCTGGACAACGTTCTCTTGGCACGTTCGCACGCAGTTCGGAGACGTCGAAGAGCACGAGGATTCTCTGCAAAAACAATTATTGTTAATCATTTGAAATTGATCACCAATCCACTTACTTGTTATATCTTTTCCAGTCTTGCGTTTGAATTCAGCGACGAGATGTTGAAGCATTCGCTGATCAAAGTCTTCTCCTCCCAAATGAGTGTCTCCGGCCGTCGATTTGACTTCGAAGATCGATCCTTCGGCAATCGTGAGAACCGAAACATCGAATGTGCCACCTCCCAAATCGAAGATGAGCACATTCTTCTCATCCTTGATATTCTTGTCGAGACCATAGGCAAGAGCAGCTGCAGTTGGCTCATTGATGATGCGAATCGCGTTGAGACCCGCAATCGTCGCCGCGTCTTTTGTCGCCTGACGTTGACTGTCGTTGAAGTAGGCCGGAACTGTGATGACCGCATCCTTGACTGTCTTGCCGAGATACGTCTCTGCAGTTTCCTTCATCTTCTGTAGCACCATCGCCGAGATCTCTTCGGGATTGAACTGGCGACGTTCCGACTTCACTTCCACCTCAACCACCGGTTTTCCGTTCTTGTTCTTCACGGCGAACGGGAAATGGCGCATATCGGCCTGAACAGTCGGATCGTCGAATCGGCGTCCGATCAATCGCTTCGCGTCGAACACAGTGTTCTCGGGATTCCTGGCAGCTTGATCTTTTGCCGCGTCTCCGACAAGCCGTTCTGATTCGGTGAACGCCACATAAGACGGCGTCGTCTTGTTTCCTTCAGAATTGGCAAGGATTTCCACCTGAAAACCGAATGAAATTAGAACCAAAAACTAGAGACATTAAAAAAAACAACGTACCTTTCCATTCTGATATACTCCGACGCATGAATACGTAGTACCGAGGTCGATACCAATAGTGTTGCACGATGACATGATTTGTGTAGAGCACAGTTGAATATTAGATTATTCAAATAGGTTGGCGATCTGCCGCAAACCGGCTCCTTATATACCCAACAGCCGTCATTCTGGGACCTTCTACATCATTCGCGAACCATCTCGATTCTTCTCTTCTCTGCACTCTCTTCTCCACGCGAATTTTCTAAGTTGTCTCGTCGTCTCGCCACCTCTCATCGTCGCGTGTTCTCTCATTTCTTCTACAATTCGAGAAGAGCCTGGAATTTTCTGGAAACATGAGCCATCGGGGCGGGGCCTGTTTGAAATGTTTTCTACTGTGATTCATTTACTTGTCGAATGTGCGATCGTACGAGCTATTGAAAAACAATTTCAATGACGGAATTGGTGTAGTGACTAGAAGTAGTTCGATCTATTCGAACTGTAGCATAGTCAAAACTTGTTAGACCGTTAAATGATTCATGAATGATTACTTTATGGTATATTGAGAAATTTGGGAACATTGGGAATAGACATATTAGGCGTTTTGCGCCCAATAACCTTTTTTTAATCACACGGATACGATTGAAACGAAAAAATATTTATGTTATTCAATTAAATTTGCATTGGGAGTTAAGTATATACAATATTATTTGACGAGCCAATATATTAAATCTGCGTTTAGATTCTGAATCTCATCAAACTCTTTCTCCTCTTCTTCTTTTCTTCTCCCTTAATAGCTGCTTCATCAGCAGAAGGCGATGATAAGCTAAAAGTTTCGGTTGCGTAGGAGCTTCGAATATGCGGTGGCACCATTCTAAATGTTTGTTTCATTTTGAAATTTCATTACTCCTCACTTATTCCTTTCCGCCAATTCGTTCAATCGTTCTCTATTAGTTTCGCCTGGTGTGAATGGAGCTTTAAATTTAACACTGTGCGGCGTTGAAGCGCATTCCGATCGGGATGAAGACCGCAAAATCGAGTTGCGCGGTGCCGAATCAGGAGCGAATGATTCACGCCTCACTGACGACATATTCTGCTCATACATAATGTTTTTTAATTCAAAGTTGTTTTCGTATTACCGTTATTCTCAAACCGGGCGGCATAGATTCGCGTTGCTCCATTGATTCTTCACAGTTGGAAAACACCGCCTTTTTGGGGCTCTCGTTCAAATATTTAAGCGATTCATCAACAAGATTCTGCAGTTTCTCGTCTTCCTCGAACTGAGTCAAAGTGTTTTCCTTGTCATTATCCTAAAAATTGAAACGTTCAGTGAATCTTTGCATTATATACAATTACTCCAAGACGGATTTGCATCGAATGCATTCTTTTCCTCAAATCTTCGAGCTCTTCTTCCAAACACATTTTCTCATTTGCGAGCTTTCTCATTGTTTCTTCCGATGAAGCAAGCGTTTCCTAAATTAAAAACGGTAAGAATACAAATGCGTTGAGAAACAAACCTGCAAAACTTCCAATTCGACCGTCAGATCATTTATTTTCTCAGCGTGTTCCTTTTTCAAGCTTTCGCATTTCTCATCAAGTATTCTGCTCGATTCCATGAATTTATTTTCGTAGTTTTTCTGGAAAACCGTTGGTTAATCTTTGTTCGATAAAAAAAACCATCAATTACCACTTTCTCTTCCAGTTTCGCAATCATTTCGGACGAGCTTTCTTCAGACCTCTTTCTCAATTTCTTTTCAGTGTCGAGCATTTTGGAAATATCCTCAAACTAAAAAAAAAAAGTTAATTTCGCAATTATAGATTTTACAATTACACACCTGTTGATTCAGAGTTGCAACATTAGCTTCTTTCGACGACAGATTCACTTCAAGTAGCTCAATTTTCCGTTTAGCGGCTTCCAAACACGACACCACGCTTGTGAAGTTTTCGTTTTGCTGAAATTCAACTCTTTATATCTAATCAAACAACCAATTAAACTTCATGATTCTTAACCGTCGCCATGAGACCAGATTGATCAATAGAATCCAAAACTTCCTTCAGCTTCAGTTTCTCAGTTTTAAGCCCATCGAGCTCTATTTTTAAGCGCTCAACTGTCATTTGAGCCATTTTAGTTCGCTCAATTTCTGCTTGCACAGCCGCGATTCGATCTTTTTTCTCTTCCTCGAGCTGCTTTTGCAATCCATCTTGCAATGATTTTGAATTTTCTTCCGAGAGCATTAGTTTCTTAATTGATGATGAAAATTTGAAAATAATTGTGCAAATTACCTGTTGCAGCATCTCCAACTCCATTTGTAAGCCATTCACTTTCTCCGTAAGCGATTGTCGCTCCATATGCGCTGTAGAGCATTCCATGTTCAATCTTCCCACCTCAATTTGACTTCGATGCAGTTCGGCATTCCCTTCAGCAATTGAATTCATCAGTTCGCTAATTTTAGAATTCGATTTCTACAAAAACAAGCTTTTCCATAAGACTTATGGATTAAATCGAAATTACCTCCATGTCGGTATAATGAAGATCTCTAACATCTCTCAACTCAAGCATCAATTGCTCATTTTCCTTTTGAAGCAACGCATGCGCAGAATTCGCTTGCGCGTTCATATTTTCAGCAGCTTCTAATTGGTTCATCAAAGTTAAAATCTAGAATACAAGATTAGATTTTTTTAAACGAAAACCCTATTTGAATTACATTTTGTCGAGCTTCATTGAATGATTTCGCCAACTTTTCGGTCTCCATTGATTTCGTTTTTAACCGGTTTTCGAGATCTTCGATTATTTCTTCATTGCTCGCAACATCATTCTTTCTGTCAGCGATATTTGAGCGTAAATCGCTAATTCTAAAATAATTTAGCAACAATTATTATTCAAATTCGAAATAAATCTCCTCACGTGTTTTTTAATTGAAGATTTTCCGCCAAAAGATTGGAATTTTCCAAAGTAGCGTCATCCAACTTGATTTCGGTATCTGCGAGTCTCTTTTTCAACCTCGTCATTTCACGTTCCGCTCTCAAATACTTCATCGTCGGCGAATCAACAGCATCGACGACCGGACTGCGACGTGATGTGCTGCAAACAGTCCTCATCCGATGTGTCGAGCTTGCCGGTGTTGTGAAAATATCACGATGAAGAGTAGCTGAAAATATATGAAAAAAAAAACTTGGAAAAATTGAACACTCAATTACTTCTTCTCGATGTCGGCGTCGTAATCGACAAAGTTGGCTCCTCGTCTATCTCCTGCCTAAGAATGGTCCACCATCCATCAACGGTCTCATTTTCATAAAGTTTGTCGAAATGGGCAAACTGAAAAATAAAAGAACAGCAGTTTATCCATTTTGAGTTGATTATACCATCTGCAAAATAGCATCAATTCTGAATGCGCTGCTAGTTGAGCAATTTTCGAGAAGTTTCGTCAATATCTCTTTGTTGTCTTTTCTCATATGTTCGAGGAAAAGCGCATAAAACTAAAAAAAAACATAATTAAAAAGGAATGAATAGCTTATGAAAAACCTTGCAAATCTCCATTAAATCACCGTCTGCTGCTTTCGAAACGTTCAATTCCTCGGTCATCGCTGAATTTGTATGCCGAAGCTTTTTGCACAGAACATTATAAAACATTGAACTTGATTCAAAGTCAGTCACATCACATTCCCTAAATGAAATAATAATGACGAAATAAATAGAAACTTTAACTTACAATAAACTGGACACAATACGGCCATGTTCTTTCCATAATTGCGCGAGTGAATCTACTTTTTCGAGATTTGATTTCGATGCAATATAGTTGGTAAAATGCAAAAAAGACGAGAGAATCGCTGAATCAACCACTTCCATCTGAAAAAACTAAAATATTAAAAAAAATCAGACATATGAATAGCACTCGGAAATATCATCGGCTTCGACAAAACGATGACAAATTTTGGTAGAAAAAGTGGAGTAAAACGGAATCTGCATTGGTCCAAGCAACAACACAGTGTTGCCTGAACTTCTTGCCAAAAAAAAAACACATTTTTCGTGTTTCAACCGACAGGTTTGCTGAGACTATAAAAACCACTGAACATGTAAAATTCTAAACAAAAATGGCGCCAGTACTTCTATTGATATTTTTAAATCACCCTCAAAAATTTAAACAACGCGCTATTACGATAGGGCGCATTTGCATCTACTACGGGGCCGCATCGGCAATTTCCGCAGATTATCAATATCGCGATAAGCTGACGCCTATTTCTTATGGTCCTATTCATGAAATATATTTTTTTTCAAAAAATTATTTTTTCTTTCATTATTTCACTGCAATAAATCAATTAGCAAAGATCAAGTCTTCCGCCAAAAAGTTTCAGTTGGTTTCCTAAGAAATAACTAATTTTTTCTTAATTTTTTTTTTCTTGATAGTTGTTTAAAAAAAATATTTTTGAGTTTTTTTGAGAACATCGATATCCGGGAAATTTGTTTAATTTTTTACTAAAGAGTATAGCAACATGGCGAAAGCCATGCGCTCAAACATTTTTCGCAATCATAAACTCACAGAAGATAGAAAATTGACTGTGTATTTTGATTGAATCAACAAAAATAAAAAAATAAATACAAATATATCAATAGTAAAAAGTTAAAACCGTTTCAAGGAACACGAATTGCATATAAATATGTGATATTTGACATAATACAGAAATTTGAATTAATAATTATAAAATTTTAAGTACATCTTTAAGAAAATATTTCTTGTTTTAATAGAGTCCACAGGTTCGCAGATTATCTCGAACAATAATATCAGCGACCGCATCGAGCACAAATCGAATATTATCCGTGTCCGTGGCGCAAGTGAAATGAGTGTAAATCTCCTATAAACAATATTCGATGATTAATTTTAAAAAATTTTGCCGACGTCGCGCGATTGTGGTGAATTGGCTAAATGCCAAAACAAATGTAGGTGGCCTTGATGTAATGCTGTAAGCGAACTTCAACGCATTTTTTAGGTAAGCGTAAGTGCGAAAAATTGGAATTACGCGCAACACTAACCCCAGCTCGTAAATATAAAAATTTAATGTACCAAATCCGCGGCCATAGCATTTTGGGCGTTTAGCCGATTTTCCGTAGTCGATAATACAACGAAACTTCTACCTTTTGGTTGTTGGTTCTCTTATTCACATCCTCAAACTTCTTTTGAATGTAAACTGAAGCCTCCGTAAAATCATTGTTGCCTACAAACCAAATTTACTTTTATTTATTTGAGTTTTTCGGCACTAAAATGCTCTCTGTAACACTAAAAACACAAAAAAAATTTCTGCTCTTCGTTTATCTCAAAATTCTACTTTTCTCTTCACATTTTTTGATCACGAGCTATTCCAAAATATTGGGTCAAACACAAAACTATGAAACAGCTGCCCAATCAATCGCAATGATGTATTGATTGAGAAATTTGGCTCAAATCGCTTTAAAAAATATTATTGCAGAAGTTTAGAATAAAATCAAACAGAAATACCTTCATATTCGGGGAATGCATGGGTTATTGGGGAATATTGAATCTTCTCCTCGAACAGATCCTTCTTATTCAAGAACAAAATGATTGAAGTGTCGACGAACCATCGATTATTGCAGATTGAGTCGAATAGTTTTAATGATTCGCACATTCGATTCTGAACTTTTATCAATTATTTCAATTTATAAGAACATTTCATACGGTTTTGTGATCTTCCAACATAACCATATCATATTCCGAAAGAGCCACACAGAATATTACAGAAGTGACGCATTCAAAGCAAGGAATCCACTTTTTTCGTTCTGAACGTTGCCCTCCGACGTCAAAAACTCTGAGAAATGTTAAACGTTCAGCAATTTGGAATTCAAAATAAACCTGAATAGTCGATCTTTGAAGAAAAAGCAGGTTTCGATGATACCCGTCGTTTTCACTCTTGCTCGAAGCACATCATCCTGAAATCGAGAAAATATCAAAGTCATATTAATACGAGTTCAAAATTACAATTGTTGGGATATAGTCTTTATCGAGAATTCGTTTCATCTCTTTAAAATAGTAAGGAGCCGAGTCGTTTAATTGATATTCACGAGATCTAAAATCTGAGTTTTTAAATTGACATATAAACCATGGTTTTTGTGAAAAAATAAATTAAAATTTTCGAACAATATATGCTAAAACAAAAAATAATTGAAATTGAAAATTCCCCGTGCTGAATATTCAAATTAAAAATAAAACGTGGGTCTATACAAAAAAAAACTTGTAATTCATTCCAGGAAGGTGCCCTGACTCACTCGTCATTATCGTCGTATGATGATTTTGTTATTAATTTGTCGAACGTCTGACAAATGCCACTATCTTCCCAAACCGTCATTATAATTTTGACGAGGTCCGCCGGCAACTCATCTTCATCGCCGCTAACCCGATAATTGAACAATTTGTCCGCGACAACCCGGTTTTCTTCAGAATCGTATTCCACATTTAGATACTTCATAGCCCTGATGAGCGTATAAAAGCTCTGAAAACACAATCAACGAACAAAATCAACGAATTTTTGGAAACTTGAAGGATATTGTTATAAATGACAGGCCGGAAATTTTTACACTCTTGTTGGGTGTATCCTTCGTCATGAATAATGCGCATTTGTTTGAGAATCGTCGATTTTCCGGATTCTCCAGCTCCTAGTAAAAGAAGTTTGATTGATTTTTGCTCGATCGCTGCTTCTTTTCGCAACTAAAAATCGAAATTCGTGTATGAATGTGACATTTTCTTTACCAATTTATCGATTCGTCTCGAGCGAGTTTTTGCGCAGCTCTTTTGGCTTTGAACACAGCCCATTTGTTCCAATTAACTGAAAGTATTCGAATGTCACAATTGTCAATAGCGCGCAAATTCGTTTCAAACAGACAGGCACTCGGATGTATTACACACAGGCCGATAAAGAGAAGTCGAGTGTCGAATGATCGCTGGCTAGCGAGATCGCCCGGAGCAAAAAGAGTGAGTTGCATTTTTTGCCTCCGCCATTAAGAAACAATTAATAACCCGAATTTGCTCGCACGTTATAAAAATTATAGAGAACTTTTTAACGAAGATGAAATTAGTATAATTGTTATATTGTTATTTTAATTCTTTCTAATGAGTTGAAAACTTTTTTTTAAATTTAATTAAACATTTATCAAATTTCTGCGATATGAAAATCAAAAAACACCGATTTGCTATGTGGTTCAATGCTCAAAACAAAGCGGAAATTAATTCGCGCACTCACGGATGATCGAAAAACCAAAATAAATGAAAACACAGTAATCAGCGTGACAGGATCACTTCGTAATGTTATTATGCACCTTTAAATATACCGTAACCCTTGAATCAAGTTTTACCGTTCTCCATTTTTCTATTAAATCTTTTCAAACTTCGATTATTCAATTCGAGGATCAAATATGTTTTATACTTTCACAAAGAATGAAATTCATATCCAAAAAGGTAGACAACGACATCAGGATGTACGCAGCCTCACAAAGAAAACAAAAGGCTTTGCACATCATAAAAATGCTGCGCTCTATCCAGAGGACGTGTTTGTTTACTTTTTTGGTACCTTCAGAGTAGGATAATTTGGAAATAGTAGGGGGAAAATTTCTCGCTCGTTTGCCGCAACTATTGATTTCCACTTGAAAATTATCCATGAGATATTTGAAAAGAAAAGGCATTCAACGCCATTAAACGAAAAACACATTCATCGAATGCAATAAATTGCATGGCTAATTACAAAATCCATAATTAATGCGTTTCATTTTGTTTTGTTGCAAACGACTAAATTTAGAAAACTGCTCTAAAGCATACATCAGCATTTTGATAACGAAATGATCACAAAACAACATGATCGTGATCCAACAGAATTCGATCTGTAGAGTATTTTGCGAACCTCGAATATAGAAAAATTGGGGTGGTTTTAGATTACAATTGTTTTTCAAAGATCGTCAATGATTCTAGAAAAAGGATTGTGTAAAGGAGTCATTTTGATTCATATTTTTATCATAAAATTGACGGCTTATGAAAGCCTGAATTGACAATTCTGTAAACGATTTCATTTCCTTGATTCACATTCCGCTTGAACCACTTTTCCGTATCATAGATTGATTTTTTCACTTTCTCTGGTAGCTCGAAACCAATCGGATTCGACAAACTTCGGCTCCAGAATCAATCTTATCCGACTGGAAATTCTACGAATAATCTTGCAAAAATGTCCGATTTGATTGGTTTCTGTACATTTTTCGATCCGATTAAAAATATTTCGCACCCGTTTGTAAATTTTGTCTATTCCCAATATTCCCAAATTTCTCAATATACCATAAAGTAATCATTCATGAATCATTTAACTGTCTAACAAGTTTTGACTATGCTACAGTTCGAATAGATCGAACTACTTCTAGTCACTTCACCAATTCCGTCGTTGAGATTGTTTTTTCAATAGCTCGTACGATTGCACATTCGACAAGTAAATGAATCACAGTAGAAAACATTTCAAAAAGGCCCCGCCCCAATGGCTCATGTTTCCAGAAAATTCCAGGATCTTCTCGAATTGTAGAAGAAATGAGAGAACACGCGACGACGAGAGGTGGCGAGACGACGAGACAAATTAGAAAATGCGCTTGGAGAAGAGAGTGCAGAGAAGAGAAGAATCGAGATGGTTCGCGAACGACGTAGAAGGTCTCAGAATGACGGCTGTTGGGTATATAAGGAGCCGGTTTGCGGCAGATCGCCAACCTATTTGAATAATCTAATATTCAACTGTGCTCTACACAAATCATGTCATCGTGCAATACTATTGGTATCGACCTCGGTACTACGTATTCATGCGTCGGAGTATATCAGAATGGAAAGGTACGTTGTTTTTTTTTTAATGTCTCTAGTTTTTGGTTCTAATTTCATTCGGTTTTCAGGTGGAAATCCTTGCCAATTCTGAAGGAAACAAGACGACGCCGTCTTATGTGGCGTTCACCGAATCAGAACGGCTTGTCGGAGACGCGGCAAAAGATCAAGCTGCCAGGAATCCCGAGAACACTGTGTTCGACGCGAAGCGATTGATCGGACGCCGATTCGACGATCCGACTGTTCAGGCCGATATGCGCCATTTCCCGTTCGCCGTGAAGAACAAGAACGGAAAACCGGTGGTTGAGGTGGAAGTGAAGTCGGAACGTCGCCAGTTCAATCCCGAAGAGATCTCGGCGATGGTGCTACAGAAGATGAAGGAAACTGCAGAGACGTATCTCGGCAAGACAGTCAAGGATGCGGTCATCACAGTTCCGGCCTACTTCAACGACAGTCAACGTCAGGCGACAAAAGACGCGGCGACGATTGCGGGTCTCAACGCGATTCGCATCATCAATGAGCCAACTGCAGCTGCTCTTGCCTATGGTCTCGACAAGAATATCAAGGATGAGAAGAATGTGCTCATCTTCGATTTGGGAGGTGGCACATTCGATGTTTCGGTTCTCACGATTGCCGAAGGATCGATCTTCGAAGTCAAATCGACGGCCGGAGACACTCATTTGGGAGGAGAAGACTTTGATCAGCGAATGCTTCAACATCTCGTCGCTGAATTCAAACGCAAGACTGGAAAAGATATAACAAGTAAGTGGATTGGTGATCAATTTCAAATGATTAACAATAATTGTTTTTGCAGAGAATCCTCGTGCTCTTCGACGTCTCCGAACTGCGTGCGAACGTGCCAAGAGAACGTTGTCCAGCTCATCGGAAGCGACAATTGAGATCGATTCGCTCCACGAGGGAACCGACTTCTACTCGAAGGTCACCCGTGCTCGGTTCGAAGAGCTTTGTGCGGATCTCTTCCGGAAGACGTTGGAACCGGTCGAGAAGGCGCTTCGTGATGCCAAGTTGGACAAGTCTCGAATCGACGAAGTCGTTCTGGTCGGGGGATCAACTCGAGTTCCAAAGATCCAGAAACTCCTCAAGGACTTCTTCAATGGAAAGGAATTGAACTGCTCGATCAATCCGGATGAAGCTGTTGCCTACGGAGCTGCTGTTCAAGCGGCAGTTCTCTCCGGAGTCAAAGACAACTCGATCAAGGATGTGCTTCTCGTTGACGTCGCCCCACTGAGCCTTGGAATCGAGACTGCTGGAGGCGTTATGACGAATCTCATCGATCGTAACACCACGATTCCGACAAAGGCAACGAAGACATTCACGACGTATGCCGACAATCAACCAGGTGTCTCGATCCAAGTGTTCGAAGGAGAACGTGCGATGACTCGTGACAATCATCGTCTCGGCACCTTCGAACTTTCCGGAATCCCGCCAGCACCACGTGGAGTGCCTCAGATCGATGTCACGTTTGACATCGATGCGAACGGAATCTTGAATGTCTCGGCAGTCGACAAGTCGACCGGCAAGTCGAACAAGATCACGATCAAGAACGAGAAGGGCCGATTGTCGCAAGCGGAGATCGACCGAATGGTGAACGAAGCGAAGCAGTTCGAGCAGGAGGATGAGGCTCAACGACAACGCGTCGCCGCCAGAAACCAACTCGAGGCGTACGCATTCCAGTGCAAGCAGGCTCTCGATGAACACGGAAGCCGCTTAAGTCCAGAAGACGTGCAACGAGCCCGCGAAGCCTGTGACGAAACAATCCGCTGGATGGAATCGAACACTTTGGCTGAGAAGGAGGAGATTGAGGCCAAGGAACACGAACTCAAGCAGATCAGCCAGTCAATCATGGCGAAGCTTCACCAGAATGGCGGAGCTTCGGCCAACTGCGGAAATGCTCAATCATCAGGATTCTCGAGTGCCAACTACCCCGGTGGAAATGGTCCAACCATCGAAGAAGTCGACTAATTGATCACTCTAATTTATTAAATTGTATATATTGTAAATTATATTTTTGCCAACTTTAATTGTAGCAAAACGGGTTCGATTGGATCCAATTTTTTAAAATAAATAAATAAATAACAAATTTTTTTGACGCATAATAATCGAATTTGAGAAAAAATTCGTCTGACGTTCTAAAATTGAAATTTTTTGTTTGGAAATGGTAGTAATAGTGATATGAGGAAATCAAATGAGATTCTATGGGACAGAGATCAAAAAGGAAAAATTAGTAAAAGCAGGTTTTCTTCATAATTTCGAAGAACTGCTCCTCATTGACGGTCGTTGATGAACCTCCAGCGGCCTCACGAATCATCTCGTCAAGTTCGGAATCGAGCATCGACTCGCCGAGTTCACGAGCCACCTGACATGAGATATTAAAAATGAATCGAAAACGAGAGGATTCTACCATTTTGAGATTCTCGATAGTGATGTAGCCTTTTCCTTCCTGATCGAACAATTTGAATGCCGAACGCATCTCAGCGGTCACTTTGTCTTCAGGCTCCTTGTCGCTCTTCTGAAGTGCATTCCAGATTTCCTGAACTGTCTAACCGGAGTCGATGGATATGAGGCCATTCTGAAATTGGTAAAAATTCAATTGTAAGAAGGACAACCGTTTTCGGACCTGGTTGAAACAGTGGCGATCATGCAGATGAGGTGGGGGAAAGGTCCCCGCAATTGCAGCAGAAGTCCCCACTTACACTAAAAGTGGGGACATCTTCTTCACTGGGGACTTTAACTTCACTATAGCAACGAATGTCGATGTGGGGACCTTATCTGCACGATTTTTCAATGGAGTTGAGAGCTGATCTACTCTTCTAGGCGATTCTGCAGATAGGCTCCCCCACAAGATGCATTATACAGCCCCGCGGGAAAATTGCATTAAAGAAACCCAAATAGTGCAGTATAGGTCCCCCCCCGCACTTATTTTCCTGAAAACATAGATGCTACACTATTTCTTGAAATGTCAAGATGACGCGAACTTACATTGCCGCAGCATTTATATTTCGGAAAAAGAGCGATTCATGTTCAAACCGTTAAAATCAGCAAAAACAAAATGAATCGAATGGAAATAAATAGGCTCCACGCACATGCACGTGGAATAATGTGAGCCAACACGATTCCGCCAATTGCATGTTTGTTAATTACGAAAAAAAAAACATTACTCGATTTGATTTCCTTCGTTCGTCATTACATGAGTCTCTTCGGGAATGTCTCGACTGTGGCACGAAGGTATTCTGGAGATAGTTTGGCCCATTCCTCAACCAAACATTTCTTCAATGGCTCCAAATCGGTATAGGGATGTACCTGGACCTTCGATTAAAATACGTCCCAAACAGAATAGTCGAGCGGGCTCAAATCCGGCGACGACGCTGGTCATTCTGAACAAGAAATAAACCGGTGGCACAAAATTGGTGGCACACTGGAATTGGACGACTTTTGCTTTGTGAGCCGGTGCAGAGTCTTGTGGGAATGTCCAAACCTGGTTTCGAAAGTGTGTTTGGGTCCGTGGAAGCACGTGTTTCTTAGAATTTCTTCTAAGTAGTATTCCCGGTTGATTTTAACTCCGGGATCCACAAGAACAAGCGAAATCTTCCCATCAGACGTGATCGCCCCAAAAATCATGACTTGTTGAGGATGAGACATTCTGTTAATCGTTCTTCCGTGCTGATTGGCTTCGTCTGCGTCCCTCGCAAGCACCCGATGATTTTGCGAGTTGAATTCAGCCTCCACGGTGAAGAGCTTCTCGTCCGTAAACAGCTTCTTCAAATGTTCATTTTGGCGCGTGCCAGCAAGACGAGATTCGCACTTTTGCATTCGGGCCAGCTTGTTCTTTTCAGTTAAAACGACTGTTTTCTGAATACGATACGGGGTCAGTCCAAGCTTCTTTTTCAGCATGCGCTCCATCGAAGATTTACTCATACCGAGGTCCCAGCTCATCTTTCTCATGCTCCGGTGTGGATTTCGACGAATTCGTTCTCTGGCGACCTTGATCCTCTCCGGGGTGATAGAACTGCGAGGTCTTCCGCTTCTCGGACGGTTTTCAAGTTTGTTAAGCTCCTTGTATCGTTTTATGGTTTTACAAATTGTTGATCGAGAGATTCTGTGAGCTTTTGCAATGCAACTGTCGCTCTTTCCTCACGTCGCCATTCGATAATGGTACCTCGGTGTATTGAATTGGCTACCATTCCAGTAAAAATGACGCTAGGAACTAGAAAATTTGAGAAAAGGATAATTAAAACAGGCTGAATAATAAAAAAATAAAATTGGTGCGCGAAAAATGCGCCAACATCTGCCAGAAGACTTCAAACTTGTGTTTCCATAATTATGAGCCACCCTGTAATGCATCGTGTGGGGGGTTTATCTGCATGTTAGCGTCTCTCTGGATAGCCAATTCAATAATAATTGAGTAAAATGAAGATAGAAACCAAGAAGAGAAATAAATAAAAATCTCGAAAATTAGAGAATATTTGATTAAAAAATATTGTCGAGAATGGATAAAAATGGATGAAACTCATCAACTGAAAACGGATTTAAGACAATTGTTCATTTTTATTAAAATTCCGCACCATTGTTCATCCACTTTTCTATTTTTTTTTTGTCCAACGAATGTGTTGGAGAAACTCACTAACTGTCAAGCAATTTGATTGAATCATTTATAGACTTTTTCAGAACTCAATACTTAATTGGCCAATCTTTGCTAAGCAATTGTCATGCTTCCAGGGTGCATAACTTTGGCGCAAACTCATAGAGCACTGTCGCATTTTTTGTGCAGTTTTATGTTTTTATTTTATTTTCTATGACCTTTTAATCATTTTCTGAAAGTTTCATGAAAATCCGTTTCGTATTACAAAAATGACAGCTGATTCTATTCATCGTGCGGCCATCATCGACTTGAATAAAGGAGACATCGTTCAAGATGATTTTTAAAATTCTTGGAGTTCATCACAACGCCGTACAAACAACTTGAAATCGCTTTCATAAGATAGGACGACTCTCTAGCCGTCCTAGAAGAGGACGAAAACATTCTTCAATAACACCGGAGCGAGTCAAGGTCATCAGGAAACGAGTTCGTCGAAATCCAGATCGTAGAATCAGAAAGATGGTGTCAGAAGTCTATGTGAGTCCAAAAACAATGGGGAGAATTGTCAAAGATGAGCTGAACCTGATACCATTCTAACTGAAAAAAAATAAAGAATATCGAATGAAAAAGTGCAAATCGCTCCTAGCTGGCACGCGGCAAGGAAAACGCCTAACGACTTTCGTCATGGATGAGAAACTGTATACGGTAGAAACTGCTTTCAATATCCAAAACCACAGAGTGATCGCCAGAAGGTCTGAAGAAGCTATGAACAAAAGCAGAACCATTCATCGTGTTTCCCATCCTCAGCAGATCATAGTATTCGGTGGGATCTGCGCTGACGACAAAGCACCACTGATTTCGTTGATCCCGGAGTGAAGATTGATCAAAATGGCTATCTTAATGAGATTCTGAAGAAGAATGTCCTTTCCTGGTCCCAATCCTAATTCGGAAATCGATCCTGGATTTTTCAACAAGACGGAGCGCCTGCACAACGAGCCAATATTGTTCAAGACGGGTGCGGCAGCCATTTTCCATCATTCATCAAGTCAACGAATTCGCCCGCTTCGTCGACCGACCTGAACCCCATGGACTATTCTGTCTGGGGGGTCTTGCAAGAAAAGGTGTCAGCTTTCCCACACCCAAATATGAACTTATTGAAAGCTGCCCTTCTGAAGGAATGAGACAAATTGGACGCTAAATACCTGCGTGCCACCGTCGACGCCTATCCGAAGCGTCTGAAGGAAGTTATCAAGAATCGAGAAGGAAGAATCGACCAACGATAATTAATTTGTGATTGTTATGTGTTGAATAAATTTTGGTATTAATGAGTTTTATTGATTTTTTGAAAAGTTATTTCGTTTTATCGATTCATCAGTAATTTTGCCGCACCCTGAATTTTGCCTGCTGCACGCGGGTAGATTTACGCGCATGCGCCTTGAAAAGGTCTCGCCACGTGTGAACGCTTATTTTGATGTTTTCACGTGAACTGCTTCATTTTTTCTTGATGTATTTGGCATTTCTTGGATTTCCTAACGTCGTTCGATTTAAGAATTATCGAATCGTTCCATAAAATACCAAATAACCGGTTAGTCTCCCCCCATTTGGACGCCAACTATAAATGAAAATAAAATTGAACATAAAATAATGAATTGTGAAAATTGAGAGATTGACTTCATTAATGCTATTGTATATTAATACTTTACAAGGCGAGGAATTGAGAACAAGAAGATTGAGAACAACGACAAACCCACTATTCTTCTCCAGAATTAACCTTATCCGATTGGTAATTGAATAAGATTGTAAAAATGTCGGATCCCATTGGTAATTTGTCGAATCCGATTGGTTTTGAGTTACCAGAATTGAAATGACCTTTCGGTTTGCTATAATTTGTTCCAGAATCTTACTGTTTGCTTTCAAAAATTTGATGGTAAATGGAAAAAACTTGGAAGCTATAGAAAATATTCTCGAGTAACTTGAGATAAAATTTGTAGTTTGAGTGTTTGAACGAAAATTGGCAAAATGCCAAAAAATTTAAATGGAGGTCTCGGTATGCGTCTTTAACTTATCCTTATACATAGGCCTGTAAATCTACACTTTTAGTTGTGCGCCAAAACTTTTTCGGCAGTCGCGCGATCAGAAATGAATAAAAAGCTGATATGCCATATATGCCCTTCTTAAATTCGTTTTCCCGTGTGCTGTGATCTTTTTTTTGAAACAGATTGATAAGGAACTCCCATAATTTTAATTTCCATTGCCATTTATTTGCTTTTAAAAAATAAATTGATATTATTTTTTCTAAAATTCGTCATCTTGAAAACTTCGAAGCCGACCAAAAATTGTCAACCCCGCGTTGACTATTTCGACAACCATAATCTCTATATCGCTTATCATTATTAATATAGTATGAATGGTGCAAGACGGAATCAATAATTCTTAAAAAGGATGGCACCTATGGGCGAAAGGTGCAATATCCTGCGCGCATGCTCATCTTCGGTATTCCCAGAATCGCACTTGGGTGTTGGTGACATCCTGCACGTGTCAAATCCGATTCGGCTCTTTTTCTCACAATATTCTTACGTTGATACCAAATCGAAGTTTGTCAAAAAAAAAAAAACATCATCATTTGAAGCAGATCGCGCATTCAGAAGTCGATTTAAAGTAGTATAATTATTAATTATGGGAAATGTCTTGCGATATAATTATGACCCTCAAATTCGATTTTTTTTTTCAAAAAATTGTATATTTGATGTTCACCAAGGATCATCTTGAATATCTCGATGGTGCATATAAAATTCTTAAGTTCATTCCAATTTATACAATTGCCGATAGCGAACTAAATTGTACCTTGGATCGGATGGATTTGGCACGTGCAGGATGTCATCAACACCCAGGTGTGATTCTGGGAATACCGAAGATGAGCATGCGCGCAGGATATTGCACCTTTCGCCCATAGGTGCCATCCTTTTAAGATTTATTGGTTCCGTCTCGCACCATTCCAATAGATGAGATATGTGTGATAATGCGATGACACCAATGGCGATCGGAAATATAAAATAAAATCGGCTTAATTTCTTCTCGCATTTGAGTTAGCCTGTCAGCGAATTTTCGCTTCTTCGCATCGATCGTAATAGATTCCTGTTAGCTTGTGTGGCCTGGCTCTTGGCAAATTTTAAAGCTTTAGTATTGGCTCGAAGCGTCTCCGACCTGGCTTGGGTTGCACCTTGGGCTAATTCACAAGTTTCAAAAACTACAACAATCGAATTTGAGGGTCATAATTACAGGGTGTCATTTAAGTTCCCGCACAACTTTGAAGACGTATATTTCTGAAACTAAAAGTCCAAATCAAACGAGACTTGAAATATTTTTTATCTATAGTATAACAAATAATTTTATATTAACTCTTTTCGATTCGGCCTTCTTTCGGAGCTATGACTTCACAGAGACGCTTCGGGTAGGATGCGACTGTGGTACGCAGGTATTCGATGGAAAGATTGTGCCATGCCGCCAGTAATGTCTTCTTCAGAGCCTCTACACTTTAGTGGGGTTTTGCGTTGACCTTCTCCTGCAAGACCCCATCACGGAAAAGTCAAGCTGATTCAGGTCTGGGGAGCAATCAGTCCATTCGGATGACTTGATAAAGTCGGGAAAATGGGTCTGGCACCACTCCTGAGTAGTTTTGGCATTGTGGGCGGGAGCTCTGTCCTGTTGAATGACCCATTTCTGCCCACCGAAATGCGTTTGAGTCCAGGGCATCACATGCTTCTTTAAAATGTCCCAAACGTAGACTTCTTTGTTCATTTTCACCCCCTGATCCACGAAATCCAGGGGGCACCTCCCGGTTGAGCAGATGGCACCGAAAACCATCACACTGGCAGGATGTGAGGCTCGATTAATTGTTCTTCCTTTCTCAGAAGCTTGCTGGGATGTCTGGGCAAGTACTCAATGGTTTTGTGAGTAGAATGCCGTCTCCATAGTGAATAGCTTCTCGTCGGAGAAGACAGTGACGAGGTGTTCTCCAGACCGCGTGCGCGCAAGAAGTCGTTTTGCTTTTTCGAAGTGTCTCTGCTTGTTGACGGCCGATAGAATTGCCGCTTTTTGGACACGATATGGGGTCAGTACAAGCTTCGTTTTGACGATTTGTTCCAAAGCGAAGATGCTCATTCCCACGTCTGACGCCATCTTTCTCATGCTCCTGTAGGGGTTTCGCCTGATCCTCGATTTGACGGCGTTGATCTTCTGAGGAGTGGTTACCGAGACGGGTCTTCCTTGTCTGAGACGGTCACTGGTCGTATTTAGCTCCTTGAAACGTTTGAAGGTGTCGTAAAGCGTTCTACGAGGCACACCGAGGCGTTGAATGATGGCTCTCGGGCTCACATTTTGCTTATGAAGTTCGATAATGGAAGCGCGATGGATGTTAGCCTTCGCCATTTCTCGGAAACACATCCGAATGAAGTGAAACTTGGAAAATAAGTAAAATATACCTTATTTAACAAAAATAAATTGTATTGTTTCACGAAAAGTGCGACAGCCAAGCTCTTCATGACGTCAAACTTTTGTGCGGGAACTTAAATGACACCCTGTATATCGCAAGACATTTCCCATAATTAATAATTATACTAATTTTGGTTTTTTTAAATCGACTTCTGAATGCGCGATCTGCTTCAAATGATGATGTTTTTTTTTTTTTTGACAAACTTCGATTTGGTATCAACGTAAGAATATTGTGAGAAAAAGAGCCGAATCGGATTTGACACGTGCAGGATGTCACCAACACCCAAGTGCGATTCTGGGAATACCGAAGATGAGCATGCGCGCAGGATATTGCACCTTTCGCCCATAGGTGCCATCCTTTTTAAGAATTATTGATTCCGTCTTGCACCATTCATACTATATTAATAATGATAAGCGATATAGAGATTATGGTTGTCGAAATAGTCAACGCGGGGTTGACAATTTTTGGTCGGCTTCGAAGTTTTCAAGATGACGAATTTTAGAAAAAATAATATCAATTTATTTTTTAAAAGCAAATAAATGGCAATGGAAATTAAAATTATGGGAGTTCCTTATCAATCTGTTTCAAAAAAAAGATCACAGCACACGGGAAAACGAATTTAAGAAGGGCATATATGGCATATCAGCTTTTTATTCATTTCTGATCGCGCGACTGCCGAAAATTGGCTAAATGCCAAAAAAACAATGCCAGTGGTCTTGGCGCACAACTAAAAGTATAGATTTACAGGCCTATGTATAAGGATAAGTTAAAGACGAATGCCGAGACCTCCATTTAAATTTTTTGGCACGCGACGTCGACAATTGGTTTCATCAATTTTTCTGGTTACTTTCTGGATAAAATTCGTCTGCTTCTGAGAATTGGACAAGATGAAAAATTAACGAAAGATGGATCAAAATTGAATAAAAACTGATGTGCATCGATAAATACGGGAATGTCGTGCTCAGTTCGCGCAGAGTTCACTAAAAGTCTGAAAACTCTGCTCTGGTAGCTCAAAACCAATCGGATCCGTTGAAATTCGGCTCCGGAATCAACCTGATCCGGTTGGTAATTCTATGGATAAAATTGGAAAAATGACGGATCCGATTGTGTTTTTTAATACTTTCGAATCCGATTGGTAATTTGCCGAATCCGATTCAAATTGAAAAATTAAAACAAGTACGAATAGCAACCAATCGGATCTGACAATTTTGCAATCTTATCCGCAGTGTTTCCAATTGGATCAGGTTAATTCCGGAGCAGAATTTCGACGGATCCAATTGGTTTTGAGCTACCAGAACAAAGTTTTCAGATTTTCAGTGAACTCTGCGCGAACCAAGCACGACATTCCCGAATTTAGAAATTTTAAAACCCATTGATGTTATCAAATATCTAATAAAATTTGCTGTTGCTTCGTGCTTCTTTTCCTCGAGATTTATTCCGGAGTCTTTTCCTCAATTAAGACTATGGATTGTGATTACGGTATTGTCAAATCGGCAAGCGTGGCACGCAGATGCATTCAAAAAAGTAGCACCCCCCGAGCATGCTGTTGCACGCGTTATCAGCGACTGACATATTGTCATAAATTATAACGATTGATAAGCTCTCAAAGCGATGAGTTGATTTAAAGGGACATGGCAGGTGATTGGGTCTTGAAGACGATTAGCTCGAGTTTACAAGCGTCCAATACAACTGCTAAACGAGTCACCTTGTCACGAGAATTTTTTCAATAAATTTCAAAAACAAATGTTATTGATTTGAAAAAAGTGCAAATCATCGACATATTTCTTTAATTTTAGTCTCATAAAAAATTAATATTCATATTTCCAAAAATAGACAAACATTTTTGGTTGTCCAGGGTGCAATTTTGGGATGCTTTTACTAACACAAATGTGACAGTATGGGACGAATCGAGGAACTGACGACGATTCCGAAAAAAGTTTTTTGCGATCATCTGAAAAAATTTATAACAGGTACCAAAATCTTGAATTATACGCTCAATCAACTATTCATAATCAAAAAAAATCGTTTAAAAACAGTATATCACAGTCGGAATTCTCGATTCCTCCATTGAAAGCGGAAATCAATGAAATATTCTAGAACGTATCAGCTATTCACATGCTAACTATCATATTTTTAGTCTTTCTGTGGGTCGAGGAGCAACTGACCAAAAAAACCCATGGATCCGAATAATCTGACAGCAAATTTCATTAGAATTCGAAACCGTCTGAACGATTGAGACAACGTATTCAGAAACCACAATGAGCATGTGAAAGTGCACAAGAAGAAATCTGAAAACCGTGCACAAATTGATTTGTTTTAGTTAAAAAGAGTCCGAATAAGTCGACGGCATCGTGAAAATCACGAAATTCAACAAATGTAGCCGAAAAAATCTCTAATTGGCGATTTAAAAAAATTAATCATAGTTGACTTCCGGCGACATCTCTACACGGGTGGATTTAGGGGGATCAGGGCTGCACGGAATTCCGTCTTCCGTGACATTTTCCTGTTCCATGTTCCGTATTCCGTTAAAAAAATTTGTTGCGACTTCCGAATTCCGTGTTCCGCTTGAGATATCTCGCAATACTTGGAGGTTTCTAGCACCGCCGGAGAAATTTGTTTGAAAAAATGAAGGTCTCTGTCGAATGAGCATTTGGAAAATCTCACATTCAGCACTGTTAATTTTAAAATATTCGAGTTAAATTAAGTTTGTGCTCCTTGTTCCGTGTTCCGTTTTTAGAAAATTTAAGTTCTGTGTAGCTTTGACGGGGATGCTTCTTTCTCTTGGTCTCGCACGGACTAACCGGTTATTTTGTATTTTATGGGTCGATTCGATAATTTTTAAATCGAAAATTGAAATTCCAAGAAATGCCAAATTCATCAAGACAAAATGAACATTTCACGTGAAAACAGCGAAATAAGCGTTCACGCGTGGCGAGACCTTTTCAAGGTGCATGCGCGTAAATCTACCCGCGTATATATTTTATTTTAATCATAATTCATCCAAAACATTCAAATACTTTCTTTTTTGATCTATCCAAATTGCGTTTTACCAAAAAAAAGTGCGCTATTGTCAAATTTGGTCATTTATTCAAATTATTTAATCAAATTTTGTTATTTTTTTCTTCAAATTCAGTTTTTCCGCCCATTTGATCTACTTGAACGTCGTTTAATCAAGCTCAAGCAGCACATTTTTTTGGAAAGATTCCGAATTAGCTTCATCGCATGTTGTTCTTATTCAACGTATTGTTGCCATAAGCATGTTGCTATGCGTTGTTGTCACCTCGCCGATGCCGTCGGTTACGGTATCCAGCCCGATGTCGCACATTGGTGCTACAAGTGAGCACGTGTGGGCGGATAGGTCGATGGGCGGGATCGCCACGCCCACAAATAAGGACCACGTAAGAATATCCGGATAAGGTAAGTCATTCGATCCGGGTTTCATTATCCAGCTCGCTCGCTTCTCTCATAATGCCTTATTGCAATGCATCGAACTTCCAGCATGCTGTTATGCCCGATTTGGAATTGGTAAGTGGTTTCGTTGTTCTTCTCCTCCTCCTTCTGCTTCTACCCAATCGCCCCAATCATCTGTCACTCTGACAATTGAATCCAATTCGTCGTATTTTCAGCGTCCCACATTCCGAAAAATGGAGCACATCACAGTCAAATTGGTCGATGAGGAATTATGGAAGTTGTTCAACCCCGATATTGAGATGATTGTTACAAAACGAGGAAGGTAAGTATCATTTTTCCGTTTTTATGCAGCCCATATTCATTTTTTTTCGTTTTTAGAAGAAAAAATATTAAATTTTCAGAAGTATTTTCCCGAAACTCGATTATTACGTCTCTGGATTGGACCCGAATGCCTATTACGTGTTCCAATTGAAAATGGAGCGTGTCGATGATATTAAGTAAGTTCTAATTTTTTATTTTATTTCCATGTCAAATGCTATTTTCAATTATTCATCAGATATCGCTTCGATCAAGGTGTTTGGCACGAAGCCAGCAGAGGAGAGCCGCGTGTTCCGGAAACCATCATCAGACATAGCGAAGGATTTCGTCGCGGCGAAGAATGGATGAAGACGACGGTCTCATTCCATAAAGCTAAAATTACTAACAATCCAGCTGACGTTCAGCCACTTCATGTAAGAAACTTAAAACATCAAAAAAAAAATAGAATAAACCAATTATTAATTTCAGATTCTTGTTCAAAGCATGCACAAGTACATTCCAGTGCTCATCATCATCAAGATGGGTAGCACCGAAAACGGCATCGACGTTCCAGCGTATCAACAGGAATTCCGTTTCCCGTCCACGCAATTCATTGCGGTCACCGCTTATCAGGTAAACAAAAATTCAATGTGTTAATCAATCAATGAATTTTCTCGATTGCAGAACCATCGAATCACTCAGCTCAAAGTGAAACACAACAAATATGCTCGCGGCTATCGCACCGAGAATGGCTTGAAGCGTCAACGCGCCGATGCTTCCGACGAGGATAATTCTCGTCCGGCGAAGATTGCCGCTCCGGCGATTCCGCCGAACTCTCATATGCAGCTCATCGTTCCGCCGCCAATTCCGGATGCGGCCCATCATATGGCATTCAATCAGGTTCCGATTGGCGGACCGCCTGTCATGCTCGGTCAGCCCGTGTACTCGAATCCGGCGACGCCGCCAGAAGAAAACAAATCGAACGAGCCGGAGGCGAACGAGGTCAATGCTCAAATGCACAACAATTTCTATGGTCAATACCCGCCGTTCGACATGGCGGCTTATTATGCTCCACAGCAAGGATATGGCTACAACCCGCAGCAAATAGGCTTCGGCTATCATTGCAATAGTTTCCCATCTTTCGCTCAACCATTTGATCCAAGAATTGAAATCTCTCCAGATTCATCGTATCACTCACCATAATTTGTTAATTGCTCTTTCAAGACATGTAAATTGACTTATTTTTTATTATTTCGGGTGTTCAAACGGGAAAACCTTGTTTTCCGAGTGACTTCCACTCATTTTTCTAAATTTTGCCTTGCAATGTACTCTTCTCGTTCGTTTCTATCTCTAATAATTTTTAAAATAATTGATTTACATGTTCTTTTTTCTCAATCAACTATTATTATACTAACTTAATAATTTGTGAATAATTATGTTTTTTTTTTTTTTAATGTTTCGAAATTGTGCTTCAAATTCGCTAATAATTGTTTTCTGATATAATCATTAATGCGTTTAATTATGTTTTTTGAAATATTATTTTATAATAAAGAAATTAGCGAATCAACCAGACTGTTCGTTTTTTCGTCGCGCTTCCATTTCCATGTTTTCTCGCTCGTTTGAAAATTGGAATCCAGCCATTTCGAGAATCGTCTTGTCCGGATTATCATCCCAATTTCCTGGCAGAGGAACCTTTTTGTGCTTCTCCGATTGTTGTTTTTGCCAGTTTTTGAGTTTCTGCTGCTCGGCAAGGGTATCAGCTCCAGCGCATCCCCAAACCTACAAATAGCTGTTTAATTTTTTTTGTATGAAAAATTCGTGTTGGTCAAAATTCTATATAGTTCACATTTTTTTAGGGGGACCTCCCGGTCAACACTTATCAAATCAATCAAAGCTTGTCACATTTTGCAGGCCACACAGGTCGAATACATCAATGTTCCTATGGCATTCGCACATTAGTGCAAAAGCTGAATGATAACAAATTGACCGACTTGTCTACTATATTATTATCATCAAATATATAAAATATTACCGTCACAAAAAAAAACGGAGTAATTTGACAAATTGTGGACAATTGTTCAAATTTGGACTTAAATTTTGGAAAATTTGCAATTGGAATAAAAGATTTTACCGAATCTAGATAAAAGGGAGACCGACAGAATTTGGAACCTTGGTGAAACATGTGCCACCACGGTGCAATATACAATGTCACCATGGTGGTGAAAAATTTTGCAATAGTGCGACACACCGCACGTGTCGAATCATGTCATTCTTTCGGAAATTACCTCAATATCATGCACTTCGCTGAAATCCTTGTCGATTTTCATTTCTTCCTTGAAAGACAATCCAAACGCGCTGGCGCGCACTTTCAGATTGCAATACACCGACTGTGACGCCTCGATTCGCTTCATATTAGGAAGAATTTCAAAATAACACGTTGACGAGCCGCCGAACCGATTTCCGCCATGCCTGTTAAACATTTGTTGGAAACATTGAAATAGTAGACATTTCGAACCTCCATTCTTGATCCACCGCAAGAACAATTACTCGTTTATCCTTCAAGCGGAAAATTGAGACAGTGGGACCCTTGTAACCAAACACGAAATTTTCAAAGCGATTGGTACTGATACCGTGTTGCATGCTAGTGTACAATGGAGACCAATGATTGGATACAGCCTGAATTAAAATAAACACATAAATCTTTTTTTTTTTCGAAATACTTTTTCTTTTTCCGGAAAATAAATACTAGGAAGTGAGCATTGAAGATACCACATTTGGAGTGGAGTCAGAATATCCGACGAATAATCCTGCTTCTGCTGAAAACAGACAGCAATTTTAGCAAAAACAATGCGAAACTTACAAATTGTGTACCTGTGACTTTTGAAATGACGAGACTCTGAACAGCGTTGCAGAATTTCTCACAGTCGCTTCGCCGCCAGTTCAAAATCGATTCTGTAGCTTCTTCTTCGTCCTTTGAGCCGCCCGTCTGGAATTGATTTTATAAGTTAATCTTAAATGAAACAAAACCATTTTTTCAACAAGAGTTTTGATAAATGCTTCATCTCCTTGAATTGCTGAAGCTCCTGCTGCATCTGAGCACACTTTTACGAAATGGAAGACTGGTTGAAGTACTGCAATGAAAATTTGAAGTATTTTAATCTTTAACAATACTTACTTTTTACATATATATCAGTCGACATGCCATTTAATGGTTTAAAGTTTTTGTGAAATTCATCTCGAGTGATTTCTCGTTTCTCCAAATTATTATTTGTGAAATATCTCCAAAGACTTTCGGTTAAATCTTCATCAAATAATTTCTAAAATTGTATAATTGGCTTGGATTTTCACTTTTCAATTTACCTGGATGTTATTATAACAAATTTTATCATTTGTTCCTTTTAATCTTTGATAATATATGTCAATATAAGGATCATAATGAGTGATTGGTGATCTTTTCTCTGAACGAGTTGAGACAGAGTCGTTTTCAGACTTTGTATGCCGTTTGCTATGCTCGTTTCCCATCTAATCTAAAAATTCTATCTTTAATCAATAAAAAGAGTAAGATTCATTAGGCGCTCACGAGTGCAATAAAAGACTAAAATGTGTTTTTGAAGCAAGCTACGGTAAACAAAACACTCATACGCAGTACACCGAGGCAATACGTCACACGATTATTTTACTTCGAGGCTTTTCAATTTTCGATTTTTTCTCCCCGTTATACATTTTCTAGACATTTTTTTCGCTTTTGAAATGAAAATATACAACACAATTAAAATGAAAATTTCAATTTTCCCACGCTAAAACGTCATCGAGCAATGTATATAATTATAGTTGCAAATTTAGGAAAAGAAAACAAAATAACGTTTCGTAACAAATAATAGAAGTCAGCATTCGAAAAAATTTTCATTTGGTTACCTGATAGTTTGAAAACGAAAATTGTATTATTAAACCATTCTATATAAAATGTGAAAAACACAGTTAAATGAAAAATCGTGCAAACGAAGCAATCTGTTATCGGCTTTATTGAACATTTGATGACCCTAACTTTCAGAAAGAATTTTAAAAACTCTTATCACGTTTATAATAATGTGATCAATTGTAAAACGTACTTGTGGATTTTTGATAAATAAAAGTGTTTTTTTTTTTAAAGAAAATATCTCATTTCAGATAATGATTTTCCCAGGAGCTGGTGGACCAGAACTCGAAAAGATGGCTTCTGAAAAAGTCAAAAAAGATATTGGAACGTTCATCACTTTTGGACTTCTTGTCGAAGCTGGTAAACGGCTTCAACACTAAAAAGTTTATTAATAAAATAATAAATTGCAGCAGCACTCGCCGCACAATTTTTTGGAATCGAAGGAGTCCTCGTCTGATTTTAAATAGTATATAGATAGTTGATTGTTGGTTGTTAAACGAATGAACCATTTATAGTTTTCTTCTTTAATGTATGCAAAACCATTTCCGTTTTTGGAAATTTTACGCGATCGATCAAAGTGTCATTTTCATCGTGACATTGTATACTCGCTGAAAAAGTTTCAAATCAGTTGTTTGAATCTCAAACACGAATTGGCTAGATTTTCCCGCATTATCGCGATTTATGAAGTGCCGTTCATCGCCCGCCGTTGCCACCCACAGTCATCGCCGACGGCGCTGAAACTTGAATTATTGCAGTGTCTCGTTCGACCTTGAAAGGACGCGCAAGTTCGATCGTCCAGCTGTGGGCAGAACTTTCAATTTCGGGGCGATGACAAAACTTTTTTTGTGGAGAAAGTTGAGTGGCAGATGCGCGACGAAAAGATGCAGTCGAATTTTTGACGATTCGATTTTTTCTAAACATTTCGCGCCGCTTTTTTTTGTCGCTGTTCCGCCGTCCTGTTCCGATGGAGAAGCGACGCAGCTATCAGCGCGAGTCGATCGCCAAACGGTATATAGCTAATATTGCTTCTCTCACCTCCCATTCATAATCAAGTCGCTTCTTCAAGACGTACGCGCAGCATGCATGAAAAGCAACGCCGAATCGAAATCAACAGTGTGATTGATGAAATGGCGGAGATCATGTTCCCGTCGTCGAGCGAAACTAACAAAAGAGCAACAACGAAGCGACTCGACAAATGCTTGGTGATTGGCAAATTTCTTGAAAGCTACCGAGAAGCCCTCAAAGGTTAGTTGTTTTTGTTTTCCATTTTGATTTTGCGGTTTCAAAATCAATTGCAAACAAGGTCGTGCGGGAGAGTTGTTTCATTTTTTGCACGCGACCACACTCTGGCAATTAGGAAGAGCGGATCTCGTTCATCTCACAATCACAAATCAGAGATTTCTCATTCCATTCGAATATTCATATAATCACGTAAATATATAAAAAATATATAAATATAATTATTAGAAATATTTATCGTGCATCTCTCTCAAAATATTTTGTTGAAGCGATATCTAGGATTTTCTTGGCCATTCAATAAAAAATGTTTTAAAAATTTTTTTCAATACAGGAATGTCAAAAAAAAAAAAACACATTTCCACTAATTTTTTGTAAAAATATATTTCATAAATAAATTCATAAGATTTTTTAAAAACTTTCTGCTTCTCACTTGAAAATGTTAAGGCTTAACAACGTATTCATTTGTTCTTGTTCTCCAATGTCAATTGAAAATACCTTGAAATATCTTTCCATTTGAACGAGAAAAAAAATACAATAAACGTCCTTCGTTGTAGTAGTTGAAAGTGATATATCGTATCAATAGTTCAGCAACTTTAGATATTCTTGCTTTCTGTTGTAATCTGAAAAGTGCGTCGCCTTGAAAGATATGGCGAGGCCGTTTGCCATTCACGAAAAAAAGTTTTCACAGTACAAAGTGGTGTTTCGAAAATAATTCCTTCTTCCTGGTGGTTTTTATTCGAACTGTTAAGAAGCTCAGCCGATTGATTGGAGTTTCGAGACTGGTGAAGCGGCCGAATCGATTACATTCCATTTACGGGATTTCATAATTCAAAATATCACCGGAGACGTTCTGGCAACTTTTGGATTCAAAAAGGTTTTTTTTTTCGTTTTTGCGAGGTTAATTTAAAATTGAATAATTGTTCAGGAAGCCATGATTGGAACCGATTTTCGCCGTTTTCTCGATTTCCCCGTAGCAACTTCAATTTCCAATCGATTCCAAGATTTAAACGGGAAATTCGCATTTTCCATGCGCACTTTGAAAGCGTGCCAATTCGAGTGCGTAGCTTATGGGAACAAGGTTGAATCGCGTAGATCGGAATTCGATAATTAAAAAAAATGCAATGTTTATAGACGCCATCTCATCAAGATGTAACCCTCGTTTGCGTTCCGACGCTCTCCGAAGACAGTTTCGCGCAGTTTGCGACAACCTCCAAGTCAAAACTAGCTGAGGAGTTGCCGATTCTTGCCAATCTCTTGAAGAAATCTGACAATGAGAATAAAGGAAGCGAAATGGTACAAAATATTTGAGACATTGAAATAAAATTAGGGTATGACAGACTTCGAATCCTTCGTTGAATTGCGAGACTGCGTCGACATCATCGTTCATGTCGCCAAAATCGACGTCTTCTTTGGGATCGATTAAAAAGAAAGGAAAAAAGGCCGAGGTACCGAATATATATATATATATAAAGAGCACCTAGAAGATTAATATAGAAGAAATCTCCGCGAAAGAAGCCGGTGAAAACGGCGAACGCAATCGTTGAAAGCTATTCTCTCGACGATAAGACAAAAGCAGCGAAAGCGGTGAACGTTCGAGAAGAAGGAACTGGGTATACAGTTAATATGAACTTCCTAATTTATCTCGATTTTTTTCAGAACTTCAAACTCTTCACTTGCTTCTCCTCCAGCTCTTTTGTCGCCAACTACTCCTGTTATAAGCCCATATGAAGTATTGGCTCCAGGATATCGCGATGTAAGAGCTTGATTGAATCTTCAATCAATCGGCGTTATATTAAAGATTTGGCTACGAATCCAAAGCGAGCGAATTCTTCTCGAAGAAAGAGTCATCGCCAAGGAAATGGAGCTACAGTCGTTGATGATGGTTGCAAGAACACCAACAACGGTTTTTTCGCCAGTGGTTACGACACAAATGCCATAACATTTTATACGGGTTCAAAAATTTTTTATTGAGCTTGTAAATAAATAACATATTGAATAAAATATATTTTGTGACGCTTACGCCTATATTTATCGTTTTTGAATAAAAAAGTTTAATCACTATCGCGTATTTTAAATATTGAAGAAAAATTGGCCCCCATATTTGAAAAGCCTCCAGACAGAAACCGCAAATGCGCCATAGAACGTGTGCTGACGTAAAAGTTGACGTCATTTTTAACGTTCAATTTTTAAAGATTTTTTTCTATTCTGGACTTTACATTCTCAAGGATTTATCACTTTACGATTTCTTCATTCTTATCAAAATTATTGAAATGTGAAACATATAATTTGATTTTAATACCAAGTTTCACAACTCGACAATTTGGCAACTAACCGAAATATTTACTGTGATAGTTTGATGCAAATTTCATCTAAACTTCTAGAATGCTTAGACATTTACATAGTTTCCACTGAGAAGCACTACTATTAAATTATTAAAATTTCAGAAAATGGACTCTGCTGATCCTCAACTTGCTCGCTTTTTGCAACAACTCCAAGCTGAAACTCAACGCCAAAAATTCACCGAGCAGGTTGACAAAAAAATTGATTTCGATTTTATTGTCAACAATATTTTCGTGTTGTTTTTAGGTCCATACTCTCACTGGGAGATGCTGGGATGTCTGCTTCTCTGACTATCGCCCGCCAAGCAAGATGGACGGAAAGACCCAGACTTGCATTCAAGTATATCAATTAATTCGATAAAATCATATCGAAATATTCCAGAACTGCGTGAATCGAATGATCGATGCCAGTAATTTCATGGTCGAACATCTCCAGAAAATGAACACCGGCGGAATGTAAATCGTTGTTGCCCTTCGCTGATTCTGTTATCGTTTTGTTTTGTTATTATTCTTTTCGGTTTCTCACGCGTAAAACCTCTAGGGACTGTTTTAGTAATTTTCATACTTTTCAAGTAAATCATTTATAATTATTTTTTTTTATTGATTGAAAGAGTTGCCGCCACTTTGCAATATCTGATCAAAGTTTTACCATGTATGGTTTTGAAGTGGTATTTCTTAGAATGAGTAAACTGAAAGGCAGCCGTCTCGAGACAGAAGTCGACAAAGTTCGCACAGACGGTAAAACTGAGCATTATGAGGGATGTTGAGCGAAAATTGGAAGGTTTTTAGGGAATTGGAAGCGATTGTCCGAATTATTACCATCAGTAAAATCAAAAAATTCGGGTCTTGAAGATTCGTATGAGTTATTTCAAGGCGAAATAATTCTTGAAACGTTTCTGGAGCAACTTGGGGGTAAGTTTGAGATAAGAAATCTGATAGTTGAAATTGCGAAATAAACTTAAAATGAATGCATTTGAATTCACGCCAGAATTATTCTTTTTTGAATTTAAAAAAATGAGCTGGGAAAAAATGTTCTCGTTTCAGAAGTTCTCAGGCCGCACAAGGAAAATCATGAGAAACTGAAATCCGCCGAATCATATTTAATCACCGCTGTCAAGTAAAATTCGCTCAGCGTCTTGCGTTATGACTTGATTTTCAGGGAAAAAGCCAATAATAATAGTGTTTTCATGGAGGCTAGCATATTATTAGCAAAAGTATATTACGCGTGTACAGAGTATGCCAAAGTGGGAGGATTGTAATAATTAATCTCTAAATTATTCGGAGAATTGTAGGCTTTAAACCTCATCGATGCATCTGGTATGGAAAAAGGAACGAATCCGTTCCGAACTCTTCGAGCTCTTAGACTTGTTGCTGAAGGATACGCAGTTAAAGGTTGGGATAATTTCTTTTCAAGCTTAAATTTAGATCAAAGAATTCCAGGATTGTGTTTGGAGTCGTTCGAAAGTCCGATTCACACCCATTCTCTGCCACTCGGTTCAGCTTCAAGTTTCACGAATGAGCAGAAGGCGATTAATTGTTTTGAGAAGTCTGCGGAGCTCGCGATTTCTTATATAAATGAACTTGAAAAAACGCTGAATTCAAATTCGTCGAAAGGTGCGCCGCATTTGAAAAATTTTTTGCTTAGAATATTCAATATTTTTGCAATTTTTATAATTAGCATAATTATAGGAAATACGTCAACTAGTGGTAGTTTGCCAACTCCAGCAAACGGCACACGCCAACCGGAAAAAATCGGCGATCTCCTTGAGCGATGTCTCGAACGCGTTGCGATGCTTCGCGCCAAAGACACTGTAGCACAGCGAAAAAATGGAAGCGAAGGAATTGAATGGTAATCGGAGTTTGTGGAAAATTCTAGAATTCGTTTGAAGGTATCGACGAATTATAACATGTTTGGGCGACAAGTCGACCGGCGAACGATTGCAACTGAAAATGTCGCGGCAATTGGCTGAACTGTTAATTAGAGCAGCGGTGCCCAGCGAGGACAAGTCAGCGAGCGAGGCGATGAATATGAAAAGTCAAAATTTGAAGTAGAAACATCCGCAACATGGTGGTGATTTAAACGAGTTCGTTTAAGCTTCTACACGGGTTCCCATCGAGGCTATTTTGCGCCATCGTCTCGCGTCGAAGAAATCGTTCTTCTTCTATTGATCAGCGAGGTTTTGTCGACAAGAGAAGTGGTTTTATCGCGATCCGAAGAGTTGACGAGTTCGCGAATCGAATCGCTTCAAAATGCGAAATCGGCCTACAATTTGCTCACACTGGTACGTCCTGCATAGTGTTTAGAAAATACCGTAATAAGGGTGCTCTGTGTTTTTACAAATAGATTATAGTTATTGATTAGGATTTGTTAGTGGTTAAAAAAAGGCTATTTGTAAATGGAGAGGATTTATGTGAAGACGGCATCGCAAAAAATGGAAAACTGAGATGCAAATGTCATCAAATGGAATTGCGTTTTTGATGTATGAAATATTGCTCAGTCTTGGTTCTTGTGTCGAACATTTTCTTTTTCGAAACCATTTTTTTCAATTGGTTCAATTTTAATTTTTTAAAAATTTCCTTAGAAAACCTCCACTTTTTTTGAAAATGTTGCTTCAAATTGCCAAAAAGGTCGCCATTTTAACTCAATTGTTTGTTTTTGAGACGAAAACCTGCTTAATTTGGTTTTGATTCCGCATTGGCAACAACCGACTTATCTCAAAGCTGCCATCTCTGCTATTTTCGCTCTTTTCACTTCCAATTTTTGGGCTCTTTTGAAACTAGATTTTGAAACGTGTCAAATTATTGAGTGTTTCATGCAAATGTTTTGGATTAGTCACCGATTTTCGCTCGTGTTGTTCGCTTTTTTTTCGCCGACGCTGTCGTCCTTTGTATTCAATACAGCTACAATATTTTTGTGTTTAAAACAATTTTTTGAGGAACGATATTTTTGTGTTCGTCTTTCATTTGAAATCACCATTTTTTGGTTTTAATTGCCAATATCCAATCCATTTCGACAATGTTCAATTTTTTCCGTCGTCGTTAGAATTGCAAATTTTCAGTCCAATTTTGTCTAAATGAAACTCATGCATTAAATTAAACCCATATTAGGGCAATTGCTTTGAGAAATAATGAGAAAATGTCGAATTCGCAAATAGAAATTGGCAAGAATGCGCGAAATCGATCAAATACTAGTCGATTGAAATGGAATTTTCATCAACAACAAAACTCGACAACAAATTTTTCTGTTTGGCATTAACTTTGAGAATTTGTTTGAGACTTGGGTAGATTTACGAGGTTTTGTTTTTTTAAAGGTGGTACTCGTCCGTCGGCCATCCGGACCATCCGCATACATGCGTCCGTAAACGTTAAAAAAAAACATTCTATGATGGGTGCTATTAATTTGTTCACACCTCAAAAAGCGTTTTTGATTATCGTGTCTTCCGTTTTTACATTTTTTTTCTTTTTCTATCCATTGCGAAGAATGAATTTTTTTCCGGACATCTCGCAATTTTGACAGCTTCAAAGTTTCCGTTTATAAAAATGAACTTTTCATTGTTTAAACGAAAAATCTAGATGAAAAACGCAAAAAAAAATAAATTTGCTAAACCGACAGCTGGAATAGTAAATTTCGATTTTAAAAAAATTAAAAATTAAATGGCCACTGACTCATTTTCTCGGCCGCGGACGTCCGCTTAAGCGTCCGTCCGCATGGATTTTGAAAATCAAACAATTAATCTTTAAGAAATGCTAAAAAACGAATTATTCAGGAAAAACGGATCCTCACTCAGAACCTGCCTAAATTATTATTATTTCGAGAAATTTTATTTTGCGGCGCATTCGAAACGCATTGAATTGACAAAGACATAACAAATATTAAGCAAAATTCATGTGAAAATGAGAAAAAAAGGCGAAAAACGCATTTCTATAAATCTATTCGTACACATCAGTCGCCTGACATCCACTCTACTTAGGTTAATTAATGATTTTCGGAAGTTGCATATATGAAGCTGGCTCAGAATTTACTTTCAAAGATATATTTTTGGTGCCTTTTAAATGAACACGATTCAAATTAGTTGATCAAATCAGTGTTTTTTCGTTTTTGAAACCAACTTTTCATTCTTTGAACCCGTCAAAGCCTAATAGACAAATAGTGGCGTACCGTATCGAGTTGTGGTGTTTCTTCGCGTTTCGCCAATTCAATCGCTCGATTTTTTTGTTCGCTTTTTTTTCCTGCCGTGTCTCATGTTGCGAATGTTTGCAAAACTCACTTGCCCGGCCGCCGTCTGTGTGTGAACATAGTTGTCGCATAATTGGCGGTCCTGCCGAGTTGGAATATTATGAATTGCGCGTACTTTCAGCATCTTTCAATGCTCGCTGTCTTCCCCGTCTTTTTTTTGCGTCTTGTCCGCGTCGTTTTTTTTTTCGCCATTTAACGGCGTGCAAAGAGCATCGAACAAGAATGTGCTCATTTGATATCATTGGTGTCTGAGTAATTGACACCAAATTGCCTGTTTCCGAAGCTTCGTCGTAGGCGTGAAAAAAAACATTTCATTTTGGTTCGTCAAGATTTATATACATTTTTCGATTATTTTTTGGTTGGAAAAAATTCCGAGTGATTTTCATAGATAAGATTGCGAGATTGATGGATCGAGATGAATTACATTCTTAGAATTGACAGGGGAGGATTCCCCTTAGTTATATAGCAACTAAGATTTTTACTATCAAAGGTTCAATTATTGATCTAATTTTGCTTAGATTAATATTTCCGTGTGCACCTTTAATCTCTCCTTATGCTTAGAGCCCCCTCTCCAAGTCCTCTTACATATTCTTTTGGCCAGGGTTGTCAGAAATGAATTTTGGACCCGTTCCGGCCTTGAGCCCTATATTGCTACTGAGCGGCAACACGGAGGTCCGGTTAAAAAAAAGAAATATTAACAAGAGGGAGGAGTTTTGTATACATCTTCGGACATTGTCCGGGATGTCGTCCGTTAGTTGTTATCAACTATAGCTTAAATTCAAATTCGTCCCCTCCGGCGGTTCTGGATTTTTTTATAATGTTGCTTTTGGCATTTCGCCTATTTTCCAAAATCGCACGACGCCGACAATAATCGAATTTGCAGGTGCTGTCAACTCTCCGCCAGTATCACATTCTTGCCAACATCTACGAGCGAGCCATGAAATTCGCCAACAATGATTCATTTTTGTGGTAATTTTTGCAATTTTCTAAACACATCCTCGAATCGTTGCGTTTGTTTTCAAGGCAACAATTCGCGTTGTCGTCGATTTGTCGTGGGCGATACGCGCGTGCTGCTCGTGTACTTGAGCAGTCGATTATGTCATCGAACATCGACAGCGAATCGTCGCCGTCGAAAGTGCGGCATCGAGCTGCGACTGTGGATCAGAAGGAGAATGATGGCGATGAATCGGCGCTTCATTTGACCAACAATCCTTCATGCGCGCTTTCGGTCATATCTGAATATCTTCTTTTGTCGCAGCTTTATATTGAGAAATTTGGAAATTACAAATCAGGTAATATTGCAAAAAACGAATAAATTTTGATCAAGTTTCTTTTAGCCATAGAATATTCTGAAAAAGCCATTGAGTTGTGCTCAAAAGACGGTCAATTGACTTTTTTGAAAGCACGTTGTCAACTGATTCACGCGATTGCTACCGGGTAAGTCCACGTTACTCGAGAAATCAATAATTTATGACCAAATATCATATTTCCATCGGAATTTGTGCGAAAATATATCGAATTTCGTTTTTTGACTGTCCTATTTATTATTCGGCTTTTGTAGACAAAATGCGATGCTGGAAACTGCGTGGGAGTCGAAGAAGTCGAAATTGGCGAGTGCGGTGAAACTGATCGAAGAATGTGTGTCATCGGATCCTCATGATTATCTTGCTCTTTATTATTCTGCATATTATCATGCGCTATCGAGAGATCTTGAATCAGCCAAGGATCGCTGCTCGCGGAGTTTAGCGTTGAACGGAGATCAACCGGCTGCTGTCATGCTTCTCGCGTTGATATTCACAGCCTATGGGGATTTGAAGGTTTTTTTTTTCAATTTTAAAAATAATATTCATTTTTTCTAATTAAAGGGAGCTCTGGAACTTGTTGTCACATCGCTTCAGGAATTCGAAACCAATTATGGACTTTTGGTGCTCAAATTGCAAATTGAGACAAAATTTGGACGGATTGAGGAGAGTTTGGACACTTGTACGCATCTTCTTGATTTTTGGAAAAAGAGGGACGCGATGACGATTATTGGGCATTCGGGTTTGTTTTTTTTTTCGAAAAAAATATTTTTATTTGAAATGAGTGATTTAAGGTGGAGTTGATGAGGATAAATCGCAGGCGACGTTGAATGGAATGGATTCGAATTCGGTGATGTTGGGAAGAGATGGAAGCATGAAAACTGGTAAGAGTTATTATTAGAGTTTTCAGTTTTCAATATTAAAAATGAGCTCAATTGGACGGCGCGCAAAAATGCAAAGAATTCAACATTGCGAAATAACAGAATATATTGAAAACTGCCTAAATTATTCAAATTTGCAATAATAGCCAAAAGATAATTGTTTTTTAATTGATTTGAGAAGAAAATAAGAACTCTTGGAACTCCGATAAGTTTTCCTAATGCAACTGTAATCTCACGAGTTTTTCAGGAACTCCCTCTCTTGGACGCGAAATCTCGACACCGGTCGTTCCAGGAGCACCATTGTCATCGTTCTCGAATACCGTCCCATTGTTGAATTCACTTCCAACAAATGCTTCAGGAATGGACATTTCAAGTAAGAATTTATGTGTATTTGAATTATGCATTCTCAACTATGTTTTTTTTTTCCAGTTGCTGACAGCGGTGTGACGATTTCTGACAATGGGCATTCATCGGCGAGCGATAGTGGCACGAATACGGCATCGGCGGACGCTTGGTCGAGATTCCGAGCGCAAGCTGATATTTGGATGTCACTTACCGAGTTGTACTTGGCCGAGGGACGATTGGCCGATGTGACGAAATGTGTGGAACAGGCGATCGGATTGTTCCCACAATCGCCACAAGCGATTTATATGAAGGTTTGATTCGTTTTGGGCGATTTGAAATGATCCAGAAATGAATAGGGGCGGCTACTCGGATGTCGGGCTGAGAATCTGAAGGATCGGAACATGGCGAGCAAGATTCGCGGAGAAGCAAAATCTACCTACTTGTCGGCTTTGGCGTTGTGTCCGAATCATGTGCAATCGATGAGCGCTCTAGCGAAATTGTACGAAGCCGAAGGAAATCAAATGATGGCCGAACATATGCTTCGGTAAGCTCATCGTGATGGTACTTTCTCACAGGAAAAAAAATTAAAATTTGTAGAGAAATGGTGCGAAATGATCCGCTGAACTGCAATTGGTGGCAACAGCTCGGATGTTCGTTGATGCGTCGCGGAGAAGCCGACCAAGCCACCGAATGTCTCACAGCAGCCTCAAATCTCGACAGATCCACGCCGTTGCTGCCGTTTTCGTTCATCTCTCCCGTATTCCCCGCGGGATTCTAACAACTCAATTCTGGTGCCCAATTCTTGTTCGTCTGCTCTGATCTCAATTCAACAACATAACCAAGTGATATTTATTAATTAATATGTAGTTTGAACGGTGAATTTTAACCTTTTTGTAGATTAATTATTATTATTTATGTATATAGACATTGCTAACTTATTCAATAAATTATTATATTGAAAATTAATTTAAAGCTTGGGGTGTTACGGTATCGATATGTCCGATGGAATACTATAAATAAATGAAGATATAAAATATTGAAATTTTGTTTTAAAAAAAAGATGGATCAAGAAGCTTGTTTGGCAATTGAAGACGATGGGAATTATCAAGGGATCGATGCTCCGGCGATGTCCGCAGCGGCGTATTTGAGACAGGTTCAATCGGACATTTTATTTTTAAATTTTTGGAAACGATTTTTGATTTCTTTTTGTTGTTCATTTCAATGTTTTTTTTTGTGTTTTGGGTTCGAGAAGGTCGCAAAATGTGTCCGGAAGTGGTAACATTCAAAGTGTCGCTGAAAAATAAAGGGAAACGAACGCAATGGGAAGGCGTCAAAGATCTGAATTTGACCGAGCGTCGCGAAACGACCGAGGTGCCTCAACTCGATTCATTATTTCAAATTGTGTGTTTCTTCAAGAATTGTCTGATTCCGTCGATTGAATGGCAAGAAGCGAAGGGTCGAGAGTTCGCCGAGAATCGCGACAAGATTCATTTCATTTGCGCCAATTCTGCGGCGCCGCGCAAATTTCCCGGAAGACGCCCAAAAACTGTTGGATTTGGTTGAAGTTTTTTTGAGAATTTAAGATTTTCTTTTAAATAGGATGATGAGGAAGCTTGGCACACTCTCTTACTAGAAAGATGTCCGTCGGAAGCCGAACACCTGAAGGCATCATTTCCGAATCATGTTGGACTTCCGCCGGCGCTCTCAATTCTTCGACAATTTTCGTGCAAATTGGTTGGAAATTTGTCAAAAATAATCGTTTTTTTTTTCCAAATTTTTTTCCAGATCAATGAGCTCATATCGTATCTTGTTGAATGGTCGGAATCTGAAGGATTGACACGTCCAATTCGCGAATGGATTTATGCGCTTCTACTGTTCGTCGAGGTCCCATTGATCCCAGAGACGATCTCCTCATTGAGAGAACTTGCGAAAGAAGCGAGGTGAACTTTGGAATATCTTGAACAAATTTTTTGTGGAAAAGTGTAAAATTTCATAAAATGTGCAATTTTTACATTTTGTAATTCATGAATTGGTCCATTAGTGAATATATCGAAATATTTCAGAAGAACGCGTTCTCGTCTCGATTCCAGTCGCATTGAAGAAGCCAACGAGTTCTCGATGTTCATTGCCATCATTGGTATTTATTTCAACCAGAAGGATCTCTCAGACTTGACGAGCTGAATTCGCTGCTCATTCCACAATAAACATTGATTTGATCGTTCATTCCCTTTGAGAAAACAACCTTCAGTACATAAATAATCAATGGACATGAAAAGTGTAGAAAGTGATCTCATAGGCTACCCCAAAAGGGTTGGCCCATTGCATAAAAAAGCATATATCACATAAATAAGTTAGAATTTTTCTTAAATTAATTAATTAATGATACATAAAAAAGGAAAAGAAAGTGGTGATTTAAAAGAATTGGATTAGGCTAGAACAAATGCGAAAAAAAATGAGCTTTTTGTCAGAAGTATTTTTTTGAAAATGATTATTATTGTATCATTAGGAATTAATGCAATAAATACAATATAAAATAAATATGGTCATTGATTAAAAACGGGAGGGAAAGAATGAAAGAAAAATTAAAAATCTAATTGATTATCGCACCTAAAATACAACTATAGTTGAACTTATAAGTTCAACGGGGTTTCTTTTTGTTTTGTTTTTTTCAAAGTGACATCAATGTGGAAGTTTTCATAATAATATTGAGTAATAATAAATTAATAATAAATAGGCAATAAATAAAGAGTGAAAGTGAACCACGAAGAGATTGGAGGAATGGGGAATCGTGCGAAGGCCTCAAGTGGCAGGGTTTTCTCTACATATTGCTATTGCTCTATTCTTTATTTGCCTTTCTGAAAAAGAAAATCGATATTTTTTGAAACTCTCCATGAAAAATTCTATCATTTCAAATGTACCTTTGCCGTTGAGTCACTTTTCTTCACAGCCGTACTCGTTTTTCTAGCATTCGGTGTCGCATTCTGAAAATATTCAATCTCAATATTCCCAACACTTCCGATTTTACTCACCTTTCCGACATCGCTTGTCTTTTTCGCAACCGGTTTCGTTCCGACGCCTTGTCCAGCCGTCGATTTCTTGGCAACTGGCTTCACAGACGTCGCCGCCGCCGCAACAGACGTCTGCGACGGCTGCCGAACCGGTGCTGTTTTTCGAACCGCGACAGACGCCGTGTCCGAAAACGCGACTCCTTTCCGCATCGGCTCCGTTGGCTGAGATGGTCCCAAAGTGTTGAGCGGTGATGACTGCAAGAAATTCGATGGCACGAGTCCTCGAACTCCATTCAGTTCTCCCATGTAGAATCCATCTTCATCCATTTCGCCAAACACTGTGATGACATCGCCTTGTCGGAAAGAGAGCTCCACCTGCTCGGCATCAACATTCGGACTCAATTGTCTCGAATCGTAGTCAAATTTCGCAACCATTTTCTTGGTGACGACTCCATTGTAATTCGTCGTCAGATCCATTCCAGATTGTCCCATCATCATTCCGGCATCTCCGCCCATTCCACCGATTCCAGATTGATTCTGAAGGCCGATGAGCTGCTGAGGTTGCGGTTGTTGTTGCTGCGATCCGAGTTGCATTTGCGACATCTGATGGCTGAGCTGTTGATGCTGCTGCTGTTGTTGTTGTTGTTGTTGCTGTTGTTGTTGTTGCTGCTGCTGCTGCATACTCATATTCTGACTTGTCGACGGTTGCTCATAGCGCGCGCTGTTCGGTGGATAATCATACGTCGTGCGATCATCCCGATAATCGTCCATCCTCGGCCGTTCTCTGTACTTATCCCGGTAATCATATCCAAATTCTCGTCGTTCGTATCCACGCCGCTCATACCGATCTCGCTCGCGGTCTCGATCTCTATCACGTTCTCGTTCTCGTTCGCGTTCCCTTTCACGGTCCCTGTCGCGTTCCCTTCGGTAGTCATCATCAAAATGAGATGGTCCGTATTCATCCCTCGGATCAATCGGTCGTCTCGCTGATCGATCTCTTGATGAGGCATACCGATCGTCGTAATCTTTTTCTCTTCGGTAGTCGTAGTCATTTCGTGGTCCCGGCGCTCCGTTTGATCTTCGATACCTTTCCGGAATTCGCTCTTCCCTTCGATCAAGGCTCGCATAATTCTGCGAGCTTCGATATTGCGATGTACTTCGATCACCAGCGTGGTCGTAGCTCCGCGATTTCAGACTTCCCCATCGCATCCTTCGAATCGCAGGTTCTATGGGCGCAGCAGGCAATGCGGCCGCGGTTCTCCTGGGTAGCACGTCATCTTTTGCAATTTCAATAACCATATTTGAAGGCACTAATCCTATTCGGTTTCCGATCTGACCTTGGTAGAATCCGTCAGCATCAGCTTCTCCGTAAACCTGAAATCAATATATTCAATGAAAACATTTAAAATTCGATTTCTACCTTGATCAATTGATGTTTTCGGAACGACAACTCTTCATATTCAGCATTCGGATTCGGCGACATATGATGCGAATAATCGAACAAAGCAACAAACCATCGGCAGTCTTCCGAATCAAGCGTCGGCGGTCGTAGATCAGGCTCCGATCTTGTCCCGAAGCCACTCTCGCTTTTCACTCGAGCCAATCTCGGAGCAATTAATCGAGTGCGATTGAGTGTCCCAGTATGATGTATCCTTTCATCGGCACTCCCCGCCCTAGCTAGCCCTCGCGAATAAGCTTCAACGCGGGCTCGAGCATCCGGTGCATTCGACCAGTCATTGTGGCGATGTCGCATAAGGTAACTGGAAAACGAGTTCGATTTATAACATAATTGTTCTCGTCGAAAAATTTTTACCTGTTCTCCATTTCCAAAACCGATGGTCGCGTCTCTTCAGCTCCGGTCGGCTCTGTGTGCAAATAATTCGGATGGAATGTGTAATACTGGCTCATTTGAGGCGGCTTCCATGCCTATAATTAAAGCAATATTTCAATCAAGAGCTGCCCATCCAATAACTCACATTCGGCAGGCTCGTTTGCATTGTGCTCGGCGATGGCCGTGAAGTCGCATAATGGCCGCCTCCAACTGACGTCGTCGCTGCTGTCGGAGGCACAGCGCCGCCAAGCGATGTCGATCTGCAAATCAAGTCAGTCAGTCGCACTACCACATATAGGAATTATAATTTCGCGTTTCCGACACTTCATCTCTCATCTCGATCTTGAAGATGAGAAATTCGGATAAAAACGAAAAGAAAAGAAAAAAGAGCGGACGTCGTAGAGCACTCGACGGCAAGCCATTTATCTTCCACGAACATCTTTTATTTATAAGGTAACAATGAAACGCTTCGGCGGGCGGAAAAGATGAGCGACAAGAGTGCTCCTAGAGACGACGGCGTCAACTCGCGCACAGACTACGACGACGACGACGACGACGTATAATTGCACTAGGTTGAATATTTGAGCAATGTATACGGTAGTCGACGATAATTATACGGCACAAAGAAACATTTTGTAACACGTAAGAAGTGACCGATGAAAGAACATACCGATCGAATGTTGCGTATCCTGATGGAACTGCGGTGGCTGGCTGAACGAGAGCTGCCGCCGCATTCGGATACGATGGCTGCTGATAGGCCATGATGCCGGTGGCACCAACCATTCTTGCCGGTGCAGTGTACGGAGCTGTCACTGGCGCTGCTGGATTCGAAGCGATATGCCCGTTGGTTAATGGAACTTGACCACCCATGAACGACGCTGAAGAATTTCGACAATTCTGACAAAACTCTTGAAAATTCTCTTGAATACCTGGATTATGTGCATAGGATGGATAGGACGATGTCATGTCTACAAGTGGCAGACCAAGATCTTGCTGAAGAATCGGCTGACCGGTGGCGGTGGCGATTCCTTGCGTTCGCGGCACTCGCGCGACGTTCGAGTCTGATGAGACGGCGCCTTCTTTCGTCTTCGTTCGAACGGTGATGAAAATCGGCGGATCGTCGGAGAGATCGGCGAGTCGCAGAACGACGTGGTCGGCCGTCGCCGATGGCACCTGAGCAATGTTCTTGCCGTCGGCGTAGATCAAATACGAATGGACGGCGGCGCGCGACGGCGGTTTCGGCTGATTCGCGACCGGATGCCACGACACGAGTAGTGTTCCCGGCTGCGGTCCGATTTCGACTTGAACGTTCGATGGCGGATCGGGAAGGCCGACTGAAAAATAACGAATTTGAGCGAATACCCAGAACTCAGTTAGGAAGCTTAATCAAAATTACTAAAAAATGAAAAAAATAATTTTTTAAACGTTTTCCAATAAACGTGGCATTTATAGAAATTTGCCCAAAATGTCAGCGTCGTTCGACTTTTGATCTACACGAAAATTAAGAATCTTTAGGCATCGTTGAAATCGCTGGCTGGAATTTCAGCCGTCGGAAAACAAATAATGTGAGGGGATGGGGAAGAACATACATAGGCGAGTCGTGGCCTGCACGGATAACAAATTGTTTGCGAGTCGCCGCAGCTTCGGTGCTGCTTGAGATCTTTGCCGCCGCGACGACGGTGTGCCGCGGCGAAGGTGTGAGAAGAACGAGAAAGACAAAAAGCAACGGAGTGGGTGAGTGGGTGTGAGTGAGTGGATGGGTGTGTGTGTGTGTGTGAGTGTGTGTGTGCGAGGCGCGCGCCTCGCTGAAATATTAATCGACGACTGAAAGAAAAAAAATGACCGAAAATGAATGAGACAAAAGCGCAACGCATTTTAATTTCGCACTCATGCCCCCCCCTTTCTTTTTTTTTTTGCAAAATTGTTGCTGGCTGCTCGCTCGGTCAAACTCACTTCTCATTGACACCAGAACAAGAAGGAATTCTCGCGAAATGATTCAGCGACGCTTCAAAAAAATTTCTGGAAAATGTCAGCACAGACATCTGCACGCGATATGCGTCAGCAGCCATACAAAAATCAGCTGCTCTCATTTCAATTGGCGAGAAACAAACAATTCGACGAGATACAGATTTTAAAGAAAAACGAGGAAAATGCAAAACGATGTTTCGAATACGAAATGAATGGGCGGCGCGGATATACAACATTTTTATGCGATTTCTTATAATGGCCATTTTTTCGTTTTCTTTTTTTTTTGCTTGCCCCCGCCCCTACGGCCGTTCGAAACAAAACGAAAATCGAGGGAAACGCGTTTTACGACTTGTACGTGATTTGTGAAACGCGAAAGAGACGCAAACAAATTTATTTGGCTGCAAAAATGTTTCCCGCCACGAATAATAAGTTGTCAAAAGAGACAAGGTGAGCGAAAAAAGCGCTAGTCAGCATTCAACTAGCTCCATTAATATTTTTCCAATCGAATGAGCACGTGAAGCAAAAGAATGATGAGAAGAAGCTCCACGAGACTGCCGGCAAACTTCCTCGATTCCTCAATAATTGGTTGTGCACGATTTCTGATCTCAACAAGCCATACGCCTCCCACTCGTTTATTGTTCAAATTAAATCTCGCGCCAGGGAAATTTGCAAGAAAATGAATGGAGCCGCCAAAGAAAAGAAAAGGGAGGAAGAAGAAAAAAAAATGCACGATTGGATATACTCGGTGTGAGCCCAACAAGGCGAGAAACAAAAGAACAAAGTTTCAATTTGTCGGTGACGGGGGGGGGGCACCGAGCTTCGACCGACAGACAGGCTCGAACGCACACAGAATTTCTTCGCCTTTTTTGTTTTGTTTTTTTGAAGGCGCTCGGCTACGTCTTCTTCTTCTTCTCCTTCTTTGGACACCAAAAAGAGCACGAACATTAACTTTTGTGCGTTCACGTTTTTTGTCTTCGAGATGTGTGTATGTGTGCCTCGTGCGAGTGTTTCGTCGGCTCATGCGCAAAATCGATGAGTTTTTTTTCCTTTTTTTCCGCGTTTGACTGACTGACTAACTGACTGACTGACACTCGCCACTGCTTTTTTGTTCTTCTTCCTAATATGGGTTGAGTTTGGTTCGAACCCAGAACAATATTAAAGGAAATCCAATTGATGTGAATTGGGGGGAAACTGCCGAGCCACAATTTATAAGTTCCGTGAAACGGAAACTCGATTTTCAAATTAGAAAAAAAAAGAAAAACGAAAATCGGCTAGAGCTTAATTATTGGATATTAGCGGATTAGTGAGAAATATGAAAAAAGTGATAAAATGGGTATAAGCCGTTGAAATGAATAATATATCATGTGAGAGATATGATTTCACATAAACAATTTGTAATATATCTCCTACAATAACAAGAATTCTCAGAAAATCAATCAAGATTTGCGTTTTCGAAGAAATTATTAAAAATTGCCGATTTCTACATTTACTTCGGTATTTTCTCGAGAAGGGTTTTTATGAATTTCTCGATTCGAGCTTTAAAATCTAGTATACAGTACCCGTTTAGAGCACCAGAGTTCAAAAAATGTGCAATGGGTCGCAATTGCGGCAAAACGTGACCTACTTTTCGGAAGTGTCTTGAAGTCGATGCAACGTTCGACGGGCCTCTGCTCGAGAACCGCTTTCGGATGTTTCGTGCGCACCGAGACCCGATAAATTGTTGACGGCTGAAGACCTTGGAGTTGGACCTGCAAAAACAATTTTTTATTTGCGGGTGCCCCGAACCGGATGAATAGGTATTCATTGGCATTCAATAGCAAGATTATTGGATGGCAAAGACGGAAAAAAACCACCGAGGAGAAGAAAAAAATAAGGAAACGTCCCTCCCCACAAGAGGCCCTTCTCCCATCGCGCAAACGATGAGGAGTAGCTGGAGAAGTAAACGAATGGCTCGACGACGGCAACGGTGGAGCACCGAACGAAGACGATGGGCGGCTCGAGCGGTGTGAGGATAAATTCTCATTACGAGGATGAGCGAAAACGCGCGATATATAAGGAGAATATTACTAAATTCCATAAAACACCAGGAGCGGGCAATATTTTTTTTAATAAAAATTGTTTGCCAAACAGAAGCATCCAAAATTATTTTCGTACTCGCCAGTTTTGATTCAGTCATTCACAAAACAATTTCAGAGCACCTGTCTGTCTACAATGACATCAGTTCGACGTTAATCGCGAATATCGGATTAACTCATATCATTTTTCAGCATCAACGTGGCGAGGGAAAAAATTGAGAAAAAAAATGAAAGGGATCTGACGGATTTGAACCCTAAATGGCTAAATTTGCTTGTAAAATGCCCGAGTTGGTCATTTGAACTCGACAACAAATGAACTTGAAATTTCGCATGAAATTAAAAAAAATGGGTAATATGATTCATTTATGATGAAATGTATTTCGAAATTTCAGACCGGAAACCATTAAGTTATTATGGTCCGTGTTCCACCAAAAAATTGTACGTTGAAGTATCGTTGGCTGGCAATAAAAAAAACACGTTTGAAGCATAATAATCGAAAATTGCGATTTTCGAGCAAAACGAAATGAGATTGTAATTTGAGTCCGAAATTTAAGGCTGCACGCGCATTCTAACAATTTCATTCAAAAAAATTTGAACCCTGTGAACTGAATTAGATTTCAAAATTGAATCGAAATCCAATTATGAAGCGAATAAGTAAAAGGATCAGCGTAAAACAGGCGAAAATTGGAAATCTTTACGTATAAAAATGAGGCATAATATGCCCATATTTGTCGTCGGTGGGCGTCACATATAAGTACGCGCCGCCCATTACCGATCCAATTTACGAGACGACGGACACACGAAACGCGCGCGCCTCGTTAGCAAAATGAGCCGTTTATTTTGTATTTGGTCATGTGAGGAGAAGAGCACGAATGAGCTGCCGCTAATGCTGCACCACCTTCGGTTCGGCTCAAGAAAAATGAAAAAGAAACGAGGACGACGACGACGACGAAGAAGCGGAAGAAAAGCAATAGGAATGAGGGGCGGACGAGCGGAATGCCATGGCAACCGAATGCCAACAAAAATCACCTGAAACACTGTCGGTGGGCACACGCCCACTTTGACCGCGTTCAATGAGACGACGTGCTCCGCGTTGCTATTCGACGGATACCAACGAACGCACGCCGACACCGGTGTGACCGCCCACACGCGCACTTGTTGCGGTGCAACCGCCGCTTCTGAAATGCAAAAGAACAATTCAAACGTCAGCGTCATCATTATATCGAATTTGTCGCAATAATGACCCACCATTTCCTATAGCTATTGTACAGCAAGCATCTGGCGAGTGTCCGTGCTCGGTCACCGCGCGAACCGACAAATTCACAGAGCCTTCCAGCGAAATATCTTCAACTAATGCTCGGCACTGAAATAACAATTTTGCGATTCCATCTCCTCATTCTTCCATTCATCCCATTTACCTTATAAGACCCGGGAACAATCGCTCGAACAGCGCCATCGACGCACACGTGGTATTGGGAAACGGCAACGAAAGATTCTTCGGGTGGACTCCACGAAACAAGAGCGCTTCGCGATAATTTCTTTTCGACGATCAATTCGCGAGGACAAGGCACTGAAATTGTTCGTTGCACATATTAATATTTCAAATAAATTGCAGATTTGCAGAAGAAAAATGAAATTGACTTGATTTATTCAAATTCATGCAAAATTATTCGCAATTTCTAGAATAATGATTAAATACGAAATAATAGAAAAAATAATTTTGCATTTTGCGCATACCTTCGTTTTTATTGGCTAGAAAAGAGAGCGCAAATTTCGAAACAAAAAGATGATGATCCCCTGAGTCTTTTGGCAGTTCGTGTGTCAAAAAGAGTTCATACATGCTCAATTGAATATTCGATCTATTGTGGCTTCGTTTCTTGCCACAATAATCCATCATTTTTCGACGAACGACGGACGACGGCGCACGTCGCAAAAAATCCCCTTTTCGGCTCTCAGCCGCCGCCAAAATGAAAACAGATCCCTAGTATTTCGGCGCGTTTTCAATTAATCAAATTTCCTCATTTTTTTGCACTTTTGATGTTTTTTCTAAAGACGTTTTAGATAATAGGAAAAGGGATGAAATATGACTGGTCCTCATATTTTAAAGTTTATTTGTTCAATATAATTTATAATTTTTTAAAATAAATACTAATAAATTCGATACCAGTTCTAATTATTCATTTTCTTTTCATTTCGAGTTAATAGGTTGACTCATTCATTCTTGAATTTTTTGCTTCAATTTCCTCAAACGAAAAAAATGGATGAGTTAGTTCCACAAGAAACCTTTCTCCTGACTCATTCAATTGATATATCTTGTTTTCATATTCTCAACTACGATATTTTGTGGTTTCCAACTAACAAAAATGTTCATTTTTCCAGAATTTTCGAATCGCGGCGTCCAAACACACAAAAAATTCGGAGGCGATGCGCTGTCAAGATAGATTAGGTAAGAAGCAGCGGGCAACCAGAAATTGAATTAGACATACTTTGGTCTCGCCACGATCAATCGCTTGAGGCGATTTTTAGCGCAACCTCTTTCTAAATGGATACTAGTCGAGTGGTCGGAAATGTTATTATTTAGTACAGGCTAGATTTAAAAAAGAAAATAATGCAGAGAAAATAATTTAAAAAAAAACGAACCTCGCGGTGTTTCATTGTTTTTGATCTCCTGAACGGTGACCTTTGTCACATCCGCCGGCGGATACGGACAAACCTGAAAAAACAATAAGCGAGTCAATAATATTGGATTGCAATTTGTCTTACCGAATCTGGTAAAGTCGAATGATCTGGCGATGAGAAATCATGCGCTATCGTCGATAAATGTTGGGGTATCCTGAGCGGAAATGAGGGTGACGGTGCTCGTGCATTCGACAATAGAACAGAGTCGGGAACCCTATTAAATTGCAAATATACACTTCAAATATATGTAAATTCTCATTAGTATTCTTTAGACATTGCCTATTAAACGCAAAGACATCTCTCAAACTTATTATTTTAATGAATTCATAATAAAATCGAAAACTTGGAAATGAATCGAAATTCAAACTCTCCAACAAAAATTAAAAGAGCGCACCTTTCGACATAGTTAGACGGCACGAGACCCGATCGTCCATCGAGGGTCTCGCCGCGATAGAAACCATCCGAATCCATTTCGCCTTTGACGAGGACCACGTCGCCGGGCTGCAGACTGAGCTCGAGCTGCGGATTCTCGTTGGGCGAGTCGCGCAGCGGCAAATATTGGAAAAGTGCGCGAAACACACGCGAGTGCGGTTTCGAGCGCAACGTGAGCAATAGAGCGTCGGAAGAGGGCGGCGGTCCGCCGAGTCCGCCCGGCCCCAAATGATTCGTGACACTGTATGAGGTGGTCGGCTGCTGATTGCTGAGTAGCGACGACGACGACGACCCTAAAGGCGCCGCCGCCGCTGATGTCGATGGTCCGGGCACCATGTGGCCCGACGTCGACGCCGGCGGGCCGGGCCCGGAAAGGCTGAGCATCCGCTGCGGCGCTCACCAATAATGAAGGTTCAGCTGATTTTCGCGCGTCGCCGCCAGTGTCGCTGATGTGTGGTGCACGGCTTCGAAGAATCTCGTCCGGATGCTGTTGGTGTTATTGTTGCGTCGGGCCCGCCTCCACCACCGACCTCGAGCCACGATGTAACGCCTATCACGCGTATCGTTCTGAAATCATTTAAAAATTAATCATCTGAGCGTCGGCAACGGCAACGAATCGCGAAGAAGACGATGGGAACTTATAACAAAACAAATGGGTATTAGTACAACAAAACTAAAAGCAAAAAAGAAAAAAACCATCATCACTATGGAAATCCCCGAGCGCAAGAAATTCACGAAATAGAAAAACACGCGCGTTTCTTTTTTTTCTGTCCATTTCTTTCATTTTTTTCTGTTTTTGTTTTTTTTTTAAGAAAACGTGGTGTGTCCATTTGTGCAAGCACCAAGCGCCTGTAATAATTGGAAATATGGCGGACGAGGAGAATATTTAATGAGGAGCAAGGAGACACAAAAAATGTGTATATGGATATTTATGAGCGGGGCCCAGGAGCTCGGCACACCACAAACACTCGGCAGGGGGGGGGGGGTGAATACATTGAGTCGAAATCTGATATTTTGGCCTAATTTGTGCAAACGCTGTTTTTTTTTCTTCTGCTTATTCTTCATCTTCTATTTGTGTTCTTCGCCGGTTATGAGAAAACGAAGAACAACTTGACAATTTCGGGGGGATTTCGAGGATGAAAAAAAGAACATTAGAAATGACGACAAATTGCGTACCATTGAACGAAAATGAGTGATTTGTAAAGAACGATAAACAATCAATAAAATAATGAAAAGACAAAAGGCGAAATTAGTATAAAAATATAAAAAGAATATTCACATGGGTTAACAGCGAAAAAAAAAACGAAAGAAATTGAACGAAAATGAGTTTTTTGTTCGACACGAAGAGCCCTAGGAGTCATCAAAAAGTACTTAAGATCACCGATTTTTCCATTAAGGAAAAGCATTTTCTGCGAAAAGAGTTTAGCGCGAACAAAATGAGGGTGAACACTTGTCAGATAATTAGACTTTTCATGATAATTAAGAATGGCAAAAAAAAAAACGTGTTGAGGACGAGAATTTTACGAAGAAAAAATTAAACCATCAATAATCTATTTTCAATCATTCTTTAATTTCTCGGCATTTGTTCTTGTAAGTCAATCCTCAAATTCCTCTCTTCTCAAAATTATCTTTATTTGAGGGCGAACGCGATACTTCTAAAGCACAGCCTAGCGTAGATCAAACATCGAACTCAACCAAAAATTGAAAGTATCAAATTTCGTACGAGGAATTCAAAAAATAATGAAATACTTGCAAAAATGGTAAGTATGAATTATGCTTATTTAAAAAAAATGAATTGTCTATTGTCGAAATGGTACGGTAGATTTGGGTCTCGCAACTCACATGCCAATTTACGTGTGAGAATATTTGTGATGGTGATTTTCTGGGGCATCACCAAAAAAATACTTTTTTAAGAAAGCGTAAAAATTATAAAATTTGCATTCACACGGGTGGCGAGACCATAGAGAAAGACGCACACCCGTAAATCTACATCCAGCAGTTTTCCGACGCCAACAATGTATATGGGAATAAAACCAAAATGAAAGATTTCACCAGCGTTTGGGAAAATATAAGCGAAACTAGTGAAAATCTTAAAAAAAATTTCCGAATGTTTCGTCATTTAAATCGCCTACGATAATACTGTACATTTCTATTGAATTAAAAAAACGAGTTTAACATTAATATAACAAAACTAAAAGTTTCCCAAATCACATATTATTCAAATTACGAGGGAATTAAACTTCTATAAACACTGAAACGGCAAAAAACAAAAAGAGAGAAGCGTAGGTCAAAAGAAAATGAATCACAACAGACCACCTCGACGTTTCACCGGAAGCGAATCGATAAAAAAATAATGGACGTGAGTGCTCGACGGAAGCGCGCGCACGGCGCCGAAAAAAAAGTGGCGAGAAACACAAGAAGGCACGCATGATGATGATGACGATGATGATGATGGGGATGATGAAGATTGCCGTTTTTGGCGGAAGCGCCAAAAAAAACATTCGAAAAAAAAAACGAAACTGCAGAGGAGATTTTTTTGGTGGGTGCAACAACCAACACCACCATCACCACCACAACCACCACCGGGTTAGTACTTGGTGCTTCTGACGCGCGAGCGCACGCAAAAAAAATAGAAGAAAATGACGAAAAACGCAAACGCAAAAAAAAACCGAAACGGGCGTAGGAGACAGGGAGGAGTTGGAGCAGCGCGCCGTCGGCGGGGTCATGAGAGCAGGAGCGCCTGGAGAAGCGGCAAAAAGCGAGAAAGGAGGTCTACTACTACTACTACTACTCCTTCTTCTGCTTCTTCTTCTTCTCTAAAGCAAGCCCGCAAAACGGGCCACGCCGGGCCTCGCCTCTTGTTTTTGTTGTCATCTGGTCAAAAGCGGAGACGGGCGGCTCGCGCGTCGTCGGAATCCCGAAATGACGTGGCTTCGGCTACTCGCGCGCTTCCGATATTTATTCTATTAAAAGAGTTGGACTACTCGAGCCATTTTTGTCGACTCTCTCAAGCGGAAAAAAACGGACGATGGAGAATGGCGCAAAAAATGATTTTCAATAATTCTGGTTTGCAGACCAAAAAAAAGAGATGAGCATTATTTTGCAAAAGAAACATGCGCAATTTAAAAGACCGGACCATGAATGAAAAATTCAATCCAAAAACTGAACCAATTTTCGAATTGTACTCCAAATGCACTCTTAAAAAAAGCCTCAAAACAATTCGTCTCGACTAGGCATTCATTCACCAAATGAAAAATTTAGAAGCATTGTTTGACACAAAAAAAGAAAGCGAAACACTCAATAGTTGGTTGTTTGAATATTCATTTAACACAATACACATATTCATAGACAGCTGTTTTTTTTTAAATAATTATTTGCGACACAACTGCGCTGATTGTTTCTCGCCTACACGAGTTTCTTTCTCATTTCCGGTCTACTAGTATTCCTAAAATGATAATGCTCGATTGATCCGTGTGTTCCGCGATAAATGAAAACTTATCGAATTTCTGAGCAACGTCTAGACGCTGCCCGAATAAATTGCAGTGAAAAAATGGCGTCATTGCTTAAAAAAGCGCGATAAATGACGATGTTGCAGGCGAAAAAAAAATTAGCATCGAAAATTGAATCAAAATGAATTTTTTTTTTCGAATTAAAAATATTTTTGCTATTTATTTAAAAGAACACGTCTTTCAAATGGATTCTGTTAAATGAAATGATAGAAATGCGACTAAAAATAAAATTTCACATGAAAAAATTCATGAAAGTCGATTTTTGAAAGCACATACTCGTAAATTTACCAAAACAGTTCGGTTTACCCAAAACAAAATGATTAAACGCATGAAACTCGAATGACCTCTTGACTACTTATTCTAGGACCATCGAAAGAAAAAAAGAGTAGACATACTAAAATATGCGACATTTGACGCCAAGCCTGCAAAAATAGAAAAGAGGACACCAAATCCTACGCAAATATGCACACATTGCAATGAATAATTCATTTGTTCCCATGTTTTGGCGGTGAACTTTGAAACAATTTTCGGACGTCGAATCGGAATCGAAATCGAGCAAAAATAAGAAGTAAAGAAATGTGGAAAATGGCGGGGAGAGCAACGAAGGAAAGCAAAAAAAAACAATAGAGTCACGCATGCGACAAAAAGTTCTCATAATGAAAAATGTTCAGTAGCGGCGCGGTCGAGTCGGCGAAGGTAAAGCTCCTTTTTTTTCCACTCAAAAGTCACTCGATCGACTACAATTTTTCGTTGTCTTTCTCCCGCGTCCTTCTCCATTTTCCAGGAGAGCTCGAGCGCACTGCGCACACACGAAGAAAAAAAAACGACGAGAAGAAAAATAATGCAACACACCGGAACCCCGCATTCCGATAAGAAGGAAACGTTGGCCCCGAATGCTGTGCAGCTTCATCATCGGACGACGACGAAAAAAAAAACGAAAGCCGACGAATTATATATATATATATATATATATATATATATATATATATATATATATATATATATAGGCAATAGGGCAGTTGGTGGGTGCCGTCGGACAAAAAAAAATTCAATAAATAAATTAAGCGATTCTGCTGGCGGCGGATTCTGTGCCTTTTGATGAAAATTGATTAATTTTACGAACGAGCTGAACAACATTCCGCAAATTAATCAAAAAATACCAGCAACACAAGTCGGACGGCATTTTATGGCAAAACTTGTCGTGGTCCATTTCATTGTGAGATATCTAGTCGATTATTTTCCGGACGTTTTTCTTTTTTCATTTTAAGTAAATTTCGAGTGTAGCCCATCGACTAAATGAGACGAACGATGAGACACTGATTTGAGTGCGCAAAATGGAGGACGAAAATAATTAAAAAATTATATTGAAAAATTCTAGTCGTCCGAAACAATGCTTAAACAACCTTGAATTTTTTATAGCTAATAAATGTCAAAATTAACATGAATTTGGGAAACATTAGCGAAATTAGTATTCAAAACAGTGCTGCTAAAAAGGGGAAGTAAAAGCTTATTCGAAAAAAAATAATGGGGTAGTACTTGAAAGATTTTAAGAACACTGTTTAAAAACATTTGCATATTTTTTTCTGAGTGTGAGCAAGCAACAGAGATTTTGGCTAGACATCGACGAATATGGAAAAAAAAAATCAGAATCAGTTTGAGCTTGAAATCAATAATATCTGTGCCCTTTTTTTTGAACAATGGAAGAAAAGAAGACGGCGTCAAAAAGAGTTTGGCCTGCTCAGAATTGAAAACAAAACACTTATGCATATGCGCACGTTAGAGTCTATTTTTTTCTTTTCTCGTTCTCATATTTTAGAAAACAATTTTATAAATGCAGAGTGCCCAATTGAAAACAAAAAAAAATAAAATAGCAAATTCAATTGGGTATCCGTGTCAAAAATTTTTCAAAGCGAATTTTCGCCTTAAAAGGGCATCGCTACATTGCGCATTCAATGAAATTTAAGCCAATTTTCGGGCACCGCGTTTCTCAATTTCTGATTTCTCGTTTTTTTTTCTGCCGCGAGCAAAAAGACTCATAGGATAGAAAATGCACAACCGATAATCATATAATCGCCTTATCAGTTCAATAAATTAAGTAAATAAGCTGATGAAGTTGTTAAACGAAAAAAATATTTTTCGAAAAATATTATAATCAAATAGTAATAATAAGCTACGAAAAGCTTGTCAGACTATTGATTTTTCGTTCGGAAAACTTCAAGATATTAGTTGAATGTGCTTTGTTAAAAATTTTAAATTTTCTAATGAGTTTTTTAAAATGCATCTATAAAAAAAAGAGGCATGTTGTTTGCATTTTCGCAATTTTTCTAACATTGCAAGCGGAAAAAATAAGTAAAAAAAATACATGCAAAGTATTGACTATTGTTTGCAAAATTTTGCAAATTGGGTTAGTAAAGCAAAAATTAGTTCAAAATTCAATAAAACATCAAGTCTTACCCTTAAATAGGAGTATTACGAAAGAAACCATTTTGGATATTAAAATCTACAAAAAATAACTTTCGTCATACTATAATTATTAACGTAAATATTATTTATAATTAAAAAATGGCATTCCAATTAATCATATATATTCAAAAAATCATAACAGAAAATAGTTCAAGAAAGGTTTTTACGATAATTGTTGGGCACAAATAAGTGTCGTAAGGTTTAATGCATTGTGGTCTGCAATCATCATATTTCACGACAATTACAGTACACCTTCTAGGCGATTTGTGCTGGAAAAACGTTTCCTTCAGTGGTTTCTTAGAATCGACAGGTTTTTTTGTTGCGTAATTGAGGCGAAGATAAAATATCAACTAATTAATTGCCCATTACGATAATTGAATTACATTTTTGATTGATTAATTGGCAATTATGCATTTTCGGGTAATTGCAATCAAACTCCAATTAGTATGATCGTTTCTGGTGGTAGACAATTAAGAAAAAAAAATAAGTAAGAGGTCAAAACAGCATGTTATGAATAAATGTGTATACATAAGCACAATCATGGATGAATGTGTACACCCATGGAAGAAAAGAAGGGTGAGATGGAGAAAAAAGGAAGGCGCGGAGAGAGCAAAAAGCGTAAATAAGTGAGGACTCAGGGGCTCGGCGGTCGCGCTCGCGCGGATGGGTGGGTGGGTGGATTGATGGGTGCATTGGTGCGGCACCGAACAAGAAATATGAGAAGAAGGAGGGCGAGAAAAAAAAAACACGCGTTAGGAAAATGGCCTGAGCAACAGAAGAGACCGACAACGACTACACTTCATATATATAGAGGAAGGGAAGAATTGAAGGGAGGAGCTGGGAAACGAGTGAGTGCGCGCTAGTGACTAGATCTGGCACCTCTCCAAAAAAATATATGTGTGTATATCTAGGAGAGCGACGAAGCACTTGAAGATGAAGAAAGAAGGAGAAGACGAAGGCATGCACACACATACATACACAAACCAACCAACCTTGAAGCTTTAATAGAAAATCGATGCGTTCGAGGCACCGCAAAAATTCTAGTGCTCCATCGGATGGCGGCGTGAGCATCGACGAACCGCCTATTATCGAACCGCCTATTATCCAGCCAGCCAGTCAGTCAGTTTTTCTCTCTCACACACACACACGCCATTCTTCGCCTTCTTCTTCTTCTCCTTTTTCTTCTTCTCCTGGGCCGTGCATAAGTAATCATCGTTTCGAGTACACATTTAATTATTCCTCGAAACCACTGAGAAATGGGGTTTTTTTTTCGCGGTGAGAGCAACGCGAAATAAACGGATTTTTGCCGGTGGGATTTCGATATGTTTCCATTTTTTTTCGTGATTTTCCTTATTCAACATTATTGGACACCATAAATCCTGCGCCAAAAATTGAATTAAATTATCCAAATTATTGCATTAATTGAATCTCTCTGCTAACTTCACACGATTTAATATATATTTGAGCAGAAACATAAAAGAAGCAAGTTTTGAGTAAACAACCGTTTGAGCCTAGATTCGATTTGAATATGATTCTCGAAAGAAGAAATCTTTGTTGTCGTCTCACAACAATAAGAAAATAATAATAATAATATTCAGTCAATTTATTCGTCAAAAAAAGAAATAAACGGTTGTGGGACCACAAATTTTGAAAAGAGGAGGAGGAAGAGGCAATTTTATGAATGAAATCCAGCCATCGCATCTTGACAGCCGGCATTACGTTGCAATCCGCTTGATTTATTCACTCATTTCGTTCCATTTTTTTCCCTTGGTACCCGAAAAAAATGCATAAATAAATAAATATTTATGCCGCTCGAAAATAATTGATCGGTTTCGTTCGCTAGGCGACATATGGTCCAGGATAAATGTCGAAATAAATAACTACACTCAATTATATTTTATGCATGTTTATTTTTTTCCCTCCGAAAACTCCCAGCAATAATCGAATTTTAACTTTTTTTAATCCTATAATCAAAAATTCCAGCTTCATTATTATACGACAATGCAGAAAAAGAGAAAAAGTTAGAGAAAATTTCTTTTTTTCTGGATTAAAATTTTCCTGATTACTACAAAAGCAAAAAACCGAGAAATTTTTTTCAATTTACGACGAGTTTGACTCGAAGGTACCCCAATTCCCACTGTCTAAACTCAATTTTGAATTACCGCCTTGAAAAAGTGCGATATGAAAGGCGTTCGTCTTGCAATGATTAGATTTATAATTCAATTTCTGGACATTAATTGGAACCACTGAAATATCATTTATATATATACCGACCGAAGAAAAGCGGACCCTTAACTTCCACGAAATCAGAAAGTACGCAGTCTCGCGTAGTTATCGTTGCTTCAAGAAAATACTTGGCGCACAAATAATCTCAGCAATTCGATCGGAACGAACATCGGACCATTTTTGGTTTGGGATTAAACGCTAAACATTTTGGAATTAACTGGAATGTAATAACTCAATTAGAAGGAACGAAAGTTGACAGTAGAAAATACGCTAAAACGAGGGCTATGTTTAGTTGGAGTGTCGTACTGGTAGTGCTGCAAAATTATGGACGAACATCGGCACCTTTTTTGAACTTAATATTCCATTTTTGGACACCGTTTTCACAGAGGTCAATATGAAAATCCTCACACCATTTATCACAAACACCAACAGTGGTTTGTCCTTAACGAATTGGAATTGTTAAATTTAAATATAGGATTTTATAAATGTGCTTATTTTCGGAAAATCGCTGGAGTAATCAAACATCTTTAAAATCATATTTTATTTTCAATTATATCATTTTGTTTGGTTAAAAGAAAAACACAATTGCATATATACAAATTGAAACAATATTGAGCATACGAAAAATTAAGAAAAAAAATGAAACACAGAAAATATTCCTGAATGTTCGATGGTCCATTAATAAACTAATGAATGCATGGGAGGTGATAAGAAATAAATTATGCGTAGATGCTCTTTTTCGGACATAAAATTTTTGTTTTAAACTAAAACACCAATGGCAGTTTCAATTGTACTAAATATGAGTGGACGGTCTCAGATGGAAATTAGACGGAAGATTGATGATAGCTGGCTGGTGCGTTGATTGTGTACTCAACGGGCTGCTGTTGAACATATCCTGATGGTCCCTGAGTGAAAATCACGTCTGGCTGATATTGCGGAACGTTTTGCTGATTGATGTACTGCTGGCTGGTTGGTGTGGCCACTGGTCCCTAAAAAACAGTTATTAAATTTGATTCTAAGGGTACTATCAGCTGCAAACCGCAAAATGTCGGGAGACGATTTAATTATAATGATAAAAACTTGGTCATTTATTCATTGGCATTTTGCTAACCTGTTGGACATATTGAATTGGTTGATTGTAAGGGGTTGCTGATGGAACTGGTGTGTAAGATGTTCCATTATTGATCGGAGTTCGCGGAGGACCACCGAATTCGTAGTTTTGGACCGATGGCGCAGGATTGTATGGAATTGTCGATGAGGGTTGCTCTCTGAAACGGACAAGATTTTGCGAATTTCTTTGAAATTATTGAGAATAATCGAAATATAAAAGAATATTTTTGTCGATTTTCAAAAATCTCAAGAAAAACAATGACAATTTTATTTTTTAGTTTCACAAATGTTTTGCTATGAAAAATCCTCAGTTTGTACTTTAACTTAATTAAAACTCAATTCTTGATCTCAATAAAAATCACGGTCTCCGCCATTCACGTGTGACCTAGAAAAACTGTTTTTATAAATTAGGTTCGGCCACGGCCACACTTGATGGATAAATTAATTTAATTAAGTAGAATTAAATGACTACGTATACATTGCGTGTGTTTACGATTTCAAAAACCAAATATCTAAAGAAAAGCCACAAATTCGTAGAATTAAATGAACAACAAGCCTATTAAAAATTTCCCTGTGACAGTGTGCCGCGCTTCCAGTTTTTCTCAGAATTTGTGTACCACACTTGCATTTTTGATTTTTGAAAGTAAAAAAAATATGAAATGATGCAATACAGAAATTACGTTCAATCACCAAGACGTAAAATTACAAAATGATTGTTATAATCCGTTTCCGACAAAAAAAAACGGCGGATAAAAAAGTATGTGAAGCGCAAAATCCGCAAAATATATTCGAGTTTCGAAAACTTCTTAAGTATCGCTAAAACATTTCGGCTTTTCTTTTCAATTTTTTAAATTTTATAAAATTTAATTTATAGCCAAGAAAACACAGAAAAAAATAATTAATTAAATAATTTTCAAATGAGATTACTGTAGTCAAGACCGAGATGTGCGACTCGGTGTACGCACACAATGCATCGAATATCGCTGCAGTTTTTCACGTTCGCCATTTTTTCCACAATTTCAAGAAATTTTCATGAAAATTATTGTTCGTGTTTCTTTTTTTTTAAACATTATGCTAGATATAAAAATTTCCAAAAACAACCACATTTCTGAGGGATTTCCACAATTTCTGTCTTTTTTGATAATCATTGCAATTATTTCCAATATTGATATTTTTATTCATTTTTTCTTTCGTCCCATATTTGCCAATTTTGCGATACCTGTATTGTGGCTGCTGTTGTGCCCAATTCGACGCCGAATTCCTGCCCGAATTTAATCTCTTCTTGTCATCGCTTCTCATCTGCAAATAATTCAACGAATCAACGATTCGGTTACAAATTTGGTGGGATTGGGGGGGGGGTCCTCTAATCATCGTAATTATGCAAAGTGCGCCCCGCGCCGGCGGCCGACTTCATGTGCCTATGTTCTTAGGTGCTTTCGCTCCCGACCCGAGTTTTGTTTGTTTTTGCGAAGCCGCTTCATCGAGACACTCTCCCGATTTCGCGCACTATTTCCATATACCTACCATCACATGCAAAAACAAATATTACATACATATATTTCGTATTCCTATTCCAATATATATATATATAGATTTGAATAAATCTATACGAACAATTTTGATGAGCTACAGAAGTCAAAAACGAAAAAAATGATGGTGGTCAGAGGCAACGTTTAATAGATGCAATTTCCGCCAAAAACCACATTTTGCATATTTAATTAATTGAAATAATTAAATTCTTGCAGTTCAAAGACCTAAAAGCAAAAAAAAATGATTTGATGGGCGTTCTGACAGCGAAGTTTTAAAAATCGAAATTTTAAAGCGAAAAAAATATAAATCCAGCAATTTTTTATTTGAATTATGTTCTTTGTGTACAACATTGGTCACTAAAAAAACCTATTTAAAATTATTTATCCATGTCCCTTTAAAGCACTACAATACCACAATCACAACCGTAATTTTAAAAGTATAGTTTGCTGGATGAAATTGCCTAGTAGAAATAAGGAAAACCAACCCATTGAAATTTTTAGTAGGAAATTAAGAATTTTTCGCAATATACTGTAATTTGTGTATACACTATTTCGTAAAATTGCACCAAAACACCAATGTCTTCGATATAAATTTTTAAATAAGTACTTTAGATTTCACTCTCCTGCTATATTGTAACTAAATATTTTTTGAAGATTTTGAAGAAATTAAATCGCGATACTCATTTCCTAATTAATTCTTCATTAGTAGAGAATCTTTAAAGCCAAAGTGCAATCAACTCGTTCCTGTTTTCTGTGTTAAATTTAAGAATACACATGTCAGTTAAAAGTTTGCTGAACTTAATAAATTGAAAAAAAAACTCACATTGGCGACACAGACGAAATAAATGGCGGCGACAACGATGGCCAAGAGGAGAACACCTCCAATGAGAATCGCAAAAACGACAGCGATCTGGAAAAAAAGGATATCGATTGCGATTTTGTGGGAATTTCGAGAATTTTGAACCTGTCCACCATTGGTGGCTATCGGGTTGTCGAGCGTGTACGCGGGTCGATAGCCCATTAATGAATTCATTCGACACCCCCCGCGAGCGCCATTTCGATGAGGGAATGGGTCCCTCCGGAAATTTGGCGAATGTTTACCCACCTGGGTGGCGAGCCGGCGCTAATTATCATAATAGCGAATTACCTGATAATTATACTGATTATGATTGAATGACATGGTGCTGTTCGGCGAGTTCGGCGGCGAGTGGTCAAGCAAATTTTTGTCCCGGCGGCGGTACGATTTGAGATGGCGAAGAAGGCCGAAGAAGAAGAAGAAGAGTTGCGGTCGGCGGGGCTGGTCTGAACAACGAATTGCCTATGTCAACAATGAGGAGCCGAGTGCGCAGAACAACGTTCGGTGAAAAATGTCACATGGAAAACAGTAGCAAAGTTCAATATCACGTTACCGAAATTAGTTATTCGGTTCATTTTTTGGGAAAAAAGGGAAACACGTCGATTAAAGGACGATAATCTTGAAGAAATATTCAAGTCTACATATATTGGTCTTTCAAATGAGAACTCAAAGTTAATTTTAAAATCGATGAAATATTGCGATAGCTGGAAATTTCTAAAAATGTTGCTGATCTATTCCTGATCACGCCGGCATTTTTAGAAATGCTGAATCATAAAATGATAACGATGAAGCAAGTTGCGACAGCGATTGACCAACTTTTTTTAAAGGATCACAAAAAGGAAATTCAATGATCCTAATTAGAAAGATCGCTTAATGACATGAGTTGGAAGAATATTAGAAAAAAAAATTCTGAGAGTTCATCTAGTCGCAATGGGTTAAAGTGGTTTTGAGTTGCGTACTACACACCTAGAAGAATACCAGAAAATCGAGTCTTTTGATTTTTTTTGTCGCTGGCAAACGTTACAAGACAAAAAACTAACAGTGTCGGCAAATATTTGGCGGCGGCGCACATGATTATTATATATATATATATATATATTTAGATAAATTCAAAAAAGGAAATGAAAGAATGCTTGTTTTGAGAGGTCATCGATGCTTGAAAAAATACAAAAAAACCCAAACACCAACAAGTGTTTTCGGAACAAAACGCGAGGCAAAAGTGAGTGATGAATTCCAGGCCCAAGTGCAAATAATATAGCGCAATATTGGCCCGCTTGCACCCTCACCACCACAATGTCCTTCTTCTCTTCAACCATTTGTGTGTATTCAATTCGGATTTTTGGCTTGCTTGTATCGGTAAATACTACATGGGTAGTTGAACTGCGATTGAAATGAATGCAAAAGACAAATATGGGCTCCGATAATGATAACGGCGGCGGCGGACAAAGTGGGCGGAGCCGCGAGCCACATGTTTAACTATTAGTGAGGCAATTCGAAACCGCTAAAATCAAACATTTTGATTGAAAATTTGATAACAGAATATCTAGGAATCGAATCAATAAATTTTCGATTTTTATAGTGCCGATCGTTTGATGGCCGCTCGTAAATCGACAAGACACAGTAGAAAGAATTTTTCAGGAATCGGCTGATTTCTGAATGTGTTGAACCTGGAAGGGTTTCGAACTTCACTGTAAAAGTTCAAAATGGTGAATCATCTCAAGTAGACAAAATGACAGTATGGTATCAATATGGAAAAATTAGAATGTATGATTCGATATCAATTTTATTGATATTGAATTGAAAGCAATTTCGACTGCGGAAAATTGGCAAAACGCCAAAACAACAATGGCAATGGTCTTGGTGAGCAACGAATAGTGTAGATTTACGGACCTACGTATAAGGATAGGTTAAAGCGAACACCGAGACCTCTTGTTATATGCTTTTGCCATTTTTCCAATTTTAGGCAGTGGCACGACTTTGACAACATGTATAAATATCTAAAATTCTAGAATTGAAAAATTGTTATTCAAATGCATCTTATTCTTAGAGATAGAGACTCTATTTAAAAAAAAGGAACAATCAATTTGTGAAAATAAGAAGAAAAGTTGAGAAACGGTTGAATGGCGAGTCAACAAAGCCCAATTGGAAAGTTGCCAAGGATCGAGTTTCACACGGCAAATATTGAAAATTGCGGTACCCGTGAATCATTCAATCATCAGCCGTAAACTCAGATATTCGTTTTAATAATATTTTTGCGATGAATCATCAATTCTTTTAAATTTGTATCGCTTTCACGGTTCGCCGCAAAGCACGTGTGGCCTAGAAAAATGTTCTCAGAAATAAAGTTCGGTCACGGCCACACTTGATGGATTAATTCAAAAATTAAATTAAGTATTTACAACTAAATGAATATATATTGAGCGAGCCGTGTTTTGTCAAGATGGTCTATTATTAAAGCAAAGATGAAGAAGGACCAAATATGGGGTTGAAATGCATGTTTGGCGGAATTGATAAGGCAAATGTCGAGATTGCGATTAAAAATGGCGACGGCTCGAAAAATTGACGAAAAAAAAGACGGACGGAAACATTAGTACGATTCGTGTGTGTGTAAAACATGGGAAAATGAGCAAAAAATAACTTTGATGATTCATACGCGCTTTTTTTACACGATAAAGAAACGGAGGAATGATTCACAAGCGTCTCGTCGAGGAGGAGAAAAAGGTAGGTGGAGGCGACCAACGGAAAATAAATAAATAAATATACAATTTTGTATAGGCTTCTTTCTTTCAATTCCAACGATGAACCATCGATTTGTGAATTTCGGCAAATCAAATATAATTCAATGAATTGAAGGAAAAAATCAGAATATTATAAGGTGGAATTATCAACAAAAATTTGGAAAAATTTTTAATGCATCAAAATTTGTATTAAATTTTATACAACATCAATGTAAATTCTATTTTGAGGTTCTTTCGGAGGTCCTTCACACCAATGAAATTTGGGAATGGTCCCTACTGATTTGAGCTCTTAAATAGAAGTCTCTCGTTTGAATGAATAGAAAATGAGACCCGAAATGAAAGCGGAATATAGTTTGGTGGAACACTGATCTGTAAATTGTCAAGATCTGAAAATGAACGAAGAATAAAAAATAGAGAGCAGCGAATTGTTTTTTCCTTATTTTCCGTCAACATTTTTTATTAATAGCCGATATTTATAGGAAATGTCGAATTTTCTTTTTGAAAATAAAATTTTTGGTCTAATTTTTTGGTTTCATATTCGAAAGCCTTACTTGGCAAAATAGGACCTTTGTCGTAGTGAAGCTAACAGATCGGAATAAAAAATAAGATCGAAACACCAAAAGCCATAAATTCTGCTCGAATTCTATAAATGTCGAATAAAAAATTTTAAAAAGCAGAGATTGTCAACCAAATTTTTTTAAACTGTTTTTTCAACACGTTATCAATTAACCTTTTTATTTTATTTTATAGAAAACCATTTGTTAATTTATTTTTTGGATTCGATACGCATTATTTTACATATTCAAGTTTCAAAAAATGAAAAGGAATTAATGAAACAAACGGTGATTTAAATGAATATAAAAAATGAAGGTGTTGAGATTGTCCAATTACAGTGCGAATATCAGTGTGTACTAACAGGGAGTTCATCTTGGCGGGCAATGCAGAAAACAGGTATCATGGATCTGCGGAGCATTCTGAACGACCAATATACACGTATTTACATTAATAATCAAGCGACTGCTGTACGCGGATAGATTTACGCGCATGCGTCTTCGCAATGGTCTCGCACGGACTAGCAACTTATTTTGCATTTGAAGGGTCGGTTCGACAATGGTTTATTTGAATGACAAGAAAAATTCTAGAAAATACCCAAATCATGAAGACAAAATAAATATTTCGCGTGATAATTTCAAAATAAGCGCTCACACGTGTCGAGACCTTTTAAAGGCGCATGCACCTAAATCTACCCGCGTACATCCGGGCGTCGTTATCTTACTTTTTGTATTTGATTAGAATTCGAAGATATGCCGAAACTAGCATTCTGCATCTTTAAATTAGCATCCCATTGAGGAGCAAAATTGTTGGTTTGGTCTGATCTCGATTCATTTCCAATTGATTCTTGTTCTGATTGTGACAATGGCTGTTCATCTGCTAACTCATATAGTGGTGGTTCTATGAGATTTTGACTGAGCGATTTGTACTGATGGGCATATTCCATTGACGTTGGCGTCTCAGGCAACTGATGGTGGGCATTCGGAGGTGGTTGCTCTTCTACTAGCATCGGCATCTCAGGAAGAAGCTGTGACTCATTATCAAATATGGTGTGATCTTCGTGATGATGCTGATGAGGTTGCTCAACGGAGGTTGGCATCTCAGGATGATCTTCATATTGTGGATCGTGTATTGGAGATTCCAGTTGAAACTGCTGCGTTCGTTCATCTTGCATCTGATTGCTCATATCATAGCCCGGTGGGTATTCGATGAAGAGATGGCAGCCTTCGTAGGTGATATGTTTGATGTTCTCATTTCCATTTCGCATGCCCTCTATTAAAGATAATACTGATGGACTTCCGATCAGTGAATCCGCTATATTGATGGACGATCTTGATGGGTTCTCTTCTTGGACGGATGCCAGAGCTTGTCTACATCCTATCACACTTCGACCACCAGAGTAAGGACTTGGACGCTTGTTGTGCATACATTTGAAATCGGCAATCCGATAATCCTGGATTCAAAAAATTATTAAGAAATTAATAATTTTCAAACTATGTTACCCGATGTTCAGAAACCGCAAAGAATTCGGTGATGTCAAAACGGAATTCTTGGCGATATAGTGGATATTCGACTCCTTCATTTGAATAGCCCATCTTGACAATTGTCAGAACTGGAGTATACTTATGCAAGGTTTGCAAAAAGAGCTGAAAATTTGATGATTGTGGAGAACTTTGAAATGCTTACATAAAATGGCCTCGTCTCGTCTGGGTTGTTGGTGACCCGAACCATGTCGAACGAAACGATTCCTCTCATCCACTTGCCTCCATGACAGACTCCATCAGGATGTGTGACGCTATTCTCCTTTATTTGGTGTTCACCTTCACGAGTTGCTCTCCACAAGCCTCTCTCATAGCGATACCCAAAATAGAGCACCATTGCTAAAAAAGGAAGAAATGAGTTACTTGAGATTCTGCGATCTCTTCATTCGAAGCTCCAACGCGTAATAAGAATGATGGTCCATTCCACTAATAATGTATTCCAAAATGGGGAATATGCTTCTTAAAATGAGATAATTATTTAATTGATACGTATAAAAAAAGACCTTCCTCTTCTGGTGACAATCATTTCCATTTTGGCTCCAGGAACTTGCCATAGATGGGCATTATGAAGCTGAACATTAATTGATTCCATTGAGTAGAATAATGAAGTTGGTAATGATAGTTAGTTGATACAACAAATGGTATGTAGAGAAACAAGAGCAACGGAATTCAGTGGACGGTGACTCATGACAGATCGACGCATTGATGAGGACCAAAACCAATTATTATTTTTGGCATAAAACAAACAAATGTTGTAAGTTGTATACTTCTTCGAAATGTTTTCGCGATTGTTTCTGGTAGCTCAGAAAATGATGACGATATTAACACATTTCGAAGCATTTTTCGATTTCGAATAAATTCAGAAAGTGACTCTGTTTAAAGGGCGAGTGTGATCGTCGCTGTGGTCTCATGTGGAGTAATTTCTTGTTTCAATGAGATTCGAAATGTGCGGAATTAAGAAGCAAAACAAAAAAGTGAAAAAAAAGTTCAAGAAATAAAAAAGGCTTTCAAGCGTGGCGAGACCGTTGAAGACAGAAGCAGGCGTACAGTTGCAGGACCCCAATTATAAAATTAAATGCCTAATTAGTCAACGGTAGTTTCGTTAAAATCATTTTAGTTTCCAGAACTTTATATACCGATTTACTTTTTTGTTTCAAAAATACATAGTTGTGTAGATTGACGAAGATTGAAATAAATGAAAACACCAAAAATTAATCATTCAGTGCGATCCGAGGTCTAAGTTAGATGAGGTGAAAAATTTTCATTTTTCAGTTGTGTGTGTGTATAATCGGCTGCTCTACGTGGGTAGATTTACGAGTGCGTCTATCCGAAATGCTCTTGCCACCCGTGATTTCTTTTTTTTTTCATGAACATTTTATATTTTCTTGATGAGTATATAATTTCCTGGAATACTTAACACTATTGAAATTAAAATTAAACGGAATGACCTAAACGCAAAATCATTAGTTAGTCCGCGCGAGACCATATGAAAGACGCATGCACGTAAATATATCCGGATTGCTTTGTGGGAGTGACCCGCCCCGTTGCAAGTATGATCTCTGACAGTTAGAGATTCGGTCTTATGTGTTCAACATCGAAAAAGTCCAAACATCAGCTCATCAATCAATTTATTAATATTATTAATTCAACTATTTACAGACAAAATTGGGGGTCTAAATCGTATCTATCTTCTGCAGCATTGACCGTTTCCGCATGGGGAGTAGTTGGCCTGGCAGGAGCAGGCGGTAGTGCTCACTGGCTCCTGGCAAGGCACCTGGACTGGCTGGCAGGATCTTTGGCAAGTGGTTTGGCAGGACGAAGCGCATTGTTGCACTGGCAGTTGCTGGGCGACACATTGCTGTTGGCAGGACGACTGGCATTGTGGGATGCATTGAGCGGATTGTGTGATGGTTGGCTGGAGCACGATGCTGACGATCTGTGGTTGTGGAGCGACCGTCGGATAAGACTGGCAGCCGGTTTGGCATTGCTGGCATTGAGGGGCCGCTGGCGCCTGTTGGCAGATTGGCTGGCAGTACTGTTGCTGGCATTGTTGAACAGCTGGAAGCTGGGCGACGCAAGTTGACTGACAAGCTGGCTGGCAAGCTGGAGCGCACGTCTGAGCCACAATGACCGTGGCAGTCTCACATGTGGTCTGACACTGCTGGACACATTGTTGGCTGCATTGTGGAGTAGAGCATTGCTGAGTGCAGCTCTGCTGGCAAGCTGGAGCGCATTGGGCAGTCTGAACTTGGACAGTTTGCTGTGAGCACGAGCAGGATGAAGTCGGCGCCTGCTGCTGGCAAGCGCAGGTGTACTGCTGAGGAGTTGATTGCTGGCAGGAGCACGTCGGCTGCGCCGAGCAACCGCACTGTCTCTTGTCGCGAAGAGAAGTCGCCTAGATAATTAAGTCGAGACTAATGATTTAATTAGTTAATTACCGAAGCAAGAAGGAATAGAGCGGAGAGCACGAAGAAGAATCGCATTGTTGTCCGGTGTGATTCTTCTTGCTGATTCCAAGCGCTTTTATACACCGAACGATGGCAACCGGCATGGTTGCGCAATCAGATTTTTTCACAACTTGCGCGGTGTTAACGAACGGTTCATCTATTTGTTTAACAAAAATAATCGTCAAGCATGCACTTGTTTCTAGCTTGAACATAGTTTTTGCTCTGTTGACCGGTTGATCGTTTGCTCGAAACATTGAAACCCTTATTGCGCGATTCCGGAAATTTTGAGAAAAATATAGTCGGCGTCGGGGTAGATTTACGCGCATGCGTCTTTCTCTTGGTCTCGCACGGACAAAAAGATTATTTCAAATTTTATGAAACGGTTCGATAATTTTTAAATCGAATATTGGAAATTCAAGGAAATGCCAAACTCATCAAGAAAAAATAAAGCAGTTCACGTGAGAACAGCAAAATAAGCGTTCACACGTGGCGAGACCTTTTCAAGGCGCATGCGCGTAAATCTACCCGCGTGTAGCAGTCGCCGACTATACGAAAATTTCAAATTTCATATTGGCAGGTTTGTATAATTTAACCTGTTCAGAAGGACGAGAAGAACAATTCGGCGAAAACCGAATTTGCTTTGATCAGCCAGTAGAGTGACTGAACTAAATTTTTTCGAAAAATTGTCCAACCGTATGAGAACGAATGACAATTTTTTTAAAGATCCACTTTCCTCAAAATTAATTTTCTTTTTATTCTTCTATCACTTTCCAATGTTTGTTTTCACAAACGTGACAGTTCAAATAATTCAATCAAAAGCATTTATTTTTTTTCGCTTCAAAGTCCACAATTTTCATATATTTTGTTGTGTGCGAGTGTCTGTGATCGAACTCTGGATTGTGAAATGCGATCCGTGTCCCCTCGACATCCATCCATCCATCTCGCTGTTTCTCTCGCTCGCCAGCCTAGCGAATTTCGGCTCTCGAGAGTTTGATAATTCGATATCAGGCGGTCGTCGCGTTAATGTTGACATCTCGACGGAGTCGAGTACTCGGCCCCACAAAACAACGTGTTGTTACGATACGAGCACGAAATTTTGGTTGGCTTACTCGACTTGTATGATCTGTTTGTTGTTCACTAAAAATAGATCATTTACTGGAAACCCCCCGCCCCCCAAACATTGAGCAACAAACAAATTTTGGCGACTTTCCCCCGAACGAATCGTCAAAAATTGGCCAGATGCCGATGCGAAATGCAACAACATGCGGCGGTTGATCATAAAAATTGAAATAATCATAAAAACCAAATCAATTTTGTCTTGTGGCGAAGTGGAAATATAGTTAATCGGCTATGGGTGTAATAATGAAATTCAACATTTCCAAACTGTCAACCAAATTTGGGAAAGTCGAAAATTTTCTTTAAAATGCCATAGAGTCATATATTAAGCCATAATGACAATATTTAATTAATTCATCTCTATTATGAGGTATTAACGATTTTTGTCTTTTCAGACAAGTGGTTGAATTTCAAAGAGAATCACATTTTCTCTGTTAACTCAAAACAAATCAGATCCGACAAAATTCGGTTCTGGAATCGGCCCGATTCGACGTGAAATTCAATGAATGAGAAGAACAATTTTCGTCGAATTCGATTAAATTTTTGGAAATCTTCCAATCCGTTTTGTTTTCATTTTCTGGATCCGATTGGTAATTTTTCGTATCGGTTTGTAAAATTTGTCCAATTCGAGTTTCCAGATATTATGTTCTGAACCTTGATCGATCATTTTGTGAAACGAGAAATTTTTCAATGTGTGCTAAAAAATTTCACGACAATCACAATGCTGTTGTAAAAACGATTTAAAATGGCTTATAGAGAAAAAATTTTTTAGTTTCGATTTTCTCTCATTATTTTTTATGCTTAATGAAAGCTTCATCTTTTCAAACAAAATTTAAGCTTCAATATTGGATTTTATAATTTTCGCTCATTTATTTCCCAATTAATTGACATTTAGCGAAACTTTTTTGCCGAAAAAATCGTTGCAACTCAATTGAATTTGAAAATGAAGTCCCCCTTCAGCGTGTTTCATATTTCGATGGTTTTCGCGTTTTCCCGGACGGAATATCGCCTCATGCTCATATGTTGATCGTTTGCACAGAAAAAAAAGAGACGATGTGGTGATTGGATGGCGGCAGACATGATCCGCTCGATTTCGACGTTTGGAATTCGCGTTTTCTTTCTTCTTTTTTCCATGTTCTCCGACTTGTTGTTCCTCGTCGTCTTCTTCATCCTTTGCTGCTCCGGCTCAATCTCCTCATTTTTCGTTTTGCTTTTGTGTATTACACTAAAAATTTTTGAGATCTCGGACTCGGCTCTCCGACTTTTTGCAATATTTCGCTGCTCACTTTGGTTTTGTGGCAAACACACGGCAATGTAGTAAAAACGGATATATCGAAAGATTGGACAATTTCTTATAGCGATTTTGATAGCGGAGTTCAGTTTGAAAAATGATGATCGAGACGAGCCATTGAACAATTTTCTTTACAATCGCGATTACTGTAGTTCGCTGAGCCGTGTTTGCAGACAATACGTCAAATTTTGGTGTTTCGATGTTTCTTTTCTTTTGTTTTGCAGTATTCTACGAAAAAAATGCGTTGAAATATCCAATTTCAAATCAATTTAACAAAACGAATTCTGACGTAAATTCTTTTCGGCGCGTTTTCTATTCAAAAATTTCGCCAACGATAAAAATATTTGTGATTGAATTTCAAAAACTGAATCATTTTGAAAATGTCACTGTTTAATAGACCTATTCACGCAAAAAAACGGTAAATGTAATTTTTTATAATTTTTTCTAAAGAAATACATTTCATGAGTAAAAATCAATATGGAAAAAAATAATTCGAAGCTCTCAATTGCTCATTCTTCGTTCGATTTCTTCGAATTGTTTGAATTTTCTGTATTTAATAAAAAATTCTTTAAAATCTTCATTTTTTATCATATGGAATCGTTTAAAAGTGAGAGCAAATAATGTCAAAAAATTTTTCAAATCCCTGTGGCCATTTTTTTTGATTTATAGTGTTCTTCTTCTTCTTCTTCATTTTTTTTTCAAGCTTCTGACAATTGTTGTTTTCAACACGAAATTCTCGAGCAGAAAAACAGAACAACACAATGTCAAACTTTGTGTAAATGTGTCTGTGAAAAATCGAGCTTAAGCAAAAAAAAAGAACCCTGAAAGATAGATGATACGAGAAGCTTTATTGCAAAATGCGGGTCGAAGTGGCGAAAAAAAAAACATTGCAAATTTCTGCAAATGTTTTTTTGAAATTTTCTTTTTGCATCTTGCAAAAGAAAATCTTTGTATAACCATGAATAAAGATAAATTGCTCTCAAAATGAGAAGCTATAGAAACGAATTCGGTTTTCAATATTTTCTTATTGACTAATATCAGAAAAAAAAACTTGAAAATATCTGTAAAAGTACGTAAACGTTTCTCACAGACTTTCGAAATGAATCCTTCAAATTCAAAAAACTCATTTAAGCGATATATTGTCGGCGTCAAACGACTGAAAGAAGGCGGCGCCTTCAAATTCGCGAAATCTGTGTAGATTTAAATTTTTTGTTGACTGAATATTAAATGCGCGTACGATATAATGCAATGTACGCAATCTCGCTGCCTCGAGACGCATTGGCACATAGCCAATAATTTTTTAAATTTCGTCAAGTCGTTTGACTCCGACAATAAATATGTGACAAAATTCATTGATTCTGACCGTCTAGTTCATTGAAGAATGTTCGAACAACAAGGAAATTCACAGCAAATGTCGTGGTCCAAATTTTTCAAAGACATTTAAACGATATGACATTCGATTTCATCATCAACCAAAATAATTCACATTTACTTGAATATTTTGAAATTGATATAAAATTTCTATCAAGTTTTGTGCACAGTTGAGACCGGAAATACACGTAAATGGTCAATGAACAAAGTCTTGCGAAAATCAATAAAACCCCTCCTAGCGAACCTACGCAATCACCAACGTAAAACTGTCTTGACACGTCAGGCTTATCTATTAATAATGTTATCATTCGTCCCTTTCACATGTTTTATATTACAAGGTGCCGATTTTGGGCCTAAATTCGCCAAACAGGTCGGGCATTCCATATCACGCGATTATCTCTTTTTTTTCTTGAAAAAAAAACTTTTTTTTTGATGACCCAATCCGTAATGCGTTTCAATAATTGCCGAGAATCATCGCAATTTGTCCAATCTCTTGTCGCTTTATTCTTTGGTCCATCTTGTCCTTTTTTCCTTATAAATTACACACATCGCACAACTGTTTGGGAGCCTTCATCTCGCGTTTTTCCGCGTCTAATTGATGTGCCACACAAATGTGTTGGAAATTTGTTTAATCCTCTGATCTTCACTTTGTTTTTTTGGATTTCATCGTCGTTCTTTCGATGAAATCACGTAATCGGTGCACTTTTGCGAGAATTACACATTTTAACCAAGCGAAATACAAGGATTGCACAAAAATGAAGCGAGAGCACGAAAATGTTGAAATCCGAGGAATTTCGCCGCGGTGTTTGCGGACTATTTCCCGAATCGCTTGGGTAATTATTACTATCGCAAAATATGAGCACCCTGGATACCCATGAACCATATTTGTGGAAACCGTGGAAATTTGCCTACCGTACTACCGATAACCTGCGAATCAAACATTTTCAGCACAATTTTTGATGCATATTGAAAAATGACGTCTGCTTTGCGAATTTTTTCAGCGTCTGATGAAATTGTCGAGTCTTTTTCGTATTAGTATTATTTATTTAAATTTTAATGTATATGATTCGTTGATATATGTATACATATCGACAAAAGAATCCACTATTTTATTTTTTTTAGAAATGATTTTTATAGCGAGATGAAACACGTTGCAAAATCGATCAAAAACACGAACTAATTAAAATCCGCCGAAAATCAAGAATCGTTAGTTCAGATGTGTGAAGATATAATTTCTAAAAATTCAATTTTCAAATTCAAATGTTAAAAATAGAAGTGCAGTGACCACTCACTTTTCTCAAATAGAAATTACGAATCTCAAGTGCTCAATTTGCGCGTTTCGCCGTCACTACAGTATCTCGATTTTTTTATTTCGAGACCATTTCCTGATCCCTTTTTGTTTTATTTGAAATCATATTGCATTCGGTCGACCTTGCGCGATATGTTTGCTGAGCAGCAGCAATATCTAGTAAAAATGGATTTTCGTAGAAGCTGATATCAACTCTGCATACACGAGGAGCCGCGAGATTCATATATGTTTGCCCTGGATTTATCCTTCCGCCCATATCACTTTTTTCTTGCTATGCGCTCAACTGTACAGACGGCTATTTGCCGACCTGTCCGATTCGATTTGATTGAATTTACAATCCTACGCAATTTTTTTGCCAATGTTTAAATATAAAAATAACTTTGACGTAATCGTCGAAATCAACTTGGATCCGTCCAGCATGTATGTGATGATACGGTAGTGCAAAATGTGTGCATTTTTGCGTAGGGTGTGTGTTGCAACGTTTCGCTTCTAGAAAATTTGTGACGTTTTTACCCTATTTCTCATTTTCATTTTCATTTTTTCTTTGAATGTTCGTTCCGGAAATTTAGGCTCTGAATGAGTCGTGGTTTTAGATTAATGACTGATTTAATTATCATAAATTATAAAATAGTTTGATGCATTTTTTCATGTTTCAGGGTTGTTCTTCTCATGTGGTAAGTCACGATGTGCAATACCGATTTAATAAAAAAAGAAATAAATTTTAGATCGAAAATTTTATGGCCATTAGACCATAAATTGTGTTCTTAAAACACTGATCACACTTTTCCTGTCGAAAACCGTCTATAATTTGTACTCGTCACGTGAATCGCGTCAGTTCCATCGACTCCGCCTATAACGGGACCCGATTTTCTCTCACACATGTGTTAGAAAAAAGTTGAAAGCGACCGCCCATTGGCAATCACAACAGGCTTCCAGTTCATTTTGATTGCTCATTCTCGAGCAACAAAATACTGCTTCTTGTTTTTGCCAACTACAAAAAATTTCATTCGAAATATTCTAAAGTTTGACGGCCGCAAAGTTTCCAAATCAGTATATTTCGGTTTATCGACCAATTCGATAGGTCCACACGGGACTCTTATCATTAATTTGATTAAAATTGCGTATCATTGTCCTTTTCTTCACTTTCAAAAAACCTTTTTCATAAATTTTGAAGAAGCGCTCTTTTTGATAAAAACAATGCCGACAAAACTTTCATAAATATTTATTGCTTTTTGTGATTGATAATTCGACAAAATTTCCTTGAAAAAAATTTGATTTCAAATATTTCTGATTATGAAAAAATGAGAAGAACTTCACATCATCAAAAAGAAAACATTTCTAATAAAAATGCCGCAATCTCAAACGTCCCATAAACGACGCGATCCGGCGTATTAGATAATTTATTGTTGCGCAAACGAACGCGCTCTCTATCCAGACATCACTCGACCATTCAACTGACCCCTGACCGGCTAAAGGCGCACGCATTTATTTTGCGCGTTGGTCTCGCAGAGAAATTATACATATATTTGAAAAGTGGACATTATGGCTGGCCGGCCGAGAGCTAGCCAGCCAGCCAGCATCATATTACTAGGGAAACCAGGCCATCGTGGTTGGTTTTCTCGAAGCGTCGTTGCGCTCTCTATCCTTGATAGTGTGACGTGTTCTTTTCTTAGATTTCTGGTTTGTTTCAATAGCGTCCAGGTCCAACTGCGACCGCAGACATCGAACTAAGAAAGTCGAATGATTCGCGTTATCAATGATGATGAATGCACCGAATCGTTTGCATTTCACATAATCTTTGCCACAAAATGATCTAATTTCTTTCGATGTCTGTTAACCGATCGGTTTTCATTGTCCACGTTTCCTTTTGAACAAAAGAAAAATGCATTCAAAACTTGTAACCGATATGAAACCATCAGGTATGATGATGTTAGTGATTGTTATGGCGTTGTCAAACATCAGAGCTGACGCGAAAAGACACGACGAAACAACACGTCAGCGTTTCGAGTATTTCACCAGTTCGTACGTTTTTATTTCGTTCCTGCGCCTTCTCCGTTTTTGTTCGTCGCGTCTCTCCGGAAATTGCGATGTCTTTAGCCTTCTTTTTTTGGAAAGGGCTTTCTTGAAATTATTCCAGAAATACATTTTGTTTTGGTAGAGGAAACATTCCATTATTCTCGTTAATTTATTGATGTTCTATCAGGTAACCCAATCTTAAGTAAGAATACAATTTGTCTGCACAAATTGAAGAAAATTAATATCACTTTAAAAAAAATGTTTTTATAAAATGTTTGCAGAGTGAAAACGGTATCCATGTTTTCCATCGGTATGTCTTATTCGAATAATTAGCTAATTGAACGTTTCTGGTAATCGCGACGCAGTTGCTGGAATAAAACCAATCGATATCCAACGCGTACTTGAGTATCTGTGCCGGTTCGCGCATCGATGGCATATCAAATGTTTTGTTCTTTCGATTCGATCAACAATAACAACAACATTAACAAGCCGATTCATTCGCATTTTTCGTTTGTCGTGTGTTCCAATAGCGCCGCCTGTTATTGCAGCAACAGCAGCAGCTCGTCTCGAACGCGATGAACAAGTTTTAGACACAGCGGTGCGGTGCCTTCTCATTGAATGCCACTATTCCGTGAGCCCGTCGCGATTTTTTTTTTGTGGCACCGCCGATCCTCTCCGATCTATCTCATCCTATCTATCCGTCGTCGATGTCGTAAAAGAGCTGTTTTTATTTTCCATTCTACTTTACACACCTCAGCCATTGGCTCAGGCTCGATGCCTCGACGACGGTTGCTTCTCATATACGCTTTTTTTGCTTCATCTTCTCCGTCCTTTCAATTTTTCGTGTGCTATTTTTTTTGTATTGCAATTATTAATGATTTTGGTATTGCAGAGTAATCGCCTCGAACTACCACTTGGGTATCAGCCGTCAACATGGAGGACGCGCATGCCAGAGAAGCCGAAGAGGTAATTCAGTGCGCCATCCTAGGCTTTGAAACGTATTCCTTATTTAGGTGTGCAAATTTTTCAACACAGGGCCAGATGGACTCACAGACGATCAAGTTGAGCAACTTCGAAAGAAATATGGAGAAAATGGTAAGAATTTAGCAACCGATAGTCGTTTTCAAGTGTCAATGTGAATTTAGAAATGCCTGCTGAGGAAGGAAAAACGATATGGGAGCTGATTTTCGAGCAATTCGATGATCTCCTTGTCAAAATTCTTCTTCTTGCCGCCATTATCTCATTTGTGCTTGCCCTTTTTGAAGAACACGAAGACCAAACCGAAGCCGTCACTGCATTCGTCGAACCATTCGTCATCTTGCTTATTCTCATCGCCAACGCTACCGTCGGAGTGTGGCAGGTAAGCGATGAGTTGTTCGTGTCCGCGAATTGAGAGAAGAAGCAGAAGATGAAAATGAACCAGTGTAAACCTGCTCTTTGCACTAACATTCCGGTTTTACGTCATTAGATGGAACGAAAAGAGATGATGAGCTGAAGCGGATAGGGCAAATGGCAAAGTTCGCTGTGATAAATTGGTTCTTCTTTTCATCTCCTCGAATTTTTTCTTGCTTCTCAATTTTTTCGTTGTTGTTGTGTAATCAATCTTATGGTTTTCAGGAGCGAAATGCTGAATCCGCGATCGAAGCTCTTAAGGAATATGAACCCGAAATGGCCAAGGTTGTCCGCGCCGGACATCATGGAATCCAGATGATCCGTGCTAAGGAACTCGTTCCAGGAGATCTTGTTGAAGTATCTGGTTAGTTTGTGATTATGGAAATTCTCAATTCAATCGAAATTCATTACAGTTGGAGACAAAATTCCCGCCGATTTGAGATTGATCAAGATCTATTCGACGACCATCCGTATCGACCAGTCAATTCTCACCGGAGAATCGGTTTCCGTCATCAAACACACCGAATCTGTTCCAGACCCGCGCGCTGTCAATCAGGACAAGAAGAATTGCTTGTTCTCGGGAACCAATGTTGCCTCTGGAAAGGCTCGCGGTATTGTTTTCGGAACTGGATTGAACACTGAGATCGGAAAAATCCGCACGGAAATGGCGGAGACTGAAAGCGACAAGACCCCACTTCAGCAGAAACTTGACGAATTCGGAGAGCAACTTTCCAAGGTCATCTCAGTTATTTGCGTTGCCGTCTGGGCTATCAACATTGGACATTTCAACGATCCAGCGCACGGAGGATCCTGGGTTAAGGGAGCCATCTACTACTTCAAAATCGCCGTCGCTCTTGCTGTCGCTGCTATTCCAGAAGGTCTTCCAGCCGTTATCACCACTTGCTTGGCCCTCGGAACCCGCAGAATGGCTAAGAAGAACGCCATTGTCAGATCATTGCCATCCGTCGAAACCCTCGGATGTACTTCGGTCATCTGCTCTGATAAGACCGGAACCCTCACCACCAACCAGATGTCCGTCTCGAAGATGTTCATCGCCGAGAGCGCCAGTGGAGACCAAATCAACTTCAACGAATTCACCATCTCCGGATCTACCTACGAGCCAGTCGGAAAGGTTCAACACAATGGACGCGACGTAAGATTATTTACATTTAATATTGAAGTATAATTCTTTTTTAGATTAACCCCGCTGCTGGAGAATTCGATGCTCTTACCGAGCTCGCCACTATCTGCGCTATGTGCAACGATTCTGCTGTCGATTACAACGAAGCCAAGAAGCAATATGAGAAAGTTGGAGAAGCTACTGAGACTGCTCTTGTCGTTCTCTGTGAGAAGCTCAATGTCTACGGAACATCAAAAGTCGGACTTGGACCAAAGGAATTGGGAGGAATCTGCAACCGTGTCATTCAACAGAAATGGAAGAAGGAGTTCACATTGGAATTCTCACGTGATCGTAAATCTATGTCAGCTTATTGTATCCCAGCCAGCGGCGGATCAGGAGCCAAGATGTTCGTCAAGGGAGCCCCAGAAGGAGTTCTCGGAAGATGCACACACGTTCGTGTCAACGGACAAAAGGTGCCACTCACCACCGCCATGACCCAGAAGATCGTTGAACAATGCGTTCAATACGGAACCGGAAGAGACACCCTTCGTTGCTTGGCCCTTGGAACCATTGACTCGCCAATGGACGTGAAATCGATGAACTTGGAAGACTCGACTCAATTCATCAAGTACGAAAAGGACATCACCTTCGTCGGAGTCGTCGGAATGCTTGACCCTCCAAGAACTGAAGTTATGGACTCGATCAAGGCTTGCAACCACGCAGGAATCCGTGTCATCATGATCACTGGAGATAACAAGAACACCGCTGAAGCTATTGGACGTCGCATCGGATTGTTCGGAGGGAATGAGGATACCACCGGAAAGGCGTACACTGGACGCGAATTCGACGATTTGCCACCAGAGCAACAATCGGAAGCTTGCCGTCGCGCCAAACTCTTCGCCCGTGTCGAACCATCCCACAAATCTAAGATTGTCGATATCCTTCAATCGCACGGTGAAATCACTGCCATGACTGGTGATGGTGTCAACGACGCTCCAGCTTTGAAAAAGGCCGAGATCGGTATTGCTATGGGATCTGGAACCGCTGTTGCCAAGTCCGCTTCGGAAATGGTTCTCGCCGACGATAACTTCGCTTCGATTGTGTCGGCCGTTGAAGAAGGACGTGCTATCTACAACAACATGAAACAATTCATCAGATATTTGATCTCATCCAACGTCGGAGAGGTAAATTTATTTATTTTTATGCAACAATGTTTCAATTATGAAATTATTCAGGTCGTCTCTATCTTCATGGTCGCCGCTTTGGGTATTCCAGAGGCTTTGATTCCAGTTCAGCTCTTGTGGGTCAACTTGGTTACTGACGGTCTTCCAGCCACTGCCCTTGGATTCAATCCACCAGATTTGGACATCATGGACCGCGCCCCAAGATCTGCTAATGACGGACTTATCTCGAAATGGCTCTTCTTCAGATACCTCGCTGTCGGAAGTAAGATTATATATAGCATTATGTTCCTTATATAATTGTTGACTTATTTTAGCATACGTCGGTGTTGCCACCGTTGGAGCTTCGATGTGGTGGTTCTTGTTGTATGATGACGGACCACAGATCACCTACTATCAGCTTACCCACTGGATGCGTTGCGAAATTGAGCCTGACAACTTTGCTGATTTGGACTGCGCCGTTTTCGAAGACAACCACCCGAACGCCATGGCTTTGTCTGTTCTCGTCACCATCGAAATGTTGAACGCTATCAACTCGCTTTCGGAGAACCAGTCGTTGCTTGTGATGCCACCATGGAAGAACATCTGGCTCATGGCTGCCATCACTCTCTCGATGTCGCTTCACTTTGTCATCCTCTACGTCGACATCATGGCTACCATCTTCCAGGTAATCACACCCTTCAGATTGATGTATCAGTAATAATTGTCTTCAGATCACTCCACTCAACGTTGTTGAATGGATTGCAGTGCTCAAGATCTCAATCCCAGTCCTTCTTCTTGATGAAGTGCTCAAGTTCATTGCTCGCAACTACATCGACGGTAAGCCCGAAACGAGTGCAGCCCGAGTACGGTGCGCCGTTTCGCTGTTGGCGTGGGTCTCACTGACGGTCGCCTACTTCGCGTGGATGCTTGGTCCGTACGCGGAACTCATCAATCACGCGCTTGTGGGGCCAGCAGTTGATCCGAGCAAATACGCGGACGTCGTCATTGAGAAACCCCATAACGAGTTGTGATTTCTCTTTGTTAACCTTGTTTGTCTGTTCTTCTTCTCTTCGAGATACGTCAATTTCAAAACCTCAACCTCGTGTTCTCCAAATCCATCATCATCAGGCTCATTTGAGATCTGAAATGTTCCGTTATTCTCTTATCTAACGATTGTTGTGATATTCTCATAGTGATCTTGCGGCTAACTTGCTCGACGTTTGCGATTAACAACATGAACAATACCAAATTAGGAAATCCATTGTCTGTTTGTTTGTTTGTTTCGTCAACGTACGTTGCAATTTCCCTTTCTTTCCCTTGATCGTTCCGTCCCTTAAAATTTTACATGTGTAATCTCTCGCATAATTTAATTATTGCTCGATTTTTCTTGTATTTGAAGCTTCATCTGGATTACGGTCACCAATTGTTCTAGTATGTTCTAATTCCGTCCCAATTTTATGTCGTTTTCCCATTTTTTTTTCTCTCAAATAATTTATAATATATATTTATTTATTTGTTTGTGAGTTTTTTTCAAGTAAAATTGAATAATAATTGCGTTTTTTACCTCTGTATTTGGGTGATTAACCGTTTGGGTCCTAAAACGAGAACATTAATCGAATTTCAATCAATTTTCAGTTGATGCTGCTCCAAAGTCCAAGAGGGATTGAACGAAGAACATTGTCAAGCAAAATTCGCTGAAACCCTCTCACCAAATCTCAAAACGATAATCTTTCATTATTTTCCGATTTTCGCAATTCTACTGTAGCGTATGCCTAGTAGTGACCGGATTTCGTGGCGAAACCAAATTGGTTTCGCCATTGAGAAGAAGGTCCTGGTTAGTGAGCAGATCGTCTTTTTCTTCGTTCTTTTCATATTTTTCTTGATATATTTGATGTTCTGTCTACGGTGATCCAGTTTGTTTTTATTGGCTGACAACAAATTTTCCCCAAAATTCTATTTTTTTCCCCTCGTATTTAGGTTTTCTCGTTTTCGCTATTTCTTCAATGTTTGTAATTTCTTCCCTCGTATTGTGCTTCGACACGCACAATGTTCTAGCCGTTTTACTTAAGAAATTCGTGTATAATTGCAAAAAGATGACTATTTTTCGATGGAGAATATTTGGCTTTTTGTATTTCTTTCTTTTTTATCGAGGTTCGAATAAAATGTAAAAAACGTAAATGTGCTCCAATCAAACAAGAAACACTGCATTAAGCTCTCGGCCTTGAGGGAAATATTCAGAAATCAGTATAAGAATCATAACCAAAAAATTATATTGAAAAAATACATAACGATTACTTTATGGAAGAAGTTTTAAGAGAAAGAAGTCAATCGACAAAAAAAATAAATTAAAGAATTGTCCTCGTGGACTACACGCACCGTGGCCGTGGATGAGCGCGAAAAAAAAAGATTTAAATTTTCTTTATCGATGAAATTTCTGCTAATGGTTTTTATGATTAACTGTCATATAATTTGTTATAATTGTGAATATTTGCTCAAAAATTACTTTAAAACAAAATTTTATTTAACTTAAACACAATGAAATTAAGCGGATTCATCGAGCAGGCGAATAATTTCATTTTCAAAACTCTTCGGATTCGAATTTGGACCAAATCTGAAAACTTCTTTTTCTTTTTTTTAAATAAGCTTTTTATTTACCTCGCAACGACCTTTCCTTTACGATTTACCAAAAACTTGGTGAAATTCCACTTAATAGCATCGAACAAGGTTCCGCCCTGTTCACTTTTAAGATAATTCCAAAGTGGATCAGCATTCGCACCATTAACATTGATTTTCGCATAAAGATCAGGTTCAAATTTGAATTTTTCGGTCACAAATTTCGAAATGTCGGCCTCACAAAAGGGTTCCTGAAAACGCATAGTTATTTTAAATAATTTCGAAATGCTGAACCTGGAAAGCGAATTGATTGCATGGGAATGCAGCCACTCTTAATCCACGATCATAATATTTTTCTTGAAGCTCTTTAAGCTCGTTGTAGTTTGAGTTAGTCAATCCACAATATGAAGCAACATTAACGATGATAACAACCAAACCACTGAATAACATTTTGTCGATTTATTTCATTTTTATTGAAATACGTTGTAACATTCATTATTTTTACCTATATTTATCGAGAGAAACCGTCGAACCATCGATATGTTTGACTTGGAAATCATAAATTGATGATGGTGTCGCCATCTGTAAAAATCGATGATTTTGAAATGAGCATAATGGTAAATTGGTATATTTATATTCCGTTATCAGTTCGCCGCAAATTTCAAATGATAACTCGCAAGCACATTCTCATTATTCATATTATTCAAACGAATCGATATTTCCGTGCAAGAGCTCTTGTTGGCTGAATTGCATACGCAATAATTATGGATACGCAACAGGTGCGAGCCTACGAGATTACCCGCTGTGTTCACCATATTCGTCGTTTTTTTCTTTTCTTTTACTAGCATACGTTCAAATTTCAGCAAAATGGGACAGTATTTTTCGCAAAAAATGAATCAAGATTCGTCTCAAAATTGCACGCCACAACGCGGACCACCGGTGTGCATTGATCCGAGATCACCGACCAAGGATATTGATCGAACGCCAATTCAAGTGGACAGGTTAACATTTTTATTAATCTGAACAATGAAATTCTCGAATGATTTATACAATTCATTGTAATTCAAATTGGTAAAAAATATATTCTAAAAAATAGGTGTTTTAAATCATTTTAAAATGGTCCGATCTAATTTTAAAAATTTCTGTTCGTTATCCAATTAAACAACATTTTGATTTATGATTTAATGGACCAGTTAAATTTGTCAAAAGTAAATTTATGGATGCTTTTTGAAAAAAAAAACATAAGTAGAATTTTTCTTTTTTCGATTGGCGGAATTCGTTTTTAATCAATTTTTTTATATAAAAAAAATAACAAATGCAACGTAAAATAGTGTCAAGAAAAAAAATCAAAGACGGTTTCATCTGTTATTATCAGTTAGACGAAAATCTTCAATAGAGCGTAATTTGTAGCACGGTTTCCGATGAGAACAGCCCACGAGGAACGCCGATGGAGGCTGGTAAGCCGAAAAGAAGAAGTCTTCGACAGAAAATGTTCGCTAATAAGAAAAAGAGTCTGGATAACGATGAATTGACAAAGGTAGACATTTTTGAAATAATTTCATTTAAAATTAATTTTAGAATGATTAATCGTCGCCGTTTTCCGTCTCCACTTCAAATCTTCTTCAAAATCGTGCTGGCTTATGGCTTCTGCCATTGATGTTCGCTCGTTCTAAATCAATCAATAATTATTAATTATGGGTTTTGTACACTCCACTCACCAATTCATCCATTAATCCATATTTCCAAAAATCTAAACTTTTTATCAGGGATTGTTCACGCGTCGAACTTGCTGTGAACAGTTTTGCTGCCCACAGAGAACTGTTCCGTATTCCTGTATCATGGCCATTCAATTTGACCTGATCTTGTATCATTTTCACATCGTCGCGAATTCCCATCATTATTGTAACAAATTTCTGTAATATAAAGGGATTTTCGAGTTTTGCGAATTGATCCACCTTATTTGGTAAAGCCAATGTAAAAATAACACAATTATTCGGTAAAATCGTATTCGAGTTTATCAAAATACCGCTGACAACAGAGTTTTGAATGTTCTGAGCGCGATTCAACGTCGAAAATTCCACAACAACTTTGCCATTTTCATCAGAATAGGGAAAACGTTGACGGAAAGTCGAATTTGGAGAAATGTGGTCTAAAAACTCGGAATAGGTTCCGAAATGATAGAATGAATTAGGTCCCAAATTGACAATCTAAAGTTTTTTTTTGGGAATCAATTGATTAGACAAATATCTACCTCGATTTTCACTTGAGAAAACAAATCAGCAAGACATTTTCGATATTCTGATAGTCTTGAATTTGCTGAAATCGACAAATTAGATAAATTCTTTGCTATTCATATTTTACATGTTTCAATATATGCGATATTTGGATTACTTCCCATTGGCCTCATGAAATCACCATAACAACACAATTCCTGATCAATTTCCTCTTTGAATATCGGAATATTGACGAGTTCTTCACAAATTTTCCAAGACATCCAAAAACAACTGAAAATCTCGTAGAATTGAGAGAAATCTCGCATTTCCACCTGTCTGTGAGCACTAATCCGTCTTCATTTATGCAATTCTCATCCCTCATTTCATTTTTACTCGGTTTCTGTAGAATGCATTTCAAGTCTCGTCCTTGCAATACGAACACTCCATGTTGTGTGGCCACCTGTCAAATAAACACGTTCGAAATGTTTCCAGAAAATTCTAGGCTCTTCTCGAATTGTAGAAGAAATGAGAGAACGCGTGACGACGAGAGGTGGTGATACGACGAGACAAATTAGAAAATGCGCGTGGAGAAGAGAGTGCAGAGAAGAGAAGAATCGAGATGGTTCGCGAACGATGTAGAAGGTCCCAGAATGACGGCTGTTGGGTATATAAGGAGCCGGTTTGCGGCAGATCGCCAACCTATTTGAATAATCTAATATTCAACTGTGCTCTACACAAATCATGTCATCGTGCAACACTATTGGTATCGACCTCGGTACTACGTATTCATGCGTCGGAGTATATCAGAATGGAAAGGTACGTTTTTTAATGTCTCCAATTTTTGGTTCTAATTTCATTCGGTTTTCAGGTGGAAATCCTTGCCAATTCTGAAGGAAACAAGACGACGCCGTCTTATGTGGCGTTCACCGAATCAGAACGGCTTGTCGGAGACGCGGCAAAAGATCAAGCTGCCAGGAATCCCGAGAACACTGTGTTCGACGCGAAGCGGTTGATCGGACGCCGATTCGACGATCCGACTGTTCAGGCCGATATGCGCCATTTCCCGTTCGCCGTGATGAACAAGAACGGAAAACCGGTGGTTGAGGTGGAAGTGAAGTCGGAACGTCGCCAGTTCAATCCCGAAGAGATCTCGGCGATGGTGCTACAGAAGATGAAGGAAACTGCAGAGACGTATCTCGGCAAGACAGTCAAGGATGCGGTCATCACAGTTCCGGCCTACTTCAACGACAGTCAACGTCAGGCGACAAAAGACGCGGCGACGATTGCGGGTCTCAACGCGATTCGCATCATCAATGAGCCAACTGCAGCTGCTCTTGCCTATGGTCTCGACAAGAATATCAAGGATGAGAAGAATGTGCTCATCTTCGATTTGGGAGGTGGCACATTCGATGTTTCGGTTCTCACGATTGCCGAAGGATCGATCTTCGAAGTCAAATCGACGGCCGGAGACACTCATTTGGGAGGAGAAGACTTTGATCAGCGAATGCTTCAACATCTCGTCGCTGAATTCAAACGCAAGACTGGAAAAGATATAACAAGTAAGTGGATTGGTGATCAATTTCAAATGATTAACAACAATTGTTTTTGCAGAGAATCCTCGTGCTCTTCGACGTCTTCGAACTGCGTGCGAACGTGCCAAGAGAACGTTGTCCAGCTCATCGGAAGCGACAATTGAGATCGATTCGCTCCACGAGGGAACCGACTTCTACTCGAAGGTCACCCGTGCTCGGTTCGAAGAGCTTTGTGCGGATCTCTTCCGGAAGACGTTGGAACCGGTCGAGAAGGCGCTTCGTGATGCCAAGTTGGACAAGTCTCGAATCGACGAAGTCGTTCTGGTTGGAGGATCAACTCGTGTTCCAAAGATCCAGAAACTCCTCAAGGACTTCTTCAATGGAAAGGAATTGAACTGCTCGATCAATCCGGATGAAGCTGTTGCCTACGGAGCTGCTGTGCAAGCCGCTGTCCTCTCCGGAGTCAAGGACAACTCGATCAAGGATGTGCTTCTCGTTGACGTCGCCCCACTGAGCCTTGGAATCGAGACTGCTGGAGGCGTTATGACAAATCTCATTGATCGTAACACCACAATTCCGACAAAGGCAACGAAGACATTCACGACGTATGCCGACAATCAACCAGGTGTCTCGATCCAAGTGTTCGAAGGAGAACGTGCGATGACTCGTGACAATCATCGTCTCGGCACCTTCGAACTTTCCGGAATCCCGCCAGCACCGCGTGGAGTGCCTCAGATCGACGTCACGTTTGACATTGATGCGAACGGAATTTTGAATGTCTCGGCAGTCGACAAGTCGACCGGCAAGTCGAACAAGATCACGATCAAGAACGAGAAGGGCCGATTGTCGCAAGCGGAGATCGACCGAATGGTGAACGAAGCGAAGCAGTTCGAGCAGGAGGATGAGGCTCAACGACAACGCGTCGCCGCCAGAAACCAACTCGAGGCGTACGCATTCCAGTGCAAGCAGGCTCTCGATGAGCACGGAAGCCGCTTGAGTCCAGAAGACGTACAACGAGCCCGCGAAGCCTGCGACGAAACAATCCGCTGGATGGAATCGAACACTTTGGCTGAGAAGGAGGAGATTGAGGCCAAGGAACACGAACTCAAGCAGATCAGCCAGTCAATCATGGCGAAGCTTCACCAGGATGGCGGAGCTTCGGCCAACTGCGGAAATGCTCAATCATCAGGATTCTCGAGTGCCAACTACCCCGGTGGAAATGGTCCAACCATCGAAGAAGTCGACTAAATGATCACTCTAAATTATTAAATTGTATATATTGTAAATTATATTTTTTGCCAACTTTAATTGTAGCAAAACGGGTTTGATTGGATCCAATAAATTGTAGTAATTTTTAAATATGTTTCGGAATTTTTTGAGAAAGAAAAACAAACCTCAATCGAGGATAAATGTGCGAATGCAATGAACTCGGAATTGTTAACACACGAATATCCGCTCATGTCTTCTATCACATCTGATGCGGTTATCATCAAGCCATCTGGTATTCCTTGACGGCAAATTGTTTGTCTGGAATTTCGAAATGTCATTTCGGTCACAATCGGAACGAATTACAGATAATGACGGAGTTTATTTTCCAAAATTGTCATCCCATTCGGCAGGTATCCAAACGCCTTTCCATATGCGGAAAGATGTGGCATTCTCTGTGAAAGTCCTCCAGAATGACAAAGAAGAATCTAATTTGGGCCGTTGAGCGGAGAAAATTTAGAAAATTTCTACCTTCATCGACTTTAAAGAATTATTATACATTCGAATCAGATGTTGTATGACTTGAATTGTCGATCCTCCAGATCCTTGAATTGAATATTGGTTCAGAATAGGCATAGCGAGAAATAATCACCAATTCGACATTTGTCGTTCGCATCCGATACCACATCGACATTTTTGCAGTATTCTCGCAAGTCCAAATGATTCAGTTGTTTGAGGAATGTGCTCTTCTGTTTTTCATTCGCTGCCGTCAGCACAAGAAGATCCCACATTTCTTCAAAATCAATTACTTTTAATTAACGAATAAATTTCCATTTCCTTTTTCCACATAAATATTTTAAAATTAACTGTTTTAAGGTGAAATTATTCAAGTTCTACATTTCCGAGAAAATTAACTCGAACCTCTTCTTCACTTCTACAGACCACGTGAATTAACTTTCGAACTAATTCAAATCGAATTTGAGAATTAAAAATTTCACAATTGTTTCTTATTTCTAACAAATACTTTAGAAATAAATAAAGTGCGGACTAGAATAGAAGCCACGTAGAAATGCGGAGAGTGCAGATAGTTAGGCGGTTCATTGTGCACGATGCATATTTTTTCATGAATGATAATTCAAGTTCACGATACTATAAAGATTGCAAGAAAGGCAGATACAGAGTCGACATCTATAAAAACGAACCTCAATCGAGGAAAAATGGGCGAATGCAATGAACTCGGAATTGTTGACACAATATCCATTCATGCCTTCTTTCACATATGACGTTCTGAATTTTTTTAAAGAATCTGTATGCAATAAATAAAACATTTTCAGGCGGACAACAAAAAGACCTCCCTTGTGAGTAAAATTGTTTCTAAGAATAGTTGGGAAAAAATTGTAGGAAGGAAATATTGCCAAATTATCAAATTCGAAATTGCGACTCCCAAACCTTTATTAGTCAACTCTAAACAAAAGTAGTTATTAGATTCGCAAGAAAACGAGAGTCCTGTCTAAATTTACGGTCCGTTAGCTTCGCAGGTTATCCAGAGAAAAATCAATAAACTCTGGTAATTCATTTCGAATCGAATACGACACATTTGAAACCGAATACGACAAATTTCGGCTCCGAACGTGACCTAATTAGGTTCGAAATTTCTCGTATTAGGTTGTGAAATTATCGTATTCGATTATCTTTGGAATACGTTTCGAATGCAGCCGTATTCGTTTTGAATGCAGCCGAATTCGTTTTGAATGCAGCGGTATTCGTTTTGAATGTAGTCGTATATTTTTCAAATGTAATCGTATTCGGTTTTGAATTGAATTCGATTTGAATCAATTATGGAAGAAAAAGAAAATCGATTAGACAAACAAAATTATTTATTGCAATAAACACAATAACAACCAACAGCAGGAATGAAACAAAAAATATGTATAGCAGGATGTGCGATTTTTTCAATTTATTTCTTCGGAAATACTATTTCGATTATTTGTTTTCGCCATTTTTTGACGAAAAATTTATAACTTGCTTCAATTTCGACATTTCCTTTTCTGGTAAATGAAAATCGATCGAGTTCGAAAATAATTTTCTTTTCAATCGAAATCGATAATACATTAATCTGTTTCGAATTATTTCAAAATTAAATCGAATACGATTTCAAAATTGAGAATGAAGAATGAACCAATCGATTTCGAAGATTTTTGAATCGAAACAAGTTTTCAAAGCGAATCTAAACAATTTCTCAATCGAATTTCATTTCTTTTTCTATCGAATCAGATTAATTTATATTTTGTTTTTTTGATTTTCATTTAACTACGGAAATTCCAAGCCAACGCAAACCTGATAAACTGATATACAGAAAATTAACTATGGCGCGAGTTCGAGAGCTCCTCCTCAATTCGCAGCCTCCTTGCGCGATTACTAAAAATTTTCCGGTAAAAAAACTATAAAAATGAAATATTGACTAACCATAAGTATTCGATATAATTTTCCGTGATTACTGTAACGGCAATTCGCATCATCTTCTCTTCGGTGTCCGGGATTGATATACAATGTAAAAGTAATTCTGTAAAAATTAAATTATTGAAATATTATAGAATTATAGAAAACTGACCAATAAACGTATTGATTATGTGCGCTTCAATTGCAATATTACCTTTTTGAGGATTTCGGCGTGGCGTATACTTGCATCGAATGTTTTGAGGAATCACCTGTAAATATGAAAATAGTAAAAACATCGAAAATTATTTTTTACCTCGTTCATCCAAATCATAACTGCCTCGTGCACTATTGTTCGCAGATGACGCTTACAGGGACGCATCGACTGAATGATAAGTGAGAAGTTAACCAAATCTTTAAAAAAAAGTTATTTACTGTAACGAATTTCTTTTTACCATTTCCTTCAATGGCCGGCACAAGGGTGTCGTCATAAGAAGCAAGCTTCAGCGGGTCGAACATTGCAAATACCTTGTCCTAAAAATAGTAGGCAATTTATCTGTTTGATGCAATTAAATCACCAAATTCCCGCTATACGACGTCCTATTCGCTGGTTCTCATCATCTTCATCTTCATCATTATCACTTTCATATTCTTGATCTTGAACACTTGTCATGTCCACTTCCATTTCTTTAACAGTAAAATATCATTTTGACAAAATCGATAATTACCATGCTCAACATCATCCTTGAATTTTTTCGAAGATTTCCGCAAATCGCTCAATACGTCTCTCGTGTTGATCCGCTTCATCTAAAATTGCGCACAATATTAAGAAATACGATGCGAATACGATTTTAAACGATTAAATAAAATTTAAAGAAAAATTATCGGCTATCGGATGTTCCCGAAAAAAAAGCGGCTCAGGTAATTATTTTATGTCGCCATATGGCGGTTCGCGTGCGATCTCGTTTATTGTTTTTCGAAATTCTTTTTGGGTTATTTTCCAACCGATGACAATGATTTCTGAAAATGATGTTGCTAAATATATGATAGAGAAACAGGTGCCAACTTCTGTTGCAATTGATATCATCGAATTTGTTGAAACTATTAAAAATATATTTACATTGAATCATACTGTGGAAAATTGATAAATATAAACGTGCGCGCACGCGAACCGCACGCGCCCGAACGCGAAAAAATCTTGTAAATAGCTGCATTTCGGTGTCTCGCGGCAACAAGGAGTAAGCAACACTACTGGGCATTCATTAGTATTAAATATACTCAGCTCGTCAGCTCGGATATCATACGATATCGTTAACTTTTCGAAACCGACAAAATATTTTTTAAATAGAAAATTTAGGATAAATATGTCGCCGAATCCGGTTAATTAATTTGCGTTCGATTGTAATTCGTATTCGTTTCGGTTTTACTGCCAATTCGTATTCGATTCGAAATTTTGCGTATACGTTTGTAATACGCGTTCAATTCGTATTCGATTCGAATCGAGTTACCAGTGTTTTTTCGAACGTATACGATTGTAATTCTATCGTATTCGGTTCGGTTTTACTGTCAATCGTATACGATTCGAAATTTTCCGTATACGTTTGTAATACGCGTTCAATTCGTATTCGATTCGAAATGAATTACCAGAGAAGGCGCTCGTTTTCTTTCGATGGTAATAATAAAGATAAATACGAGAACAATCCGCGATGGTTTCATAATACAAATTAACATATGTATAAGATTTTCTAATACTTTTTACAATTTTTTTTACATTTTGTACATTTTCTATGTATAACCATCGCCATCTAGAGAATTGAAAATGATCTTAGACGTAGATGAGAATGCATCGCTGCTCGCGATGTTCCGCCAGAATCGCCGGCTTCTCATAGCCAAGTTGAACATAAGCCGGCGAGAGACGCCAATCCGACGATGCCTCGAACAACGGCGATGTCATGTACTTGTGCAGTTGATCCGGACTGAACGGCGTTCCATCCATGTAAACAGTCAAAGAATGTTTGACACGGAAGAAAGTTGCGTCAATGAGAGACAACACGGAGAAAGTGGAAATCGACGGGCATCCGGAGACACGGAATGTCTCGAGTTGTGGGCAGCTGCGAGAAACGGCGCGCGCGAATTTGTCGGTGATTTGGACGTTGTCGCGGAAGTCGATGTTGGTGAGAGTGTTGAACGACGTCGACAAGCTGCGAATCAACTGCGATTCCGAAACCGAAAACGTGCAGCCTTCCATTTCAAGCTTCTCGAGCTGATCGAATTTCGCCAAAAGAGCCAACGTCCACGGCTGAACATTGGCAAGATCGCATTCGGTGAGCGCGAGTCGCTTCAATGGAGCCGAACTGCACAACGCGAACAGAACCGCCATTTGTTCATCGCTCACACGGGTTTTAACCAGATCGTCTTCAACTTCAAGCGAATTCGCACCTGATTAGAATTTAATAATTTTTTACAAATCTCGTTTTGCCATTTTCTTACCATCCGAGATAACTGGTAGGATGTTTTTTAAGATCTCCATTCCTCCATGATCGCCACATTGGCAAACATGAAGATATGCCTCATTATTCAATGTTCTATCGATGCCAATGCGAAGTGGGCAATCAGTTAAAGCGATTTTAAGACTTTCAAGTTCCGGAATAATTCGCGCTAAAATATTTCATTTTGTTAAAAAAAAAATTTATCTAATTGCAAATAGAGTTAAAAATGTTAATTTTTAAACTTTAAAGCTAACAGAAAACTTTCAATTCCAAAACAAAATAGAATAATTCGAAAACAAAACATACCCGCAACCGTAAGAAACCGCTTGGAAACGACCGCGCAGCTCAAAAGGTCCGAGGCGGGAAGTTCGCGAAATATTTTATCTAGAATTTCTGTTGGAAGCTTTTTCATCTGAAAAACTCAGTTATTTGACTTCACAAAACAAAGACAAATAAACATGAGTATTCAAAAACTCTTAAATCCCAGGAATCCAAGAAAAAAATAGGGAGAAAAGAAATATTGCAATATTTTAATTAAACGAAAACAAAATAAATATGAACAATCGAAAAGAAAACATGTAATTACAGTAACAATAACGACAACAAAAAGACGGAATTAACCCGGTTAGAGACCCCAAAGTTTTCGCCTTTCAGATCGCGCAGTTTTTGCTCCGACTTCGACAATTCTCGATGAGTCCGGTCGTTTGAATGCTCGCTCACTTTCAATTTTTCGCCTGAAATTCCATGCATTTGAGAAAATTGTTTAAAAAAGGAAAAATGCACCTTTCCATCTCCTTTTGAGCTTCTCGCATTTCTACTTCCATTGTTTCCATGGTCCGTACTCCTTCCAATTTATGCTCCTTCCGCGATTGTCTCGAATCCTTGACAGAATAGAACATCGGTCCTAATTCAGCAAGCCAAATTGCGTCGACCGCTGTCACACACTGCATATATTCCTTGGCAGTCATGATAAGCTCGTGGTACACCTAGAAAATTAAAATAAAAAATCATAAAAGAATTCAACAGCTCGACAAACCACATAATCGGGCATGAAACCCATTCCGAAGAGCGCGGATGTCGGATGAAGGAAGCATGGAATACCAGTTCTCACATTCACATATTCTCCGATTCCTTTCAATCGAGCAGCATTGTGGAAATACGCCGAACAAATACATTTTCTCACGACATCCCATTCACTACCGTTGGAACTGAAAACATTGATTTGCGGAAAATCTGGAACTAAAAGAAACTAACGACAATGGGATTTTGAGATCTTGCATGATCTCTTTGAGTTGCGCGCGAACTTCTCGAACTTTCTTCAACGCCTTTACGTGCAAATAGTTGTCCGCGCACCATTTCGCCGAATATTTGTGCGTCCTCCATTGCAGGTACACATTCAGGAATGTGAGATGGTCCGATTCGGGAACCTGGAACTTCTCCTTTTTCGCATCAGCTTCATCTTCTCTTCCTTTCGGTCGGAAAAAGATGGCCGGCACAGAAAGCATCGACACAATCGTCAACACTTCTTCACTGCATCCCATTTCAGCGGAAACGATCAACATTTTCGAAAGCGTCGGATCAAGAGGGAATTCGACCATTTTGCGACCCATCGGGGTCAATTGCCCCGTACTGTCAAGTGCACCCAATGTCCATAATTGGTACATTGAGTTGAGCATGTTATCTTGAGGCGGAGCGTCCATGAAATGAAATTTGAGGAGATCATCAACACCAAGAGATTTTAGAAGCAAAACGACATTCGCGAGGTTTGTTCTCTGGATTTCAGGAACAGTTGACGCCTGAAATTGGTCATATTTCTTTTCTCATTTATTCAAAATTAATAAAATCTTACCAATAATTCATCTTTATATTGCCGTTCCGTGTACAAACGATAACATTGTCCGGGTCCGGTACGTCCAGCACGACCAGCGCGCTGATTAGCGGAAGCTTGAGACACCGGAAAGATCTGAAGTGCATCCATACCGATTCGCGGATTGTAGACCTTCATTTTGCAGAAGCCCGGATCGATAACGAAAAGAATTCCGTCGACAGTGAGAGAAGTTTCAGCGATATTTGTCGCAACAATGCATTTTCGCATTCCGCCAGGAGCTCGTTGGAAAATCTTCGCCTGCAAGTCACTCGGCAATTGCGAATAAATCGGCAGAACCGCGAGCGGCGGCGCCTCATCGAGATCGCTGAGCTTCTCTTTGATCATCTCGCAAGTGCATTCAATATCTTCTTGACCAGGCATGAAAATCAGAATGTCACCATCCATTCCTAAAAGCAATTCCGGAAATTTTCACAAGTTTCAAAGGTTGAATTACCTCCAAGATGAATTGTAACCGCTTGTTTCACAGCAGCTTCCACATAGTCTTCAACAGGAGTTCTGGCATGGAAAAGCTCGACAGGGAAGGTACGACCAGGAATTTTGAATGTCGGACAATTACCTAAAAAAAATTCAGAATTCTATACAAATCTCATAAATTCACAGAAATAAAATACCTCCAAAGAAATCTGCGAATTTATCAGCATCCATTGTAGCAGACGTCACAATTAGTTTCAAGTCTGCTCGTTTCGCCACAACTTCTCTCAACAATCCGAAAAGCACATCAGTATTTAGTGATCGTTCGTGAGCCTCGTCCATAATAATCGCCGAGTACTGATCCAAAGATCCATCTCCAAGACATTCTCGAAGCAAAATACCATCAGTCATGTACTTGATGATCGTCTTGTCCGAAGTGCAATCTTCGAAACGAATCGCATATCCGACATCTTGTCCAAGCTAAATGTCAAATTCGAAAACTTGTGTCAATGTTCCAGCAAACCTCAACACCCATTTCATCAGCTACACGCTTCGCAACACTCATTGCAGCGACACGTCTCGGCTGAGTGCATCCGATCAATCCCGAGTTTCCAAAACCGTCTTCTAGAAGATATTGCGCCAATTGCGTTGTTTTTCCGGATCCTGTTTCTCCAACAATAATCACAACATTGTTCTCGCGGATTACGCTCATCATTTTTTGACGACATGCGAAAACAGGCAGATATTCTCGTTGTTGCTGAAAAAAAATTTCATTTTTCAAACATTTTTCCAATTTAATATAGTGCGTTTCCAAAAAAAATGCGGCTACCGGAAGTTTTCACCGACACGTTGCGGTTCACGTTTTTTTTTTCGTTTATATATATATATATATATTTTTTTTTAATTTAAAAAAAAAACGAGAGCGACCGTGAACCGCAACGCGTCTGGCGACATAGAATAATTACGTTAGCCGTTTTTTTTTTCTGGAAAAAAAAGACTATACCTTAATTGTCTTTTCCATAGCAAAATCAGAAACAGCTTCATTTTCCTTCATGTGGGTAGCGAACTGATGAGATTCCTTGTAATTAGCGCTGTCGTCATCTTCAGGATCAGCCGTCTCATCAGGTTTTCCCTTGATTCCCATCAAGTTTCCAAGTTTACTACCAGCTAACTCCCAATGCTTATCTTGAGCCTAAATACATAAATAAAATGGAAAATAAAAAGAAACGGTGGCATAATCTACCTTTTTTCGATCTTCCATTTCTCGCCGCCTCCTCACAGCAGCACTACCTTTCGCGGCAGCAACTGCCATATCGCAAGTTGTGTCGACGACCGGAATAACAGGTTGCGCTTGCTGAAACATTTATCAGGTATTTTAATGGCTTCCTTCAATGATGTTACCTTCGTGAACACAATTCTACCATCTAAAAATGGTGGGATAATGTTGTGAACTAGAATGGTGACGCGATTTTCGTCAGTTTCGTCTTCAAATGTGCTCGACAATTCGTCGGCCATTGCAACAACTCCCGATCGATGGAGACGATTGTTTTCCCACATTTCGTTGTCTCTTTTAATCATCTGTTGTTTTACAGTCAATCGCGGCTTCTGTGTTTTCTCCTGCCATTGTTTCTCGCGTTTCTCGACGAATTCTTCCGACACTTTTGCGAATGGATTGTACTCATCGTCGAATGCGCCTTCGTTGTCGTACCATTCTCGATCAAGGTTCTTCTGCTCTTCTTCCCATTGTAGACGCTCTTCGTCGTCATGGAATTCCGGCTCATTCCTATCTTCCTTTATAGATCGCACGGAATCCTCCGGCCTATTATAACGTCTCCGTCGTTCTTCATCTCGATGACGTCGTTCGCTTCGCCAAGCACTCGAAATACCTGAAATTCTGAGCATTATTATGTATCTTTCAAATAATCCAACTTCTTTCAGAATCCCAATCTCTTCCACGACCTCGATTTCGGTCTCCGCGTGGGGTTGGCATATCCCAAGAGCTACGACCATGCCGGTTTCGAGAATCGCGATCATCTAAGTCCCATGATGATCGAGATGGAGTATCCGGAACCTGAGAGCTCAATTATGTGAAAACTTGTTGTTTTATTAAATATACCTTGAATCTAGGAGTTTCAGCTCCTTCTTTCCAGTCTCTCCGATCTCGTCGACTGCTTGCATCTCCTCTCCTTTCTGATCTATCTCTAGACCTATCACGACGGCGATTGTCATCTCTGGTTTTGTATTTTACTCCTCGATCATCTCTTTCGCGTTCTCGTCGCTTTTCGTGAACTCTACAAGAAATAATAATAGAACTATTAATAATGCAATATTCTTACTTGTCAATCCCTCGGCGAACTGATGCGGTCACTCCGGTGTCATTACTTTCATCATATTCTCTTTTGCGGATATGTTCCCGTTTTGTGGCAGCAAGTTTGTCGAGACCCAAAAGACTTCTAAAATTTTTATTAAAAAAATTATATTTAAAAATACATTGATACTTACTTTTTAGGTTCTGGTTTGGCGAAATCATCGGATTGTTTCTTTTTGGTTATTAACCCTCCTACAGTTTCATTTATTCCTTCGAGTCTGTCGTCTGCGTTGGCATACGACATTTACTAAAATTTTTTGAATGTACATGTATTTAAATAACAAAAGCAATGTTAGGAAAACTGTAGAAGGCAACGATAAATGAAAAATAAGTTTAAAAAATTGCGTGAAATAAGGAAAAATGAATGTGTCATTTCTTGGACAATACGCCAAAAGTGTCCGAACAAAAATAAATACGAAAATGAGGATTGGGGAATTGAAGAGAGTGTGCCAGCTGAAGAGAGTGCCAGTTGAAAAACAGTGCGCTAGGGCGCACGTGACCACTTCGAGGTTCGTTTTTTCTTTCGAATAATTTGGCCCATTTCGTCATCCTGTTTCTTGCATGGCTTCTATCTTTTGCACTCATTCTTCTTATTTTGGTGTTGTGAAAACTCGCAATTCTCTCAGGGTTTGAAACACACAACAAAATAAGAAAACTGCGCCCGAAGAGTCAGAAAAAAGAGCAGCTGATAATTTTGATTCAAAATATCTCTCGTCTTCATTTCACAACTTTTCAATTTAAATTCGTCCTCGTTGGGTGGTCTTTTAGCCTCGAAAACCTCATAAATTAGCCCTCGCACGGCCCACACCGACTAAACGACCTTCGTCATTCGGTTGTCATTTTTTTTTTGAAAAAAAAAATCGTTTCAAGCATCTCCCGTTGGGTCGTAAACAAATATTGCAACAAACCGCGTCAATTTCCCATTGAGAAACGTAATTTATCCAGTGCAAAAAGTGCGGATTGCGAAATACTTGCAATGAGTCATCAATTGATAAAAATCATTTGCGTTTTTGTTGTTTTCTCTAGTATTCCTATCGAATTTTATCGTTTTCTGCTGTCCACGCCCGCCCGTTCCAAATGTGATTTGTGAATGTGCGTGTGTGCGCATTTATTTTTAAGCCACACGTCCCCGTTTTTAATGTAATTTACATTTGCAATCTATTTCCTTATGCGAAATGGACAAACGTTGGAAAAATTGAAACAAATGTTGAAATTTCATCGTATTATGGTAAACAATAATATAATTTTTATTTCTCAAGTCAGCAATTCATTTCTACCGATTTTCTTTCAATTTTTTTCACAAAATTGTTTGTCATCGATGTTTATTTTTCGCGGTGAAACTATTTATGTTCCGTTTCAGAATGTCGAACTATGGCTTTCTCGGTGCCCCACTCAAATCTACGAATGATGTCGATTTGGTGAAACCGCTCACCACTTACATCGATACAGTATACAACACTTCTGACGATAATCGTGCCGAGATCACCGAAGCTGTCCAAGTACTTTCCGGCGAATTTATGATAAACATTGATTTCTGTAGGAATTGAACAAATTGCGTTCGAGAGCATGCTGCCAACCATTGGATAAACATCAATCAGCACTCGATATTATTACTAGGTATTTAGCCGCCCATTTTTTTACGGCATATGTTGTCGGCGTCAAACAACTGATCTAAATTAAAAAAAAAAAACATTGTCGATGCTCAAAGAAACGAAAATTTAAAAAAAATATTTTCGACGTTGTGACTGCGAAAAACGACAAATAGCCAAAACATTAAGGTAAGGGCCTTGGTGCGCGATGTGCGCCTGTAATCTATACTTATCCATAAACCATAAATCTATACTTAGTTTTACCTCAAGATCGCTTTATGGCTTTTTACCAATTTTCCGCAGTCGCGCGAAGTCTTCAATACACTGATTTCGCGAATTTGAATGCCCCACCAGTTTTCAGTTGCTTGAATCCAACAGTATATATATATATTTTTTTACAGATATTATGATCAACTTGTGGCAATTGAAAACAAAATCATCATTTCTGCTACTCAAAGTCCAGTTGTGTTCAAATGGAAAGATGCTTTTGATAAGGGAGGGCTGTTCTCAAGCAGGGTAAGAGATGATTAATTTAAAATGAAATCATTCTGAAACACAAGTACATTTTTTTGAAAATTACGATACATCAGCAAAATATGAACCTGAAAGTCTTAGAATCTCGAATCTATTTGCATTTTATATACGATTGTTTTAATGGCGTCGCGCGACTTCAGAAAATGGGCTAATTGCCCAAAAATTTAGTGTCTATTTTCATTTTTGCGCCAGACCTTTAGAATAGTTTTTTTTTAATCTGTTATCCAATTCACGCCGACAATAAGAAATTAATTCAAAGTAAAAAAAAAAACGACTAATTTGTCATCTAAAATTGTACATTATTTTTCAGGCATCTTTATCGTTGTCGGATAGTTCATTTGAACGCGCTGCTGTTCTTTTCAACTGCGGATCTCTAATGTCTCAGGTATATTGCGTATTGTTATTCTATGTATTTATATTTTTTTTAATTCTAGATCGCCGGTTCTCAAATGTTCCACACTGACGACGAGATAAAAACCGCCGCCAAACTGTTTCAACAGTCGGCTGGAGTTTTCTGGAAACTGAAGGAAACTGTACTCGGAATGGTGCAACAAGAGCCCACACCGGATTTGATGCCTGACACTCTTGCAGCATTGTCTGCAATTATGGTGGCTCAGGCACAGGAAGCGATTTACATTAAAGGATTCAAAGGTAATTGCGATTTAATAAATCCGTCGAGGTATCAAGCATTCAGATAAGATGAAACCCGCGTCAATGGTGAAAATCTCGGCGCAACTTGCCGATTTCTACGTTGAAGCTCAGAAATTGATGAACAAGGATATTGTCCGCGGACTTTGGGAGAAAGACTGGGTGAACACAATCAATGGAAAATTGCTCGCCTATCAAGCGTTGTCGCAATACCATCAGGCTGAAGTGAATGCGGAAGAACGTCAAATTGGCGAACAACTCTCGCGACTAGCCGAAGCTCTAAAATTGTCTGAGACGGCCACCAAATATCTCACTGGACACGCTTCGGCTATCATTGAAATGTTCCCCGCGATCGGCAAGGCGCATCAATTGGCGAAAAAAGACAACGACTTCATTGTGAGTTATTCGTTTATGGGTCTACTGAATAATTATTGAATTTCAGTATCATGAAAGGGTGGCCGATTTCCGTTCTTTGCCTTCGTTGCCGCGTGCGCCACTTGCAAAGCCAACACCCGTTGTTCATCCATTATCTCCGAGATTCAAAGGTAGATTTTTTTTAAAGATATGTTTTAAATTTTTGATTTTTTTAAAATTTAGACATGTTCTCATCTCTTGTTCCGGTGCAAGTTCACAACGCCATGCAATCCTACGAGGCACGCAAAGCTGAATTGATCAACATGGAGACTGTCCGACTTCGTGAAGCTACTCAATTAATGAATGGGTTCGTTTGGGATATTTAATTTCATTTTTAAAAACTTCCTTCTTTTTTTTAGCGTTCTCGCCTCACTCAATTTGCCAGCTGCTTTAGATGACGTTACTTCAACAGAAACCCTTCCGGAATCGATTAAACTGAAATCGGCGAAGCTGAAACAAAATGGAGGAGCTGCTGAGATTTTGCGATTGTTCTCTGATCTGCCGAATCTTTATCAGAGGAATGAGGAGATTTTAAATGAAACGAGTAGAGTATTAAATGATGAAAAAGTTGGTTTTTTTTTAGCGATTTTTCCCGAATTATTAGAAGTTTTAAGGAAAGCGATGATACAATGCGCAAGCAGCTTTCGACGAAATGGACGAGAATGTCCAGCGAGCAATTGACCGGACCTCTTATTCAGGAAATTGGAAAATATCGCGGAATATTGAACACCGCGTCGAATGCGGATAAAATGGTCCGTGACAAGTTTGAGACTCATCGACAAGGAATTGAACTACTTTCGAAGGCTGAGGTGATTCATTTTCAATCTCGCCAAATTACAAATGCAAGTGATTTTTAGTCGGAGCTCCGCGCCGCGATTCCTGGCCAAACTGCTCATGCCACTGGTGAAACCGAATCAGTGCGAAAATTGAGAGAATTGATGGCAAGATGGAATGAAATGGTTGTGGAAAGGGAAGAACTCGAGAAGGAGATCAAATCGACCAATTGCGATATCAGCAACGATTTTCTGAAAGCGATGGCTGAAAGTCAGCTTATTAATGAGGAGCAGATATCGAAGGAGAAGATTAATGAATTGTTCGGAGGATTGAAGGCGAGAGTGCAACAATCGGTCACCGAACAAGAGAATTTAATGAAAGAAATTCAGGTTTTCATTCATTTTCAATCATTTGTGATATTGTTTTTGTTTAGACTTATAATAATAAATTTACAAGCGAGAAGACCGGATCAGTATCGGGAGCCGAACGTGAGAGGATTTTGAAGATGCTCGCGCAAGCTGCCGATGCTTATACTGAGCTCAAAGCGAATCTCGAGGAAGGCACAAAGGTCTGATCGAAAAGTAAAACATCGAATATGAGAGCATTTTTTAGTTTTACAACGATCTCACTCCAATTCTTGTCCGATTGCAACAGAAGGTCAGCGATTTTGCGTTTGCGCGACAAACTGAGAAGGAAGATCTCATGAAGCAATTGCAAATTAGCATTGTGGCAGGTAGGATTGCGATCGTTTTTGTCTGGTAACGCGACGAAACACACGAGTTTCGATCAAAATATAAGTCTGAAATTGACGAAGCTGTCAGTTTTGCTCAAATTCGACCCGGCAAATTTTGTTCTTACTCCAGCTTTATATTTAGTTAGAAAATAATTATGCTAAGGAAAATTTTTGAACGAATTCTCACGTTACAGATCACGATGGTATGTAATTTATCTAAACGTTAGTTTTGTATATGCTATTGTATTAGTCGTCGTCGTGATTGTTGTCGAATTATTAATACAGATGTTGGTAGTATTGTGCATGTCTCGTTGTTTTTAGGCACCGCTGCGAAGGCTGTTACCGAAGGAATTTCGACACTTGTCTCATCGTGGGCTACCAATTCCCCTTCATCGGGTCCGTTTTCTGTTTTCAATTTTCGGTTCGATAACGACAAATACATGTTGTCACTGTTCATGATTCTATTCAACATTCTCCAAAACTGTTTGATTTGTTCCTTCTTTAGGAGGAGGATCATCTGGCTCTTCTGCTCCTCCGCGTCCACCACCGCCACGTCCAGCTGCTCCGCCGCAGTCCCACAGTGTCGAGCCGCCAATTGCGCCACCGAGAACTCAGCAATCCCTACAAGGTGAGATATTATACTTGAAATGGGGAAAATTGATAATGTTTTACCTAATCACGAAAAAAATTATGTTTTTTTCCAGTGTTAATTCGACAGAATTCAAAATATCGGTTTCATTTTTTGAATTGTTCGACATGCATGCCTAGAAAATTGAAATGAAATAAGATTATAACGCGAATTATGTAATTCGCTTCAAATTTTCGAAGATTCTCTTTGAACTACTCTTTTCAACAAATTTTCCAAAATTCCTATCAAATTCGTATAAATTTTTGCACTTTGGCGTTTAACTTCTTCGTGTGGAGCAAACTTTAAGGAGCACGGTCAGGCTCCTGTTTTTTTTTTGAAAGCATGCTGTGAAGTAAAAATCAAATCGCGGTCATCTTGGCCTTGTTTCTGAGAGGGTGCTCTCAAATGAGACGTATGCTTATTGGCTTAACTAAATTTTATCCGTTTTTTAATATTATTGGAAAATTGTAAATCACTATTTTGTGTAAAAATTGCATAAAAAAGAATTGTAATATCCCCGTTGAATTTAAAGTTTTTTTTTTGTGGGAAAACGGTAATTAAACTAATAAAAAATATTTGTTCGAAAATCGCGAGAATCTGACAAACTTATCGCATGCTTCATTGTATATGTGTTGCCTGGATGATTATGTTCTTCAGCGGTTCCGCAACAGCATCAACCGCAACCGTTCCAGCAGCCACAGCAGGGATATAATCCATACCAGCAACAACAGCAGCAGCAATTCCATCCAGGATACTACCAACAACAAGTGCCGTACGGTGTGTTTTTTTGTGTTTGGCCATCCTAGTGTGTTCGTCTATCGATAACATTCCTGAATATGATAGATTCTGTTTCTGAAAATTATGCTTGATCGTTCCAGGTCAACCGCAGCCGATGATGTATCAGCCGGCGTATCAGCCGACGATCGCTGCCCCGTACCCAACATTCCCTGGTGCGTTCCCATCGTATCAGCAACAACAGCAACAGCCGTGGCCGCAGCAACAGCAGCAACAGCAGTTCCCGCCGAATCCTTCATTCGGAGGATCGCAATCTAATAACCCATTCCAGTAATTTCTAATTGTATTTCTATTATATTTGTATTCATTGTGCTCTCATTTCTCCGCAACTCACCTATGATGTTTTTCTTGTATTATACTATTTTGATAATTATTTTCTCGACATTTTTGCGTAATTCTGATTTGTCCCGTGGTTATTCAAGCGTCTAGGCCTTCTTAAAAAAAAGTTTTTTTCATAGTACCTTCTCGCAAACACACATTTTTGTTTACGTGTCGACTCTTGTAGAATTTCGCTAATGGTTCAACACAATTTTTTCTGATAAAAATTGTTATCATTTTTCTACTGGTGTTTGTGGCAAAATTTCTAATTGGCGGTGCTGTGGCTGATAAAAAAGGAAGGACGCTGCCATTTACGGGAATAGCCTAAGAGCAGAAGCACATGATAATTAAAATCAACACAGTCACATAGTTTATCAAAGATCGCTGGAAGTGAGCGATAAACTCACGTGAATTTTCGTACGCGGAAACTTGAGAATGAGGTGGGCACCATTATAGTCAGCGCGTGTCAAAATGGCTCATCAATGCCGCCATAATGGGTCCCACTATTTTCAATTGAAAAAGCATTTGCTTCAACGACATTTCTAGCAATAAACAAGCCTAACCCTCGTGGCATTTTTATCGCGAATCGCTCGAAATGGAAAGCGACAAGCGATTGTCGTTTGTCGCTCTTATCAGTGTGCCATTGCATTTTTTTTTTTGGAAAAAATTAACCACAAGAACATTGATTTAAATGATTATCAATGAATTGATTGAAATTATTGTCAACGAAGTGCGATTATGGATGATTGCTCAAGTAAATGTAATATAATCGAAATCGAATATAAATTAATCTGTTTCGAATTATTCCAAAATTTCAATCGAATACGATTTCAAAATGAACAATGAGAAATAAATCAATCGATTTAGAAAATCGAAAACCAAGATTTCAAATCGAATTTAAACACTTTCTTAATCGAATATCAATTATTTTTTAATCGAATCGGCGGGGTACAGATGCTTTGAGACAAACGGCGGAAGTTGTTGTGAGCTTCGGGGGAACCCCGATGTTTAAACCAAACCCTAGGTTCGTCCTTTTTCGAATCGCTGAGCAAGAAAATACGAAAAATATATCTAGCCCTCAAACACCGCTGTTAGGGCGCCAAGTCGGCGGCCGTTCTCATTTAAAAGGAACTCTCCCTCTCTCACACGGAATTTTTTTTTACATTTAACCAATTATCAGCAGTCACTCGACGATACTAGATACTTCTATTAAGCATAAATAAGGATGTATGAAATCGAACAATCCAAAATTGGAGGTTTCAAGAAATTGCCAAGAATGTCTGGCATTCATGCGTTTTTTTCAATATTTCAGAACACTAAACAATCTAGGAAAATTTAACTCTGGTAACTCAAAACCAATCTGATCCGACAAAATTCGGCCCCGGAATCAACCTTATCCGATTGGTAATTCTACGGATAAGATTGGAAAATTGTCGTATCCGATTGGTTTTTTGGGTTTTTTTTGGATCCGATTGGTAATTTGTCAGATCCGATTGGTAATTCTACGGATAAGGTTGGATATTTGTCGAATCCGATTCGAATTGAAATATTAAAACAAAACGGATTCAAATAATTACCAATCGGATTCGAAGAAAATCTAATCGGATACGACAAATTACCAATCGGATCCGAAAAAAACCCAAAAAACCAATCGGATACGACAATTTTCCAATCTTATTCGTAGAATTACCAATCGGATAAGGTTGATTCCGGGGTCGAATTTTGTCGGATCAGATTGGTTTTGAGTTACCAGAGAATAAAATTTTCCGCACGCCAATATTTTTTTGGTTTGCTCCGCCGGTTTCCGATTCCTTTTTTCTGATAATCATCTTTCCTATTTTGAATTTTTTTTTACTTAGCAATTAATGAATGATATGAAATTAATTCGCGTGAAGTTAGTGATTCATGTGCGAAAAATTTGAAACCGCTTATCGGCGGAAGAAATAGAGGTCGCGGGGATTGCTGTGACTGATAAAAATACTATTACAAAAACCGCGAGCAATCGGTTTATTTTCTCATTTTCCGAAATGTACACCATGCGGCGAAGCAGCTCGATGTTGATCAATGGCGAAGCGGCGCGGCTGCAAGAAGCGACGAGACGAATGGAAAGGTATATCGATCTATCGAGGTCGCACTCAAACGAATTCAAATCTGTTCAGTTTGCTCCGATCTCTTGATCTGCCGGAACGGTTGGACGTCGTCCTGGTGACGGACCCGTACTCGGAGACGGCAAGAGCGAAAATCGCCAAGACGAAAAGCTTGATCGCTGAGATCAACGATCTGTTTGCGGAATCGACGAGAATCTTGCAAAGCAACCAAACACTTCTCGATGAGGCGACTAGCTCGCTGAATTATCGTCGGGTAGGCTCAATCAAAATAAAAATACATAGAAAAATTTGTTTTTTTTTTCAGTATGACTACGATCGCTACAATTTGTATGATTATGGATGGTCGCCGAGATATTCGTATTTGGGCTATGAAGAACATTTTTGGAGAATACCATTGTTGGAGAAGACCAAGAAGTACGAGGGGATTTTGTCGGAGGTGTCGACCAATCAGCAGAAAGACAAGAATCGATTCGAGGATCTTCTCAGAAAAGAGGTATACAAAATCCGGTTGTCGATATTTTTATACCCTCGGTGGCGAAAAATTTCATATTTTTGAGCATAACTTTATTAGGGGGTGAACTTGATAATTAAAATGTTGAAGTGACTCAGAATTTCGATTTTTCGAATTTTTCTGCTATTTGAAAATATTGATGAGGGCAACGCAGAGAAATAAAAAAGAAAAATTTCGAAGATACGCGGATTCGCATCGAGACCCATCGCATAAATAAAAGGCATGCGTCTTAAACTACCAAAAACTTTGCGAAAAAATTCATCCAAAAAAAATATTTTTTGGAAATATTGTGGACAATTACGAATGTGAAAAACTGCAGCAATATTCTATGCATTGTGTGCGTACACCGAGTCGCACATCTCGATCTTAGCTACAGTAATCTCAACTGAAAATTATTTAATAAATTATTGATTGTTTCTTTTTATATAAAACATTTAACTTTAAAAATATACAAAAATATTTACTATTACACTTTTTCAACACAAAATAAATTCGCCCAGAAAACACAAAACATTTTTTTAAATAATTGATTAAATAATTTTCAGTTGAGATTACTGTAGATCGAGATTTGCGACTCGGTGTATGCACACAATGCATAGGATATCGCTGAAGTTTTTCACATTCGTCATTTTTTCACAATAAGTAAAATTCCTAAAAATAAAACCGCATGACGCAGAGATACGGTAGTTTAAGACGCATGCCGTTTATTTATGCGATGGGTTTCGATGCGAATCGCAACGAAAACACTAGTCTATTTTTTTCTGCAAACATTCTTAGCGAAACTCCTCTCAATTTCACATTTCGATAATTCCGAAAAATTCTTTTCAGACACCGTATGTCGAGTTTCACGGAGAGCTGGAATCGGTTCAAAAATTGCGAGCATTGTTGGCGAGTTGGCGAAATTTGAAAACCGAAAGAGACCGCCTCGAGCAGTATATTTTCTCGGCGAAATCGCTCACCGCGAACAATTTGATAAATGCGTTGGCTGAGACGAATCTCATTCAAAAACATTCGAATCCTGAAGATGTTACCAGCACATTGATGTCGAGATTAAGAGAGAAAGTCGAAGTGTCGCTGATCGACCAGAATAAACTCGTCGACGAGATTCAGGTATGTGATTTTTTTTTATTTGTTTCCCCAATGCGGAACCATTGGTTTCGAGATAACACACACAAAAAAGTGTGAGGAGCAGTGCACACAAAACTTGCACATTTTTCCGATAACAAAATGATAATAATAGGTTTCTATTCAAAATTTATCAGTTGCTGAGAAAAAACCGCGCATGTCAAAAGGGGGCAGAAAGCTCTAAAATTTGATTGTTAACATTTTCGGAAATTTTTCGGGATTCGCCACACACGATCGTTGTTTGTTCAATTCGAAAAAGGACCCTGTGGAGGCCCGAAGGCAACGCTGACGGTAGCCTTTTAGAGGTCTGGGTCTAAAAAATTTAGTTTGAGCAATTAATCTGGAAAATGACTACTGGTAGATCAAAACCAATCGGATCCAAATTGCGCAAACAGATTCAAAAATTACCAATTCGATTTTTGTTCCATTTGAACAGAGTAAGAATAATAAGACATTTCAAAAGACTGATTATCGAGAGAAGGAAAAAATAATTTTCTTAAATTTCAATTATTTAGTAATCAGAAGAATCAGACCCCCCTGTTGAAAATTTTTACTATCTCTTAACTGTCTTTGCGACCGTCAAAACTTTGTTTTTAGCGAAGAAAAAAGGCGAAATAGTGTGAAAAGTGAGAGACGCAGACAGTATTTCGTTGCTCTGCTTCTACCGTAATCCGAATCAATCAATAGTTCTGACTCTACTATATTCTATGTAGTACCCTTAGTATTTTTCGAATTGGCCTAAAAGGTTCAAATACACTCGAAAAATAGTACTAGTACTGGAGTACTGTAGCTACCGTCATCCTATTTCAAAATTTCTACAGTAACACTTTTTTTCATTCAACACATCAAGTTTTGGAGTCAAACGGCTCATTCCGCAAAAGTACCAAAACGTACCGTAATCCTACAGTAATTCGACTGCAAATGTAAAGCAGACGATTGATATTCTTAAGAATGTGACTTCTGAAAAATGCGTACAGACATGATATCCAAATATAGTATATAGAAGAGTATTGATTAATTCCATTTTTTTTACAGTGTTGGCATTCTCGATTAATGACGGAAAGAACGAACGTGACGAACTACACACTATTCGATGAAGTTTATAACGAATTAGTTGGTGTCAGAATGACAGCGATTGAGAGAAACAAGGTTGGAAATGCATATATCGGAAGAGAATGATTCTCGAAATTTTGCAGTCTCTTCACGGTTTGAACTCGAATCTTGTCCAATTGAAGAACGAAATTCAAGAATCGCGATTTTATCGATATTACGATAAAAAACCGTATTACAGCAGTGTGAAGCACGTTTCTTGGGATGGTAGTTGGCTAGCAAGAGAGTGCCTTTAATTATTCCGATAATTGCAGATTGTCCAAAAGTCTATTCCGATTATTATCCGTACACACCAATTTCAACATCGCCGTACTTATGGTCGGTTGGGCGTTTGTCATCACTCTCGCATCTTTACTAAATACAAAACGCATTGTACACATAAAATAAGCAAGTACAATAGGTATTCTGATGATCAATAAACTTCTTCTTTTAAAGTGTTTCACATAAAAAAAAAGATTTATGGCATTCTAGCATTCAAATTGGCAAAATTTCAAATTTCCAATTGGCACAAATTTTTCGTTATTTTTGACTTCAAAACGGACAACTATCGAATTTTGGTCCGACTTTTATGGAATTTTCGAGTGATTTTTTTTAACCAGTTCGTCCGTGCGAGACCATTGCGAAGACGCATGCGCCCGTAAAGAACTTACTTTGAATATGTTGAATTCCTATCTACAATGGCTCAAAAAAGTCGAACCACGTGGATTGATTTTGTCCGCAGCTCAAAGTAATCAAAGTAGATCAGTTTTAATAAATTATAAGCAAATTTGAACAAAATTCGGTGCGAATAGTCGCATTATTATAAAATTATTTGATATATTCGAATATAATTTTTTTCACATTTTCTCCAAATATCATTTAATCATTTGCCTACATATTTTAGGAAGAAAATCGTCTGGTTGCTTTCTTTCTTTCAATTAAATAAAAATAGCAATTTTTATTCAAATATTTCCATCAACAATATTTTTGACAAAATCAATTTCCCTAATTATTCATATTCAATCAAACCTCGATTCCAAAATTTCTCGACAAATGGTTGCAATCAATTAGACATTTGTCTAAAATTAGATAATTAAATTGAAATTAATTATTATTTCCAATAAACGAATTCACATTATGTATTAATTTGTCATAAATTTTGTCATTATTCCTATCAAATTTTCGTTTAAATATTGCCGATTTTCGACGTTTGCCCATTTTTTCGGGATTCCTCATTTTTATTTTATTTCAATTTATATACCTTTTATCTTATACCTCGTTGATTTTTTAATATTATCGATTTTTAAAAAATATTTTTATTTCAATATTTGAAATGAATTGTCGGAGTCAAACGACTGGACGAAGTTAAAAACATGATTGGCTATGTGTCAACGCGTCTCGAAGCAGCGAGAAGAGCGCGAGACTGCGTACATTGCATTATAGTGTACGCGCATTTAATATTCAGTAAACGATTAATTTAAATCTACACTGATTTTGAATGACCCGCCTTCCTTCAGTCGTTAAATTATTTGAAAATATGCATTAAAATTCGACGACTTCAAAACTGGAAAAATTTGTTAGTACATCTTTAAACTATACTCTTTTTTCTAAACTATGTAATTGACTTATATAGTCGGTGTCTGGCGGGTAGATTTACGCGCATGCGCCTTCGCAATGGTATCGCACGGACGAACTGGTTATTTTGCATTTTAGATGTCTTTCTGTTAATAAGAATTCAAGGAAACTATACATTCACCCAGAAAAATAAGCATTCACGTGTGGCGAGACCATTTCGACAGGCGCACTCGTAAATCTACATTAGCCGCCGCACGCCGACAAGATGTATATTCGGATGACATTTTTTTCAGAATTAAATTTGCACATAATTTATCGTAAATTGAAATCAAAAACGCTTCTCGCTAAAGAACAAAGAAATTGCTTTTGAATGGGTTGGCTCGCGATTCCGCGCGATTCTCTTCGACGTCACATTCCCATAGAAGGAAAAAATGCACCAAATTCTTGCAATCAATTTGAGGTTGAAAAAAATCACTCGAAAATTCCATAAAAGTCGGACCAAAATTCGATAGTTGCGCAAAATTGTTTGCCAATTAAAATAGTAAAATAAGCCATTACGCGCATGCGCCTTGAAAAGGTCTCACCACGCGACAACGCTTATTTTGCTGTTTTCACCAGAAAAGTTAATTTTTCCTTGATCATTTTTGTTCTGATCGTTGAGGATTCTGGTGGCGTGAGAACACGTAGTTGAATAAGTACAGTTTATTTGAACTCTGAGAAGGAGAGAAGAAAGAACGAACAATCACAAAATGCGCGCCCTTATATACGGGATTGACGTGTTTCTGGAGACGATTTCTGGTCAGTGAGGCAGTGTTTACAATTGAGAGAGCGCAGACAACAAGAGAGCGTGTTGTGGACGGAGACGCAGACATTGTGTGTAATAATTATGAAAATATTGAATTTTGTGGAACCTTCCACAAAAATTTTGACAATTCTTTGAATTTCCAACGTCGTTCAATTTGAAACTTATCAAAGAGACCCATAAAATGGAAAATTAGCAGTTGGTCCATGTGAGACCAGAAAAAAGACGCATCCCCGTAAATTTGCCGACAATAAAAAGCTATTCAAAATAGTCATTTTATAAGGGGGTCAAATTTAACAACAATTTTGCATAAATCAATTGGATAAAAATGACAATTTTTAGAAACCCTGAATAAATCCGAAAGACATGTACTCCTTTAAATTGCCATTATAGCTCTAAAAACAATGAAACGTTCTTTCCATCGGCAAATTTCCCAAAAAAAAGATGACAAATGTTCCATACCCCTTTCGTGTGTGTGTGTGTGTTTTTTTTTCAAACAGTTTACCCATCGAGACCCACCCAATAAAAATGTGTATGAGCACCCATTTTTCATCCGCATAATTCCGAATCTGTTGAACAAAATAAACGAGCAATGGATTGCGTGCAGAATTGGAAAATCGTAGAAATGTGCAAATTCAGCTGCGCGACTACAATTGTCCTTGTGACACCTTCGAATTTGATCATACTACTCATTTCTCTCTCTCTCTCTCTCTCTCTCTCTCTTCTTATTTGAATTCTTCTTATTCCTTATAATACTACATATATGGATGTATATTATTTAATTAGGAAAAGTGCAAACTCATTAGGCATCCGATATTTTCGTTCGAGCAATGATAAATTGCACACCGACGACTATTGTTCGCCTCATATTTTATTCGCTTCTCCTCTCATCCCGTTCAGCTTGTGTTTTTCTTCTACGGCGTTCTTCGTTAAACCCCCCACCCCCTTTTCCAGTGTGCCGGCCGCTTCCACGAATTTCACAGAATGCCTCCAAATTTGGAAAATTTCACCTAGTAGTCCGAAAAATTTCATTTTTTAATGTTTCTCGCAATTCCGCGCATTTTTGATTTCTTCGTATTTCGCCGATTTCACTTTTAAAAATATCGTTTGGGTAAATATATCATAATTTTTTAAAAGTAGCCCTATTTGAGATTGTACCGCTATAATTTTGTCAATTTACAATTCAGCTATAATTCTAGAAATGACGGACAACGCAATCACCATTGGTTACTATTATTTGCCATCTGAAGCCTCAGAGCATCCTTGGGAAGAGCATTATATCAATTCGGAGAGCACAATCCAGCAGAGGAGATCATATCTCACCTACACGTTTTTCGACGCAAAACGATTTCGACACGCCAGCGAAACGTGCTGGAAGAAGCTCGACGCCGCCGAGATTCGCACGATTGTGAGCCCGACGAAACACAACTCCCGTTTCACCACTCGTTCGGAACCATCGGATGTCGTCATTAACAGCACGACCATCTTCGCGTGGTATCGACTCGTCGAATTCAATGGAAAATACTTCACGGCAACTCCGATGCACTTTGAAGTCGCCGCGACTGATCGTGCCGATCTTCGTCTGGCAGTGCTCGACGCGTCGTCGAGGAAAATCGACGTGATTGGTCAGATTCATCTGTCATCCCTTCATCCGGGCGACATCATTCGCGTCACCGAAATGCGATTGTTGAAGGAACTCACCACCGGCATGGACATCAACGAGCCGCTGAAGAAAGGCTTCGAGCCGATCTGGAAGATCTCGCGGTTCTCGTTGTTCAAGCGGGTGATCGGAAAGAATGCGTTGATAACTCCATTGAAGTCGGTAACGACGTCAAGCAATGCGAAGTGCATTGTAGTGAACCAAGTGAATTGTGCTTGGATTCCGAATAAAATGACTTCAATGCCATTAGAGAAGGACCATTTCTACGACGCCGAGGTGTTCCTCATCAAAACGAATCAAAATCGGCTCACGAAAAATTTTGCGTCAATCGAACACGAAATCAAAGTGCTCAAGATATTGAAGAGAATCGCAACATTTCCGACGAACGATTCAACGGTTTTGCGAGTTTTCCAAAAAAACACAACCTACAAAAATGCGTTGGAGGTGAGCGGCGCGAAATCGCGAAGAGAGAAGTACGAGCGAATCGGAAAGAATCTTCGTTTGACGGTGAACGCGATTTCTGCTGTCGAACGAATCAACAAGGACACCGCGACGTATCACGCGAACATCGAAGTTGGCCACGAGCACCTCAAATTCGGCATTCGAAACGCGAACAACGATCAGCCGATTGGCAGTTGGGCGACCGAGAAGCGAATTCAAATCACAACGTCGTCGGGCCGGACGTTGTCCGGACGAACGCTGACCGCCATTGATGGCAAATCGGAGATTCATGTCACCGCGAGATTGTCGAAAAATCTGCTGAGCGAGAATCGCACAGAGATCACCATGAAGCCGGTGAAGGTGGTGCAGGAGAATTCCGACACCAAAGTCTCGCATTTCCTCCAAAATTATTGGAATCGTCTCGATGAGCTGATTCCCGAAGCATCGAACAGTGATAAGATTTTGAACGCGATTTACGATGGTCCCGGCATTCCGTACCATCCGAATCGAACTCGATCGTGTCGATTGTTGACGAAACATGGAAAACCATTCCGATTGCTCAATGAACAGGAAAACTATGTGAATGCGCTTTTCGACAATCAACCGCTTGTGCTGGGAGTCGCGAGCTTCGGATGCGGAAAGACCACCATTATAGCGGCGGCGGTTCACTGTCTCATCGCAAACGACGCCACGAGCATCATGAGCACCGACAACAATTGCAATCCATCGATCAACTTGATATTGACGAAGACAAACTCAGCAGTCGTCAACTTCATCAATTCACTAGACAGTTTGGGATCGGATCATATCAATGACACAATTCGAATAATATCCGATTTTAATGAGAAGATAATATCGGAATCGCTCATAACCAAATACGACTTTCCGAAATTGATCGCGGCGAGATTCAAACAATTTCTGACGAGCTTTAATGGGTACCGAATGACGGATGCGAATGCAACGACGATCGCGAAGAAAATGCTCAACTATCTGTTGGCCAACAATCTCATTTCGTCATCAGAAGTCTTGAACAATCACCTATTCGATGAAGTGATTGGCGAACTCGAGCAAGGAATCGTAGTGTCGTATGAGACGGCGGCGATGTTGTATGTGCGCCAATGGATGCCTCGCGTCTGGTGCGGCACTATTTCGTCGGTCATCACTCTGTTCGACCTCTTCGACGATTTGAGAAAACGTGTGGCGACAATTCAAATTGATGAAGCCTCGCAACTCGATAAGACGACGTTCGTCGTGTTGTTGGCGATGTTCCCGCACGCCAGATTCGCGCTGGTCGGCGATCCTTACCAACTCGCTCCTTTCGCGCACGACCTTCTGCCCGCATTCATCTATGACATCGGAATCGGCAAGTTCCTCGAGGAAGCGGTCCAGAGTCGCAAGTTTCCGATGTTCCCGTTGTTCAACGTGTTCCGCAATCATCCGCACACCACCAATTTGCTTTCGGAGACATTCTACAGCGGCCAATTGCAATCAATGGTCGACGCGAATGATCGTTCGGAAATCCTCGATGGATTCAAACGATGGCCGAACAAGGCTTGCTCGATGTTGTTCGTCAATCATCACGACACGCATCGCGACATCGCCTCAAGCATCGAGAATGTTTCCGAACGCCAACTGGCAATCCGAATCGCTACTCATCTCACCAACATCCAAGGAGTGATGCCCCATCAAATTGGTCTCATAACGCTGTACAAGGCCCAACGAAACTACCTCGTCGACGAGGTCCAACAATTCGGGAACTTCTTCGTCGGAACCGCCGATTCGTCGCAAGGAAAAGAATTTCGAGCGACGATTGTGATGACGACGAAAACGAATCACATCGGCCACAATCCATTCATTTGCGATGATCGACGAGTCAACGTGGCGTTGTCGAGATCGAGGGAAATCACCGTCATCATTGGCAATTTTGAGGGCCTTCGACGCTATCAGCCATGGTCTCAAATTTTATCGAATATTCGTAGTCATGGAAATGTAGTCGGCGCCGAATTTTTCGGAAAAAGTGAGTTTCTCAAATTTAATATTATTTCAAAAGAGAGAAAAAACGAGCGTATTGACTAATTTTGGACCATCGCACTTTTTCGAGGCGGCAATTCAAATTTTAAAAAATCTACACTTCTAATTTTGCGTCAAGACCTCTTCCACTGATTTTTTTTGGTATTTTGCCAATATTCTGCGGTTGCGCGATGTCGACGATGTATATTTTTTAAAATCAAATATTCAGCAACGTCCTCGAATTCCGCAGCCGCACCGTCAAATCCTCATCACCGGAGATCAAATATTACATTTGGTAAATGGCAAAAGTTAAATTGATTATTTTGTGATAATTTTACAGATATTGATTTGTTTTCCGTTCTTCCAAAGCCAAACAATGAAAACAAGAATTAATTCGAAGAACAAGTAAGAAGTTTGATGAAATAATTCATATCAAAATTAATTTCAGAATCTACCTTCTAAGACTGTATGTATGTTCTTTCTTTTAATCCAATATATATATATATATATTCACTACTTCATAAGTAATTATATTTTGCATGCAAAAATATTCATAATATTAATTACTAATTTTAGAAAACAGCATTAATCAATTTTTACCTGGAAAATTCGCTCTGCTATTAACACCGCATCTTCAACATAAAAAATCAAACAACTAATTACTGCTATTTTTGTTAACTTGTTAATTGCTTTTTCCCATTAACACATAATTTTTTTCCCATCTATACATTACAAGTTTATACTTTCACCGATTCAATACGAATAAATTAAAAAAAAGGAAAACGATGCAGTTCTGGGAAGATAAAAAGTGCAGATGTTTACTTGTAGAATTCGAAATCGTTCGTGTCCTTCTTGACGACATTCTTGTAAGCTTTCTCGAGATCCTTGGTGAGCACGACGTAGCGATTCTCGCGAACAGCTTGCATACCAGCCTAAATATTGAAACAATTCAAGTGATTCGCAATTAATTTAAAAAAAACCTCTTGGCAAATCGAGTTAATATCAGCTCCGGAGATTTTATCCGGTCGAGCCACCCAATCCTCAAGATCAACATCATCAGATAAATTCATCTTGGAGCAGATTGTCGAGAAAACAAGACGCTTCTGTCTACGATCCGGCAATGGGAATTCGATTTTTCGATCTAGACGACCTGGACGCAGCAGAGCGGGATCAAGAGTATCTTGACGATTAGTGGCCATAATGACTTTAACGTTTGTACTTTGGTCGAATCCATCCATTTGATTGAGCAACTCGAGGAGAATACGTTGAACCTGAAGTACACTTTATTACGAATATTGCTAATTTCGTTAGAATCTTGCCTCACGATCAGCTCCAGTTTGAGCATCGAAACGTTTCGTCGCGATCGCATCAATTTCATCAATGAAGATAATCGATGGACTATTTTCCTTAGCAAGTCTGAACACATCACGTACCATTCTCGGTCCTGAAACTCATGTTGCAATATGAATAATTATTCACACGGATTACCTTCTCCGAGGTATTTTTGAACGAACTCCGAACCGACGACACGGATGAACGAAGCGGCGGTGTTTGAAGCGACCGCTTTGGCAAGCATTGTTTTTCCACATCCGGGTGGTCCATACATCAACACACCGCGTGGGGGGTCAATTCCGATTTGTTGATAAAGTTCTCCGTGGGTAAGTGGAAGCTCAACAGCCTCACGGACTTCTTGTTTTTGCATATCCAATCCTCCGATGTCGGAATAAGAAACATCAGGTTTCTCGTCAGGGCGCAACATCTAAATTTCAAAAATTAATTTTTAGATTAGAAGCTTAGCTCAAACCTGAATAGAGCTGTCCGCTTCTGGTGGTAAAACATCAACAAGAGCATTAGAATATTTGTGAAGAGCAACAGAGCATCCTGGCTTCAACAATTCACGGTCAAGAATCGACAAAACGCGGACATAATAGTTAGATCCTGAAAACGGCTTGGCATTATTTCAACAGCTGTGGAAGATGAACTTCTACCAGTAGTGCTTCCAACAATAGCATGGTTCTGGTCAACAGCTTCGAGAAACTGGCCAATAACCAATGGGACAGATTGGATACGCTTCACCTCTTCTTGAGCATGAAGAAGCTCTTTTTCAAGATTTCGTGTTTCTAATTTTACATAATCTTCAATAACTTGCAAGTGAGCAAGTTCTCTTTCCAATTCACGGAGTCTAAATTCGAAAAAAATCAATTATTTAACATTTTAAAGAATTTTACTTGTTCGAGTCGTCAGAAATCTTTTCAATACGTTTAATAGGATTGAAAGGGGTAAACGCGGATGCTTGAGGTTTTGGGATGGAGTCCTCGGTAACTCCGATGGCTTCCAATGCAGCTGCCGACATTCTCTTCAAATTGCACAATATTTGTTATCAATTTCAATTATAAATATTTTAAGACTTTTAATCTTCTCGAAATAAATCGAACAAGCTAAATAGTAATTTATTGTAAACAATGTAAATGGGAGATCAATGGGATGCACAAGTATCTAGAAAGACAATCAAGAAAATATCTCAAAATTTCCATTCAACCAGTCACTTACTTAACTAAATTGTTAGGAACAAACCGAAATTTGATATGAATTTTCAAAGGAGGAATTTAAACAATAATCACAGAAGAGCGCATACAAGAGTGAAAAATACAGGGAAAAATGCATTTTGAAAAGTCATCTTTAGTGCATGCGTTGTCGCCGGTGTTTGCAGACAATGCACCCAATATGACGACAATTTCGATTATTCTCCTCTCAAACGATCCGCATCTTCTGATATAGTTGAATTTGCCTGATCCGCTAGTAATCTATCTAAAAACTGCTCAGTCTGATCTAAGGCAATCTGAAAATTGACGAATATTTTAGGCGTACTTGATAATATAACCTGTTTTAGTACTGGTTTTACAATCGTTCCTATTGACTGTGATTTTCCTGGTGCATCTTGTAGTTTCAAATTTAATCCTGGCATTAGCTTTGTCAAAAAGTCTGGCTGAACCCGCGGGAATAGAGGATGAATGTGCGATAAATCAATATCCGATTTAATTGACTGAAAAAATAACACGATTTCAAAAATTATGGTATTATTCCATTCTTTTCAGTCTTCGTTTTAAAAAAACACTATAATTTCTTAATTTTGTGTATTCTTAAATTCTATCATAATCCGATCTGATATCAGTGAAAATTACCCACATGGCCGTGGCCTAATTTCGAGTAATGAATTTTTAGTCCACGGTCACACAACATCTCACGTTTAAAAAATGGTAATTTAAGAATTTTGACAACGAATTGTGACTTACATTTCCTTCAATTTCATTTTGTGTAACTGGATAAGAATCCGGAATAATTGGCTGCGAAACTGGCGGGCTAATCACACTTCCTCGAATATGCTGGAAAATATCAGTATAAAACATTATTGATTCATCCGTTTGCGTACGTTTTGATATTGCTGCGAGTATTGACTTTGGTCTGGTAGATTTAGGATCACTTCCGGTATTCTCGGTAGCAAATCCTTGGGGAATTCGTCGATCGTGTTATAAATTTGAGGCGGATGATTTTCAGGTATCGGCGGGTAGACACGTGGATTCGGCACTTTCGCCGAATTGTCAATTACGCTGAAAATTTAAGAAAATAATATTAATAAAAGGAAACTATGAGTTATAAATGATGTCATACGTGTTTCCCTTCCATTGTACAAACGATGTTTCTGAAGGTAATCGCGGAATCACAACTCGATTATTTGGATCGTATGGCGTTCGGCGATCGGCGGTATTCTTTTCACATCGTCCAACCGAAGCAAGGAATATCAATGTATCTGGACACTGGCGTTCAGTCCATCGACCATGACGTCCGAACATTGGAGCACATTGGAGATAAAATGAAGGATTTCTGGAATCAATGAGAGCATTTAAGGAAATTGGTCGAACAATTAAACGTTGGATGTTCGCAGAACGAATCGACATCGTATTTGAGCTCACAATCACCATTGACAAGACATCCTTTATAAATTCTTGGTTCGGATTTAACCTGCAAATGTATAACCAAGAATAAAATTTTATTGTAATTTTGATGCATTAACATCGAAAAAAACGAGCGTCATGCATAATTGTGGACCATTGCACTTTTTCGAAGCGATAATTCAAATTTAAATTAAACCAGTGGGAATTCATACCGTACCCAGGATAACCTGCGAATCAAACTCGTTTTTTTGCGAATTTAATATTTTTTCATTAATAAAACAAAAACGAACCTCTTCTTCTTCTTCCCCAACCGAATTCCAATTATCTCGCGGTTGCCATGAGTTTCCATTAGTCACCCATTCAGGTGATGACGTCGTGAATCTAATCATATGCGACTCAACATCGGGAGGCGTGTATCTAAAAATCTGAACAATATTTTCATCCATCATTCGTTGACCTACTCGGATATCGGCGGTCTATAAATCGGCCGAATTGTCGTCGGAGCCAACGTTGTCGTCGTCGTATAGGCATTCTGCCGTTGTGCTTCTTCAATCTGCCTCATCATTTCCCGTTGCTTCTCAATCTCCTCCAGTCTTGCTCGTTCCTCGGCCGCCTTACGCCGCTGCTCCTCCAATTCCTTCTTCCTTTCCAGCTCCATCCGAATTCGTCGTTGCTCTTCGATTTCCCGCCTTCGAGCTTCTGCCAACAAAGCCGCTTGTCGTTCGGCCTGCTCGTGTTCGAGTTTCAATCTCATCTCTTCCTCTCTTCGAGCTTCTTCTTCCGCCAATTTCCTTCGCCTCTCCATCTCACGCTGTCTCTCAATCTCTTTGAGTTTCGCCTCGACCTGAGCCTTCTTTTTTCGTTCGGCTTCAATAATCCGAAGTCGTTCTTGCTTCTCCGCCAGTTCTTTTTGTCTACGTGCTGCTTCCAACTCCTGCCGGACTCGTTCATTCTTCTGCTCGCGCTCGAAATTCATTCTCTCCAGAGCCTTTTTCCTGGCAAGTTCCTGTGCGGCCATTTCTTGCCGGCGTCTCTCCATTTCCCTCATTCTCTCCTCCTGCTGAATTCGTTGAAGCTCTTGTTCGCGTTCGAGTTCCAATCGTTCTTGTTCTGCGTACAAAGCAGCTTGCTGAAAAAAGAGAGCAATCGAGTTGGGAATAATGTAGATCAAACCTTTTCCAACTCCAACTGTCTTGCCATTTCAGCTTCTTCCATCTGTCTGCGTCTCTCAGCCTCCCGCTCTCTCTCCTCCTGCTCTTGCCGCAGTCGTTCTTTTTGCATTTTCTCGAATTTCTCCTGTTGTAATCTATCAGCAACCGCCTTCTGATGTTGAACAATGTGCATTAGTTGTTCCAGAAACTCCGATTCCGTCATTGTTTTTCCATTGTACCTGCAATTCTGCCAGTTTCCGTCTATAAAATCGAAATCAACTCACTTCACAGTATATTCAGGCTTCATCGTTGTGAGACCCGTTCCAATCTCTAGCGATCTGCCATGTTCATTCGCCTGATTCGACGTATAAGGTGGAAGTGTCGCGGGTCGTCCGATCTCATCAATATACTTGGCTCGAGGTGTGGTTCGCTGAATCGGAGCCGGCATGAATATGGTGGCATGAGTCACCGGAGGCGGCAAACTTGTAGTAGTCGGAATTCGCGGTCTTCCCGGCCGATTAAAAGCCGGCCCACTGTTCTTTTTCGAACTAAATATCACAATATCTGGAGCCCTTGTTGTAGTCGTTGGAATTGGCGTCGTCGTCGTTGTTGTTGTTGTTGTTGTTGTGGTCCGTAGTGGTTTTCGGGTTTTTGTCTTCGTTGATTTCGTTTTGGTTCGCGGTCTCGGCCGTTTCGGTCGAACTGTTGAGAATACAAATTCCTCGGCATCCGGGTTTTGCTGCGGAGCAGGTGTCGTAATTATCATCTTCCTCGGCGACATCGTGGTCGCATGCTGCTCGTGTCTATCTAATCGCTCTTTGCAAACCTAAACAACTACTATAATTATGTGCGATCGGATCGCGCGATCCTACTCGATCCTCCGGATCAAAAGTCATCGCCGGTGCGCACGGCACAATCCACACGCGACCAGATGGTCCGCATTGTTTGTAACGTGTCGGATCGCCATTCACCGGCCGCAATCCGTACATGACACGATCGCATCGCTCGGAAGTGAAGATGACGTCGCACAGTGCTACAAATTGGTTTGCATTTTCGCATTCGCCGCCGCTACTTGGCAGTAGTCATCATAACACACACTTTACTCCCTCTTTAATAACCAAATCAAGTGCTGGCTGACAGGCAAATAGCAAATAAGGGAGTGCTCGATTGTGCTCAAATAACAAACTTTTGCACTAATCGGCGCCATTCGTTTCGACAAAATAATAAAAGAAGAAACACACCAAAATTAGATTTGAAAATTTTGAATCGCGTGATAGCTTAAGGATTCGAAAATTTCTTAAGAAAATAGCAATGTGCTTGCGGATTTTCGCTGATTTTTGAATTTTCTCAATCAAATACGTTTCTAATTTTGATTATTGATCTTGATTTATTAAAATTTAGGGATTTAAAAATCAAAGAAAAATTGAAATGAATGGATGCACGCGAAAATGTGTGTAAACACCGTGACGCAAATATCACAGAAAAAACCTAACCACGCTCATCTCATTAGAACATTTTTTCAATTGGTTTTTTTCGCAGCAAATTTAAATTTTTTATATAGTTCCATACTATTATGGGACATATAATTAATGCCGTATTTTTTTTTCTTCAAGTTTTCAAAACAATCCTTGATTAGCTTTCGTGTAAGGGCATTGTTTTTTCTTTACATTTTTTGAGTTTCTTTTAATTATTCAAAATCCAAAATGTGAAAATTGCAAGTTTCTTTGTAGGATTCGATATCTTGGCTTTTCTACTTAACTTGCAAACTATCAATAAAAAATTTAGAACTGAATAAATATTGTAGTATAAGACAAATAATGAATACGTTCAAAGGCATGTAAAATAGCAGAATCCAGTAACTATTGTTCCTTCATCATTTTTGATTTCAATGCATCCCCCTTTCAAGTCGTTTTGGAATTGGCTTCTTATCAACAGAAAAACTAAGACGTCGATGTGAATGTCGTGATGTGCTCAGCTCCCTCAATTGAAGCGAAAAGAGCATCACATCGATAATCAGCCAACAAAAATTCTCACGCGTTTTTTGTCGTGTGTGCGCGCGAGCAATTGATCTGATCACAATTGCACACATACACATTGAATTCTCGCATTTTTTTTTCACGCGTAATTCATAATCTCAAATGAAACGATGATTATGAGAAGAGCGAATGGCAAACGGGCGGCGGCTGCTTCTTCTGCTTGGTTCGTCCGTCTGCAGATCTTCCACTTGAGGATTACAATACATCGAATAGTTTCGGGCTCATGCGATCGACTATCAAATTACAAGCATTGTTTTTTTTTTGCTTGTCTTGTCGAGCATCTGACTCAATCATTCGGTATTAATCGACCGGTTCCGATTCGTCATAGATTTTGAATGTCATATTCTCAAAACAAATAACTTCGAAAGAAAAATGACCGCTGCATAAAAACAATCGAATATTGACCCTTTCAATAATAAAAATAAGACAAAATGTTAGAGAAAAAGAAGGAGTTATTGGATTTCAAGAAAACTCGCTAATAATCATTTGGTTCCTCAAAAAAAAAATGCATTTTAAACGTTGAAACTGAACTTTGAAAAAAATTGAACTTTAAAAAAATAATAACCGAAAATTTTAATTGGTGGGAAAATCAAATTTAAATAGTCAAATAGATCAATCGATTCCAACACTTTCTCAATTGAATGTGGGTTTTCTTTTATTTTTCGAAACCAATTAATAAAAATAAAATAAATTTGATAATATTTAAAGAAATGAGCGCCGTGATCTAATCTGACAAGCTTTTAACAAAATGACAACAAAATTTATGTGGGTCCGGAATTTGTAATGTTCTAATAGTAATGAACCAATTCTGTGAATCAAAAATAAGATTTTAATTTTTTCCAAATTAAAAAACCACAAAAATTTTTTCAAGTTGCAGAATGGGTGCATTAGTTTATCTTTATTGCGTATTAAACTGAAATAATTATTTTATTAATTAATAATAATTTTCGTGAATTATATAACGACTGCCTTTCAAATAGGAGATTTGTCATTTTTCTGCATAAAATATTGTCGGCGTCAAACGAAAGCCTTCAAATTCGCGAAATCAATGCAGATATAAATTTTTAGTTGATTGAATATTAAATGCGCGTACGCTATAATGCAATGTACGCAGTGTCGCGTACTTCTCGCTGCCTCGAGACGCATTGGAACATAGCCAATAATTTTTGAAATTTCGTAAAGCCGTTTGACGACAATAGAATGCTTCGATACCTGTTGAAACGACGATGATGACGAAGAAAAGAAGACGAAGAAGAAGCATGTGTGTGGGATACGGTAACGGAAGAAAACTGCAACGAATGAAATCAATCGAATGACCGCATGAGCCTGCGCAAACATTGTTCGGAATTGGCAAGAATGACGATGAGAAAATGGCGAAAAAAAAACAACAACACACACCGACAACAAAAAACCAGGCAGATCAAATGTCTCTACTCCGGAACTCAAATGCTCGGAAGAGGATTTCGATTAGGAAGCAACACAACAGTTTCGAATTGATTAATCGATCGATGAAATTGAATAAACAAGTAGGAAATGAAAAGTCCCAAAAATGGTAAGATGGTGTCAATATGGGGGGGGGTCCAATGAGCAAACAGGTAGCTGTCATCAAATTGAGCAACTCGGAGGGGCGGACTGTCGGCGGCTGGCCGGCCCGCCGACCGACCGACAGAGAGGTGGAGCAATCAGTTTATCGCCGCAGGGAAGCAGTAAACGGGAAACGAGTTATACGAGCAGACGGGGAATATTTGCGAGACCTGCCTTATATACGCAGATTCTTCTCAATCATTTATCAGTTTTCAACGAAATAGAAGAAATCATGTAATTGAACTGCACTGCTCATTTTTGTAAAGCTTTTTTTGTTCAGTGCTCCACAAAATTATATATCCACCCTAATTTTGTCGAATAACTCGAAAACGCGAATACCTCCAGAAATGGTTTCAATTAGAAAAATATGCGCATTTATTATTAGTTTCATGGTACATTCACAAAATTCAACAAAAAATAACAATTTAAAAAATTTCGTCATTTTCACGAAAAAGTGGAAAAAAATTTTCCACAAAACTATGTAGTTTCAAGTCAGTTTGTGTCTATACTATCAAGTAATTATGTTTTTTTTTTCAAAAGAAGAAAACTGTGTTCCAAAAAACCGGCACAAAAGGATTGTGTACTCAACTAGCAAGTCTAAACACATAACTTCTGCTAATAATCCCTCCGAATTCTCCATATCGCTGATTATTTTAACTGATATGTGCACAGAGACCAATAGACGAATAATCAACAATTAAATTAAATTAAATTAATTTCTTATAGTCGGCGCTATTGTCTCGCACCGATTAACCGGTTAATTTGCATTTTTAATTTTAATTGTTTTAAGAATTCAGGCGACGTGCTGTACGCGGGTAGATTTACGGGGATGCGTCTTTCGAAATGGCCTCGCACGGACTAACAGGTTACTTCGCATTTTATCGACGGGTTCGATAATTTTTTAATAGAATGACCTGATTTTTTTTATAAATTTTAATGATTTTTTATAAATTTCAATAAATCATTTCAAAGATTTTAAGAAATTAAAAATATTTGCGAGAAAATACAAAAAAATTCAAAGGATATCTGAAAAATTGCCAAATGATATCGAAAACACTGAAAATTAGGTCACTTGCAACCGTTTCACATTTATAAAGCCAACGACAGGTCTGAAATTGTGAAGACCTAAAAAAGAACTAGCAGTGTACCTTTAAATAGAGTACTGTACAATGTTTTCATTCATTTTACGTTAATTTCTAAATAAATTTGAAAATGCCACGAGGATATTTACTCAACGATGTCGAAAAAGCTACCTTCGATTGATTAAAAATCGCTGGACGGTCGAACCGAGTGATTTATTCTTGCAATTGCTGGCCACTGACTGGACAAAGGTAACTTTTTAACCAAATTTTTCTTAAAATCCAATACGATTATCATTAGATAATTTTCTCGGATGACAAAAAGTTCAGCCTTGCTGGTCCCGATGGAAATAAGGATTATTGGCACGATTTACGGAAGGACAACTTAATTTTTTCAAAGCGGAACTTCGATAGCGGGAGTGTCATGGTCTGGGGACCATTCTCTTCGGCGGGATTTCTCAAGCTGGCGTTTGTCAATTGTCGGATAAACTCGCTGGACTATCAGCGAGTGCTTGTCCGGACCATCTATTACCATTTCGACGCTGAAATTTCGTATTCCAACAGGAAAATGTCGCAATTCATGCGACTCGATCGACTTTGGATTGGCTCAGCAAAGAAAATATCGACGTTTTGGAGACTTAAATCCGATGGAGAACGTTTGGGGAGAGCTAGTGGCAAGCAATAGCAATCCATTGATGAATTGAAAACGACGATTACCGACGAGTGGGATCTATTGGAGCAGGAATTCAACACCAAGACCACCCAATATGTGGAAAATCTCGTCCAATCGATGCCAAATCGAATTTACGACATTATTCTTTTAAAAGGCACACTAAATATTGAACTGGTTTTATTATAAAGTTTTTCTTGCGTTCATGGAGGTGGCTTTATAAACTGTAAACGGTTGCAAGTGACCAATTTTCAGTATTTTCGATTTTATTTGGTCAATGTTTCAGATATCATGACATATTTAGAATAATCGTTGAAAAAATTATATAGGAAAATTTTGATATTCGGCAATTAGCCCGATTGCCGAAATTTCGACATCCCCAATCTGTACCGTTCCTAAAACTCCACGCGTACCTCTATTATTTCAATGAAAATAATAGGCCATTTTCCCAATGGCAAAATCTATTCAGTGGGAAACAAAGAAATAATCGAACAATGGGATGCTATTCATTGAATATTCTTGCACGCAATCCCTTATTCATCGGACTTCAAGCCTATTGTTATCAATTTTTCGAGAGAAAACAACACAATACTATTATCAATAGAATGCGAGACAATAAATGAAAATAGAAGATCCGGATACGGTAATATGGAATTCGGTAGAAAATTTGCTCTAGGCGATTTTCCAATATCTCGATGTTGGTTATTTCAATTAATTTGTCTTCATTTGCCATGCAAGAAGGAATGTTTATTAAATCGAGAATGATATGGATTGTATTTGTTAGTAAACAAATTTAGATTATTTTTCGAAGCCAAATTAGGAAACCCCCCAAAATTCAAATCGACCGTACAATTCAATAAGACACAGGGATTTGGAAATACAAATGTTTGTGAGACAATTCAAACATTCCTTTTTTGGGTAAGACGCTCAAATATTTAAAAAAAAAACTGAATTCCGAGAAGACCGCATATAGGGCAATTTGGTTTTGTTGAACTGCGATATTTCATGCGCTATATACGGCCTTTTTTTTCTCCTAAATTCCTCAAACATTTAATTCTATCATAGGGGGAGGCTCTATAGGCTCTTATATGGGAATTGCATATGGTCTGGGTTCATCATTTGCGCGTTTGGGTTCATTGGCTGCATATGTGTTGTTGGTTGTTGATTGGTCACGTCGCGAAGAGGAAGATACTTGTTCTGAAATTGCAATCATTTTTGATCTACCAACGAGAGAAGCTCAATTTCTACCTCGTCGCAATTCGGGACCATTTGCTCGTTGAAACGATGTGCGCGTTCAGCTTCAAGTTCTCTTTTCAATTCCATAACCATCTGAAGAATTGAAATTAGAAAGAAAACGCTTATCAAAAAACAGCTGCGGACAGTCTTGCGGGTTCACCAACCTTGCGCAATTCATCGTTATCGGCCTTCAATTTCGCGTTGCACTCACGCAATTCATTCTCTCGCTGCTTCCGATTCAATCGGGATTTCTTCGCCGCCTCGTTATTCTTGATTCGCTTCTCGCGGTACCTACAAAAATGAAAAAGCGATTAGATGGTGTCCATTCGATCCGAGTTCCGATCCGATCCGATCCGGTCCATTCCATTCCAATCCAATCCTGCGGCGCTTCTCCTCAAGACGAATCAAGAGGTTCGGTGTCGTCGGATGACAATGGTGATTATCGATGGCGTTGGAGAAGATGTTGGTGTGGACGGTGATCACGAAAAAGCTATCTGCAAATTCGTTAACCTACGATTCCCTAGCCCCAACCCCCCTCGAAAGCTCAGCTAATCAGATGGTGTGGCAAACTTACTTTGGTGACAACTTGTGATCCACTTTGTTGTCGCTCATTGACTCATCCGAGTTCGAATCCGATTTGCTGTAGTCCGGACAATAATTCGGCTGCGGATACATTTGATTCAACGGACTGAAAATGACAATCACAATACTCTCTTGAAACACCGGTTTTTCGGTCTTTGAATACTAATACTCCCAAAAAGGAATATATGGTATTATTGAAACAGGCGAGTGAATTATGACGAGCTTGAACAAAAAAGGACTTACTAGGCGGCATAGTTGAAGTAGGAAGCATCGAACGGTGGCATTCCGTAAGGCGCGGTCGCTGGGATCATGTTCATCTCTTGTTCGAGTTGACTTCCCAACGGCAATCGCAATATTACAGGTGACAAGATGTTACGCAACGACTTCCCCGAAGAAAAGTTGGATGACGCAACTAGGATCTGAACGAGTCGAGACAATACAAGAGGTGTGACACACGCTGTTCGCCACACCTGTGCTCACACCAATCGGCCACGCCCATTTTCGGCGAGAGAGCGCGCGCGCGGCGGAGACGGAGACACGCGCGCGAGATTATCGCGCATCTCAGTGGGAAGTTGGCTCGGGTCGCGCAGATGCACCACCAACAGATGATGTTCGACGGCGCGGGCGGTTTGGATTGGATTGGAGATTTGGATTAAGGATAACGCATACTTAATTACCAGTTTCCCAGAAACCGTTCACAAAATGGGCCAATATTACGGAACCATTTTTTTTGTTGATAGAGCTCACCTGTATTTGAGCAACTTGTCTGTTTTGCTAGAGACTCATGAAACTTGATTCTCCGAAATTCACTGATGTCTGAAAAATGGGTCTTAAAGCGTTAAAAAATGATTTTTGACAAAAGGCGATTGTGGCGCTTCCCGGAAATTGTCCGCAGATGGAAATTATCCGGCTGCGGAAAATTGCCTAAATTACGCTGACTATAAATTGATTGTAAATGTGCGAACACGGTGACCGAAGCCTGTGGGAAGTCAAAAAAGGAAACACAGTATCCTACACAGAGAGCTACAGTAATTTGACAAGTTTAAATCAGATGTAAGGATTATGATAAAATGTCAAGATATGGAATCGAGAGGATCGATAAGAACGAGCATCTGATAACGAGTCGGTGCATGGGAAGTGGCTGAGGAGAAACTCTCGCGCACAATTGCGCAACCCGCATTTGACACGCAACACATATTGTTATTATTGAATTTAAAACTCGTATTATGATATTAATAAAGTTGGGTAACATTCGATTGCATCATTCGAAAAAAATTGTTTGCTTAGTGACACTCTGACAGATTCAAAATTGTTGAAATCAAATCAATTCGAGATAAGAATCGAGTGGGACCAATTCTTTTTTTGTAATCAATCAGCTTTAAATTTCAACAATTGGAATAAATTCTATATTTCTGTTTCAAGATGGCATTAATAAGTCGAGAGAATTAACATTTGTGTTATCTCTGTAATAACTTTGTAGGGCAAAAAAGGAAAGAATAGAGTAAATTTCAATGCAGTAAAAAGGCGAAAAATTGGTATTTCTTTTTATTTTTTTGGATTGTTCCTTAAGAAAGTCGTAAAGAAAAAAATAAATATAATTTGAATGTTAGAATCTGTATGAATAGGTGCGAAGCATATTGTACATATAAGTCAAATTATTTTCTTTCAAATTTTTGATTTATAGTGGAAAATTGTATTCGTTTTGATAAAAAAAAAAACAAAAAATTTTCAAGTGCAACATTAATTTTGAGCATGAAATATTCGAAGAAAACTTTATTTTATCGATTTTAAAATTGAAGTTTTATGAATATATTAATTCAATAAAATTGTGAAAAAATGCGCATTTAATCCAATTTTTCATATTTTTCTCGTAAACAAAAAATATATACATTGGTTTAAAAAAATACATTGTTAAAATAAATTTATTGAACAACTTATAATGCAAAAATTGGATTTCAAGAAATTGTGCTGCGGACAGTCTTCCGGTTTTGTCGATAGATGTTGCCAAAGGCGGATCACTTTTATCGAAATGTCCTCCCTTGAGCAAGTGTCTCCATGTTCACACATTCCGTCGTTCGTACCATTCATCTCCCACGAGCCGTTCACATCGAGTCTCATTCGACGTCGTGTTCCCGGCCGCGCAAAAAAAGGCCCAATTAAGTGCTCTTATCTCGCCACAATTCCATCCATCATTATCTATATACCGTACTTGGCGAGCAGTGGGCGCTCATTCGTCACCCGCTGCGTCATTCCACTACGATCCTCCGACTCGTGCCCACTATTTTCGCGCACCCCCCCCCATGCGTTTGTTATTTGGTTTTGACACATGGCGCACAAAAATAGGCTCCCGCGCAAAGGAAACTTTGGTTTTATGATGGTGTTTATGCGCAGACATCGTCGTCGTCGAGTTGATGATTGCGGAACGAGGAGCATCGTCAAAAAAAAGCATTGTTGAGAAACGACAAATGTATCGAGGTGTCGTGGGATCCTGCGTTTTGTACGCAATGCGATGAGCCAGTTACCGTAACCCTCGCATCGATTTATGGGCGACTTTTTGAATTTCCTATTTTCATTTTTTTCGAATTTTTTTTAAATTTAAAAATCTGTAAAATCCGATTCAATTATTTATATTAATTACGACAAAAAGAACAAAGATGTTACAAATGTATTCTATTTTTACAAAAAATATAGTTTAAAAGTCCATATTCTGTCTGCTAAATAAATAATTAAATTCGGTTTCTACAGATTCTAAATAACAAAATTTCAAAGGAAAATGCGAAAATTGAGCGAAAAATAGGAAAATTCAAAAAAGTCGCCCGTAAATCGCTTCGAGGATTACTGTAACTGGCTCATCGCATTGCGTACAAAACGCAGGATCCCACGACACTTCGAGACATTTGTCATTTCTCAACAATATTTTTTGCGAAGTCGAATTGATCGATTTAATTGTGCGTGAATTTCACACCGTCAATTCTGCTCATTTTTACGAAGATATGCCATCAGATAACAGTTATGAAAAATTATCGCAAGATGTAATTTTGTTGGTGTTGATTTTGAAGCTCAAACGAGACATCGCAGGAATTCACCGCAAAATCGCCAGGATTCAGCACACTCAATGATATTGTGCCGGTCACACTCAAATGGGAGAATATATCGTATCGCGGTTTCTGGGGCCTTGAGAGAAAATCAATGGTGTTCAGAGTGACAACGAAAAAAACGAATCGCGAACTCCTTCGCGATGTCAGTGGAATTGCGAAGCCCGGCGAGTTGATGGCACTGATGGGAGCTAGTGGGGCCGGCAAAACGACACTTCTGAATATGCTCATGGCTCGAAATATGAACGGACTGAAGAAAGAGGGATCGGTGACAGTTAATGGAATTGATGTGAGCAATTCGAATCCTGATGTGCCTACCAGATTCGCCGGTGGACGGACCAATCAATTACTATTGTCTCGTACCAACTGGCACCTAATATAATTTTTCAGCGACACGCTTTTTCAAAAAAAAAAAAAACAATGTTGTAAATGCTATTATTCAGCTGGGCCATGGAATTTCGCTGATCTCGGGATTCGCGCAACAAGAAGAACTTTTCATCGGAACCCTAACTGTCAAAGAATACCTAATGGTGCAAGCGCGCCTTCGAATCGACGGATCGTCATCGCTGCGCGAATCGCGAGTGACCGATGTGCTACACCAACTCAATTTGTGGAAATGTCGTGATTCGCTGATCGGCGTCATCGGCGAGAAGAAAGGAATTTCGGGAGGTGAAGCTCGACGACTCACATTCGCCTGTGAAATGCTCTCGAATCCTTCGCTCCTTTTTGCTGACGAGCCAACGACGGGCCTCGATTCATTCATGGCGGAGAATGTGATTCAGATTCTTCGAGGCATTGCCAAAAGTGGACGGACCATCATTTGCACAATCCATCAACCATCGTCGCAACTCTACCAAATGTTTCATAAAGTGATGTATCTGGCCAACGGGAAAACGGCGTTTCAAGGGACACCACAACAATCAATTGAGGTAATTTCAAATAATTCTTGAAACCATTTACATATATTGAAGATTCTAGTTTTTCGAAAAATGTGGTCATCGGGTACCAGACGAATTCAATCCGGCCGAGTGGATCATCTACAAATTAGCGGTTCAGCCAGGCGACGAAACCGCCTCGAACGCGAGAATCACGGAGATAACCCGACAATATTTGACAAGGTTTTCAATAATTTCTTGAAAAACAAATTATGTACCACCGTAGAAATCACTTACTTACTTACTCAGTCGGTTTGTCCTTTGCCTGTTGAGGCGAGAACCACAGCTTTCCAAGCTTTTCGGTCCTTGGCTTGGGTGGACCAGGGGGTGATAATCCTTCAGCTGTTCTTGTAGTGATCTCCTTCCGAAGCGAGTCAGACCATCTCATGGGAGGCCTTCATCTTGGCCGGGTCCAATTCCACGGCCGCCACTCCGTTAGAAGAGTAGTCCATCTTCCATCTGTTCTTCTAGCAACGTGTCCAGCCCAGGTCATCTTCCTCTTCGTGATGTGGTGTAGGGGGTCCCGAACTTTAGACATGATGCGGATGTCCTCGCGATGAAGATCTTGTTCACGTTGTTGTGATAACGTGAGGCTAACCAATCTCCCCTGTTCACTATCGTAGAAATAACGAGGATAATTGTGGACCATCTTATTTTTTTTATTTATCTCAAAATTTGCTTATGTATGGTTTCCGAAAAATTTCTCATCGATTGGTGTTTTTATGTATATAATTTTTGTCTAATTTTTTGAGAATGAACAATCCCTGTCGGAATACGATGCTCTCAAATTATGAAATAAATGTATAATTTTACTATGACCGAGACCGAGACTTTTTTTTTACTATGCAGAGTTTGCAAAAAACCGGTACAATTTTCTATCAACAGACTCGAAAAGATAATTTAAAAACGTGTTTTTTTTTTCATTTTTTATAGTTTTTTTAAACCGCTTTTTCAGGGTTTTCGAAGTTTCTTTTCAAAATCAGCATAATCTCGAATTTCATCTACAATTTGATAAGAAAAATTATCTGCTCTGTCAGATTATGGTCCCATTTCGGTGAAATACGCCCGTAATTATTAAATCATTTGGTCTCATTTACCAATGTCCCGCTTTTTCTGATCTTGGGGTACGAAACTAGAGGTTTAAAATCGTGGGTGAGGGGTTCGAAAGAAGAGATTGAACCGTAATATATCTAAAAATCGCCGAATTCAGCGAGTACAATGCCGCTGTCGAGTCAGATATCGACGAAGAAACTCAGTATCCATGTCCTCCGAAAATGCACAAAGCCAACATTTGCACACAAATCACTTCGTTACTAATAAGGCATTTCGAAAAATGCGCATTTTTGTGATTTAAAACAATGATTTTTTGAAGGTGCGGCATCGATGTGTGGCGCGCTCCTCAACTCACAATTGCGAAAGTTGTTCAAAAAGTTCTTTTCGGTTTATTCATTGGTCTATTATATTTTAGGGTGATAATCGACCAAAAAAAGGCAGTGACGTTTAAATAAATCAATATTGAAATTCAGATGAATTATGATTTAAAAGGAATTCACAATATCAACGGCGCATTGTTTTTCACGACAGGCGAATTAATATTTTCGACAACTTATGGTTTGAATCATTTTCGAAATGATTCAACGCGATTTTGAATTACAGCGATAATGATGTTTCTGAACAACGAATTCGCGCTTATAGCAAGAGAATATCACGATGGACTCTACGACCTCTGGTGGTTTGCGTTTTCTTTTTTCTTCATCTCCTAATATAGTCGGCATCCGGTGACAGCTGTACGCGGGTAGATTTACGGCGATGCGTCTTGAAAAGGTCTCATCACGCTCAGGTAACTCAAAACCAATCGGATCCGACAAAATTCGGCTCCGGAATCAACCCGATCCGATCGGTAATTCTACGGATAACATTGGTAATTTATCGGATCCGATTGGTTTTGAGTTACCAGAGCGTGGCGAGACCAATTCAAGGCGCATGCGCGTAAATCTACCCGCGTACAAAAGTCGATCTCTCAATTTGTCAGCTATTATGTGGCGCGTAGTCTCTCGCTGATTCCATTATTCTCCACCGACGGTTTGATAATGTTGTACATCGTGTATTGGATGATCGGCCTCAATACTTCGCTAGCTCAAGTCGCTCTTGCCACCGTAATCACATTATTGTGCACGCAAGCGGCATCTGCGATGGGCATCGCCATGTCCTGCCTATTTCCGACCGCTCAGGTTGCCATCGTTTCGAGTAATTCAAACAAGAGGGCGCTGATTACAGCTAACAACTGTAATGGCAAGTCCACTTCTAGTCTTGTTTCGGCTATTCGGTGGCTTCTACGGAAACATGGACACATTTCCGTACGCGATTCGCTGGCTACAGTACACCAGTATGTACAGGTGGGATGATAGTTTTCGAAAAATGCTGCTAAAATGATTTTCAGGTTTGCATTTGAGGCGTTTGTAGTCAATCAATGGTCCGAAATTGATGAATTTCACAAAGACGCCAAACAAAATTGGACGAGAGAGGTGAAAACTAAAAGCTGATTTCAAAGAAAATATTCAATTTGTAGTCTCGCGACGACATTTTAAAATTTTTCGCATTTTCCAACGATGCGATTCCGCTCGATTTTATTGGTCTCGCAGGGATCATTTTAACTTTCTATCTCATCGGCTATACTGCTCTCTACGTTCGTATGCAAATGGCTCGATAAATGAATGAACTCTATATTTCAAAAAAAAAATGAAGAAAATAAAATTAAAAAGAATGGGAGAAGAGAAAAAAAACATTTAAGGAACAGGAGACAATAACGAACATGATTATTTCGAAGCGCGCTCGGCCCTTTAGACATTGTACAGGGAAACCAGCATAAATTGAATACAATATATAAAACGAATTTAGAGTTTCTTGAATTACGAAGAAAGTTCGCTTGTTAGCATGTAAATCGATTGCATATCGGCAAAATACATGAAATTGAGCCATTGTGTCAAAAATACCATGTCCGATTTCTTCTCGTCGACGATTAGTAGAACTTTCTTCTGAAAATTTTTCAATTTTCAGTGTTTTCCGTGTTAAGTTTTCATGCATACTTGTTCGAAGTCAATATCGTCGATAACTCCAACAATGAACGAGTTGGTTACAAGATGGTCAAGTTGTAAAATGATGGTTTTACCTGGAAATTTCCTTTAATTTGAATTTTTCGAAAATTATTTGAAAACCTTTAACAAATGAGTCGATCTGAGCAAATATAATGTCCGGATCATCATCAAATGTTTCAATACTAAAAAACAAATCAAGGCTGTTCGTTTCGTTGTTCTCTGAAATTTTTAGTTTTATCATTTTCCCATTCAAGGAAACATTGATTGACCTGCAAAAGAATAAACCGAAACGAATCCGATTTCAACGAAATCCTTCTCAAATAGATCAGAAACTGCTATCAGCAAATCTTCGCAGACTTTTTTATCACTGTCATCGAAGAAAAGAGTCTCCTAAAAAAATAATTAGAAACAAAGACAATGATTTGAATGTGAAACCTCGGATTGATTCGGATTGATGTTCTCGATGTCGTCCGATTGATCGTCAAACATTTCTGGCAAAGATTCTTGAATTTCTTCTAGCACTTGAGAATCCGCTTCTTCCACCTGAAAATAGAGGTCCACAGGGTAAAAAATATCAAAAATTACATTTTGCTTAATTTCTTTGGAAACATATGCCGTTGTAGATTGTGAATTCAGAGGTGCCGCTTCAACATCATCTACCTAAAACACGGGTAATCTTGAAACTAAAAAAACAAATGATGCTAAAATTATCAATTTTCACTATCATTTGGCGCTCACCTTTTCCTCATATAATTGTTTTAAAGCAATAATTAGAAATCTCGAATCCGGACTAATCTGGAAATTGGAAATTGCTGTCTTTTTCTTCACTCGTTGGTTATTATCAAAGCATTTCGCATCGACTGGAAGCCAGCTGAAATGAATCCAAAAATTCACGGTTGTTACACATTGAAAACTTTGATTCGAGTGCAAGAATATTTGAATCTTCGAGTTCAACGTGATAAAATGCTCTAATACAGGTGAATTCTTCGTTTCGCCGAAGAAGATGCCTCGAAGGGAGCATTTCGAGCTCAAACTGAATATTTCAAAATCTGGAAAATTCGTCAAGTTTTTAAATTACAATTTGCTCATTTTCAATTTTTCCGTTTCGCGATCCCCGAACGACGAAAAATTGAAAATTGGTGATATCTTCAATGACGCCGGTAGGACTCCAGCATTTCGTCAATTTCAGTATGGTTCCATTCTCAAGGTGAAATCCTTCGGATCGTCGTAACGAAAATTCAAACATCCCATTGGTTTTCGTATCATTTCTAGGATTTATTGATCGAAAAAATCGAAAATCACCGCAAGATCGCAGATTTTGTACCAACTGAAAGACGAAAAATAATTGAATGAATTAAAACCCTCAACAAAATACGTCTTTGTGCTTAATGAAAGTTTCATTTTGTCCAAGGGATTTTCTAAAAAAAAAAAACAATAAATTCGAAATTAATTAATAACAACTTCACAAATTCACGGTACTCATGATCAATTCGAATATGATAAGTTCGTTCAGTCGATATTTCGAATTCATTCCCCAAACTTCGTATACCTTTGACCTCAACGAGAATCTGAAAAAAAAACGAAACAATTATTCCGAAAAAGAATATTCATACATTTGAATTCGCAACCCGAAGAATCACAGCGGCCAATGGTCCACTCTTTTTGCGAGTTGCACTAATTCGTATTCTTTGATCTAAAATAAAAAATTATACTTCGACACCGGAAGGGTTGAACCTTCCAATTTTCTGAATTGCCGTAAATTTTTTGATTCTGCTGGAACGAATGCTAATCTAATGCAAACCCGTTTCGCACACACCAATGTTCGAATACTTCCCTCAATGAAAATCAACGGACCAATCTAAAATAAATTGAGCTTTAATAGAACCAAATATCTTCAAAAACCTCCTCGCAAAATTCATCTAAGTTTTCTTGCAATTCATATTCACTCAAAGTACTTGTTTCCGAACAAAAGCTTATACTAAAATTGAACAATATTCATAAATAAATGAAATGAAAAAAAAAAGAATCATACTTGTCATCATCGTCATAATTTGGCTCATAAACATGCAAATAATAAGGTATTTCTCTCGATAATGGCACGTCAACATCGGTATTTGTAAATCCAGATATTTCAAGAGTGACAATCTGAATTCATCACATATTATTGCTTTGAGAACAATTTTACCTGAGAATCTTCTGAAATATGACTAATTTCTACGATCACTTCTCCTGAATCATCATCATCATCGTCTAGAGAAAGGCACAGTTTTATATCTGAAATATTCTCTTCAATAAAATTTAAGAAAAATTCTGCAACCTTTATTCCGCGGAATTTTCTCGATCCATTCAAAAGCATCCGGATTAATAAGTGCCATATTAAGTAAGCTTTGATAGAAATTCTTCCATTTTCCATTCTCCTTAAATCGATATCGCTTAAAATCACCACCCGTATATTTCAACGCTCCAATTTGTGCGACAATCGCCTTTATATCCAAATCGCATTTCGGATTCACTACGTCTATAATTGTCGACCCCGAGTAAGACGGTTGAACGCAAATCGTCTCTTCACTATCTGAGGAAATTTCGAAATCAGCACAAGGCGAATATGAATCGAATTGTACCACAAAGGCCAGCTTTCGAAAGAACACTTTCTTTATTGTTTTCTCGCTCAACAGGAAAAAGCCAAAGATCCTGCGAACTCCAAATATGCGAACTTCGATCGGTTGAAAGCGAAAACTGCAAATCAAAAGTTGAAAATAGAAATAAATTACATCACCGAGTCATACCTTCAACGTTTCATTTTCTTCTTCAATTTCCAAAATATTAACAGTAAATAGTTGTTCACTCTTTGAAAAACTTGAAGAATGCGACAAACTAACGTCATAATCTTCAAGATCAAATATTTTAAAATTTAGTTACTCAAAATCTCGTACTTTGAAGTTTCGATTTGTATTCATTAATGGTAAATGGATGAGTTATGGGAGCAGTGGATTCAATTCGCAAAATGTTCTTGTTTTCCTCAATCGATTGCGACTTTCTGAAAGGACTAACGGCGGAAAGCAGAAGTGAGGCAAACGCCAAGTGAATCGAGCAAAATTGACGACGGTCTCTAAAAATTTGGCGAAAAATATTTATAGTCGATGTTCGACGACTGCTGTAGGCGGGTAAATTTACGAGTACGTCTTTCAGAGTACGGTACCCAACTCCCACTGTTTAAATTCGAATTTGAATTACCGCCTCGAAAAAGTGCGATGGGCCTTCTCCTTTTCCGGATAAATCTCCAATTTTTATAGTTAAAAAGAAATAAACCAAACATTGAAACTGAAATCGCTTTTCGCAACATTCAATATTTTATAAAATCAACTACCAATTTCCTTCTTAAACCCCATTATCTTTCAAAATAACCATCAAAGACCAGTATGTAAGGTGTCAATAAAACTCAACAAGCTCGTGTTCAAACCACCAAATGAAACATTTGTCTTATTTGTTTTACACCCACTTTATTACATCCGTTCGTTGCATTTTTCTAAATGCATTTGTGTGTGTGTGTGTGTGTGTGTTCCTTTGTTGTTTTTCAGCAGCTGATGATAGGATGATCAAAGGATGAGCGTATTTACCTGTCATAAATCCAATTTCTCGATTCCTTCTGCACAAAATGAAGAAAAAGCAGCTTATTAATATCAATGCGATTTAATTTTGAAGTCGTTAAATGAAGCTGCAAAACATCAAGATCCCCCGATTCACGAAATATATGTATATATTCATCACTCCGTTGCGCTTACCAATCTCTCACCGGGCGACGACTTTTCGACAATTGCCCGCAGCGATGTGTAACGCGACGACTTGCCGATGAGCATCTCATCATTCGGAAAACTTGATAAATAGACGACGAGACCTGAAAATTATATGATATTGGTTCGACGCGCCGGTTGGTTCGATTTCAAACATCACATCGATGAGATCGACACCGAAATCCCATTAATATGTTCGGAATCGGTTCGGCGAAAATTGTTCGTAAATTTACGACAACTAGAGAATGTTTATACAAAAAAGCACATTATACGGGCAATTTTTGAAAAATATCATCGCATTTGGATTTTAATTAAATCAAATAAAGCATAACACGTTAGAGTTTATTCCAATTTCTAATGTTTCATATTCCACAAGCGTAGCGTTTATCGCCGTTCCAATTCTAATTGACTCGATTTATAGTATTGGAAATTCTGAATCTAATTAGCTATGCCCTATTTTGCACTTTTTATCAGAGAAAATTAAATAAATGACATGTTCATCTAGTTAAATCTCCCATTAAAGAAAACGGTAATTTTCCATTTCTTGTCATCTAATCCAATTTCCAATGGCGCTAATCCGAAGGATTAGGGCCTCTTAAATGCAACCGTTTTCCTTTTTCGAATATCGAGGAAAGCTTGAATTTCCTCAAATTGAACCTATTGTTAAAAACCCGTTTTCCTAAAATACAAGAAAATACAAGACTCGAAAGTACGCAAAGTCACACAGAAACAGATTAAACCATAATTTCTTGTATTCGTAAAAAAATAGCTGAACAAGTCTTTTTGAATTGTACCTTCTGGAACATCCAAAACCGATTTAGGGTTCATGAGACATTTTACGGTGACTTTCCCATTAAGATAATCCGGTTTCACTTCAAGTCGTTCAATCCAGCCAACAAGTTTTCCAATATCCTTTTTCTAAATACGCATTATTTTAAAAATCATTTTCTAAAACAACACAACTTTAACATTATCGAGTACAATTTTTCGAATATCTCTTGAATCCATCTGTAACTGAAAAAAATAATAAATACAAATTAAAGCAAAATAATTTTCCGTTTAATAAAACGATTATGAAAGGAAATATATGATAAATACGAAAAAAAATCGAAACTGTTTATTTCTAAAACAATGAAACATTTTGACACATCTTGATATCTAAAAGAGGGGCGAAAAATAAATATGGGGAAAACTCATCGATCGACTTCTCCAAAAACAATGTCCATCGTTCCAATTACGGCGACAATATCAGCAATTAGCGACATATAGCAGACATCGTGAATAGCGGCGAGATGAGCAAATCCGGGAGCACGGATGAAACATCTGTAAATTGTGCACATTGTAAATAATTTCTATAATCATCCGCAAAAAAATCATGGGGATTTTCGAAACGAAAAAACTATTTTGCGCTTCATTTGAAAAGTTTTTTGATATGATTTCGAGATTTTACAGATTCCAGAATTTCGTTAGACATTTTAATCTTAGGATTTATAAGCTTTTAATCGGAAATATTGAAAGTATTAACCTGTAGGGTTTTCCAGTTCCATCAGCAACCAAATAGACTCCAAATTCTCCTTTCGGGGCTTCGATTGGCACATATGTGGCACCAGGCGGTACTTGGAAACCTTCGGTGAAGAACTTGAAATGATGAATGAGCGCTTCCATATTTTCCTGAATCAATATTGCAGAACGATGAGAAAAAAATTATTCTCACCTTCATTTCAGCGCGTTTTGGTGAAGAAACTTTATAGTCGTCGGTTTTTATTTCACCTTTCGGCATTTTATTCAAACACTGATGAACAATATTCAAAGATTGACGCATTTCTTCAATTCGGCATAAGTATCTGAGCAATTTCGAAATATAAATAAAAGCAAACAAAATCATTCGACAAAAACCTATCATAACAATCGCCTTTGATTCCGATTGGCACATCGAATTCAACTTGATCATAGGCATCATACGGTTGCGTCTTACGCACATCCTGTTTGATGCCAGATCCACGGACCATGACCCCAGTGAATCCCCAATTCAACGCATCAGCAGCGGAGACAAGTCCTAAACAGAACGACGAACGATAATTTTAACAAATGAAAAAAAAAACCAATATCAATGGTTCTTGCTTTCCAAATTCGATTTTCTGTGAGCATGTCTTCCAATTCATCGATTCGTGCTGGGAACTAAAACAAACTTCTTCGTGTTTTTTTTTACATTTTTCATTTTTGTTATGATACTATGCAGATTTCGCTTAAAAATAGTTCTATTTTAACCCAAAATCTCTATAACACCATTAAATTATAACTAAAAAACTATTAATTATCTAATTTTCGGCCAGCTCAATGATGAAATTTTTCTATCGATGATGTTTTATTTAGCAATACAAATGTTTATTTTAGAAACGAATAGAACGGGAAACCGTGTGCCGATAAATAAATTATTATAAACACGTTGCAGAATTTTCTCGAGTGTGCTGATAATGTTTACAAAGCTAAATATGCCTTTGATTAGGAAAAATATGAAATTTCCGCTTATGAAAATTCCCTCTCTTTTTCACATTAAGCAAGATTTGTTCGCAGACGTTTATCTAGCAATCCACTAAATTTTAATATTCCGCCAAATGCGATGAATAGATAATTGATTACCTTGACCGCCCAATCATAAATATCGTCCATTAATCCAATCGGCATATCCCACGCAACACCGCCAGGTCTCACATAGTTCGCGTGCATACGAGCACCCGAAACACGTTCAGAGAACTCGAAGAGTTTCTCTCGTTCTAAATTGACGAGTTTTATGTTTAAAAAGAGAATTGCAACCTTCGAACATCCAAAAGAACGGTGTCATGGCGCCTACATCGAGAGCGTGCGTGGTGATACCCATAATATGATTCTGAATTCGCGTGAGCTCTCCGAACAATGCTGAAAAAACTTTCGTCTTGTATCAATCACCCCAATTTTGTACTTCTAATATATTTCGCTCTCGGTGGGATATCGATTCCGAGAAGTTTCTCCACCGCCAAAGACCATGCTTGCTCATTGCACATCATTGAGACGTAGTCAAGGCGATCGAAATATGGCAATGCCTAGAATGTTCGGTTGTTTGTTGTTGTTGTTGTTGTAGTTTTTTGTTTTCCTTTCTTTCTTTCGCCCACGTCGCTCACTTGCTTTTTATGGCGTTCGATGCGAAAAGAAAAGAAATATGGAGGAGACACACCTGCGTATAAGTTTTATGTTCAATGAGCTTCTCAGTGGCGCGATGAAGAAGACCAATATGGGGAATTGCTTTGATGATGACTTCTCCCTCGAGTTTGAGCACGAGTCGTAGCACTCCGTGAGCTGCAGGATGCTGGGGGCCAAAGTTGAGGATCATGTTCTCCAAATTCTTTTCACTACAAATATAGGAGGGGAAATTGAATGGAAATAAATGATTGAGAAGTGGTAAACCGTCGTTTCCCGTCGTAAACATCACTCATAACTGGTTCGCTATATGCCAACTTTTCGAGTTTGTCGAGCCCGATTTGCTTATCAAACTCCGATATATTCTCGGACATCCACAGTTTACCCATAGTTCCACCGGTCTGTAAATAAGAAAAATGCAATAATAAGGAAAAAAATCGTTGGTTAAATATTTGTTTCCAGATTTTTGCAATATCAGTTCTAAACCTTAAATTGCCTCTCAAACTTCGCATCTGGATACCAAATAGTGTGTGAGTCCCGTTTTGAGGTAACCAAAATTGGAGCAGCCGATATTCCTGCTCGAACTGGATTGAGTGCTCTAGAAAGCATATTTACCTGAAAATGTTAGAAAAATAGTGGAATTTCGAAATACTCAAAATGTTCATAACCTATTGAACGCAAAAACAATTTCAATAATCAATAAATGGGCTGCCAATAATTAAAAATAGTTGCATTTTTACGTTACGTCAAATGCACCATTCTATACTACAGTAACTCTTCTCTCCATTTCGCACTTCTTCAATAACCCTTTTTACTCGAAACTGTTAAGTCAAAAGTTCTTAAAGTTCCCTCGTCTCATCTAATATTAACTCTTCCGTTTGACACATGGCGATTGAGCGGCCATTGTCGGAGGCGCATGGCGCTCTGTCTCGCTGCAAGACCAACGCATTTTTGAAATGCGCGCGCGCTTATGTGTTTTGTTTGAATTCGTGCGCGCACTCACAAACACTCACAGCCGCGTCGCAAAAGAGCTGCGTCGCTTGCGACGCGCCTGTGAATTTGCGACGCGCCCCGCCCATCTCAACTGCCGGCAGATTTTCGCCACTTCCAAACAGTTTTCTTATGCAATTCCATCCAGCTCCACGAGCTATGATTTTCTAAATCCGGAAATCATTTTCTTATTATTTATTTCGCTTATTATTCATATATTAAATCGGAGAATTTGCGATAAACGAACTTTAAATTTTTTTGTTTTGAGAATTTGTTTTTTTGAAAGCGTATTAATTCGAAAATTTCAGAACAAACTTTAATTCAAAATGGTTGATCGTAAGGCAGTTATCAAGAACGCTGACATGTCCGACGACATGCAGCAGGATGCCATCGACTGCGCCACTCAGGCTCTTGAGAAGTGAGTTCAGATTATTTGAAAATTTAAATAAACAAATATTTTCTTCAGGTACAACATTGAGAAGGACATCGCTGCCTACATCAAGAAGGAATTCGACAAGAAGTACAACCCAACCTGGCATTGCATTGTTGGAAGAAACTTCGGCAGCTATGTGACTCACGAGACGAAACATTTCATTTACTTCTACCTCGGACAAGTTGCCATCCTTCTTTTCAAGTCCGGTTAAATGTCCATTTATTTTGCAATACAATTTTATCTTCCTTGATCTTTAACATCATAATTGTGACACTAAACGTGTAATTTAATCGTTTCAATACCCAATTTTCGTAGCGTCAACAAATAGTTTCTTGTTATGTTGCCCACATAATTTGTTGGCACAAAATTCCGAATAAAAGTTGGTTCCATTCTAATTGTATCGCGTACTATCGAAGGTCTTTAGTTAAACCCGAAAAGTTTCTCATTGGAAAAGAAAGTTTCTGAAATTTTATTTGGAACAATTTCAAGATGGATGACAGAGTCAATGCGATGAGTATGCCTCAGGCGGTTGTGACACGAATCTTAAAAGAGGAAAATATCAATGTGTCAAAGGTACAAAATCTCGCCGCGACGTTTACTTTTTAGCACAAAACTCTTCATTGCGTCAGGTTGTTTGTTCAGGAATCTCGCGAAACAATTAGTCGCGCGGCTGCTGTATTCCTCATCAGTTTATCGGGTCTCGCTTATCAAAGTGCGAAGGATCATAAGCATAAAACAATCGGGTCCGATGATGTTCTGCGAGCTCTCAAAACATTCGAGAATAACACAATGTATAATCAGGTAAGAGAAAAATCAATTAAGAATTTCGATTTTTTTTAATCAATTAAGAATTTCGATTTTATTAGTATTTATGAGAAGTGAGGATAAATATTTGAACAATTAAAATATAAAAATTCGGAAAATGAAATTGACATACTACTTTCGCTTATATGTATTATTATGCAATTAAAACTCATCACGAAAAACTAAACTATTTCGTGCTACAATAACTCTGAAAAACTAAAAATGAATGAAATTTAGTGCAAGCAGGCTGTGGATGAATGGAAAATACTGAAACAGCAGCGAAATTTGGTTAGAAGAGAGCAGGACACTAATCAAATGAATGAGTATGCAGATACGGATATCGTCGAAGATACGGCCGAAGAAGATGATTTTGTTGAGGAATCGATGGAAGGTAACCTATTTCATTTTTTTTTCAATTGATATTTAATTTTCTAGAAAATGGCGTTTAACATGGGTCTCTTCATAATTCTATTATCACGATCTCGATATATCGATCACATGTACTTTATTACTTCACTTTGTCAAATAAATTTACCCATTCTTAACAAAATAACGTATATAATGCCGAACACAAATATCGACAGAATCCCAATTGCAACAATATAAATCGATTTTAGTTTTTGAATTTGACGACGATTATCAAATTCCGAAGGGAGTTGGAGAATATCTTTCACTTCTCGATTCCACATTTCCTCCCAAGTCTCAAATTTGTTCTGGAAATCAAACAAGCATATTTTTCAAGTTTTACAATATCACACCTTCACGACATTCTCCTTCAAATTTAACAATTTCAAATTTGTTGGAAACCCTTTTGCGATTAGCTTGAGTTTTTCCAGGAGTTGATCTGAATTTTCGAACAGATATCCATTATCACCTTCCTAAAAATATCCAATATAAGAAAATAGACTATAATTGTGTAGGAAAGCACCTTGACGAGCTCGGCGATACACCGAAACTTCTTTGCGAGCACAGGCACCTTTGCTCCGAACATGTCTACAACCTTCATAGGCAAATCCAAGCCAGAAGTGCTTGTGTGAAGCGAAATTCCCAAATCGGCGCTCGCAATCATTTTCGGATAATCTTCGGCTTCCAACCAAGGGGTGTAGATCTGAATATTTCAATTTTTCGATTTAACGAATTTAATTCTCCACACGGACATTAACGAATTTGAGTTGTTTTTTGTCAATTTGTTCCATGTACATTCGTTTGAGCGGCCCTTTACCAGTGATGATCACAAATAAACGCGGAAAATTTTGAGAACTGAACGTTTTCTGTCAATTTTCGTCGTTCCTTCAAAAAACACGAACCGATCGGCCGCAATTTTGTCGTATTCAAAAAGTGCATCAAGAAGAATCTCAAATTTCTCATCTGCTGTCCACGATGTCGATGAGAGAAGAACAAGTGGACGATGTTCTCGTTTAATGATTGTGCCATTTTCGAGTTTTTGAGTTATCAAAGTTTCTAAAAAAAAGAACGTAAAATATAATATAACTGTTGATGAAAATTTGAATTAAAGGGGCCATCTTACCACTTTCGTCAATCAAATCGTTTTTCAATACAGCGCCATCTTCTTTTTCTTGTAGTCTTTGATATAATTCATGAATTTCTTCGATCGTCGGCTCACTAGAAATGCAAGAAAATATTTTTTTTTCTTGAAAACTCAACAAAAATCGAACCTAAATTTCCACGAGGGCGGCCTATCATAAAATGTGTTCGCTTCAATGCCCCAATGTTGTTTCAAGTCATTTCGCATCGCATTTGTCACACATAGATTCCTATCAGATAATCGCCCGCAAATGCCTTCCAAATAGCGCACGATTCGAACAATTCTAGAAGATTCGCAACAATTATATGGAATTTCATTGAAATTCTTGCCGAATTTTCATCGAATTTCCATTGTTGCCTTCGCCGGTTATTTGCGCTTCCGTCAAGTCTACAAAAAATCAAGCATTTTCAGATCAAAAAAGGGAAATGTCAGAAAAGACGACGTACCATATTTATCGCGAAGAATCGAGAACATATAATTGTGCCAATCGATGCAAAATTTTGCATTTTTCAACTTAGCTATCTGCAATCTTCAATTTATCAATTAAATCAAGCTATTGTCACAACTAACCAGAAAACAAACTGGCATTGTTGGGAGAGCTGGCGGATTTTGCATCAAAACCACTCGCAAATTCGAAAAACTTGTTCTGAAATTTTAAAAAATGACCCTAACAGTAAGATTATACGGTAGAATACTTGAAAAGCAGAGCGAATGTCAGAAAAACGAAATTCCATACAAGTTTAATTGGCAATTGAACAAAAACGGGAAGAAATGCCAATTCCGGAGGCGGTAAAATTGGCGAAATTCTAAAAAAGAACCAATTCGAAAAATTATTCCTTTTTTTTAAACCGAATATTCGGATGATCTTTAATTGCTTTTCCCGGGAGAGAATCGCAAAATCCAAAAATTTTGACAAGAAATCCTTCATCGGCGAGCATTTTTGCATGATTGCACATTCGGGGACTTCGACCAACATCGCCAACAACTACGACAGCCGCTTCACATCTTCAATTTATTGGAAAAAAATGTTTCAAATTTCGATTTATTTCTCAAACAAAAAACTCACTTTTTATCATAATTCATACCTGAAAAAATAACAAATTTGGGAGATAAATGCAATTTATATCGAAAAAAGAAGAGGTATCTTGTCGAGAAAACAACAACAATTTGATTCGAAAAAATAAATTCAAAAAAACGGGCAAAAAAATTGGGACAAGATCATTTACTAAACAAAACGCATTAGATCAATCCGGCATATATTATTTGGCATATAGTTTAGGATATTCAACGTACTCTCTAAAGTTATTGAATAATTTAATTAAAAAAATGATTGGACGGTTAAATTAAATAAATAATTGAAATCGTAAACGAGGGGACAATTGGGAGAGATTCGTCGGAAAAGAGAACAGTTAGCGGAAATTTAAAATATTATATAAAACTGACTTTAAACATACATGTTATAAACAACTAGACAATTATTATTATTATTTGAACACTGAAGATCACGAATGTGAAATTTTTGAGATCATTCAACTTCATTCAATTGATTCAGTTGAGTAACAAGACTTTTCAGCTGATTAATCGCTGTTGAGGCAGGAATTTTTGAGGGTTTCGGTCTGAAACGTTGAAAATTTGAAGATTTGAATAAGGAAGCGAACAAACATGATTGGAAGAAGCTCGAATGGAGACGGATTTCCATTACCGATGTCTTTTCTCACATCTTTTCTATCCATCGAAAGTTGTTGTGGGCTCAGAATTGTCGGAGGAGTCTGATCACTGACGACGTCTATCGGAGATTCATCAACGGAGTCAGCACGGTCCGAAGAACCAGCAGACATCCAAGACGTCTGGAAATTTGAGAACAATTTTTGTTGGAAACACTTTTTTTGTTATACCTTGTGTACAGGAGCACTCGGCGTGTAAGGAATATCAATTGATGAGTTACGCGAGATATTCGAAGGTGTCGATGGAAGATTAATTGGACGTCTCTCGGAAATCGACGAATGTCTCGAAGTTGCCGGCGTTGCCGGAGACGGTGCATCAGCTATCATGCGATCCTGTCGAGACACTGTCGGCATGTACACTTTTGCCGTCGAACTATGCCCATGCTCACCACCTGGAAGACTGAATAATCAAACACGTCAACACGATCTATATGCACTCTTTCTTCTATCCTTGGTCACCGAATGAGGCGATGATAATGCTGGCGACACCGGTTTCAACTTATTATGCGATGATTCCGACGGCGAGTCCTGTCGTTCAACCTTCTTCTCTTTTTTCTTTTTGATGACAGGAGCGGATGATGATGATGGAATATCGAATATATCAATGCTAATCGGTTGTTTTGCCATTTTTGCACCCTCTGATTTCTTTACATTATTTTCTGAGAATTCAATTATAAAATTGATAAAAATCAATTTTTATTTAAACCTTGTGATTCCTGTGATGCCTCCTCCTGACTTTGCCGTTCCAATTTGAACTTTTTCTTTTCCAGATTAAGTTCTATATTCTAAAAAAAAACAAAAAAGTCTAATTTTCTATGAAGCTACTCACATTTTTGGTTTTTCTATATGCCGATTTCAACTGCCCTGTTCCCAACTTCACCATTTCCATCATCGGATCATAATTGTATGGATTCGGAGCGGCAGGTTCATTCATAATCGGGACCATCGGAACTCCGCCAACAAACATCGGCTTCTCCGGCTTCTTCTTTTTCTTCGTTTTCGACATTCCGTGCGCCGCGATCAATGCAGCATCCAAAGTTGAGCTTTTCCTTTTTCGCTCCTGTTCCTTTTCTTTCTTCTCGCGTTTCTCTTCGCGCGTCAATTTGACTTTTTTCGCTTTTTCCTCCATTTTTTTGGATTTCTGCAAAAAAATCTTTTCAAAAAAGAAAAAAAAGAAACGAATATGCGAATTGTAAACAACTATATGAAACGTGTACAAGAAAAATGACATTCGCATCGGCGAGAGGCTATTTTTATTTGACGAGAAATGCAATATTCTCACTCTTCGCGTGGTTATGGCCTTTTGTAAAATTTAAACATTACCAAAACAATGAACGTTTCACAACATTACAGAAGAAAATGTTCGAAAAGAAAATCGTGGGAAAACGAAAAAAAAAAAGATAAATAATGCAAATATTAATGCGATTGAATCGATAATTTATACAATTTTTCGTGAAATTCTTGAGAAAACTAAAAACGGTTCAAAAATCCAATGAAAAAGAATAAGTTTTCCTGTGAGGCAATATCTTAAATGAAAAAAAGCAGTTCAGACGAAAAGATATTTGTTACACTGTTTCTTTTAATTAAAAAAAATTAAAGATATGTTTTTTTTTTAATTATTCAAATAAAAAAAACTCCTACCTTATCTGGTGCTTGACTATTTTCATGATCCTTTTCTTCTTTTTCCATTTTTTGCCTCCACGTGAGATCATCCTCTTCCTCCGGTTCCTCCTTCTTCACACTGTTTTCATCTTCGACCTCGTTTTTAATGGCAACACTGGCTCGCGTCGCCGCTTGTCGACTACTTCTTCGAGTTGCACCGATTGGTGTATTGTCGCGGCTTTCTCTATAATCCTCGTCTTGGTCTTCGGCTTTGGTATTGTCATGATGCTCGGATATCTGCTTCAGGTTAATTGAATTAATAAAAAGGGTATCACTCGTAAAGTATTACCGCGTCACTTCCATCGTCGTCTCCGTCCCGAATGGCTTCTTTTATTTTCTCCTCACTTTCTAGAAACTCCTCCGGAAAATCCTGAGCATTGAACCGTGTGTCATCAAGCGTTGACGGTTCTTCCTTTGCAACCACATTGCTCGAGTTTTCTGTTTTCACTAATCCATCTTCACAGAATGACAGATCACCAGTGGAAATTGCACCACGAGTCTGAAATAACGAAACAATCAACGGACATCTTAAATACCTTTCTTCTTACGATTTTTCTTTTAGCAACTACAGTCTCTTCAACTTCTTTCCCTTCCTAAGAAATGTCGAAGTGTAATAGGAAAATAATTTAAAAACTAACCAACTGTGCTTTTCTACGCTTCAAAACTGCTAAAAAGCAATTGAGAAGCGACGCCGGCTGGCAAATACCCTCGGAGATCTCAACTTTCGCTTTTCTCTTCAAATATGTTCCGAGAGCTTCGAGTTCTGCTAGTAATCGAGGCGAGATTTTATCGAGCTCTTCTGAAAATACTCAGCCGTCCATAACTAACGAACCAAATGAAATGCAAACCTTGATTAAAATTAATCGGTGGCTCGTATCCAACAGGAAGTTTGTGATCAGGAACACTCTTGTTGCGCACAAAATCGTGCTTCTGAAAATAATCGAAAATCAAATTAATGGGGAAAAACAGAAGAAAATACCGAATTTTTATAGAAGATGAGAGGATTTGATGCTGAAAGAGCATCAATCTCAGCATCGTGGAGTTTTTCTCGTTCCTCAGCAGAAACTGAAAAATATCAAGTGTAAGTTTGACTGAATAAACTATCAGTGATTGTCGCTACCATTATCTTCGTCATCATCATCATCTGCTTCTTCGTCCAATCCATTATCGACATGTATCTGTTTCTGTTGTTTCCTCGCTGAAGCGAATACCGAGTTTTCCGCATGCATCGCTATCACTTTCACTTCCTCCTTTTCGCCCAGGTTAGTGTCATCTGAAAAATATGTTTCATATTCATTTGTTTGATTTCTAATGGTACTAGGCAGATTCCATAATTCTTGCTGCGATAAAAAACTGTGGCACAATGTAGGCTCAAAAAACCTCGACGCAGCCGAAGTTTTTGGAGTTTTTTGGCAAGCTATTTTTTAAATGTTTTTTGCGAAATCTACATATTATCATAATAATTGTATGATATTAGTCTTAAAATAACCTAATATAGACTTTGTTTCAGCGGAATAGATAATAATTCTGAAAAAAAACAAAGTACCTTCAATCATATCATTCGTCAATTCGACACCATGCTCAAAATCAGAATACTCGATTTTCTTCAAATGCCCTCCAGCTGCTTTCCACTTCTCTCCAACATAGTCCATTCGAGCATCCTCGATCCGCAGCGGTCGTGCGTATTCTCGCCCAGTCCATTTCTTCACGTAATCCGCAATAACAAAGAAGAGAAGCTCCTCGTTATACGGCAGCCGAAATTTCCGCGTAATCTTCAAACAACCCCCATTTATAATTTTGAACGTTTTTTTTCGAATTGCACTCACGTTTAACCTATTCTCGCATTGATAAACACGTATTTGCATTTGGCATGACATCGAGTGCAGAAAATTTCCACCAAACACCAAACTATCTTCCGGAGTATAGACAGCATGTATCCAACCTAAAAGAAACCAACATTATACAGGGTGTCATTTAAGTTCCCGCACAACTTTGAAGACGTATATTTCTGAAACTAAAAGTCCAAATCAAACGAGACTCGAAATATTTTTTATCTATAGTACAACAAATAATTATCTATTAACTCTTTTCGATTCGGCCTCTTTTCGCAGCTATGACTTCGCGGAGACGCTTCGGGTAGGATGTGACTGTGGTACGCAGGTATTCGATGGAAAGATTGTCCCATTCCGCCAGTAATGTCTTCTTCAGAGCCTCTACACTTGAGTGGGGTTTTGCGTTGACCTTCTCCTGCAAGACCCCATCACGGAGAAGTCAAGCGGGTTCAGGTCTGGGGAGCAAGCAGGCTATTCGGATGACTTGATGAAGTCGGGAAAATGGGTCTGGCACCACTCCTGAGTAGTTTTGGCAGTAGGGGCGGGTGCTCCGTCCTGTTGAAAGACCCATATCTTCCCACCGAAATGCGTTTGGGCCCAGGGCATCATATGCTTCCCCAAAATGTCCCGAACGTAGACTTCTTTGTTCACTTTCACCCCCTGATCCGCGAAAACCAGGGGGCACTTCCCGGTTGAGCAGATGGCACCGAAAACAATCACACTGGCAGGATGTGAGGCTGGATAAATTGTTATTCCTTTCTCTGAAGCTTGCTGGGATGTCTGGGCAAGTACTCAATGGTTTTGTGAGTTGAATGCCGTCTCCACAGTGAACAGCTTCTCGTCGGAGAAGACAGTGGCGAGGTGTTCTCCAGACCGCGTGCGAGCAAAAAGTTGTTTTGCTTTTTCGAAGCGTCTCTGCTTGTTGACGGCCGATAGAATTGCCACTTTTTGGACACGATATGGGGTCAGTACAAGCTTTGTTTTGACGATTTGTTCCATAGCGAAGATGCTCATTCCCATGTCTGACGCCATCTTTCTTATGCTCCTGTGCGGTTTTCGCCTGATCCTCGTTTTGACGGCGTTGATCTTCTGAGGAGTGGTTACTGAGACGAGTCTTCCTTGTCTGGGAAGGTCACTGGTCGTATTTAGCTCCTTGAAACGTTTGTTGGTGTCTTAAACCGTTCTACGAGGCACACCGAGGCGTTGAATGATCTCTGTCGGGCGCTCATTTCGCTTATGAAGTTCGATAATGGAAGCGCGATGAATGTTAGCCTTCGCCATTTCTCGGAAACACATCCGAATGAAGTGAAACTTGAAAAGTAAGTAAAATACACCTTATTTAACAAAAATAAATTGTATTGGTGCACGAAAAGTGCGACAGCCAAGCTTTTCATGACGTCTAACTTTTGTGCGGGAACTTAAATGACACCCTGTAATTTCGTTTAAATTTTAACACGTACCACTAGGAATAAGCATTGTGTCCCCAGGATCCAGAATTACGGTATGACAAGTTTCCACCGATTTTCCAAAAAATGTCGAATCCCCAACAGTTTGAATGAATTCTTGATACAATAAGAAGTTGGTCTCCGTTGGAGGAATCAACCAAAACACCTCAAAGTCAATAGTACAACAGTTGAAAAAAATGAAGAAAACCTTACTTTTTTGCCTTTAAGTACATGGTACCATACAGAAGTACCACTAAAGTCAATATGGAAATCGGTATAGCAATCAGCAACACTCATTAGGCAATAACTTTAAAAATGGTAGATTGATTTTTCTTTTACTAATTGATTACTTACTTTTGAACTTTGGGGAATGTATGATGGGGTGTGTACAACTTTTTGTCCCTCCCATTAAATGCAATCCATCGTTGGCGAAGTTCATCTGGCCATTTATTGCCAACCCAGTCGATTTCACGAACTAGTGTTGGAGATTTGACAACGTCCTCAAAATATTCGCAATATTAATTTAAATTTCAAACTTATTTTACCTCAAGAGGAGTAAGAGAAAACTCCAATGAAAGAACATTGTAAAGAACTTTGCGATCTTTAGCAGGGGTTCTGCAAATATTATTAATACAAAAATGTCGAAGCTAGAATTTAGATCTTCTAATTAAAATATTTCTTTTGTATCAAACTTTTCAAACGCTCACTAACTTGTAGAAATTGATAAAATCTTGCAATGACATCTTCACGCTTCCTTGGTTGCTAACTTCAACGACTTCTATTATTCGATTACCTCCAACCAAATTAAGAACATCATCGACGCTAAACGATTGGTCGGGGACTCTAAAAAAAAGTAATCAACATTTTAAAAAGAAAATTTTCAATATTTTCTTACGTCATTCCAATGAGTTTTGGGTCACATTTGAAAAGAAGAGGATGTTCTAACCCGGTCTTTTCAAAATATTCCATGTTTAGTTCTTCAGGTTCAATTCTGTGGATAAACTCAGGATGTTGAAGGCTGGGATCTACAAAAATTTGATAAACTGTTTACCTTTCTGGATATTTTTACCATTCATTAGCTCTTCAAAATTGTATTTCACACATCGCTGTAAACTTGCTTTATTGAAGCCATCCTCGTCCTCAATGTCCGAGACTTCTTGCTCATCTTCAGACGACGAATTTCGTTTTTGCTGTAGAAATCCAGCAATTTTCATTAATTTTTAAGTAACTTGCGCAAACCTTTTTGTTCTGTCCTCTTGGTCTTCCACGACCTCGTCCAGTTCCTCCACCACGACTTTTTCGTTTTGGTGGCATCTGGAATAAAATACATTAAAAAGTAAAGTAAGCAAACAATCCCAAAATAGTATAAGATCAGAATTAAAAGAATTATTTCTTACAGATGTAATTAAGACAGTTTTTAAACATAAAGGAATAAAGCTTAAAAATTTAAGGTTTAAAAGTTTCTAGACAAACAATGAAAATTTGAACAATTTTTACCAATTTGGAAATAATAAAAATTAATTACAAAACGAAAAAATGCCATAAATCATCAAAAAATTGAAATTTTGCTTGTTACGTTGGAATTATAAAGGAAATTCTCAGCAAATCGCGCCGTAGAAACGGCGGTGAATAGCGAGTAAAACGGCGGCAGATGATCGGTGAAGAAAACAGACACTTTCGTTCCTCCAACTTTCCACCGCCGTTTCTTCGAAATTGCACGCGTACGCGCGGAGTGTCGTACTGCCTTCGTTTTAGTACTTTCAAACTATTGTCATATTTCACCACGTTTATTGTTTTTTTGAAAGTACTCGCGAAAAACTGGAATAATTTATTACAAAAAAAATTATTTAGTCATTTGGCTGCAAAAAATTAAATTTGTCCTCCGTGTGATGCCACTTTCTGTGATAACGTTGAAATTGTAGACGAATTCGTAATTCTATAATTCCTCGAAAATTCAATATCACTACTTAACTGTAAAGTCGAATCCGAACTGAAGAAATTCAAGTTTAAGAGATTTACATTAAGAATTTACCTCTTTTCGGTTGTGAAATAACTGTCCGCTATAAACTTTTTCGCCATATCCGCAATCGATAGTTGATTAGTCATTAACGATAAGTAGCAGTGCGTTTTTTCAAAACATGCAGTTGAAGTTGTTGAACAATTGCCGTATCTACGAATCAACTCCACACAGTGATCAAAAATCAGCTGGAATTGCTACCATTCTTCTGTTTTAAACAAGTCAATTTTCTTACATGCATTTTAAGCGTATAGAATTCGCTATTTTCATGTCCAATATATCCTTTTATGAAATTCGAAAGTTGTTGGATTGCGTAGAGATGAGCTTCGGTCCTTGCCATATATAGCAAGTTGTTAAATATGAACAAGCAAGCCAAAAACGTGGTTTCCATGATGCGAGGAAACATAAATGTCATTGATAACGCAGCAAGAGTAAACTGAACTGACTGAAAAATATAATCAAATGTCCCAACTTTAAAATTGCTCACTTTTCTTATCTCTGAACTGGTCGCACGCGAGAATCATTCTGGGCTAGCAAACCTGCAGGGCGTTTCCGGTGGATCTATGGTATTAATCAGAGAACATGAAAGTGCCTGAACCACCCTAGTCGAAATTTTCAACCGAGGCAAATTTGAACCGCGCCCAAAAATTTGTTCCAATAAATTTTTCAAAAACCCTTCGGAAAGGTAATGAAGTTCATCGAACGGTTGATTTGATGGGCTGGCAAGAATTGACAGAATGTCTAACAATTCATATTTTAGATGTAGGTTTGAAGGGAATTGCTTACTTAATTTTCCGCTAGCTCTCATCATATTCATTACATCATTCGCAGTTCTTGAAGGGTCGGAAAAAATGTCGGAAAAAAAGAAACCGCTTGCCGACCCGATTTCGAACCAATGATCGTGCAAAGTGTGCATCCCTGTGTACTTGCCCAACTCGGAAGACCACAGATCTGACACATGCCCTATATCGTAATGTTTCATTATGTACCAAGACAAGCTTGCCTTGAGATCCAAAAATGATACAGCTGGCTCGACCATGACGGAATATTTGACCCCTTCGTATTGTATAAGCAGTGGTGAAGTTCTAAGAAATTCTACTTCGTGCATTAATCTAAAATAAGCATACAATTATATATATAGCCGCAAATTTTTCATTACCTGAATGTGATGGTGATATTCATGCGTTTTGACGATTATTACAAGTTTTTTATTATCTACAGTTTCTTCTTCAATAACATCATTGACGTTTTCAACAGGTAAAAGACGAACTCCATAGCCCCGAATTCGCGCGTCTACAAAATTTTTTTCCTTTATGCTGATCACAGATATACCATTCTCTTCTTTCGTCAATCTACTCCTTTTCATGTTGAAACGAACGTTCTGGAAAAACCATTCTCATCAAATCAAACTTTCAAATTTAAAAAGAATGTAGTATTAATTATATTAAATCTTAAAACCAATAGAAGGTTTTAAAACAATCAATACATTATAATTAATTAATTACAAATTAAAAAATTCATAAAATTAATTTAAATAAATCTTCATTTTGAAATTTAATTAAAACTTTAAATGAAATTTAAATAAAATCGAAAATTAATTTAAATTAATTTTCGTTTTTTTTAGAAGGTTGTACGACACTACTAATATTACACATAGCCCACGGTTTAGCGCGTTTAGTAAACCATCGTTCCACCGCCGTTTCACCGAAACTCGCTATTCACCGCCGTTTCTACGGCGCGATTTGCTGAGTTGTCAAATTCAAAAAATCACAAAAAGCGTCGACACCAGAAATACGTCAGTGGATTGCTGATGACGCATCTGACGTCTGGGCGCGTTTTTTTTTTGGCGTCGAACACGCTTCCCCCACCCGCTGCCGTCACCGTCTCGTGCATCTCTCATTTATGCGATCGCAGTGCAATGATTCCTGTTTGTGTGTTTTGTTTGATCGCATAGACGCTCTTTGCTGTATAATTGTCTCGATTCATCGGTTTCCAATTCTCACCGCAAACTAATTACAAATTGCAGATATTCTTGCTCGTTGTGCAAAAGAGTTCAAGGAGCGGTCTGGCCAATTAGCCAAAACTTCATCTATCCCTTTCCTCATTGCGCTCACCAATCAAACGAGCGCAATGACGTTGACTAACCATTTTCCACTTGATAACTTCGCTGCCTAAAAATAGATTTTATTATTAAACAATTTTTTCATACACCAAGCTTGGTGTTCTCTGCAATTAGTCTAAATTAATCTATTAATGCAATTACATTTTTTCTTAAATTTTTTCAATTCATTGGGGAGCGCGTTTTTTGCTAGCAGTCAACATCAGCCTTGTGACAAGCGAAAAAAAAACTCAAATTTATAGTTTTTTCTCGCAGCGTTTCTGGCAGGCCTAATCCTGTTGTCCTCGCAAATCGATTCTCTAAAGCATAATTGTCGACAACTCCATAAAAGGAGCCTAGTTCTTTTTTCTCGCGTTCCTAGTCAAGCATTAACGTGACTCACAACGGCAAGGTATTAATTTTGCGACAATTCCCGTTATTTCGTCAAATAATCGCTTTTAAAGTCACAAGTTTTTTGATATAAAGTAATAGTTTTCCTTTTTTTCTTCAGATTGAGGAGGACATGATGAAAGTGATGGCTCAAAAAAGGAGCCGCCGGCCGAGAAGGCGATCCGCAAACGCTTCAACTGCTCCGAAAGACGATGTCTCAACTGAATCGGAAGATGTTGAAGTGATTGAAGAGAAGGAGGAAACTCCGGAGACGAGCACGAAAACAACGTCAGTAGCTGTTGCGAAGCCAACAATGACCACAAGATCATCGAAAAAGCGGTACGGCTACCCCAATTGGTTTAGGCTTCATAACGAAATTTTAGTCGCTCGGCGGTCAAAGATGTCTCAAACAACCATAAAATTACCGAATATTTTTTGGTTAGACGTAGTAGCAGAAAAACGGGAAAACAAATTGAGGTAAATATTATCAGTAATAGTTATCCAGATTGTGCGTCAACATTTCATTTTTAGATTGAAGCGAAAAACGCTTTACGGGATGCCATTGTGAAAGGAACAAATGAAAAATTCCTTGAAGTGTACACTGATGAGATCAAGGGTCGTGGAATTCGTGCGGGTCGCAATTTCAACAAAGGAGAATTTGTCATTGAATATAAAGGTGGGCATTTGCTCTGCAATTGATTGAAATTCGTTTTTGACGGAAACAGACGCCCAAATCTTCAATTTCCTGCTGTTTTTTTCCCGAATTAGAAGAATCTTTTTTGCAGTGCTCATAAATCACACGATATTAATATCACATTTTCTACTTTAATTATAGACTGGCTTTTGATCAGCACATTTTTTTGCAAAATTTATCGTTAAACACAACAAATTATTCCAACTATATAGGTTCTATTGTGTTGTTTTCAGGAGAAATGATGCATTACGCTGCGGCAAAACGCTTAGAGGAGAAATATTCGCAGGATGAGAAAATCGGATCCTATATGTACTTTTTCTCTTGGAATAATAAAAAGTGGTGTGTGGATGCCACATCGGAATCGCCTTATAAAGGCAGGCTCATCAATCATTCAGTATTGAAACCCAACTTGAAAACTAAGGTTTGTCATTTTATTTTCATCGTTTTAAAATAGATAATATTTCAAGAGACCGAATAATTTGGTCAAAATTAATTTTAATTGGTTTCAGATTTTCAAATCCAAAAAAGTGGTTTTTAATTGAAAAGACCAAATTATTAACTAGCTCAAATTTATTTTCCTCGTCGTTTAAAATCTCAAATTTACACTGTTTTTCAAAAACTTAAAAGTTTTCGTCCAAAACTGCCATGACTTGAATCACTTTTTGTGTTTTTAATGTAAACAAATTTTGATTTGGAGTGACACCTTTTTAAGAAATCAGATTTTGAAGAATTGTATCGTAAAGTTCATTTTTTCGAGAGTTTAATTAGGTCATGATCTTATCGTCGTCAATTTTGGTCATAAGCACTCAACTTGTGTCCTGTACTTCCGTATCAATTGAAATAAGCCAACATTTTCAAATTAAAAGCTCTTTGCAGGTTGTGTCATTTGGTGGAAAACACCATTTAATATTGATCGCCAAGCGAGACATCGAAGAGGGCGAAGAGCTGTTATATGATTATGGTGATCGATCGCCGGCAACGATTGCAAGAAATCCATGGCTCGTCAACACATAATTAACCAAAATGCTGAATATAAGTTTTGTCTTTCCACATGTTTCGAATCTCTGTAATATGATTTCTTGACAATGTCCCCTCCCTCAAAAAAAAAAAGCAACCAAATATACTCAATGTTATCTCGCTATTATAATTTTTATTATATTCTTTGCTGTTTTAATCTTAAAATGGCACTCTGTAATTTTTTGCGTGGCGATCTCATGTCCATATCGGATAGGAATGCGCTTTGTTTCACATTTCGTAATTTTTTTTTGTAAAATTTGCCTCTCTTTGTAACCGTGCTCATTCTTGTACTCTACAATACTCAAAATAAATTGATGATAATCAAAAAGAATTTTCGACCTCACGAAATGCACAATGGCAGGAGCTTCCCCCCAACAAAATGCCTCGAAATTAGAATTGTTGTGCTGACGTAACGGTGCATTTTCAGAATTTTGCCGAATGAGCACTATTCTCAATGTGGCCGTTGTCAGTTTTCATCATAAACGGGGATGTGAGGTAATATCGTAGGCAGATTGCTCAAATCAAGGTAGAAGAAATCATTTAAGTTTTAATGCTGCAATTTTTTGCGAATTGGCTGACATTAAAACAATTTTTACATTTATAATCGCAGTTTTAACGAAATTTTGATTTGTTCTGATCATTTTTTTCTTTTTTTCTCTCGTCACATTAAAAAAAATCTAAAAATATGGACGTTTTTGCAAAAAATTGAAATAGACGTTATTTCGAAAAAAACTAGTTTGAACTAGTCTCCTTGAATATTGCAACAGTCGAGTTTTTTTTTCCAAAATCTGTATAGATAACACTAAAACATGATATTTCATTGTATCCTTTTTTGCTGTCTGGTGTCCCATTTGTCAAAATGTGATGTCATGAAAACAGGAAACTGTAAATTCACTTTGTCGAACAATTCGCATTTTTTTTCTTCAGGTCGAATATTCTCATCCTCCATTCGACGGCCCTGGAGAAGGCGGCCTCCCTGAAGAATGGAACAATTTGCCATCTTTAGCTTTACCTGACGGTGTACATAATTGTAATCAAGGTAATAAATCAATTATATAATTAATAACAATTAATTTGTAAATTGATTGTATCCCAAGGGATGTAAAATGCCTATAGAAGTTATAAATTAATCAATTATTGTTCAGATACAATTTTCTTCTTACTTCCATCTCGAACAGACCCTGGAAAATGTGTATTCGGAATATCATGTTATCGTCAAATCGATGCCAATGTAAGAATACGAAATGCGATTTTCTTTCAAATTTTAATTTCAGGAATTGCTCTCAAAATCAGAGGATGTGACACGAACAAGTGTTCAGAAATGTGTATGTGTAATCTCTCGAATTCCCTTATTCGGAGCGCTGAAATCGAAATTAGAGGTTATAACACAAGCTTATTTCGAACAACGCGATTTTTCAAAGGTATTCCATTTGGTCGATCGTCTTTGATTTTTTTTTTCTAATTTTCAGATTGAAGTTTTATCTCAAATGTACACGAATCTTTGCGATATGTTCGACGAGAATATGTCTGATGACTACTATTCCAATATTGTTTCTCACGGTTTGAAAATACATTTTAATAAACTAATATGATTATTCAAAATTTTAGAGTTGTCCGTTCAAGAGCTATTTATTCGATTCCGCCATAGAGCCCTTCTTCTCTTCAAATTGTTTCTATTAGAGAGAAAAATCTTATTTCTTGCGCCATCTGGATTACGGTTAAGTGAAACAATGTTAGCAGTCATTTCATTATTCCCAAGTAATCCCATTCATTCGGTTTTCTAAAATTAACTGAGTATGGTTTTGAGAGATGCTCGAAGACGGTCTCTTTCATGCAACAATCGGATTGTATAAAACATCAGATAAAAAGCCGGAATCGCCTGCCATCAGCAAATCCAAAGAAAATGAGGAAATTGAAATTCAGGAAGACATTTCTGTAGAATATCTAAGAGACGATCCTATTAAAAAGAAGGATTCTTATGGATTTCCGTTGAGTATTTTTGCACAGGCTAGTTTTTTTTTTCTTTAAAAAAAATAGATGGATTGGGATTTAGGAAGCGTATTTTGATCCATATCTTCCAATTCAATTCATTGATTCGGTCAAACATGTTCGAAGCTGTGTTGTTGGTGCGACAAATGCCTTATATGGAACTAAAAAAGATGTCTTCGATGTGATTGTTAAGGTGAGTCGTTTTAAATCTTTTCGATTATCATGTTGCATTTTGCAGATAGAGGAAGACACGAATTTAGTTCACAATCACATTGTCATCGAAAATGAGAGCCTCGAACGGACTACTGCTCTAACAGCTGCTGACTTGAGATTTGCAGATTTTGTCATCAAAAAGGTTGAGGAACAGCGAAAATGTGCAACTGCTGGTAATTTTTTCAACTTTTTATTATTTTTTTTTTGTCGATTTCGTATGCCTGCGGAGAATTGGCTAACTGCCAAAAAAATGAAGGAGAGGTCCCTGGTGCGCCTTTAATATTTCCAAGACTTCTACTATAGTTTTTTTGGCATTTTTTCCAATTTTCCTCACCCGCGCGACGTCTATTTTTGTCTTATTAAATTGCTTTAACAAATATTAAAGAATTCGATGGAAGCGATGAATGGGTTCGCCTTCAAATGCGTACATATCTGTTAAGTCTCGCCGCAACTGCTCGCTCTAACTTACAAGCTTCAATTCCTCATTATGGTTTGACGTTTATTAACGAGTGGAAAAGAACGAGGTGAACGTTGTTTGAGATATCTTTTAAAAAGAACGCATATTATTCCAGGAATTACATTATTTGGATGTCACAGCCGCATGAAGATTTGTGCTCAGCTGCTCCAGGGTAATATTTCTGTTTTTGTAATTTCTCATTCTTGCTTATTTCGTTGTTAGGCACATGTTCTCGGAGCATCAGGGAGTTTATGACGTCTATCTTCGATTAGAACATGCTGTAAATGGAGTTGAAGGAGCTTCGAAGGTCATCGGAGCTGTTAACACAACAGGCAAGAATATTGGAAATTCGATTGGCGAAACAGGTAGCAAGGTGAAGGCGAAGTTCACCAATTGGTGGAACCGACGAGGTGTGCCGACGGCAGAGGAAGTTGAATCTGCTGAAATTGCTGAAGCCCAGGAAGCGAAGCCAGCCGAAAGAGAGTCCACCAAGTAGTTCAGTTCAGTAAAATTCAGGAATCAATTTGCAATTGATCTCCTTTGCACATTTTGTTTTTGTGATTTTGAAGGTCCGAAATTCTCTCCAACACCAAGGCATTTATTTATTGAAAAATTATTTTTATTGCATCCGGTTTTTTAAGCCAAATTGTCCTTTCTCAGTTTTTCTGTCTATATTAATAAAGTGTTTCCATGAACGTCATTATTGAATGTTTCAAGGTTATCAATTCTCCCCTAAAATTTATTTTTTTTATTGAAGCTACGGTACGCAAAACAAAAATCTGCAAATACCGCGTCGCATATTATCAGAATGATTGAAATTAAAATTAATTTCCCAATATTTTGAAGATCTCTTAGTTTTTCAATGGTTCTTAAATTTTTGTGATTAAAAAGTAACAAGTAATTTTTAAAATTGATTGTGAATTTGGTATGTCAATATTTTACTAGTTGTGTTCCGTAATAGCCGGTATTAATAAAAATAAAAAAGACAACTTTACACTGCTGTAGTGTGTCTAAAATTACATTAATTAATTGTGCATTATTTTACAATGCTGCATTCGAAAGATGTGTAATTTTTTAAATTTTTTAAAATTGCATGAATAGGTCCATAAGACACACAGTCAAACAATGATATATGATCAATGATCATCACCTATATTTATGCCCAGTAAACATGAAATCTCGAGTTCATTGAATCAGTGCCGGCTATTTTTTTGTTGGAAAATGTATCACAAGCATTTTCAAAAGTAATTCTTTCGATTGTCTTATCTAAAATGTTTACAATGAAGCATTCTTTGTATTACATCTTTATCTTTGTCTCATTTTGCATAGGTCATACTACATATTTTAATTTACGTCGCAAAGTATTTCATTAAAATGTTTCAATTTTCAAAAAGCAACAATTTAACATTGCTTACGATTTTTAAAGAACTCTAGCAACAAAAGAAAAAAACGAAATGTCTATCATTTTGATCAGATAACTTGTTTTTTTCGTCGTTCTCAAATAATTTTGTAATTACTCCAAAATTATAAACATGATAGAAACAAAATGTTTATTAATATTCTATCATTATAAGGACAAAGTCCGAAAGCTACATTGTTTCCGCTGATTTCGAGGTACTTTGACCTGTGTTATCTTCTCGATTCGCTGCGTCTCTTATCGCCAAGCGTCGTCCACAATCGTACCCAGTTTTTGTTCGTTTGCTATCCCAATACACACAAAACAACTCGCTCTAGTAGTAATTTATATTGATCTTTTAATCTTTTGTTTAAAATATGCGCAATTTTGAAAATCTTAAAAAAAAATGAAAATTTTCGCCAATTAATTGGAGCGTGTTCAAAAATAATCGAGTATATTATTTATATATAGTTCATTGCAATTTTTTTCCGTCTTCATTTTTGGTTTATTTCATTTGTATCCTTCATTTTTATGCTCCCTTTTATTTTTACAGAATGCGGATTAGCGGTGTGACACTCTTCCGCGTCTCGTCCCAATTAAGAAATGTGGTGAATGGTCAGTGGACAACAACACATTACACTGTAAAGGTGGGATACTGGTTTTATCGGTAAAAATTGAGAATTTTTAATGGAAAGATACATTGTGTGTGTTTTCGTAAATATAATGCATTTCATAAATGCTGAATTAAAATATCAAATATTGGAGACAAACAATTATAGGATCGCGCAACGGATCCTCGATGGAAAGACATTGACATGACTCGCGTTAGCGACGAGTACGACGTTGTGATTGTTGGTGGTGGACCATCCGGACTTTCTGCTGCTATCAAATTGCGACAACTTGCCGAAAAGGCGCAGAAAGGTTTATTGAGCTGTAGAACTTTGAATTTAGAAATTTATTCTAGAACTCCGGGTTTGCGTAATTGAGAAGGCGCCAGAAATTGGAGCTCACACCTTGTCCGGGGCTGTCATTGAGACTCGTGCTCTTGATGAGCTGTTCCCGGAATGGAAAGAAATGGGTGCACCTGTTCATCAGAAAGTCACCGTAAGTTGATTATATTTAAAATTGATATCACGCGCCGATTTATAGTCCGAATCGATTGCGATCCTAACGGAATCTGGCCGGATTCCAGTTCCAATTGTGCCCGGAGTCCCACTCGCCAATCACGGAAACTACATTGTGCGGTTGGGAAAAGTTGTCCAATGGCTCGGCGAGCAAGCTGAAGCTGCTGGTGTCGAGATATGGCCAGGAGTCGCAGCCGCAGAGGTAATTTTAGCCTACTGGCGGGATACCTTTATAGAACATTTCAGATCTTGTATAATGAAGATGGAAGTGTCAAGGGAATTGCAACCAACGACGTCGGAATTGCAAAGGACGGAAGTCCGAAGGAAGGATTCGAGCGCGGAATGGAGCTTCATGCGAAATGCACTGTTTTTGCCGAAGGTTGTCGCGGGCATTTGAGTAAGCAGATAATGGACAAGTTCGACCTTCGCACTCATCCAATGACGTATGGCATTGGACTCAAAGAGCTCTGGGAGATTGATCCAGCCAAACATCGTCCCGGATATATTGAGCATACGATGGGATGGCCTTTGGAGAAGCACCAATATGGTGGATCGTTCCTTTACCATATCGAAGATGAAGGACTTCCGCTTGTCTCAGTTGGATTCGTCGTCGCATTGGACTATGCGAACCCTCACACCAATCCATATAAGGAGTTCCAGAAATATAAGACTCATCCGTCGATTGCCCAACAATTGGAAGGCGGTAAACGGATTGGATATGGAGCTCGTGCTTTGAATGAAGGAGGAATTCAAAGTGTTCCAAAATTGCATTTCCCTGGTTTCAATTGTTCATTATTCCCGTCAATAAATAAGCATTTTTTCAGGTGGATGCATTGTTGGTTGCTCTGCGGGCTTATTGAACGTCGCTAAACTCAAGGGAACTCATAATGCGATGAAGAGTGGAATGGTTGCAGCGGAAGCAATTTTCGATGAAATTTCCAGCAAAGAAGATGTCAAATGTAAGAATTTTCGTGTCCGGCGGCCGAAGGTCTTTTGAGAAAGCCGAAATTCTCAAATTAAATCAGAAATAGCTTCAATATCGAAAACATTCGTTTCAAGTAAATGTTTTTGTCAAAGATTTTTTATTCCGCCTAGGCCCAGCTAGGCTTCATACCAACAAGCCTGGAATTTTATATGAAAGCATCCCAACTCTGTAGATTTATAAAAAGGCGTTGATTTGTTTAGCTTTTCCCAATTTTGCTAAAAAGCGTTCAATTTTCAAAGTATCAAACATTTGTATATTCACCTGCTTGTTGAAAATTATTTTTTGTGAATTTGCAAAAACTTTTTAATTGCCTAAACAGCCTATATTATCGATACTCAACACTCTTCAAAAATTGAACATTGTGGCATATCTTGAGTATTTCAGCCGTCGATCCAGCTGCTTACGATGAGAAACTCAAAGACACTTATGTCATCAAGGAGCTTAAATCGATGCGCAATATCCGGCCATCATTCAACACGTCGTTGGGATTCTGGGGTGGATTGATGTATTCTGGATTGTTTTATGTTCTTGGAAGAGGATTGGAGCCATGGACATTGTCGCATGGGAAGAAGGACAATGAGAAATTGGAGCCAATAAAGGATGCCAAGGTTTTTTTTTTAAAACTTGTTTTCCAATTTCTCTCAAATATGTAAGTTTTTAGCCAATTGAATATCCCAAACCAGACGGAAAATTGACATTTGATCTATTGACGTCGGTTTCTCTTACTGGTACAAATCACACTGAAGATCAGCCAGCACATCTTACTTTAAAGGATGATAAGATACCAATTGAAGTCAACCTTGAGAAATATGGAGGTCCTGAAGCGAAATTCTGCCCGGCTGGTTAGTTTGTTTTTCTTCAATTTTCCATGTGTTGTTTCATGCTCATTTCTTTCAGGAGTCTACGAGTTTGTTCCATCGGAAGCTGACGAATCGAAATTGAGACTTCAAATCAACGCGCAGAACTGCATTCATTGCAAGACTTGCGATATCAAGGATCCTCTCCAGAATATCAATTGGGTTGTTCCTGAAGGTGGCGGTGGTCCGAAATACCAAGGAATGTAAACTAAGAGATTGAATAAATTATTATGCCTAATTAATAGCATGTAAATGTCACTAGCGAGGTTTTATCTTTTATGTATATTTTGCAACAATAAAATACATGTATTGCGATCCCAATTATTATTTTTTTGTTGTTAAAAAAGCTAAACATCTTGCGTAACCTACACGCGCATTTTTGGAAATTCGGCGTGCAGAATTTCAATTGATAAGATTGGTAGTTCGTATAGTGTTGATAACGATGATAGTGCTGAAAAATGGGGTTTATTGATCCGTTTTTTATTGTCGCCATTGAAATTGTTTTGTGTGATTAGCTGCTAAAGTGCAAATTTTAGGGTTAAAATGTTCTCGCGGGTAGCAGTGCAACAAACGAAACGATTGCTCGGCCAGGTAACTATTCTTAAAAAAAAATATTTTTTTATTATTTTAAAATTAAAACAAGGAAATCACATACAAATTTCAATTAGTTGATTTCCGCGTGGAGTACACGCGATCTACTCAAGGCGCAATGGAGCACACTTACCAGATTCTAAATTTTATTTTAAAAAGGCGCAAATCCAAAATTGTTATCTTATTGTTTAAATACGCAGGTCTCATTGCAATTGTTTTCGGCAATATGATATCAAATAGATAATAAGTATAAAAAACGTTCATTTCAATTTATTTTATCATATTTTATTCGATTTTCAATCGGTTTGCTGCAAGACCTGAGTACAGTCACGTAGATATAAGATTATCCTAATGATCATTAGTTAAACTGTGATTCCAATGGAATTTTTTCGAAGGCGGCACGCTTATCTGTCTACTGCTTGCTTGTCTCATATCGATAATATCTTTTGCCGAAATGTTGCGCTCCACCTCATGTCCAAAGAATCCGCGAAAAGTGGGTCGCTATCTGTGACGAAGATCATTGCGACTTCCTTCTCGAGCGCGCAATCTCGCTTTTATAATCGTTCTCTGCATATATTTATTGAAAAATGCATTGTTTCAGCTGAGTATGGCCACTCGAGAAGTTCACACTCCATTGGTTCCAGTTCAACGATTCCAGTACAAAAATAATGAGAATATTCTCAAAGATCATGTGGAAAAAATCGATCCTGAAGTTTTTGAAATCATGAAAAATGCAAGTGTTCATTTCTATGATTTTTCTGAAAGTTGCGTCAAATTTAGGAAAAAGCTCGTCAACGCCGTGGATTAGAGCTTATTGCTTCGGAAAACTTCACCAGCAAGGCTGTCATGGATGCTCTTGGGTCATCAATGTGTAACAAGTACAGTGAAGGATATCCGGGTGCGAGGTAACAACATAATTTTTTAAAATTAATTTTTGGCATTTCATTTTGTAGATATTACGGTGGAAACGAATTCATCGACCAAATGGAGATCTTGTGCCAGAAGAGAGCATTGGAAGTTCGTTTTTTAGAGATTAGAATTTAAAAATCCAAAAATGTTCTTTATAATTACGTCATTCAATATTTGAAAACCAGTATTTCTTATCCGTGATCGTTTTTTGAACACCAACAAATTCTAAATATTGTAGTTAAAAAGAACACAATGTGATCTTCATGTAATATTCGTAGTTGAGCAAAGTTTTAGGTATTCGGGCTTGATCCAGCCAAATGGGGTGTCAACGTTCAATCGTTGTCTGGATCACCAGCTAATTTTGCGGTCTATACCGCAATTGTTGGGCCAAACAACAGAATCATGGGTTTGGATCTTCCAGATGGCGGACATTTGTCGCATGGGTACAAAAAAAAGACCCAATAGTTTTCCAATGACTGTTTTCCAGATTCTGCACCCCTGCTCGTAAAGTGTCGGCAACATCGGAATTCTTCCAGTCAATGCCATACAAGGTTGATCCTAAAACTGGATTGATCGATTATGAAGCTCTCGAGCAAAATGTGATGCTCTTCCGTCCAAAGGTTCTCGTTGCCGGTGTCTCGTGCTACGCTCGTCATTTGGATTATGAGCGATTCTGGAAGATTGCCAAGAAGTCAGGAGCTTATCTCATGGCTGATATGGCTCATATTTCTGGCCTTGTTGCCGCTGGATTGATCCCATCGCCATTCGAGTATGCCGATGTTGTCACAACCACAACTCACAAATCGCTTAGGGGACCACGTGGAGCATTGATCTTTTACAGGAAGGGTGAGATTAGTCGAAGAAGCTTTTCCGTTCAACCATCGTTTTAGGAGTCCGTTCTGTTAACGCGAAAGGTGTTGAGACCCTTTATGACCTTGAGGACAAGATCAATGCTGCTGTGTTCCCTGGACTTCAGGGAGGACCGCACAACCACACAATTTCGGGTACAGCTCGATATATTGAAAAAAAAAAGAGTTTAAGTATGATATTCTAGGAATTGCCGTTGCTCTTAAGCAATGCCTTAGCGAAGACTTTGTTGCCTATGGCGAGCAGATTCTGAAAAACGCGAAAACTCTCGCTGATCGCCTTAAATCTCATGGATACGAAATTGCTACCGGTTTCGTTTATTTGGATGATACGTTAAAAAAAACGAATAACTTTAGGAGGAACTGACAACCATTTGCTACTCGTTGACTTACGACCAACCGGAGTCGAAGGAGCCCGTGCTGAACATGCTCTTGACATGGCTCACATTGCGTGCAACAAGGTTAAAAAAAATTCATGACGTCCCCCAATTAAAACGAATGGTTTTTAGAACACTTGTCCAGGCGATGTGTCGGCTCTTCGTCCAGGAGGAATTCGCCTTGGAGCACCAGCTCTAACTTCTCGTGGATTCAAGGAGCAAGATTTTGAGAGTGTCGGAGACTTCATTCACGAGGTCATCACCATCTTGAGGAAATACAATTCGCAGGCCGGAAAAACTATCAAGGAGTTTAAGGAATTCACCGCGACGAACGCTGAATTCAAAGCGGAGATCGAACAAATCGCCAAGAGGGTCGAAGAATTCTCAAGCAAATTTGACATTCCAGGAAATGTGTTGTTCTAAAATAGACATTTTATTACATTTTTATTCGAACACATTTTGATACTTGAATAAAAGGGGTACGGTTTCATCTATAAATAATATGTATAGATGGATTTCATCTCGTTGTTGCAACAATAAATTAAATTCTTTTCAGAGTAGAACTTTTTTAGAATAATTCCTCGAAGACCCCAAAGGATTATCGAAATAGGTCAACGATTGATGATTCAAATCCCTTTTCATTCTCGATGTTCCAGATGTTTACGAAATCTGAAAATATCCATTTACGTATAAAAGTGCTAATATGTGACTTCTGATTGGTTTGCAATGTGCTCAATGGTTCATGGTCTATTCTCTGAAAAAAAGTACATTCTATTTAATCTGTCCAATTTCTTGAAAATTCTGCTTTTAAATATTCTATAATTTTCTTGAATTTTCGTCGAATACATGAAAAATATTATAAATATTTGATTTCACATTTGAAATTCAAGTTTTCACGTAAAAATTGGCGGAGTTCGCAAAGTTGGTCTTCTTCATAAAAAATCATCATTTCCATTATCACGAAATAATTTTAACCCACTGCGTATTTTCCTTTTATTATATTTCATTTGGATTTTTTAAACAATTCTTTTGAGTATGAATTTTGAGAACATCTTAAAGCCCGAAGAAAAAAAAACATTTCCGGAAACCAGGCAATCTTTCTTACATTATTTTCACAAGATTAGCGGCTTATAGGTTTCGCGAATTCGATGAACTTCACTGTTATTGTGCATAGATTATTAGATACATTAACAAATTTTTGTTGTTTCGCTAGTTTAACAAAAAAAACGATTTCTGGAAAATGTTATTTACACTTCGAAATTAAGTAGCAAAATCAAAAGCTGAAGACGGCAACTCTCCGGAAATTGTGCCAAAGAAATGGGCGGTGCTTTAGTTGCTCGAAAGAAATGCCTCGTTGCGAGACCCAATTAATAAAAGATTTTCTCTCATCTTTATTATACTTTACGTCGACATCATTTTTTTTTTGTTGCGTATGTCGAGAATCTAATCACGTTACTCTATTTTTGGCATTTTCTTCTTAACTTTTCCCCGCACCTCCCTTCCGTTTTCGCTTATTCATTTTTTGTTTCCCACGAAAATTGATTTGCTTACGCTTCGAATATTTCACTATTTTTATCATTTTTTTTCAGATTTCATGACCGACGACTATTACGAATTACTCTCACCTACAATACAAGCGATTACTATAGCAATTTGTATTATCGGACTATTCGGAAATGTGAATCTGATAATTGCAACATGTCGGAAGAAATCTCTGAGGACAAAAATGGGTGAGCACATATTTACTTTCATATTTGCTCAGAATTTTTAATCAGCATTTCATTTAATAGATTTTCGTTTTCAATTTTGCAATCTCTGAATGTTGAGCAGCTGCAAAATTCTCTTCAAATTTCATGACCACTTTTTTTGAAATAACTGTCACAGAATGAGTATTTCAAATTCTTAGAAGACTTTATACAAAAAAATCAATTTTAGGATGCCTTTTGATGATTTCCACGTTCGCTCATACAATATGCCTAATATCGGAACTTGTTTGCGCAAAACTCAAATTAAGGTGACCCTAATTCGAAATTACTGTCGTATTTTCTAATTTCAGATTCACACGAACCCATCGCGACGAATGTTTCCGATCAGTTATCGTTTACATGTTTGCAGTGTTATTCCAATCCGTGCTCTTCACAATGATGTCAATCGATCTGCTCCTTGCCGTTTTTATGCCGATCAGGTAAATTCAAATCGACCGATTTTTATTTTTTTTTCCCATTTTCGTTTTGTTTTTTTTTCGAAATGTAATGCTGAATTGTTCAAGACTTGACTGCAGGCACAAATTATGGCGTCGTGGTCCGTACCTTCTAATAATGTGCACACCTCCGTTAGCATTTTCAATATTCGCGCTGTTCATCGATGAGCTCTATATTAATCATGATGATCTTCTAATATGCACAGTTACTCTTGGTAAATGTGTAATTTATTTAACAAATCAATTTTAATTGTTTTAGCCGTGCCACCACGAGTCAGATTTTGGGGCACGTTGATCACGGTGTTCACAATTATAGTCTCCGTTATCATAGTGTTCATAACTGCTTGTAAACTACATTGCAATGGTAAGGCTATTGCCATTCTGCTCAAATTAGACTCATTTTATAGCAACAATAATTAGCAAGATTATTTCAGAGCGTCAGTCTCAACGACGAATACTTCGTCATTCGAGCAGTGTGACTAGCAATATAAAGTGTAGCGACGCGAAACTTCTCCGTTCCTTAATAACTATGATGTTCGTATTCGTCTGCTCTTGGTGCACCTCGGTTCTACTCTCTCATATCTCTCTATACTTCAGCAAGGATGTCGCCTACGAAATCCAGAAATACAATGTAATACATTCTTTATTTTTAATGAAAAATAGTTTTCAAATATGCTATATTTCAGATCCTCTTATCGCTTCCAACATTCTGCCAAAATTATTTTGTCACCGGACTACGGTCACCAAAGTATTTCAAAGCGTACGCCGAGCAGACTCCATACATTACTGGTCTCGTGAAACGGGTTGAAAGGATCTCGTCTGATAAATCTGCTGTCTACGTTTAAATGACCAAATTATTTCCTGATATACAGGGTGTCATTTAAGTTCCCGCACAACTTTGAAGACGTATATTTCTGAAACTAAAAGTCCAAATCAAACGAGACTCGAAATATTTTTTATCTATAGTACAACAAATAATTATCTATTAACTCTTTTCGATTCGGCCTCTTTTCGCAGCTATGACTTCGCGGAGACGCTTCGGGTAGGATGTGACTGTGGTACGCAGGTATTCGATGGAAAGATTGTCCCATTCCGCCAGTAATGTCTTCTTCAGAGCCTCTACACTTGAGTGGGGTTTTGCGTTGACCTTCTCCTGCAAGACCCCATCACGGAGAAGTCAAGCGGGTTCAGGTCTGGGGAGCAAGCAGGCCATTCGGATGACTTGATGAAGTCGGGAAAATGGGTCTGGCACCACTCCTGAGTAGTTTTGGCAGTGTGGGCGGGTGCTCCGTCCTGTTGAAAGACCCATATCTTCCCACCGAAATGCGTTTGGGCCCAGGGCATCATATGCTTCCCCAAAATGTCCCGAACGTAGACTTCTTTGTTCACTTTCACCACCTGATCCACGAAAACCAGGGGCACTTCCCGGTTGAGCAGATGGCACCGAAAACAATCACACTGGCAGGATGTGAGGCTGGATAAATTGTTATTCCTTTCTCTGAAGCTTGCTGGGATGTCTGGGCAAGTACTCAATGGTTTTGTGAGTTGAATGCCGCCTCCACAGTGAACAGCTTCTCGTCGGAGAAGACAGTGGCGAGGTGTTCTCCAGACCGCGTGCGAGCAAAAAGTTGTTTTGCTTTTTCGAAGCGTCTCTGCTTGTTGACGGCCGATAGAATTGCCACTTTTTGGACACGATATGGGGTCAGTACAAGCTTTGTTTTGACGATTTGTTCCATAGCGAAGATGCTCATTCCCATGTCTGACGCCATCTTTCTTATGCTCCTGTGCGGTTTTCGCCTGATCCTCGTTTTGACGGCGTTGATCTTCTGAGGAGTGGTTACTGAGACGAGTCTTCCTTGTCTGGGAAGGTCACTGGTCGTATTTAGCTCCTTGAAACGTTTGTTGGTGTCTTAAACCGTTCTACGAGGCACACCGAGGCGTTGAATGATCTCTGTCGGGCGCTCATTTCGCTTATGAAGTTCGATAATGGAAGCGCGATGAATGTTAGCCTTCGCCATTTCTCGGAAACACATCCGAATGAAGTGAAACTTGAAAAGTAAGTAAAATACACCTTATTTAACAAAAATAAATTGTATTGGTGCACGAAAAGTGCGACAGCCAAGCTTTTCATGGCGTCTAACTTTTGTGCGGGAACTTAAATGACACCCTGTACGGCCATCAAAATTTGAAACCCGGTACTTTTTCTGCTTTAATGAGGCATTGTGATGTTTTCCGTTCAAAATAAAGTATGTACATATTGTTCTTTGTGTTTCAGCGAATAGCGAAATATGAAAAAAAAACAGTTTTAAAATTACCCCTAATTGGTGGTAAAAAACGCGTCATATCTCATTGTAAATACCGAGTTTTGCCATCACCAAATAAAATCTCGTTGTGGAAAGCGGACTAATATGTGATAAGGCGTCCTTTTTTTTTAACCAAATCTCTTTTTCAGGCTTCTCGGTCTTTGCAATAATCATGGCTATGTTTTTATGCTATAAGCAGCTGAAAAAAAAACAAATCGAATTCCACAAGATCAACAAGTGATTCCTGCGAGGTTTGCGAACTGAAAAGTCCTCCATAATCCTCAATTTTGAATTCTTCAGAATCACATAACATCTCGCCATTGTCAGCCAGTTTTTACGGTGTATTAGAAACCACCCCGACTTTTAACCCCTGCTATTCCACCCCGACTTTTATTTATGATACCACCCCCACTTTTCACTACCAATTTTTAGGTTTCACCCCCACTTTTTCACTGCACTCTAAAATTTGCAATTTCTAACAATAATGTTTAGCAGTAAAATTTTTAAAATTTTTTTAAAATTTGCAATAATTCAAGTTATCAAGAGGAGATTCGCAGGACTGATGTCTAAATTAGATTTTTCAGAAACTATGTAGTGTTCTTATGAAAGGCTATAAATTTTAACAAGTAATGAACTATTCTTGGAAAACACGGTTCAGAAAGATTTCGTATTTCATAAGATTTTCGTATTTTCCATACTTGCAAATTTCCGGGTCGACCCGGGTCGGGGCGGGTCAGTAAAAAAATTCGCGACCCGCCCCCGCCCCGCCGACCCGCAACGACACTCCAAGTTTACAGCGAGGCCCTTGTTTAGCGAAAAAAAAATTTCGAATTACATTATTTGAGTAGAATTAATTATTCTCGCAACAAAAATTGTTCAGAAGTCCTCAAACAAAATTGATTGAACCAGCTTTCACTGTTTTTGTTTCGTTTTCGATTTTTTAAAATAAACTTTTCTTCAAAAAATCTATTAGCGGGTCGGGGCGGGTCGGTAGAATTTTCACTCTGACCCGCCCCGCCCCGTTGCAAGTATGGTATTTTCCAACAATTGTCAATATTTCGAGTGTCCAATTGTGCATTTTGATATCAAGCTTCTTTGCAAGCCTATAGTTTCTGAAAAATCTAATTTAGACATCAATTTTGCCAATTTCCTCTTGATAACTTGAATTATTGAAAATTAAAATATTTTTCTGTTAAAAATTATTGTTTGAAACTGCAAATTTTGAAGTGCAGTGAAAAAGTAGAAGTGAAATCTAAAAATTGGGGGTGAAAAGTCGGGGTGGTTTCTAATAGACCAGTTTTTACTGGTTCAGTACTGCTCGCAGACAACTTGCCCGCTTTAGCGTAGTTCAAACAACGTTCCCATTTTTCATGCATCACTTTCCATTTGGGTAAAAAATTGAAAAAAAAAACTGTCCATTAAACATTCGTTGAAAAAAAAAGACATATTGTTGAAAAATGACAAATGTATCCAGGTGTCGTAGGATCCTGCGTTTTGTACGCAATGCTAAGAGACAGTTACCGTAATCCTCGCAGCGATTTACGGGGACATTTTTTTTAATTTCGCATATTCATTTTTTTTTATTTTTCGTTCAATTTTTAAATTTTCTTTCGAAATTTTTTAATTTAAATTTTTAAATTTTACAGAAACCGAGTTTAATAATGTATTTAGCAGAATAAGCACTTTTAAACGATATTTTTTTGGTAAGAACAGCAGAGATTAAAAAGAAATAATTTTTGTCGTTAATAAAATTATTTAATCGTGTTTTGCTTTTTGTATGCGTTTCTATTATCTTGTTTTTGTATTCTTCATTTTCAAAATAATTTTTAGAGCGTCAAAATCTTCACAATAATTCCCAACGCAACTAGACAAATGGAAAAGTGCATATTCTGAAAAATAAATAATTAAACTCGGTTTCTACAGGTTTTAAATATAAGATTTCTAAAGAAAATTAGAAAATTCAGCAAAAAAAAATTGAAAGAAAATTTTTAAAAAAATCTCCGTAAATCGCTGCGAGGATTACGGTAACTGTCTCTTAGCATTGCGTACAAAACGTAGGATCCTACGACACCTGGATACATTTGTCATTTCTCAACAATACGTGAATAATTTGTGAAAAAATTTTGAATGCATTATTAGCAGCACTGCTAGCATCACAAAAGCAACAACCAATAGAAGCTTGCTGGCGATCGAGACAATATTAAGGATCATGCGCGTCGTTTCTGAACACCTTGAACCATTCATTCAAAATTTTTCTGGGTGATGCTGGAAAAATAGTCAAACTAGAACGAGAGGAAGCTTGAAAAAGTGTAAATTCCAAACAATTGCCACCCGCAAATGTTAACTTCTTTCTGTGAGAAAAAAAAGAAAAATATTTTTGTTAGGCGAAATATTTTAGGTTCGAGAGACAATTATTCGAAATTAAACATTTCACATCTTTCTTAAAAATGAAAAAAGTTGAAAATTGATCTAGTAATGGCTACTGTTAGATGTTAGTATTGCTCCAAAAAATCGGATACGGCAAGGGATAAAAAATAAATGAGCAGAAGCTAATTAAAATTGAAGCCGAAAATCTTTCAAATCGACGACATATTATGTATAAACATGTTTTTGAAAAAAAAAAGAAATGCTTTTATACATATTAACATGAATATAAAACAATTCTGATAGATTCGAACCGAATTTCTTCAAATTCGTTTTTTTAAATTGACTAATACCGCGGTGATATTTAAGTCTCCTGATTCAAATTGAGCATCATCCCGAAACGAAATCGACCACGTGGGAAGAAAGAAAGAAATGAGTGCATAGCCCCAATAGCCCGTTTTAGTGGTAATGACTATTTCAAAATTAGAATGGTGATTACCAACTGAAACAGGCGATTGGAGCAAGCAACAAATCCGCCACGTAGAATCCAAGGCTGTCTTTCTTATAAATCTGTATCACAAATTCTGATAAAACTGAAAATTAAAAAGTTTATTGAAGATATTCCTAAATTGTCCAGTTTAACACGGATACATTTATGAGTTAACTAAGTATTAAACGCAAGCTAAAGCTTATACGAATAATATGATAAACACGATGCACACACATAAATCAGTGATGAGTATATATATATATATATTTTTTTTAGCATATTAGAAAAAATTCTAATATATCATACACAAAAAATGTTTCGTTCAAATTTTTAGTCGAAATTGCGAGGCCGACAATAAATATGTATTTTTTTAATGCTGAATTGTGAAAAATGCGCATTAAATGTATTTTCTGTAAAAATATATCTCATGAATAGGATAAATATTAGTAATAACTTCTTTTTTGTTTGCTTTAGTAATATTATTACTAAAGCAAACAAAAAAGAAGCGCCTTGCATAATTGTGGACCATCGCACTCCTTCGAGGCGGCAATTCAAATTCAAATTTAAGCGATGGGAATTTGGGTACCGTACTCTGGATAACCTGCGAAGCAAACTCACCGCTGGGTGCTCGCTTTTTTGTTGCGAATGTATATATAACAATATAATCGCGAATAATCTTTTTTCGTGGACTATTTTTCCGCGGTCATGAAAGTTGTAGACCGGTCGGCCGCAAATTGTGCCATTTTTAAAAATACTTTTAAAGTACACTGGTCGCAGAGATTTGGAATATTTAACGAAGAATGATATTTAGAGCGAGAAAATTTTCAAAAAAATATGACTGTAGATGTTTAAAGGAACATGTGGTATATTTACGTGGGAAAATATTAACTAGATAACTTTTGTTTTAATTTTTGAAGATTTATTTATCGACTCTGAAGTTATGTGTACTTCAACAATTAAACGGAACTATTCTCCTAAAGAGGTCGATCGGCAAATTGAACAATGTTTAACAATTTTCATTAAATTTTAGTAATGTTTTTATTAATAAACTATTGTCGGAGTCAAACGACTTGACGAAGTTTAAAAAATTATTGGCTATGTGCCAATGCGTATCGAGGCAGCGAAACTGCGTACATTGCATTGTAGTGTATGTGCATTTAATATTCAGTCAACGATTAATTTAAATCTGCATTGATTTCGCGAATTTGAAGACGCTGCCTCCATTCAGGCGTTTTTTGACGCCAACAATGCTCACATGACAATGCAATTATACATATTGTATTTCAGAAAAGTCAATCGCTCGAATATTAGGAAATGCTTTCACCATTTCGGGAACCTTCAACGGATGCGCAGTTATCACATAATTATATTTCTGAAATCCCCTAATTAAAACGATTAAATTGTCAATTATACCTCGAATAATTTTAAAACTTTCGGTCCACCAATTCTAAGAACTTCTTCAACCGAAGTATTCCAAATGTTTTCGCACAATGTTCTTCAATTAATCAATCATTTGTCACGAATTTTATCAAAATAATTACTTGGTGAAATTGGGCGGCACTTTTCTCAAACTATTGAGAATACTATTCCTCCCAGCTTCAACAATATTCTCTTCTTTCTCCAGTAGCTTGTATATCAATGATCTTTTTGCTCCTTCAAATCCCGATTGTTTCAGTGCACCACTGTTTATTAAATTCATCTGAATTCAGTATTCTTGCATGATTCAAATGTTGGCAATTGATTACCACAGTGTATTTTGTTCTCTCATAAGCCATTATTGGTTGTGCACATCTGTATAACACAAGGAAAATTCGTTTGTCATCAGGGAATACATTGATTTTTATAGAGTAAGCTAGTCCATCTCCACGAACTGCATTCCAAAGTGGTCCTATTTAAAATTTTGATTATTTTATTGTCAGTCAAACGACTAGACGAAATTTAAAAAATTACTGGCTATGTGCCAATGTGTTTCGAGACAGCGAGATGATTGCGTACATTGCATTATATTGTACGCGCATTTAATATTCAGTCAATGATTAATTTAAATCTACAATAATTTCGCGAATTTGAAAGCCCCGCATCCTTTCAGTCGTTTGACCCTGACAAAATACTACAATATTTGTACCTTCAAATTGACTCATGTACTGCGCAAGGATCATTATTGGCGCGATGTCCTCAGAATTAAAATCGGAATCAATCGTTGTTGATTGAATAATAAACGAGGTTTCCGATCCGCCGATTCCGATGAGATATCCGCTTCCAGTGGTGGATTTGTTATCCTCGCCAGGTGAACACGAGAACTTCTCGCCTATTCCGAATCGGAAATCCTTTTGATACCATTGCCACAGATCTAATGTCATCAGCTTCTCGTCAATCAAATCTACATCGCAGACAATATGAACGTTCAATCCTTTGGTGAAAAGTGCTTGTCGAAGCTCAAAAAATTGATTGAGTAGAAATTAATCGCATTAACTTACATCTTCGAGCTTCTGAATTACTATTTTCGGATTTTCCACAGCTTCTTTTGCTATATTCTCATAACAATGTTCTAATAGCATGCAATTATAAAGGCTAGAATTCGAATCTGAATCTCGTACGTTTAATCCAAAAATTTGAAAAATTCTCCGACTTTTCTCGAAATTGAGATATTTCAACGCGAATTGCGCCACCGCACTTCCATCTCTTTTTTTATTTTTCGCCATTGATGCTTGACGTTGAGCCACCATGTTAACCCGACTGCCATCGATAATGACGCCCTAAAATATTGAATTCTTGCGTGATCTTTTTCGTTAAATACCTGAAGAAAGATTTGAACCCATTTTGATAAATTTTCAAAATTTTCAGTTTCGACTTTTAGCGTCAAACTAACGAATCGGTTGTACTGATTCGAGACGCCGACGTTGACCGAATGATCAATCAAATGTTTTGTTGAGAGTTTTGCGACGTCTTCCGCTGATTGCTGGATTCCGTCGATTACGGCGGGAGATTGAAACAGAAGATCGGTGAAAAGAAGAAGAAGACATCTTTGTTCAAGGCTGAGGTCTCCAGAATCCAGGAGAAATATTGCCTAATTTAGAAAATTGGTCTGATGATTAATATACGACAAAAACTTCAACGAATTTCGTTGGGCAATTGTGAAGTGTAGCATCGAATGGGAATTGCGACAAGAATTTGGCTTGAATTGATGTCAAACCGGCCGAATCTTTGGTCAGCGATTGAACAGGAAATCGATCGAAATCCTCCAAATCCTTCACCATCAGCTTATCAAGGAGCTCGTGCGTCGGATGTTGCGACTAAATAATTTCAGATTTGCTATTTTAAGCCTAAGCCCATTTACCGCATTCTCCTTTATCGCTTCGTCGAGTTCGTTTTTCTTCTTTAGCAATCCGCTCTCTCCGAGTCGTTCTCGTTGATTAATAATTCGTTTTCGTTCTTCCTCTGCTACCTAAATCGAACAATTTGAATTGAAAATTTTTTTGATGAAATTCGAAACCTTTGTCACAAGCTCGCCATCAGGAATTGCCACTACACACACTGATGGCTTTAATAAGTATTTTCGGAGAAGCTCAATCCAAAAGGCGGCTGGTTGTGATTTCAATGATCGTAAGTAATCGATCTATAATTACAGCTAATTGACTGACGAATTCGCCAAACCTCTAATAATCTCATTTTAAGCAATTCTTCGTCGTTGTCCGATATTTGATTTCGAATCACCTTCTCCATTATAATATTTTGTGGACTCGTTTCCAACTTATTTTTCAATTCTAGAATGTTCTGATCAATCAGAAATCCCATTCGCTCCATGTCCCACGTCGATGCCTCCAAATGGTTGGGAATCGTCTCATTTTTAATTTTTGACAAAATCTCGTCAACCTTGCTGACTGGAACCCCACAAAACTGTAAACTAACTTCACAAGGAACCTGAAATTTTCGAGAAGTTTTGCGTACAGAAAAAGAGTTTTACCGAGTTGACGGTGCACATTAAAACGCTACTGGCCAACGGGCTTTCTAAAAACACAAAATCCTTTTTGAATACCGAAACCGCGGTCTTTGTGAAATAATCAGAAAGCACGTTGAATGCGGTCTCGTGGTGTAGATCACTGGAATCATGAGCAAGCCTAAAAATTGGAAATCCAATTTAATAACTGAAAAAGGAATTAAATGCCATGTTAATTCAACAGCTCCATTTGTAATATCGTCTGATGGATATCTGATCACTTCAACAATACTTTCCTTGATTTCGCAGGGTTGAATCGAGAATGGACGAGGGAATACTTCTGGAACTGATGCCATATGCTCCTGAAAACAATAATCCACTCGATTGGATGATTCATTTCGGTTTCCAACCTGTTCGACGTCTTCCATGATTTGCAACAATTTCGAATGATCTACTTTTCCGCATACAGTAACCACCATGTTCGACAAATGGTAATATTTTTTGTGGTAGGCGCGCACTTTTTCAATTGTGCACGATTCTCGCAGATTCTTCAATCGACCACCAGTGTCGACGGCGTACGGATGACCACAAGGATAGATCATTTGTTTGGCCTTTCGCACTATAATCTCCTGCATGTCGGACTCGGCTCCTTGCATTTCCGAATAAACGACGCCCGCGTCGTTTCCTTCGCCATCAATATGGTGGACTTCGGTGGTGAATTGAGATTCCTAAACAGCTAGCAATATATTTTTTATTGATTTCTAGTTCAACCGTAAGCATTGGATTAAGCAAATGCTCGATGTAAATTGGCAGAACTTTGAAAAATCCGTTGCTTCCAACCTAGAATATGCATTATTTCGAAAAGTCTAATCCCTTGCCTGTCATTTTACCGTTGTCAGTGTAAAAGCGGTGTGATCGCGTTCCGTCCACGCATTCGTTCCGTTCGCCAAACACTGATTCGCAATAATATCCAAAATACCCTTAAATGGATACTTTTTGCTTCCCATGAACACCAAATGCTCCAATGTGTGCGGAAGACCGTCGTCACTATCAGCCTCAGTAGCTGGAAATAATAATTGACGGATTATTATATGAATATCGAACCGAATGAAATGCAACCATACACCATTGGTCCGGGAACATTGCCAATCACAACACGAAGATTTGTTCTTGTCGAACAATAGATTTTGACGTCGATGAGACGATTTAAAGTCGCGTCGATCTCATTCCAATGCTTCATTCTAAAGATATGTCATATGCGAAACAATATAATTTGCTGAGCAATGCAAGAAGTGGAAAGTAAACATTTGAAAGTGTTTTCGGAGAAAATAGCGCTCATTTTTGATGTTATTTCTGAAAATATTGATCGCAAAACGGTCATGAATGACTCAATAAAAATTTGAAGATTCTTTTTATCGCATGTCGACGCTATTTCAAATTTAAACTCATAATTTTTTAATTTTAAACATCTTTCTTCGGTTGCCGAAAAGCAAAATCAACGGATTTTGCAAGAAACCATGTAATTGTGAGCTATCAATCTTATTTAATGGTGATCCTTTAAAAGGGAATATGATGAATTTCAAATCAAAAGGAACAATCTACATATTATAATTCATAGCGCAGGTCGTTATAGTCGGGAATCACTCCGAATTGCAATGTAATGCCCGTAAACATCAACCCGGAACCTCGTTCTATCTCTCTCTTTCATTGTGTGAAGGTCATTGCAATAAAATAGCGTGCACTTTTATGATATTCAAAAATAAATAAAAATGTAAAAGGGGAATTCAACAAACAATCCAACGAACAAACAATGATGGTTCCTAAAACAGTAGAATTCAATTAGATAGAGCTGGAATCTGAAGGGCGCTCATGTTGATCGTCTCGATTTCAGGGAACGATTCTTTCATTTCCTTAACCTTCGATGGATGAACGGCGATGGAGCGAACAAAGCTCTGCTTCTAGAAAATTTTCAATTAAACATCTTTAAAGATTGATTAATAATGCCTCGAATAAGCGAGCAATACGCTCTCCTCCAAGTCGAACCATCTCTTCCGATGACATCTCCCAAATACGTTGGCACAAATCACTAAATCACATTATATTGGAATTTTGATGTATAATTCATCAATCTTACACATTGAATGGATATGGTGTATTGCGGAAAGTGCTGAGAATGCTCAACTTGCCAGCACTCGCTACCGTACTTTCTCTTTTCATCATTTCAAAAACGAGCGACCGTTTGGCTCCTTCGAACTCAGTTTCCGACACATTTCCATTCTTCACAATATCCATCTGAAATATACCAAAGATTTCAAAAATATCTTCATTTCGTCTTAATTAAGTACCACAATCTCCTTTGTCTTTTCATATGCCAACGATGGTTTCGCACACCGGTACAATGAGAGAGTAATTTGTTGCCTATCAGGTTTCACATAAATATTCGCACCATAAGCCAATCCAGTTCCACGAATAGCACACCACAATGGTCCTAAACATATAATATGTTAATGACCCTTTGGTTTAGAGAATATACCTTCACATTGGCTTAAATATTGTCCGAACACCATTGTCGGCAAAAGACTCTCCGAATTCCATTCAGCATCCATAAGAGCCGTCTGAATGATAAATGAAGATTCCGATCCACCAACTCCGATGAGATATTCGCGTCCAAGAACGGAGCTGTTATCTTCCCCAGGCAAACTAATTATACGATTTCCGGAGCCGAATCGTTGATCGTCGCAAGACCACTGCCACAATTGAGGCGACATTTGTTTTTCATCGATCAACTCGACATCGCAAACAAAGTGGGCGTTCAATCCATTCTTGAAAACCGCGCGACGAACCTGAAAAATGTGAATTAATACTCAAAAATAGCCAAAAAAAAATTGAACATCTTCTAATTTTTCGATAACAGCATTCGGATTCTTCGATGCCTCTTTGGCAATCTTCTCGTGCACCTTTTCCAAAACAATGTCATCATAAAGTGATGAGTTCGAATCTATAATTATTTTGTATAAAATTTAAAAAAAACAATCTTCTTACTTTGATTATAAACCAATGAGGTAATCGCAGTCTGCGACACACTGCATCCATCCCGTTTCTTCTCTCGGGCCTCACTAGCCAATCTTTGAGCTGACATTTTGATACGGCTCGCGTCGAACACGATTCCCTACAAAAATCGCACCATGTCAACAAGTTTTTTTTTTCAATTTACCTGCGTGAAAATCTGAGCCCATTTTGACAAAATATGGAATTTGTCAGCTCCAACTTTGAGTTTTAAGTTGACTAATTTGTCAAAGTAGCCTGATACACCAACTTGAACCGAATGATCGATGAGGTCTTTCGTTGATAATTTAGCAACTTCCTCAGCGGTTTTTTGTACGCCGTCGACAATAGCTGGGCACTCGAATAAAAGATCAGTATAGAGCAAAAGAAGGCATCTCTGCTCAAGTGTAAGATCGGCAGAATCGAGAAGGAATGTTGCCTTAATGAAAAATAAAGTTTTAGATGAATGAATATTTCGAATACTTCAACGAATTTCGTTGGGCAATTGTGAAGTGTAGCATCGAATGGGAATTGCGACAAGAATTTGGCTTGAATTGATGTCAAACCGGCCGAATCTTTGGTCAGCGATTGAACAGGAAATCGATCGAAATCCTCCAAATCCTTCACCATCAGCTTATCAAGGAGCTCGTGCGTCGGATGTTGCGACTAAATAATTCATTGCGATTTAAATACAGCAATATTCAATCTACCGTATTCTCTTTGATAGCGGCTTCAATTTCTTTTTTCTTTTGCAACAATCCGTCTTTTCCTAGTTTCTTTCGTTGCGCGGCAATTCTTTTCTCTTCTTCTTGGGCAATCTTGAATCGTGAAATTCGAAACAAGCAACACATATTTAGTAACCTCATTCACCAACGCCTCATCCGGAACTCCGATGACTGTCGCACTTGGTGTTGTAAAGTACTTCTTTGCCAGTTCCGCCCAGAATGTCGCCGGCTCGGATTTCAATTTTTTCAAATATTCCACCTAAACAACAATTTCGTTAAACGATTATAACCGTTTTCAAACAAACTTCGTTGAATCTCTTATTGAGCAGCTCCGTATCATTATTATCAAATAGTTGATGTCCAATGATATGCGCGGCGATATCCTTTTGAGCGCTAGTTTCCAGTTTGACAAGCTCGTTGAGAATCGTCTGATCAATCAAGAATCCCATTCGTTCCATGTCCCAGTTCGTTGGTTCCAAGTGTTCGCGTAGAGTTTTGTCGAAGAATTTCGGAGCAACACTTTCAAGCTTCTCAACGGGAACTCCGCCAAAATTCAAGCGAATTTCGCAACGAACCTGAAAATGAAAATATCAATATAAAATTGAGTACACTGTGATGTTTTACAGCTTCAGTGACATGGAAATAAGCGCTACTTGCTAGTGCATCGTCAATGAGAACGAAATCCTTTTGAAGAGGCGAAACCGAAGTATTTGTGAAATAATCGAAGAGCACACTAATTGCCGAATGAGTTTCGAGTTCCGTTGGTGAATATGCGAACCGGCAAATTTTTGTACATTATAAACTGTAAATTATTTGTTATAAAATACCAGGTGATCTCAACAGATCCTCTTGAGCTATCGTCGGATGGACATTTGACCTTTTCAACAATGCTTTCCTTGATTTCGCAGGGTTGAATCGAGAATGGACGAGGGAATACTTCTGGAACTGATGCCATATGCTCCTGAAAACAATAATCCACTCGATTGGATGATTCATTTCGGTTTCCAACCTGTTCGACGTCTTCCATGATTTGCAACAATTTCGAATGATCTACTTTTCCGCATACAGTAACCACCATGTTCGACAAATGGTAATATTTTTTGTGGTAGGCGCGCACTTTTTCAATTGTGCACGATTCTCGCAGATTCTTCAATCGACCACCAGTGTCGACGGCGTACGGGTACAACGGCGGATAAATGAGTTCCTTGGTCTTGCGATCCATGATCGACTCCATTTCCGATTCATGATCTTGCATTTCCGAATAAACAACGCCGGCATCATTACCTTTGCCGTCGATATGATGAACCTCAGTAGCAAATTGAGATTCCTTAAACATTTCAGTCGTCCAAAAACTCAGTTTGAAAGGTGAATATTACCGTAAGCATCGGATTGAGAAGATGATTTATATAAATCGGAAGAACCTTCAAAAATCCATCGCTTCCAACCTAAAAAATATTTAAATAATCAGATTTACGTAGTTGACAATAAAATTATTTACCGTATTCAACGTGTATGCAGTATGATCGATATCAGTCCACGCATTCGTTCCATCAGCCAAGCATCGATTTGCAATGATATCCAAAACACCTTTGAACGGATATTTTTTGCTTCCCATGAACACCAAATGCTCCAATGTGTGCGGAAGACCGTCGTCACTATCAGCCTCAGTCACTAAAAAAACCCAAAAATTTATGAAAAGAATGAGAATGAAATTTTACCAAACGAAACGCATCCGTGGACTGTTGGCCCGGGCACTTCTCCGACGGCAACCTTCAGTTTCGTTCTCGTCGACGCATACAGGAAGATCTTGATACCACCATTGAAAATGGTTTCCGAACAGTTCCACAGTTTCGAGCAACTCATGCTGAAAGTCCAATTGAATAAAATAAATGCCGACAGGGTAGATCGATAAAATATGCACGATGGTTCCAAACCAAACTAAAAAAAAAGAAAAATGAAAATTCTGAAAAAGGCACTAGAATTTATTTGACAGGCAGGTAGTTCAAAGTATAAATACATAAATATCACAAAATCAATATCAATTGTGCGCTGCGGTTCGATAAATTGTCGCACATTTCTCATATTGAGCTCTGTCTTCGTGCGATTTCAGATAAATCGAATGAAGCATGTCAATATCTCTTCGATCATACGCCAATTTCGCCGCTTCGGTGAAGCGTCTGCAAATAAATAACTAATAATTGCGAAAAAAAACTTGAATTTTACTTTAATGCGAGATTTGCAGCAACAAGATCCTGATATCCATTGACTTTGGCCATATATTTTCGAATGTCTTCCTCGCTTCGTTTGTACCGCACACACGCCTTCACAAATGGCTGAATAATCGTTATTTTATAAAAATTTCGAACAAATTGAAATCCCACTAATGTGCTTAATTAAATTAATTACAAAAAATTATTAAATTTTCTTTTACGTCATCGTTTCTTTTTATGTAGAACGTAATTTTGGTAATTTTAAAACGACGTCATTCCAATTAAAATCAAAACAAAAAAAACCAACCGCGTAGCCAACCGGCGATTTCTTTTGGGCCAAATCGAACAACTGCTCCATTTTTCCTTTTTTAGCAAGCCCTTCAATGGTCCAAAGATAAACTCTGAATTCAAATCTTATATACATTTGTTAGTAGCACAATCTCTTACTGCTTATCAGTGAGTCTTGCCTGATGCTTCAATTGTGCTACTTTCGCCGTATCATGGGCCAATTCGATTACAGTATCCCGGACGGATAGATCAGCTTGTCCTCGTTCAATTTGAGAAGGAGCAAATGAAGCCTATAATTTGGTTTCGAAATGCAAAAATTTGGAAATAAATTAGAAATAGTGTCCGAAAATTCTTACAACATCGTTCAATATCTCCTCAATGCCCCTATCGCCCATACTTTTCGCCGCATCTCGCGCTCGTCGAACAGCGAACAGTCTCTCAGAAGGCTGAAAATGATCAATACCGAAATCGAGTTGAGTCAATTCTCACGTTTCTTTCCGTTTCGGCAACATCGAAATGATACAATGTTTGTCGTTCAAAATCGCTCTCCTGTTCGAGCAACGCCAACATTTTCCTTGCCGTCGTCCGATTCTCGCCTTCTTGCCGAATGAGATCTTGATAGAGACACTGAGCAAGTGGGATCTTGCTGATCGCGAGCTCATAGTCAGCTCTTTTTCGATTCGCCATCAAATATCGAATGACTTGATGAACAAGTTGAGGCCTTTGAGCAGCAGCAGCTCGTTCAAGAGCAGCCCCAACATCGCCAAGTTCGAGAAGAACAGACACGTGATTGGAATCATCAGTTTCGCGTTTAATGAACAATCTTGCTAGTTGAGGGAGTTTCGCTTCTATTGCACGTTTTGCGGCATCTCAAATTATTCAATTTATGAAATTCTCAAAAAAAAAACAAAGTTGATGTTGATACCTGCAATTGATACATGTGGAAATTGCATTAACTTATTCGATATTTTCATTTCAAGAGCCTCAATCGCCTCCTTATCGAATCTCTGCTCGCTATTCGCCGCCTTCTGAATAGCCCTTCGAACCCATTCGAGTAGTACTCGATCGACATTCTCGCTAGTTTCTCCGCACAACCATCCCGCAACTTTAATGGCAACACTGTATGATCCCATGTCGACTAGTCGGTTAATAAGGCACGATTCTCCAATTATTTGCATTCTGAACGACTTTAATAAAAATGCTTCGAAAAATGAGACATTTGATTTACTGTTTGTGAGTGATTGGCAGACCAGTTCTACTCGCATGCAGCTCATTGAGCACCCGCAGATCCTTGATTGCTTTTCTCATTTTCTCCGTATTAAACGGTGTCGTTGTGAAGGCCATTCCGAATCTCGCCGCCGTCAACAACTTCTTTTGCATTTGCGGTTCCCACGATTCGCAAGCCGTAATGATACAATCATCAATGGCAGAGTTTGCGTCCTGAACTTGCGAAGCATACTCAAAAGCCAAATGACTCGATGGTCCGTTGAGATAATTCGCTGCTTCGTATAGGAGGGCCCCGTCTTCGGAAGAAGCCACTCCTAGCACAGCTCGTTGTGGCCCTAAAAACGAAGAGAAACTAGAGAAATAAGCGGTAATCTTACGGCTCGCAACTGATGCAAATGTGATTTTTGTATTCTCAAATATCCGAATTCCATCCGGCTCAACGTTAATCCTCGCGAATCCCGTTCGCTCTCTATATTAATTAATCAACATTATAACCTCCCAATTTTATACATCTACTCCCTACTCGTAAACCCTTTCAGAATCTTGTAATTCCGGATTACTGGTGCTTGTACTAATAAATAGCAGCTGCTCCGGTGAGATTTGTGCGAAAACAGCCGTTGAGGTCATCCATCCGAATGAAAAACAATGTGATAGATCATAATTATCGACGACAATTGTATTGAAAAGATGATCCAAATCAACGGACACTATCTGAAATAGAAACCGAACATTGCTCAATAATAATTGTAAATTAAATACCTGTATAATTGATGTATTCGTAAGTAGAACAATTCGACTTCGATCCTCATTAAGAACACTCTGTACATAATCACACGAATTCTTAGCCCAACTAGCAGCTTGGGGTTGAATCGTAACTTGTTCACCTTGAGATCCCATGTAAAATTGGGATCCATAGATAAGAAGGACATGTGTTAGTCTTGAATGGGGCTGAAAAGCTGCCCAAGACGATGGATCGTCTTTCGATGCTGAAATAACAAAAATCGAATTATTTTACAGAAATTCTTTGATAAATTCTAATTACGCGCGTTAATTGACCACACAATTGGCTCCGAAACCGAATTGACCACAAAAATGCGATTTTCATCATCCAAAATTGCGATTCCACTATCACCTCGGGATGTCGTGAACATTCGGCTCGCGCGCACTTCTCGGATATTCTAAACATTTACTTACAAAGAATTTTTAAGATTTTCTAGATATTTCAGAATCTCGATTCTAGAATCGATATTTAGATCCAGATCGAGAATTCTAGACACCTTGCTAAAATAGATTTCCGATATTAGTTCTCCAAGTGCCGAATAAATTGTTGCGTGGCCTTTTGTATCCAAAACGAGAAGGCAATGCCCTTAATGAAATATGTAATTGAATTTTTCAGAAAATTGGAGAACCTTTAGTCCATTCAATCGAAAAAGCATCAGGCACTTCCAATTTGTGTTTGAGAATTCGACCACTGCATGTTTGAATTGTAACAAACCATGTTAACGTATTTTGAGCATAGGCAAGTGCTGAAAAGTTATTAATAATTTTTTGAGGAGAACTCGTATAATATTCCAATATATAGTCGGCATTTGGCGACTGCTGCAAGCGGGTAGATTTACGCGCATGCGCCTTGAAAAGGTCTCGCCACGCGTGAATGCTTATTTTGCTGTTTTCACGTGAACTGCTTCATTTTTCTTGATGAGTTTCGCATTTCCTTGAATTTCTAACGTCGTTCGATTTAAAAATTATCAAACTGACCCATAAAATGCGAAATGACGAGTTAGTCCGTGCGAGACCATTTCGAAAGACGCACCCCCGTAAATCTACCCGCGTACAGCACGTCGCCGGACGCCGACTATAAATATCTCACCAATTGGTCCAGAAAACGAGCAAGCGGCAAAATGAACAGCTTGCTTCAATTTAAGTGAAGGAATATTGCGATACTGATTAGTAAAGCTTTAAAATTTCTAAATTGAACATCTCGAAAATAATGCTCGAATTTCCTACCTAAATCGCGTTCCTGCAAAATCAATCCAGTTCGTCGCATCACTACACAAATGCAAATCTTTCAATTTCAACTCATTTTCATGTTCCCCTTCATCATCTTCGAATGGATTTACCCGGTTTTTCATAACCTCTGTAATTCTTTAGCATGATAATGGTTACGAGAAGCGATTGAGATATTTTCTGGTGCAACCTTTTCAAAAATCCATTTGTTGAATTGAATAGATAATGATTTATTTGAGTAATAATACATAATTATAGAGAATAAGTGTAGGAATGTGGAGATCCAGAAATCATGCAATTAATAGACACAATTAATCTACCAATCCTCTTCGTTGTCGTATTCATCGACTCCTGATCGGATGATCTTCTTCTTCTGTTGTGGAGCAACCCGTTTTTCCACGGTTATCACCTCACTTCGAGCAAGTCGATTCTCCAAAACCTCGGTTGTGAACTCGTCCTTTCCTCCCAAATCATCGAAACCACGAATGTAATCAATGGTCTGTTGATTCTATAAACAATTGGATGAAAATTAAATAAACAATTTTCAAAATACCACAACGATGGCGATTGTTGGAATCACGCGAATATTGAGACGAGTAACCAAAAACTGCACCTTCTCGGCATTTACGTGAATAAAACGTGTGCCAACATGTTTTCTTGCAAGAATTTCGAAATGTTTGTCAACAATTTTACATCTGAAAAAAAAAACGATTTAAAAAAGAACTGACTAATTTTTTTATTGCCTGAAATTTCCTGGTAAGTAGAACAAGCAAACAACTTTGTTGCTTTTTTTGGTCGCTTCGAAAAATTCCTTCTCATCGGCAACTTCCTCGTACTTTCCATGCCCATTCGAAAGCATTTCGGCTTTATCTTTTTGCGCTTTTTTTATTTGCTCAATTCTGCGTCGACGAATTGCTTCCAAGTCGTCTTCATCAAGATTTTCAAGCCTGAATACTTAATTTAAATTATATCATTTTTTTCAGAAAATGAAATACTTGTTCATTTCCTGATCAAGTTGCTCTTCCATGACCTGTGCAGCCCGAAGAAGCTGAGCTCCAAGCTGTTCTTGAATATTTGCTGCCATACTCTGAAAATAATAATTTTTTATAGACAAATGAACAGAATGAATGAAAGATGGTAATGTGTTGTTATGGTAGCACAAAGAGAACCATTCGAGAATGTTTCTAGGTAGCAAGAAATAAGGAAGAGTGAAGAGGTTGAGGGCAGCAGGACAATGAGGCATGCCTCATTAAAAATTCCATGCATCAAATAATTCGTTTCCAAAAGTATGGTTCTAATGTTTATGTCATATAGTGAATATATTTTGGGCAATAGATATGATAAAAAATAATTTCTACAAAAATTTTGATTTTTTACAGCCTACAAATAACGAAATTTATTATTTATCAAATTTATTCCTATAAAAATTTTCCGATATCGAATCCTATTTTATTGGACTCTATACATTTGAAATGATAAACAAAGGAAAATATTTACAAGCTAAATTCAATTTTTGAAAAAAATTTCAATCGACCAATTGTCGGCAGTAGTTTTGTGTGTAAACACCGAAAGTGCCCAATGCAGATTTACGCACCGTATTTTTTATTTTAACATTGGTGTGCAACATTTCTAAAACTATTTTTTTTTCCAAAAAAACTCGTTAAAAAATTTTTTATTGCTTTAAGAAAATTAAATATTGCAGATGCCGAAGACCTCAGTTTGGAAAACGCGTGTTGGAACGCAGATTCTCATGGGTAAAATCACCGATATCACACAAATTGGAATTGATCGAATCCCTTGCGCGCATGTTAGATGTCAGATGAACGAGTTCAACATCTATTTGAAGAAGTATTTTGCCAGATCTTTTGATTTTTGGGCTCTCGACAGGTTTATCATTTTCCATAATTATTTGTCTAAAGTGGCTTGCAGAACATCAGTAGGAAGCATTGGAGATACCGTCCTGATTAAGCGAATTGATGGATCTGAAAGACCAAAAGCTAACGTGTCACATACAGTAGATCGAGTCATCTTCAAATTTGGTATGTATATTCACATTTTTCGAATTCATATTCTTGCTCTCTTTCAGGAAATATTATTGATCCAGTGACCGGCCGCAAGATTTTTAAGGATCAATTCTCTGACGAAATTGACTTGAAGAAAATAATGATTGAAAAAGTTGTTGATGAACCATTTGCTGAAGAATCACTGCTGTTCGAAGAAAAAAGAGCACTACAAATCAGAAAATTGGAAGAAGAAAAGGCGTCGGTTTGATCTCTGTGTTGTATATTAAGTTTTTTTTAGTTAAATAATATTAATAGATAGGTTTTCTTTGTTTTTTGTTACTTTTTGTTTTGTCATAAAAAATGTTCTAAATCGAAAGTACTGTTGATTTATTCGCAATCGATGATTATGCCTTCTAATATTTAAAAAAAAATCATTGAATTCCATTAATTCTTAAGCAATGGATATTTCGAGGCCTTTAATTGAGAAACCTCGATTGATTGAAGTCGAACGTTTCGTTGAATCTCGAGCAAATTCGATTGCTCAGTTATTGAAGGCAATTGACAATGAAACTCTGGTTGCTGGTGAGGTTACAAAGGGCCCGAGAACGGCTGCACAACGCCTTCCAAGACATATGCGGCGGTAATTCAAATGTTAATTTGAAATTGCTCAAATTGAATACCATTTTCAGAAGAGCAATGGCTTATGAGGTTCGCCGATTTCCACGTGGAATGCGGGAATTCGCGGCAGCACACATTGTTTCCAAACACAGAAAGAAGCCGCCGAGTCGGTTTGCAAGAAGGAAAGCTTCCAACATTTTGAAGGTTCCAATATTTATTATTATTATTATTTTCTGGAACCTTTAATTTTTCAGAGTTATGTGCGTAGACAAATGACTAATGGAAAATGGCTTGAAACCCATATTTGGCATGCAAAACGATTTCGTATTGTTCAAAAGTACACAGTTAAACACCCTTAAAAATTAAAAAAAAAATGTTTGTTTCAGATGGGGATTCAAAATCGCGGATCGTAGTTATCAACGAGGATATCGGTCCATCCTTCGTGATGCCAATTCCCATTGTGCAATTCGAGATCATTCATATCTAACATGTATAATCGTAAGTTTCCCTCAAGTTTTAACAAAATCATAAAATATGCAGATTTCCGGAAGTGATGAACAAAAAATCATAGAAAATCTCAACAAATTATGCAATTCCAAATGTGGATCAACGTTTGCTTCGAAACACGCATTGACGGGCAAATTTGAATGCTCAATACAGCTTTTTCGACCAAATCAGTATCCAAAAGGTTTTATTGGACCTGCAAGATTTCAATGGCTCGTCGAAGAGTTTGTAATCGATTTTGTTCATATTTATTCCATAGAATCGTTTAGAAGCGCATCAGAATCCAAGATCTGTCTCTGGGTTCATCCATCAGTGAATTCTGAGGTTTTCGAAATTTTGAAAGACGTTTTTGAAGTGGAAAAGGTGATTTCCCTTCAAAAATAGGAAATTCATTTAAAATTTTCAGAAAGAATTTACGACAAAAGAAGAAGAGGAATCAATTGAGTTGCTCGAGTCTCCTCAAAACATCAATATTCAAATCATTGCGTCATCCTTCAACCGATTCCGATTATATGGGCCACTAGCTTTGCGAAAACTTAGCTCTGCGATTATTCTTTCTGATGATACTCGTTTTGAGTAAGGCGATTTTTAAAATTTCCCTTTATTGTTTTATTTATTTTAGGAAACACCACAAAACATGGAAAACTGTAGTAAATTGCCAACGTTCTCTTGAAATGTTGATGCCCGGAACCGTATTTTCGCTTTCAATCGAGGATCCAAGGATTTCGTTTCATCGCAAGGTAATACATACATATTTGTTGGTAAAAGGTTTTCAAACATTTTTGAATCATTTAGAAAATTGGTTCGGCAAAATGTGGAATTAACAGTTTTCCGGAAGAATTCGATCTGGAGCAACCATGTACTTCAATTTATGACGCTGAAGAACGCAAAAAGGCAAGAAACAACAGGTATCTCTTAAATTTTTGCAATGTGGCCAATTTTTGAAATATTTAGATTATCATCTGCCGACTTTGAAAAGCAACAAAGTGAAAAAATTGAGGGTTTGAAAACGACGCCAGCAAAAGTATTTACCTTTTTTTTTATCGAAAATACCAATTTTTATCATAAGTGTTTAGATTCCATGTTTGGTAATATTTCGAAATTCGAATCAAGGAGTTCTCGACGGCATCGAAATTTTAATTCCTCAGTCGTTTGGCAAAGATTTTTGGGTTTCCCTTCAACGGCAAGGAGTTCGTGCGAGTGGACTACGAGATGATATTTCGGGGCACTTGGAAGCACGGAAATTATGTTTTCCGAATGATTCGCTTGATTCGAAAGCTGGACAAACGCATGAAAGTGAAATGATGGCGGAAATAATGGTATAATTTTAGAAAACAATAAAATTATAATGAATATTGTCTATAGAAAAAGTATAATGCTCGTCCGCATAATCGGAGAACCAAATTCTGGAGCGCTCTATCCATTAAATATCCATTTGATTTTCATTTTAACGAATTGGTCGCAAATTGGAATGGAGACAATGCATCAGAAGCTGTCATTTGTAGAGATTACCAAATATTAAAGCATTTCGATGCGATTTTGAAAGGCGAGAAGTCGGAATTCGGTAATTCAAACAATTTTTGATATTTATTATTCAAATAATTGTGTTTAGATGTTGATCGAAAGAATCTTCTTATTCCTGTTCGAATCGATTTCATCGCTAGAGGAAGACCGAAAAGATTCGCGATTATTTGTGCACCTAATGAATTTGAAACCGAAAAGGCAACATTCGGACAAAAATTGACATTTTAAGCAATATTTTATAGATTTTTACGCACAAGTCAGCTGAAATTGTGCAATCTCCAAGAGTGGTTAAATGTGAAGAAACTCCAATGGAAGTTGATGAAGTTGAAAGCAACGAAAAAAATGGGAACGTTAAACTGCAAGGTTTTGTTTCGCTTGATGCGGCAGCTCGCGAGAAACCGATTAGCTTGAAATCACTATTTGAGAGTAATCCGAAATTGGATGACAAGTAAGCTGATGATTTTTTTTGCCATTTTAAAGGATGTTTTTAATTTGTAGAAACGAAAGGCGAAAAAGGGTTAATCGGAAAAAGAAGGAATCGGCTAAACGAAGGAAATTGGTAAAAGAAACTCGCGAAAATGATGAGAAGCTGGAAAAGGATGAGATTGAAAAAACCTCGTATAGATTCTCAGCGAATAGGTAAAACGAAAAAAAATGTCGATGATTAAATTTATAAACCATTTTTTGAATTTTAGGGAAATAATGGGAAGGGTTGTTGCTGGTGATCAAAGTTTCATCGGTGGTCACGGGATTGCTATCGGATATATTTGCGCGGAAGCAATCAATAGAATTGCAGGAAATTATTTGAAATGTTAGCGTTTTTTATTTTTTCGAATATTTAATGATAAATTTTCAGCGAAAAGTATGGTTTTGGTGCGAAATTCTACCTCAAAATACTATCATCCAGCGATTGTTCGTGTCCTTCACGATCATGTCGATTTATAATTCAACGCCTTCTTGTTTTTATTGTTGTTATTTATTTGTTGTTGTTGTTTGGTGATGTAAAGCAAATCCTTTTTTTATCTATTCCAATTTTTTATCTATTCGTTGTCGGTTTCGTCCGATTCAACTATCTTTTAAAAAATGCCTAGGTTCACCCAATTTTGAGTAGTTTCAGAACATGATAAAATGGTTGAATAAGATCTCGTCGCCATTGTCAGCCGATTCGAGCCCGAGAAATGTTGGACGCGCTGATATTTTATCGACCACGTGTGAGTTTATCATAAAAATAATAAATTATTTCGGATTTACTTTTCATTTTTTTGTCGTATTTGGTCATGCTGGGAAATTGTTTCATTTTCAGCACGAGCAAAATGGACTTCTGCCTATGCATCGGATCCTTCTGAATGGGAACGCCTCTTCGATGCCAAATGGAAAATCGTAGATTCGATTTTGGAGAAGAAATTGGTGAATGTTGAGCATGAAGTTGATTTTGATGAGGTACATTTTTCTTTCTTCTTTTATCAGACATATTTTTTCTAAGATGATGGCGTTGATTGAAAATGCGACAAATATGTGTACATTGCTCATGTTAGAGGTGAACTCTCAACCAGAACCGTCGATTGGGCCAATTCTTGATCGGTTTTTTACGGAACAAATAATGGAAAGAATTCTGGATTGGGTTATTCAGTTGCCAACTCTTTTAAAACCATCATGTCAGGTTAAAATAAATACATTGATTTCCGTTGATAAACTTCAATTTCAGTTGGCGATTGTGAGAATTTATGAGAATATTGTGTCCGAGTCGCACTCTCAGAATCACTGTCTACTTGTTCATAAACCGATTCTGAATCCTTTACTTCGGCTTTGTGAATGGTACTTTTTTGAGTGTTTTATATTGAATGTCTAAAGTGTTTCATTTTGGGTCTCGACGCGCCGACGCTTATTATCATCAGTTCGAAGGACGAAAAACTGAGCTATCAGCCACTGAGAAACATTTTGTACTACTTTTGAACCAAATTTGTACCAAATTAGCAGAAGATAAAACTCTTCTACATTTTTTCTTCCACTGCGCTAATGGTTCGGAGCAGTTTATTGTGTTCACGCAATTAATTACTTTCTTATACGAACAGGTTGAAAAGGTGTTAAAAAATAATGAAAAAGAAGTGAGAATTTAAAGAATGATATTGGCCAATTGGCACGCGATGCTCTTCTACTCATCCTTTCGGTTTCATCCGATCATGATGCAATTGCTCAATTTGTGGCTTATCGAGTGAGTTTCTTTCTTTTTTTTTCTAAATCATTCTATTTTGTTATAAGAAATATTTAGACAGCATTTTGCCCGGTTGTTGCAACTGGACTCTCTGGCTGTTTTTCCCAACTACCACGCTCAATTCATGGCGACGGCGGCGAGCGATGGGTTGACGACGAATTCTCGGATTCATTGTCTGATTTCCATTCGTCGATTCTTTTCTGCAATGCCGTTGCTCAAGCAGCTCATCCAGCTGTTGTCGCTCAAATCTCAAAATATTTCTACTCAGGATTCTTGATTCCTGTCGTCAAACCGGCACTTCTTCAAGATGATCGACAGTATATTGCGGCAAGTCTCGCTTACCTTCAGGTAAATTATCATTCCTCGAATCACATAGCCATTAATTTTTCTAAAGTTGTGCCTTGAAACAATTACGGAGCCAGTGCTGATCCGAGCGGTTGTTGAATTAATATTGACAGAAAGAGATGAGAATGGCACATTGCTGTTTGAAAGAATAATGAACTACATGAAGAGTGGAGATAAGGTTTGTTCGATATCATTAAAAAGTCAAATTTTAAAAAGAATTTCAGGCTTCGATTGTTGCGATTTCACTAACAGACACGTTGATTCAATTATGCTGCGAAGATGTTATGCTAGGTTTCAAAAATCTCGAATATCATTTCATTGAATGTTGTTTTAGCGTTCGTATTCCGCCCTCTTCTCACCAATCACGTTGCCAATAAAAAACAACTTTCGAAAGTGCATAATCGTATTCGATGCTCGACTTTTGCTCAAAAATACTTGGATTGCATTCCAAAATGCATTATGAACTATAAAGAGGTTGTTTTTTGTTCGATTTTTCATCCATTATCATTAATCACATCGGTTAAGGTGTGTTCGCAAACGACACTTGCGGAGTACATCGATGAGAATCGCCTGAAAATGGATGCGCGATCCGATCAATGCCGATCTTGGAAATGGAAATATGATGGGGTTGTTGCTGACAGCTTCTGCCTTCCTTCCGAATCCGATGATGACGCCACGTGTCACGTTGTACGATGCTTGAAACGCTCAAATGGATTTGTGAAGTTAGTCATTTCAGCCATTTTCTCGGTTGTCATCAAGTAGATCATCAATGTCAATGGCAACACACGGCTTAAATCGATACATCCACTCATCGTCGCATTTGTCATACGACTTTAATATAGGTAAAACAAAATATTTTATATGAAATTGCATATTTCCGATTTTCAGAGAAAGTGTGCGCTCTTGGTGAGAAGCAGAAGAATTATGATGATGTTGTTTATGAGGATATCAATTCATATGATATTGATGATATTGAGGAAGATAATCACTTCATTCTACCACAAATTGAGTACGAATTTTCATAATTCGTCTAGAGTGAGAAAAAAAACAAACACAATTTTGCAGTGAAATGACGACATCGAAAGTAATGAGCTCATCGTGTTTGGATTATCTTCATATCAGTGGATTGGATGATTTTAGCGAATCTGATGATTCGGCTCCAATTATGTCCAAAGTATCAATTTTGATTGATTTGATTATCAGTTTAGTTTGTTATAGAGAAGTACGGAAGGAGAAACTACGGATCCTGATTCCGGTACCTCGTTTGTTCTTTCTGGATGGCAAGATGTGAAGGATGAAGAAACGTGGAGGAGTCTTCTCGAAAAACAGAAAGTCAAGGGAAAATTGATGAATTTTGGTGAAATCACCTCATTCATCGATGAGAAAATGAAAGAGCTGAAATCGAGAGAGGAACAAGATGAGCCCGAAGGCGATGAAAAGAATAATGCGGAAAAGAATGAAGCGGTTGAAGTTCGAACAACGGGATTCTCTGTTTATCAATTCTCAGGTAGTTTACCTAAATAATGGCGTTTTGAATATTATTCAGTTTCCAGAAAGATCGACACTTTTGAAGTTCATTTTTGATAGTATCGAAACTTTATGCGAAAATTCGATATCATTCAATGTTGAAATTTGTTGTTTGGTTTCGAATCTCGCGACATATCCTCAGCCAATTCTTGCTTATTATTTGTTCGATGTAAAAGAAGACAAATCGGAGAAATGCCTTCTGTCGGTAGGAATTTCTCTCTTTCATTTCAATTGTTTCTTTTTATTCTGGTTTTCAGATTCTTTCAAATGTTCAAACGCGTATTGAAGTGATGGCTGAGGGAATCGAAGGTTTCGACATTTGGATTCAGCGTGCTCTGAAATCGATGGAAGCACGTGCTGCCCGAATTCAGCGGCAATGTGTGGCGAACACGTGAGACGTTTTTTTTAGTTGCTTAGTTTTTGAATTGTTGCAACATTAATTTACTATTTGATGGATGCCTTTTGTTTTTTTGGTGTCTAGCTGATAAGACGTCTGGTGATAATGTGCAAACGATTGTTTCGGGTCTGATTACAATCGAAGCAAACTATAACGACATGATATACGATTAATGAATGAATATTTCGCGATTTTTTTCCATATTAAGAAGTTCAAATCTCATATCGTAAACATATTTGTATCTTCACATTCAGTTCAAAGAGGGAACTGTTTGTCTTGATGACAAAACGATCGCAGGTACATATTGTCGACGTCGCGCGAATGCGGAAAATTGGCTAAATGCCAAAAACCAATGGCGGTGGTTTCTTGGCGCAAAACTAAGCTTAGATTTACGGGCCTATATCGTAAGGATGCCCATCGAGACCTCTTTTTATTTTTATTTTTTGGCATTTAGCCAATATTCCGCAGTTGCGCGACGTCGACATACAAATAAACGTCCAGTTAAAAAATGGACAAAAATGCAAAATAGAATAGGCTTGTTTTATAGTTTTGAAAGCGAAATTTCGTAACTAAATATCTATAAAATATAACAATACGTGATTGATGGTGTCAAGTTTTAATGATTACCAAAAATTAGTTCTCAATTAACGGAATTTGTAAGGGTAATTGAGTTCATTGAAAGTTTTCGTCGTCATAGGGACAGACTGAAAAATTATCCTCAAATAATAAATATTTGCTCAAAATTGTACGTTTCGGAGAATTTAAATAAATTATACGAGATGTTCCTCATGTAATAAATGTTGCAAATTTTGCAGAAAATCGCCTCGTGAAGAGTCATCGTTTTTCAGTCGATCATTCGGCGGCTCGTTCCGCAAACCGCCATCATTCAGGTGAATATTCGAATTGACCCCATTATAATATAGAAATTGATCATGGCTTCAGTTTACATACGCACAAACACATTGATAGCATGGAAGTTCATCGCGACGATGCAACAGCAAAACAGACGGCGTTCGCCGCGATTTTCCTCGCTCATCTATCGCAAATATTCGCCTCAATCGTCTTACAGCAATCGGTTGTCTGCTGAGTTGGCGTTCTGTCGAATTCCTGTCTGAACCCACGGTGATTACCACTATCGGTTACGATCCTTTGTGTGTATCAATCACTTATCATACACAATTGTTCCCCTCCGGCGGGTTACTCTGCACTTTTTTGTTTCGTCAGTTTTTTCTATGTCGTATTATGTGTGTGTATGTGTATGTATCAGTTGGCGCCGATGCCACCGCGTGATATGGTGCGAATTTACTAGCGGCAACCTCTTCCTCTCATCGCCTTCTACTATAACAATCGGGTTGAAATCAGTGATCAAATGGTTCAAGGTTGAAGTTGCGGTGTAAAATTTGACAAGTTTATGATAGGGGGGGGGAGGGGTGTAATTGTGGCTGAAAATAAACAATGCGGAAATTGTTCTTCGGATAATTCGTAAACTGATTTAAAACCTTTAAAGGCATCAATAGAACTTGTGATATTACGAAAAGCTTTAAAATTGAATAGTTCAATACACATTTTCTCAACAGTTTGATTCTTTTTCTCGCACTTTCTTTATGGGACAATCTAAACAGCGGGAGTTCTCGGGAATATCCAGAATATTCTCTTCCTCTTATCTAACAATGGTGCGACATTTGGGAAGGTTCCGCACCCCGCGAAATTGAGCACTTCCATTAGCACATCTGCGCAGCATACGTGTTGATCGACAGGTTAATTGCGGGGGGGGGGAGGCCCTATGGTCCGAGGTCGAGATCGTATACTGTAGAGATTAGAGTTCAAAGACAATCTCCGACAACATCTGGTTTTATGGCATTATGTTATTGCGCATATTCGTTTCGACACGTAGTCAAATGCAAATGATGGTTGTAATATGCGGAACAGAAATTCTAAAAGAAAGAAGAATCTGAAAAGCGGAAATTTATACGGCTTAACTCCCTTGGAGCCGTCTTTCTGGTAACTCAAAATCAATCGGATCCGATTCGAACTGAAAAATTAAAACGAAAATACCCAAAAAAAAACCAATGGGATCCGACAATTTTACAATCTTATCCGTAGAAATTCCAATCGTCTAAGGTAATTCCGGAGCCGAATTTCGTTGGATCTGATTGGGTTTGAGTTACGAGAGCCGTATGCGTGATCTAAATTTTGTTCCAATTTGCATAACTTCGGTTAACCGCGAAAATTGTTTTCGAATCATTTCATGATTCATTTTTCCAGAAATAACTTCAACAATTGTCGCCTGTACTTTATCAATTCGAGATTGTTGAAAAAGTGCATTTGCTGTGTCTAAATTCCAACGAAATTTGATAGATCGCAACCGGTCCGCCGACATGTGTCTATTAATAAAATCAAAAAATCATTTGGCGTTGATCAAAAGTCGTTGTGGTAGAAGGCAGGTGGTGAAGGGGACCAAGTCACGTGGGGCGGGTGTAAAACAACGTGGTTCATCACGTGGCGAGAGAGTGATACGAATGAAAAGACACGAGAGACAATCAGACGGCGTGCGAGCGAAACAAACGCGGCACCTGCTTACTCGGGTCAGCGTCTCTTGCATTCGTGTGCTCTCTCGCGCGTCTCCGCCTCTTTATTTATTCTCGAATGCCCCTTTCGGCCGTTCCGTTCCATCCAAATCATTATTATTCATAGTACCATTGTATGCTCGTCCGAGATGGTTTGACCGAGATTCGCCTCTCGTTTTCTGTTAGCTCAACCCTTGACTATGTATTTATTTGACGATAACCATGTATATCTTACCCACTGTGTTACATTTTCGCTGTGATTCAAACATTATTATTATTTACTCAATTTTCCAGTAATTAAATGATTTTACTTTTTATCAACTACATAGATTTGTTAATTGTTTTTTTTAATCGGAGTGGGCAGTTATTACTCTTACGCATGTGGTTTTTTATTTAGAAGAAGTCAAAACGGTTAAAAATTTGTGAGATTTCTTTTTTTGATCATATATGAATATCTAATTCTATTTTTATTAATGTTTAAGTATAACTAGGCTAACTAGTTGTGTCATATGTGAACGTCCCTCTGAACTTGTTCTATCTGGTGACATTATTGTCTCGCCATCTTAACGATGGTCATTCGATTTTCGCTATGTGGCGTGATTGTTTTTTTGCGGGAAACAGATGATCCTAGTTAGTTTGATGGAGACATCAATTTTTCTTCTCTCGGCCTCCTCCAGCCCACATTTTTGTGTAGTTTCGTCGGAACCGTTTGAGTTTTAGTTCCTGTGTGAATTTATGTGCTCGTGGTTGTTGCGTTATCATGATAGCGGCGAAAACTGCCGAGATAAAACTTAATCTGATGAGCTGAAGTGAGAAAAAAGAAAATAAATTTAAAAAAAATCGAACGTCGTGCATTTTCACGTATGTGTGTTTGCAGATTTTTGTTTCGAATTTTAATGCGCAGAACTTTCCAAGAATTTTTCCATTTTTGGAAATTTTTGCAAGTTTGTTCTATTTCTGTCTTTTCTGTAGCATTTCTTTGCATGATTTTAATGAGATGGAAATACAAAACGACCTTGAATAGTAACCTATTTCTTATCTTTACTATAAGGCTGTTCATTTAACTATTCAAAAATGTCTTATCAGATTAGCGTCCCGTTTCCGTTTTGCAATCGTTCTCTGTTCTCACGAATTATCACTTTTTGTTCAGAGAAAAAGAATGACTCTGGTAAATAGTAGACCGGATTTGATGAACTTATCGTTTTCCGGATGTGGATTTCTGTGTATATATCACGCTGGTGCTGCTGCAGCTATTAAGGTTTGCGAAAAAAAAGTTGTAGAGATGAAAACTATTTTTGATTTTTCAAGGAATTTGCTCCTCAATTGATACAGAATAAAGTTCTTGGAGCATCTGCGGGATCGCTAATCGGGTGTGTCCTTTTGACTGATGTATGTATATCTCATGCAACCAGTGCGTTCCTCAAAGTCGTCTCACAGGTGAGTCGAGTGATGATCTGAAAATGATATCAAGGGATATTTTTAGGCAAGATCGCGGACATTTGGACCCCTTCATCCAGAATTCGACTTGATGGGGATAGTAAGACAGGAATTGCGAAAAGTGTTGCCTGCTAATGCCTATGAAATGTAAGAATTGTACTTAAAACTAGATTTCAATTGGAAGAAACATCATAAGTATTTAATTTTGATTAGATTCCTGTTTTTTATGTTGCGAAATTGTTTAAAGACAATTAATTTTCAGGTGCACAGGACGCTTAATAATCTCGTTGACCAGATGGATAGACCATAAGAATGTTACTATTGACGAATACAATTCGAACGAGGACCTCATTGATGTAAATTTTCGATTTTTAATTCCATTAAATCTTTTTATTTTCTAATATTTCAGGCAATCGTATGCAGTTGCTTCATTCCAATGTACTGTGGAATGACTCCGCCAAAATTCCGAGGTGTCCAATACATCGACGGCGGAGTTTCGGATAATCAGCCAATCTATGACAAACACACTGTGACGGTCTCACCGTTCGCTGGAGAATCCGATATCTGCCCGCCAGACTGGGATAGTGGAAGTCTTCTTGGATTGGATTTCAACGGAACATCGATCCGATTCACCGCTCGCAACATGTTCCGATTGATGGCCTGCTTGTGGCCAATATCCACAGATGATTTGTCTAAAATGTGTTTGCAAGGATTCGAAGATGCCTTCAGATTTCTGGCCAAATCTGGTAATCACGATTTTCGAAAGTTTAAAAATATTGAAATTTTGCTTTCCAGGACTTGCTCCGTGCATAAGATGCCTCACAATTCAAACAATCGACGGAGAATACACAAACTACGCAACGACGACCGAGAATGTTTCCGAAGACGAAGCGCCATCACTTCGCAGAAGCGTCACGTCGCCAACTCTATCGGGATCGAAGATGATCAAACGCCGAAGCAGCGCCGCACTTGTGAACGGAAGGTGAGTAAACTGTTCAAGGGGGCAAAGAATATGTTTGCTGTTTACGCAATAATTGTCTGATTGTAAATTTCCCAAATTTCGGTGTACCCTTTCATTGTAGCCCCGATTATTGCGAAAAACAAACGGGGAATTTAATTGCACTGGTGAAAGAGCGAAGATTCATCGAGTTTGCAGATTTCGATTCGACAGCGAATGCGAGACTTGTGGAGACAGTGTTATCGATGATCTTAGTGTTCATCAATTTTTCCCATCGAAAATGAAGAAACGTATGAATTGAGCAAGAGTTTGATGAAAATTTTCGGGTGTTTCAGCATTTGAGAACGCGATAGCTGCAGAGAACTCACTATTCCAGTATTTCATGTCATTCCGGATTTTGAGATTTGCAAGAACTGCCTTAGGGATTACCAAGTTTCCGCTCGATATTTGGCTCGCTATTGCAAAGAAGTGAGTTATTATTCATTTTTTTTTGAATTTCATAATCAATGATTTCTTCCAGAATGTTTGACTATGTCGAATTTGTCTCACCGCCGCAATGGATTCATCAACGTCTTAAAAATCTTGTTGATTTTATTTACTCGGAAGTTGAGCGTCAAAAATCGAGATACACTGAGTAATCTATTCGATTGTTCCAAATGGAATTAATGATTAATTTCCAGCTTCTCCTGCTTCATTGCTGTTACTGATATTGACCGATATGGAAGTAAGCTGGCACAGTCCACAATGGAGAACGATGAAGAACGCGAGATTGAACTCAGCGAGGAAGCGAAACAGGAGCTTCGTATGCTCAGAGAGCGAGATCGTAGAAAGAAGGCGAAAAAGGCCGCTGAGGAGAAGGCGATGGCTCCAATTGCTAAAGCATCCTGTGACGATATCGACTCGTTTGAGCACGTCGTTCAGTTCACAAAGAATCATGAAGCACTCTACGAGTTCCACTTTATGGACGAAAACAACAAAATGCACACGTTTGGAATGTTTGTGGATCCTACGAAACATCGTCATGGAAATCACGGCGCTTCGCAAAACACATCAATTGGATCGCTGAAAACCAATCGTCTGAGTCATGTATTGGAAGAGGATGAAAAAAGGGAAGTGGTGTTCAGTGGAGGATACGTTGAAGAGGTTTGTCGGCTTTGGCTTAAAACCCCGAATTAGAAGCTCAACACTTATAGGATGAGAACAGTGAAGACGAAAAAGTCTCGGGTCTCGAGACGAATATGTCACCGGCGAAAATTGGCGCTGAAAAACATCAGTCAACGACTAGGTGAGCTGCAACAGCTATTCATGTGGGTCGTGTGGAATCTCTGAAAATTAAAAGCGAAAAGATCATGTGCAGAAATTGTAAGAAGCAGTTTTCCGAAAATACCATTAAAATATCACCTTTTCTGAAAAAAAAAATGATGAAATCTATTTCTTACATTCGCTACACAAGACCATTTAAAGTTGTATATGTTACCATTGTGTTTGTCTACTAACTATGTTTTTCATGTGCTTTTAAATTAGAAATATTACAATATTTTCCTTAGTTTCAGTAAAAAGGATGCGTGCTGTTCACCGGTGCGCGACTTCTCGCCGGAACCTTCCGATCCTCAGCAGCCCGGAATCGAAAACTCGCCAAAATCTGTGGGTCGCTCTCGCGGACGACGCGATCCGCCATCGGCGCGCAAAACGCCGCAACCGGGTTCGCTAAAAATGTCGTCGGTGTTCTCTTCGGACTCGGAAGAGGTTGATGGTTCTGAGAAGCTTTTTGTACCGTCGCGCAAAGCGTATCGAGCAATTGGAAAAGATCAGTAAATTGTACATAAATGAAAAGCAATAGGATCTTTGACGACTAGCATTTTCTTTTAAATTTAATTAATATTAATAATTGTGAATATTTTTGAACTTTATTTTCGTTTCCGGGTCCAAAATCTTCCTCCTCTGCTCGATTTTATGTGTATTTCCATTATATTTTTCACTTATCATTCATTGTTTTTATTGTTTATTTGTTTCAATTGAAGAAGCATGAAGTGTTTAATTTTTAAATTTTAATTATGATGTAAAGAAAGTATTTATCTTTTAATGTATCTCTAATTGTATCGATGTTTAAGAATTATTGAAAAATCGTTTTTCGAAATGATTTTATTTACTTGTTGTATCAAGATAAGTCCATTTTTTTATGATTCTGCGTATACTTCTATTGTTTGCTATTGATTAATACAATAAATCTGGAAGAGAGAGAACTACGCGAAAAAAACATTTATTTGTAAATCAACACGAACCGTAGAATCAGAAACCGGTGAATAATTTTTCAAAAATTGAAAAACAATCGCTTTGAAATCAAAAAATTGAAATTTAAGCTATTCATTAAATTTAGTTTTTACAAAAAAAATACATTTTCCAATGCAGGGTTGTAAAAAATGCACCTTTAATAAAATTTTTGTGAATATTTTTTAAAATGGAAAAAAAAACCACCGCGTAAACACACACAACAGCTCTCACAATGTCAAACTTGAAACATTTCAGGCTTTCCGCGGATAATCTAATTCAATACGCAATGTCTTCAAGAAACGGTAAATGTATTTATTTAAAAGGACCAAAATATGAACGTTTTTCAGAAAATACAACACCACCACACAGCAATGTTTATTATGATGAAATGATCTCCCGAAAAGATCAAGAAGAGGTCGACAATCTTAAGAAAAGTGAGCAAAAAATGCCTCGTTTTCTAATTAAAACGAAAATTCAGAATTTCACGACTTCCGCATATGTAAGCTGAAACAAACTCTCGAAGAAGAGAAAAAGAAAGGCTGGATTTACATTGGAAACGCATTCCGCCCGCCACCAGACTTTTAACTATTTTTGATGTATTTATAAATCTAATCGATAAAAACTTATTTATTCGCAAAGATTGACAAATTGATAGCTCTAACGTTTCTTGTCTCCAAGATCGTCAATATGATCATCGCTGATCTGCGACCACTTTCCGGGAATGAAGTCGAACAAGTCGTCCTTGACATCGCCTTGAATCACAATCTCGTCTGCTCCAGTCACTGAGCTTCCACAGGCGAACTTTTGAGCGAAAAGCTTCGATGCAACTTTAAGATCAATATCTGAATATGGACCGATATTTTTATTTTTGAAATTCAAAAGATTTGTACCAAAAGTTGCGAGACCCTTGATAACAGTGACAGATTTCTTGCCACGTGGTTCTCTTTGAAGAGTGATTTTCTGCACTCCTTTCTTCTTCTCTTTCGCCGGCTTCGATCCCTTTCCTCCCCTCTTCTGATGCTTCTTCTCATCTCCTTCACCGTCTTCGTTCAAACTGAGACCTTCAAGCAATTCCGGAGCATTCGCTGCAGCCCATGACCGGCATGATTCAGCCTGTCCGGAATATTCGCAGTACTCCAATGGCATTGAGCATTCTGCAATAATTCGAATTGGATACAACCAATTTAATGGGATTTTATGCATGTGGGCTGACGAATTTGAAAAATTTGAAATAATGTCATTAAAGAACAAAATGAGCTTTGAATTTGCTCGTCTGCTGATAACCGAATACTTAATCATTTAAAAAAAACCAATTCGTAAAATTACGACTGTTAAGAAAAACAAATCACGTATCTCTGAATTTTTTCCATACGTCTCATGGCGGAAGTTCAAATTTTAAAACAATCGCACCAAACATGTTCATTGACGCTGTTAGGAAAAAACCCGCACAATACCACAAAGAAGTTCCCAAACTTTTTTTCCTGAATTATTGTCTTTTCAAACGTTCGGTTTTCACTATTCCTAGAAAAAGATTTTTTCTATTTCGACGTAATTTTCATGCTTTGTTTCTGAGGTTCTCATTTTAGATAAATAGCTAGCGGCAAAAAGTTCGTAATCACGTAATAAGGGCCGATTAGACGACATTTTTTTGGAAGTTATTCTAAAATTCTGATTTCAGAATCTATTTCAAATTTTTGAACGAATTCTATCATCTTTTTCAGTTTGCGTAAAAATTTCAAAATAATTCTAGCACTTTGAAGAGTTATCGGCGAAAAACCTTTAAAGCATTCTTTATGGCCTGTATATAATAATATCAATACTTACGTCCACAGTAAGAGACATGAAGTGGATACGAAACTCCCGGAGTTGGGCCAGGAGCCAAACTATTGATAACAGCAGTATCACCTTCTTCGGCCATCTGTTTTAATAAAGAAGAGAATAAATTAAACGAATAATTAAAATAATATAAATATCTCGAATTTTTACGACTTTGAAATAAAAAAATTAATGACTGAATTTAAAAAATTTGTATGAACAAAAATCAACGAAAGGAGCAAACAAATAACAGACACAACAAATACAATAAACCCCCGCAATATTATCTTAATAAGTATGGATGAAAATCACAGTTGAATTACAAGCAAAGACTAGAATAAATGCGCTATTTGGAATGCAAACCAAAGAAAGAAAACAACCCCCAAAAAATAGTGACCTTCGACTACAAAATACTGAAATTGCTTAAAGCTACGAGGAAATTAACAACAAAAATCAATAAATATTAATAATATACAAAAGATCAAAAATTCGGTTATGTGCGCGGATCAACAAAATTCCATTTTTGGTGTTCATCATTTTCGTCGCAATCGCTAACGATTATATCATCTCCGGATTTGATATCAGCAGTTGTCAAGCATTTTCCCGTTTTTTCGTTACGCAACATTTGATTCTGAAAAGAAATGCTTAAAAGTCTCGCACCAAGTTCGAAAGATTACCTCGAAAGTCCATTTCTCGTTGACTGTCGATTTCTTCGAGCACGTCCTCATCCTCACATGATTGCCTTCTACAAAAGCACAACTCGTTTCTCTACGCAGATTTCCTTCTTTCGACAATGACATCAACTGGCTGGGACTTCCTTTGCCCTGACAGTAAAATATACCCAAAAGGTACGCTCGTTTCTCGTCTCTCTGCAGAGTATCTGTGCACATTCGAACATTTTTTACATTCGTGAACAACTAGAAACAATGTAAATAAAGTAGTTGAAGAAAATGCCTAAGTTACCGTTCCATAAGCAAGCACATCTTCATCCATAATGAATTTTCCTTTAGCCACATTATCAAGATACCAGCGGAATGACTTGCAGTTCAACTTTTCCCTTAGGCGCTTTCGCTCAGTCAAATCGCCAACATCCTGATCGCGGAGATCAGAACGATGCATGTAATAAAGCCTTTTATAGTCATCCATCCAAACTTCAGCGAGTCGCTTCGAATTCGTTCCATGCACGTCTTTATTGTTATTTCTACCTTAATAATGTTGTTGGAAAGAAAATTAAAACAAACAATAATTCTACCTGTCATATTATAAGGATGTCCGGATCGGAAAATATGTCCAACATGAGAGCACGGGATAAACTCAATCGAGCCACCGCACATCCATGTCTAAATGCAACAATGTGATTCGCAAATAATAGGCAAAAAAACATACTCTGAATGAAATCTCAAGGTTTTCTCCTCCCCAAATGTCCATCTCCTCGTCATATCCACCAATTTCGAAAAAGTATTCTTTACTTGCTGCAAGAAGTCCTCCAGCCATGGTAGGAGACCTAGAATAATATGGTATACAAACAAATAAAATTATTTTTTACTGAATTGGATCCGTTGGCGCTTTCCTTCGTTTTCTTTCCTCTTCTGGCATACCTTCCCACGTGAAATGAAGAGCCCATGAGAAACCTGAAATTAATAATAAATATTCTATAGTATTTACCAAATGTATAATCTTATTACTATATTACCAAATGTAAAAAAAAAACATTCACAAACAAACCTCCAACAGAAGTTGCAAACGGATCGCCATAATATGCCATCGTTTCTGCCGCGATTGAGTCAATAATTGGACAAATAATCGCAGATCTCTTTTCATGAATTCGTTGGACTAACGGCTCAAGCCTAAAACAAACAAAACAAATTTCGAATCTGCAAAAAATGCAAACCATCCGTGATTAGCTTCACAATGCGAATCCAAAAACACAACAACTTCCCCAGTTGCTTCACGAGCTCCAGCCAACTTCGCTCGAATCAAACCGTGTCTCACGTTTTTTCGAATGATCTTAACTAATCCTCCAAATCGTTTAACATGCTCATCTAGTTGATCTTTTAATTCCTCTAAAAATCATTTCTTATCGCAAAACATTTTTTTTCCTACCTCGTTGACTATTATCATCAAGAAGAATAACTTCTTCTAGAAGTTGTGGTGGACTTCGATTAACTACTGAATGCACTGTACGAAGAAGCGGCGTCCAGGCTTCATCGGTGAAAATGATAATAACCGATGCTTTTGGAAGAGCCGACAAATCATATTTCAATTCTTTACATTCTTTGCGTCGTGCGTCAGGAACATCGCGATCCAGCGAAATTTTGTCGCTGAAATTTTCAAAAAATCGATGAAAATTTTAGATAGTTTCATTCGAAATACCTTGCATGAACATTCATAAACCATTTTTTCATATCTTCTTCACCTAATTTCGCTTCATCTCCAGTTAAAACTACAGGTTTTCCCATTTCTCCAGGACCATCTCGAGGTTTCGAATAATCCGGAATCTGATGTGCAACTCCGTTCCATTTCGTTGGCGGATTAACTATGCGTTCGGCAACTTTTTCTAAAAGACAGCAAAATTAATTTTTTTTAGATCTACTCACCAATATTTGGAAACTTGAACCTTTGCCCTCTTGATTCTCTACTATAATAAACAATTCCCAAAAATGCGAAAAAGAAGAAAACCGCAAGAAAAACGTTGCCTTTTCTACGAGGAATAATATACCGAAAGAGGGCCATGCCGCCTAAAACAAATCAAAATTACAAAGCATGGATCGCATAGAGAAAAAGGCAGCATAAAACACATATTAAACGTGGAAATGAATTGTTTCATCGGGCGCGGACGAAAAAAAAAAACTCGCGAAATACCTCGTCCGCGGTCAACAGAATGTCAAGGAGAATGCCCTCTTGACATATTTACTAACAAATAATAATGAAAACGAGATTTTATTTCATAAACAAATAAATAAATTCGTAAATATGTTGAAGATTGATAATTTTGATTTCCATTTCTTTTAAATTTTCCACAAATGCGATTTTCATGAATAAATTGTCTGAGTCGACGTGATACTTTTTCGGCATATATGGCAAAGTTTGAGTTTTGCAGCGCACGTCGAACAGGATGTGTGACCACAATTGAACACAAGCTATAAATTCGATGAGGCCAAACATTTTGGCTTAAAAAAAGGAACAAACCGAAATTTTGGCATCCATGCAAATAGCACAGCTTGTTTCCATTTCTAGCTCTTCTAGTCTTTCCCTCAATGCTTTAAGTTCAGACTGTTTTTCTGAACAAATCATCAATCTGATTCGAAATTTTAAGTCCAACCTTGTTCGACGGCAATTTTAGCTTCTCTGGCCGCTTCTTCGGCAATTTTTCGTTTAATCTGTTCGGAAATCGCCGCATTTTCGGCGTTTCTCTCAAGTGGAGTTTCGCCGGAGAAACATCCAATATTTACTTCATTCCCAGCTAAATTGCAAAAAAAAAGATTTAAAGGTCAATTTCGCAAATTGGATATCGCTACCATCATCCTGCGCATTCGATATAATATGATAGCAGAGTGGACATCTACGAAATGCGGTTTTTTGAGCGCAGTCGGTGCAAGCCACACGATGACCACAAGGCATAAAACGGACATTCGCGATCGAATCCTATTAGAAAGTGTTTCGAAAATGAAATAAAATGTTAACTACCTGACACATAAATGTGCACATTGTGACTTCAGCACTGTCAAACGAATCTGTACAATTTAGAGAAACCATAGGCAAACATGATCTGAACGTTGAATGTTGAAGAAATTCGACTTATTCGAAATTCGCTTACTTGATTTTGATTCCCGAAATATGTACAAAGATTGGTCGAAGAGAAGAATCATTTGCCAGATCTAAAGCAGTCAGACCTTTTCGATCCCTGGATGAATATAATTGATTATTAATACAAATTACAATATACTTGATATTTAAATCAGCTCCATTGCTTATTAGAAAACAAGCTGAAGCGAGTTGCCAGTGAGGTCGAAGACGACTTGCCATTTCGTCGAGGTTCTGAAACATCAATTGATAAGCGCTGTGAACATCACTATATAGCAAAATAAATTACTAAATTAGTTTTGACAAGTTGGACACAAACTGGGATCAGAGTTGGCGGATACACGTCATTCTGTTTCATCATTTCTCTGAAAAGGTGGACTATCTCTCAACAATCAAATGATATTGTCAGACTTCACTAAAACATGAAGGACAGTCTGTCCATAAACGTCTACAGCATTTGCAGGAGCTCCAGAGTGCACGAGAGCTTGGATGCACGCTAGTCTTGTCATGTCCTTGTCAGCTTGACCTGTCCATTTTTCAACAGCATAATGCAGTACTCCACGGCCCAATTTATCCTTTTTATGAACTTCCAACCCCAGCTGAAACGTATTTTTAAATGTTCCAAAATAGCGAAATGGATTCTTGCCGATATCAGCACATTGACAATATTCACGGCAGCAACAGATGCTGCAAAATGCAGCGGCGTAACACCAGTTCGCGAATTCACATTGCGATGAGGAGGTCTCAATTGGATGAGTTGCTCAACAGTTCTAAAATCATGAGTTCAATCAATTCACTATTTAAAAAACAATCTTACGACACATGTCCTTTAAGAATTGAAATTTGAAGCGGCGAAATATTATCATTATTTACTTGATGTATCGACGCGCGACTATTCGTTAGAAGCCGACTAATCGAAGCTTTCTAAAGAGATTTATCGTTGTATGAATAAAATACTATAAATAAGAGAACCTTATTAGCGGATTCCGCGAGAACGCACAATTCGTGAAGCGGAGAATCTCCATTTTCATTTTGCAGATTCGCCAAACACGTCGGCGTTGCCAACAATCGATCAATACAAGCCGCATGCGCGTTCCTCGCTGCCAAATGAAGCGGCGTGTCGCCATCGACAGTAGTCCGATTGACTTCTTTGGGAAGAAGAGTGAGAACACCTTCAAGCATTCGATCCAATCCAAGTTGCGCAGCCACATGAATAATTGTGCGGTTCTTCTCATCCTTTGCATATTTGTTCGCGCCAACTGATAATAGCATAACGACGAGATTCCAATTGTCATCGGCAACTGCGCGGAACAATGGAAGTTCACCTTCGAACGGAATTCGCACCTGAGCAAATAATTCGATTCCTCCGCGCATTTTTGACAATAAAAATTACCTGATCAGGATTGGCACGGATTGATTCAACAAATTTCGAATAACTGCTACTATCATTTGACCAATTGCTGATAACATTCATCAAATTTTCAACAGAAAATCCATGAATCACAGTCTTAAATTAAGATTTTCTTCAAATCAAATCGATAAATTTAAACGAAAACCTTATACGAATGTATGGCTGGTGTATTCTTTTCCCTCATTACTTTATTCAAGCGAGGACCGGAATAAATCGGGCACAAATAGATATTTCGATCTTCATTCTCAATTTGATTCGTTGCGTCGCTATCAATCGTAAGCGGGGTATATGTGCCATTCGGGTTCTCAGCAATCACCAAATATTTAATATTTCCCGAATCTTCGAATTCAAGACGAGAAATGACACCAATACTTATCTGAAATACGCGCGAAAACTCTTCAAAACTTATTCTGAACGTCTAAAGAAAACACAAAAATGTATTTCGATGACTTCAATGCTAGAAATTTCTGAAAAAACCGTTAAAGCAGCATGTTTATAAAATATGCAACAGGAGAAAACGGCTTTCTGTGGAAAAAAATCCTGAATTATTCGTGTAAATATATGTCAGCAATAAATCAGAAGTGGCGTCGCGGTGACCGAGTGGTTAAAGGTGTGAGTCTTATGAACTCATAGCGTAAAGCTTACGTGGGTTCGAATCCCGCCCGCGACATGGAATGATTTTACAATTAGGCGGTTTCATTTTAATTAAGACTATATTAATTTACGTACCTTATCACCACCTTTCGTTAACACAACAGCATTTCCACAAGCAAAAAACAATCTTTTCGGGATTTCGAGCGCGTCTAATGGCCAATCGCAGACCACTTCACTCTGAAACGCACAGTTCATTCTAATTAAAAAAAAAAATAATTAATTACTATGTCATAATGGTCCGTTTCTGCGCCAGAAGCGTATACACACACACGTCCAATTTCCTTTTGATAGTCGACTGATTTTAAAACACCAACATGACCAATTAGCTGTAGAGAATATTTTAAATAAAATAAAATAAAAAATAGGGTACCGTTGAGTGTAAATGAGACCAAATCAATTGATTGTAGTGGTTTCTTCTTTGTGAATAACTCGCGTATATTTCGGATATCAGCACACAATCGCCTGCGCGAAAAACCGTTGTCTCCGACGACATTTTTCCATAATGATGTTCATTATTCTTCACGCGCTAATTTTTCTTGTTTGTTTTTTGTTTTTCGAAAATCCATGTCCTGATTTTAAAAATTCGATTTATTGCGAAATAAATGTAACTTACCTAATTGATTCCTTATAAAAACATAATTCTCTATCAATTACTTTTAAACTAATCAATTCAATTGTGAAGGTATCAGCTTTATTTACAAGAAATACAAATAAATTCATAGCATTTTCGAGAGCGAACCTTAGTTGAAATGGTTTTTTTTCTTAAACTGATTATCATATCCTAACGAATTATTGCGTTAAAGCCTTCCTTATTATATAGAATGTTTTCTCGTCAGAGAAAGGCGGAGTAAATTATCAATTAACATGTACCGAGGTTCAACTGTAATGATGTCGCGGGGTTCAACTAAGGATGTCAGGGAGTCTAATCTGCGTTTTAACTATTTTCAAGATAATATTAATTGCAGTTATTTGGGTAGCGGTTTAAACAGGTGATTGGTTTTCATTTGATTCAGAATTGCAAACATCAACATCAGCCATCAATAATTTCATCAATAATTTCGCGAAATTGTTTGCAGTTTTTTCTCTGAAATTTTCAATTAGTTGTTTTTTTTTGTTTTCGAGTAGTTGAAATACAATTGCATCGAGTTCTTGATCCTTTTCATTCAACTCAATTTCTTGACGTTTTATGCGAATTCTCATACTTTTCGTGTTATTCTCATTACTTCTGATGAGTTCATCATACTCTCGAGACGCGCTGAAATTTATTACTTAAAAATTTCATTTAATTTTAACATTTTTGAACCGTTCCAGTTCAGCTCTCGCGTTCTCTTCTATGTGAATATATTTCGTTTTCCATTCGTCTATTTCGCTTAATGCAATTTTCAACTTATTTGATACATCATCATAAGCCTGAAATAGTTTATTTAACTATTGAAAAATAAAATAATTTCGAAAAACCGTTCGAATATCGTTGGCTGTTTGTCGGGCTATGTTGTATGAATTAAAGATTGCCGAATAGTTTTCGTGCATAACGTTAAGCTCCTGTCGTGCTTGATCACGTTCACGATTGGCTCGTTCCAGCTCTTCTTTATCTACCATGTTTGCGTCGGTCAAGCGAACGCCTCGGGTGGAAACGCCTTTATCGATTATACGCCGAACTTCATAATCTGGAAAAAATGAAATTTAACTGGAAATCTTCGAGTATTTTAAACCTCCACTTTCGAAAAGGGTTGATAAAACCTTTAAAAGCCAATTGTTAATATGTTTCATAAAAACAATATCAGCGACATTTGCACCAGCTAGTACTGTAGACAAATTCGAAATGCTATCCGCATCTGGATGTTGGAAAAATATGGGTCTCGACGTCGATAGATGTTCCTAATATAAGAATGATTAAAATTCGTTGTTAAAGTAAACCATTACGGGGTTATTTGATGTTTCTTCAGAGTCTGAATCCAATGTATATGTGCGATTAGCCTCTTCTTGAATCATACCTGGAAAACAAAAAAATTAAATTTTTGAAATAAAATTCGGAATTCAAGAACTCGGCAACCTGTGTTATAAACCTTTTATCATTTTTTTATATATTGTTGAGAAATGACAAATGTATCTAGGTGTCGTAGGATCCTGCGCTTTGTACGCAATGCTAAGAACCAGTTACCGTAATCATCGCAGCGATTTACGGGGAATTAAGTGGCCACTGTCACGGAGCGCATGGTGAGGCTACGATTCAAGGCCGTTAGTGAGTAAACGTTAAAAAATTTAACCAATTCCAGTACGACACTCCAATTACTGCCCTCCTAACATGCTCGGAGAGCATGTCGGTGGCCCGAGGAGCCAAAACCGAGGGATGCAGGTGCTAGGGCGCGTTAATGATGATGCCCGAGGCACAGCTCCGGAAATGAAGGCCCAGGTGATCTGAAACCTCCTGCCAAAGAAGGTTCCGAAAAGGACGGAGATTTTTTCATGATGGACCACCTCTTCTTACATTAGTGCTTTCTCAGAAATACAGATGGGTGGAGAAATATCATAATTCACAGAAGTTACTAAATATTCGAATAATTTTTTTCTATTGTATTAGGAAATTTTCTATTAGAAAATTTGACACAAAAAAACGTGAAATCAGTGGCTCAGCAAATCGTGCCGAAGAAACCGACAAAAATCACACACTCTCTCAGTTTCCTATTTGAGGAATATTCGAGATATTTGAGGAATATTCGAGAAGATACATATAAAATTTTAAAAATATTTTTCAGATACCGTAATTAAAGGCGCATTCATTTTTCGAAAAGTAGTCTTGCAACAACCGATTCTGTGTTAAAGTTTTTTCCCGCTCGGCAAACTCATCAAGCAAAACGCTGATTTCCTTCCGTATGAAAACAGCAAAATTCTTCTAGTTTTTGCAACTGTTTCGCCCAAAATTTGCCACTGGTTTGCCCGATGAGTTTATCGAGTTCGTTCTGAGAAAATTTTCTACTGACCAAAAATTTACAAACAAACCGTGCACAATACTTTGTTGAAATTGATTTTCTTTGTGGGGAAACGGCGAACTTTTTTCATTTTTAAACGGGTTCACCGTCTTTCTCGTTCTTTCGAGCGCGAGAAATATCGTCGTTCCTCCTGTACCGATTGCTGGTAAATACATTTTTATTTTTGATGTGCACAGTTTTTAAAATCTTAACATTTAATTTTTGATCTTAGTATTGGCGGGGGGTGTGCATTTTTAAAACAATTTTTGTTATGCATTTTTATACTTTAGCATCACAAAAGACGAGATGAGTGGAGCGCGGAGGCCGCCAACTCCAACTGTTCGTTTAGCGAGTACCTTGAAAAGACGAAGTATTGGTAAATTGGCGACTCCGATTCTGAAAAAATCTATCATTGGTATGAAATTTTCGCTTTTTTTTGTAATTAAAAACGCTTAAATTTCAGCGACTCCGACAAACGCCACTAGACCACTCCAAAATACATTAATAACAGGCAGAGCAACGACATTTGGAGCAGCGAATTATTCACGTGTCAGTACAATAAGTGGAAGACCGATAGCGAATGGAAAAGAAAATGTTGGTCCGCGATCATCGAGACAATCTGCCGAAGTGGCTCGAAATGGGCCGACAACTCGAAACGGAGTGACATCTGGAAGAGGGACAAGAAGTGTGACTGGACGAGTAGGAATACCACCAAAAGAAAATCCTGAATTGGTTCTTCTTCGGGAAAAACTCAAAATGACCGAGGTAATATTTGGCAATATATCATCTATTCTAAAATATTTAATAATTTAGGAAATTCTAGCAATGAAATCTGAAGATTTGACAAATAAGACGGAACAGTTAGCTCAGTTAACGGAAGTCAACGAATTCCTGAAGAAAAAAATAGACGACGCAACCATTCAATTGGAAAAACTGACTAATGAAGTTAAAGAAAAAACAGACGAATTATTTAAAAAGGAAAACGATTTGAGAAAACTTCATAATGATGTTGTTGATCTTAAGGTATTTTTTTAATAAGAAATAAAATGTAACATCAATTTATAGGGTCAAATTCGTGTAGTGGTCCGGGTCCGTCCGCTAATTGGCACCGAAAAAGACAAATCATCGTCGACGTTGATTTCGTATCCTTCTAGGAACTCGATTGGAATCGAACAAGGCGGAAAATCGGCACATTTTGATTTTGAGAATGTATTTACGCCTGTGTTCACTCAAGGTGAAGTTTTCGAGAATTTTCGAGAACTTGTTTTGGTATTGCTGATTCGGATAATTATCAGCTTCTTCATATATTGTTTTAGTCTTGCCTTCATGGGTATAATGTCTCGTTGATTGCATATGGTCAGACGGGTTCTGGAAAAACTCATACGATGCGCGGAGGAGCTGGTGATTTAGAAGGAGTTATTCCAAGATCGGTTGCTTACATTTTCGAGAACAAAAAAAGTTTGGAAATTCAAGGCTGGCAGGTTTTTATTTCCGAGGATTGATTTTTTGTTATTATCTGAATTTTAGTTTGAGTTTTTTCTGTCATTTCTCGAAATTTACAACAACGAGGTTTTCGATCTTCTCGAGAAACACAATAAACTGAAAGTGCGACTTGCTGGAAACGATGTGGTCGTCGATGGTCTCACATCACATCAGATTTTGAAGCCAAACGACGTTGCGCAATGGCTTCAAGCATCGGATCGAAATCGGAAAACGGCATCGACAAATTGTAATGCGGAATCGTCGAGATCTCACGCAATTTTCCAATTGACAGTTCATGCGAAGCAACCCGAAACTCGTAAGCTTCAGAAGCCGTCCAATTCATCTCAAACTGATATTTTCAAGAAACTGCAACCACTTCTGTTTTGAAATTAGTGGATTTGGCGGGTTCGGAACGTGCAAATGAATCCGGTGCGATCGGAGATCGTTTCAAAGAGTTGACATTCATCAACCAATCGTTGTCGGCCCTTCAGAAGTGCATCAGTTTGCAGAAGCAGAACGTACGCGGTTTTTTATTCCTTTATTTTTTGAAAAATGTTCTCAAAATTTTGAGGCAAATCATGTTCCTTATCGTGACACGAAGCTCACGCAGCTGTTGAAAGATTGCATTGGAGCTGGAAGCTCGAAGACAATGGTCATTGTTAATATAAATCCGACCGACGAGCAAATACAAGAATCGAAACGAAGTCTCGAATTTGCCGCCAAAATGCGCGAGACGAAGATTGGCGCAGCCGTTCACCAACGAAATATATGATGTCACCCCTCGGGCAGTTTCATGTCAAATAATCCACTTCATTTGTAAATATTTAGTATTGTTGTAAAACATGTATAATATTTTTGTACTAACACTGTTTTCATTTTGTTATCTCCGGAATAAATATGGAGTAAAATATAAGACGAATGTCTTTTGATTCTGAATTATTTAAGAATAGTGGGATTAGTTTCCGAGGAAAAGCTATCTTTTACGGCATTCAAATAATTTCCGATGAATGAAGTTTAATCGAGTTCGAAAATAAAAACTTTATGTTATTTAGTATGAAGAGCTGATTTGTATTTTATTCCTCTTCGAATCCGATTGATTTTAATTCAAATTCCTGAGAATCGACAGAATAAAAATTGAATGAAGTGTGGTTTCTCGCATAAAACATTTATAATATTAATTTCACTATTAAACTCCCCATCTTGCCATTTTTTTTAACTTTCGAAATTCTTTATTAATATTCAAATTAAGTATTAATATAACGAACAATATACATTCAAAAAAATAAAGAATTGGAGAATCGTGCAAATAAAAATTAACATTTTGAATTTCTGTGTGTTTTTCTGCCACTTTTTATATTTGCGTTTTATTTTTAAAATAAGAAATTCTATATATGGGTAATAATTCCTTTTGCATTTTGGATTAATTCAAATTCTTGAACAACATTTGGCCTCACAATTATTGACATAATTATTTTTATATAAATTGCCCATATTTGAGAGGCCGAATTCTGCTGGCCGCGAAAATTTGAATTTTCGGCCATCCGCGCCAATCTGTTTTTTTCGCGCTTTCGCGGCGTTTGTGTTGCGTTTAAAATTTGTATTATTTTTTGCTGAATTTTTACTATTTTAAGGCATTTTTTTCAGATATAACCTTATTTCCATTAATGAATTTGTCAACGTAAAGCAATATGTACATTAAAGAGGTAATTTCCTCATTGATTTTTGTTGAAATATGTTTTCCAAGGTTATTCTATCTGGATTTCGAAGTTACAAAGATAATACTGTAATTGATGGTTTTTCTCCAAGACATAATGTCGTTGTTGGGCGAAATGGAAGTGGAAAATCAAATTTTTTCTTCGGTAGTAATCGAAACATTTTTAATTTTCAAATAATTAATTGCAGCTATTCAATTTGTTCTTTCCGACGAGTTTAGTCATTTGAAAGAAGAACAAAGACTTGGAATGCTTCATGAAAGTACCGGACCAAAGGTAGTCGTTCATATTTTTTTAAATTAAATTATAGACAAGCGACATGTATTGTGGCGTTAATTTCTTGTGCATGTGCACCTTTCAGTAAAATTTAATTAATCAAATAATAGAACGCATCCGGAAAATTTTAAAATTAAAAAAAAAAACACTGATTTTGTTTTTCAAAAAGCGCGCACAATTCAAAATGTTAATTTTTCAATAATTCCAGGTTTCTCACGCCCGTGTTGAAATTGTATTCGACAATTCTGATCGCAGAATCATGGCAGTTGATGGCACTGAAGTTCGTGTGGTTCGACAAGTAGGAAAAAAGAAGGATCAATATTATATCGATAATAAAATGGTCCCTAGAGCTGATGTAATTATTCAGAAGTCTACATTAATATGAATTAGTTGAGTTTAGGTTGTGAATCTTATGGAATCTGCCGGCTTCTCACGATCAAATCCATATTACATTGTCAAACAAGGAAAAATCAATGAATTAGCGACTTCTCCGGACAGTTATAGGTTGAAATTGCTACGCGAAGTCGCTGGAACTCGCGTTTACGATGAGAGAAAAGAAGAAAGTTTAAAAATTCTCAAGGAAACTAGTAAGAAATTCAAAAATCAAGAAAATAACGAAAAAAAAATAATTTCAGAAGTAAAAACTGAGAAAATTGATGGCCTTTTGAAATACATTGAAGAACGATTAAAGACTTTGGAAAATGAGAAAGAAGATTTGAAAGAATACCAAAAATGGGATAAAACGAAAAGAAGTATCGAATATGCGATGTATGACAATATGATTGTTGAGACGAAAAAGGAATTGTCGAAATTGAACGATCAGAGAGATGAGCTCACAACTAGAAATCATAGTGTATGCGAAAATTTTGGGGCAACAAAAAATTCATTATTTCCGTTTTTAGGTTACTAACGAATTGGTCGAAGTTCAAACGAATCTGGCTCGAACAGCTGCGGAAAAGAGAAAATTGGATAATCAATTCAAAGGAATGAAAGAAGAAAAAGAAACTCTTGTTGCTGAAGAAACCGAACTAGTTGAAAAGAAAGCTCAGGTCGAGCTTAAAATTCGAGATTTGACTGAAGAAACCACTAGGTTCGACATCTTCTAGTCTTTATCCAAATTCCAAACATATTTTTAAGAGAGCGACAGGGTCGAACTTCAGCTGAAAATACTCTTAGCGAACTCAAAGCCGAAATTGAGGAGAAACAGAACGAATTGGAGAAAATCACGCCCGAATTCGAAAAACTTCTTGAAGAAGAATCGAAATTGTGCACCGATGTTCGAATTGACGAGCTGAAAATGCGCGAGATTCTTGCCAAACAAGGCCAAAGATCGCAATTCTCATCTCAAGACGAACGTGATCGATTCTTGGGAAAAGAAGTCAAACGACTCAACAATTTGATTGGAGAAACTGAGGATCAGGCGAGAATCGTTGAAAAAGAGCTAGAAGACACTGAAAAAGAAGACGAGGAGTTGAATTCGGAAATTCAAAATTTGGGAAGGCAAATCGAAGAAAATCGCTCAGAATTGGATAGTAAAAGCCAGAAATCGACAGTTTTGAAACAAGATTTTGACAGAGCCGTTTCTCATCAAATGTTCGTTTTTTTGTTGTCTCTCATTTTTTCTTTCAATGATTAGTTTTCAGGGCTGCAGCACGTGAAGAAAAAACGATTCGTGATCAGATGAATGGAATGGAAGCAGAAATCAGTGCCTTGAACGATCAATTGCGAAGATTGACATCTAGGGTATGTTGAACAGGTCAAACGTTTTATTGTATTCATAAATTCTCAATTAACGTCGTATTTGCTGTAAATTCATGTGTTTTAGCCGGTATACAATGGTTTGCAAGGTGTTAAAAAGGTGATCGATTATTTCCGCGAACACAATCGAAATGGCGAGCATGACGATGTTTTAAATGGATATTTCGGTAACACGCGGAATTAAAAAAAAATAAACTTTTTCTTATTTTTTTCATTTTCAGGAACTGTCATTGAACTAATTTATGTTGAATCAGAATTCATCACTGCCGTTGAAGTTATTGCACAGAATCGCCTCTTCTATCATGTTGTCGAGACTGATAGGTAACGAATTGAATTTACCCAGAAAATGTTTTCAATTTTCGTTCAGAATTGCCACAAAAATATTGAAAAAGTTCAACGAATTGCAATTGCCCGGCGAACTCAACTTCTTCCCAATGAATCGTGTTCAGCCTCCAAGGGACAAGGGTCTTCAACCATCATCTGTTAGCATATTTTACGATTCGCTATTGTGGAATAATTGAGACGCTCTTTTCAGCAATCGCGTGCTTTACTTTCGGTTATTGATTATGATGCTTCGTACGACAAGGTTATGAGGACGATTTTCACAAATGTCGCACTTGTTAGGAAGCTTGATGTAAGATTTTCATTGCTTTAAATTTTCTCAATCAATTTTTTTCAGCAAACTGCGAAAAACTTGAAAACCGAAGGATACGACTGTGTTACTCTCGACGGTGATCAATTGTCACGTCGTGGAGCGATCACAGGTGGTTTCATTGATACGAAACGCAATAAGATGGAGATACACAACGCGAAACGCAACATGGAAGAAGAGTTGGCTAAAATGCAGGTTGGTTCATTTATAGTTTTTGTTAATTGCTCAAATAATTTGATTAGGTGACTGCTGGAGAAGCGGAACGAAAAGTGCGAGAGAAGACCCAGGCTGTGGAGCAGATTCGCTCGAAAATGTCGCAGATTGAGGAGCAGATTCGCGAATTTCACGTGCTTCATCGCACTTTGACTGAGAGAAGGAGAGCACTTAATGAGCAGTTTAATCAAATCACAAGGAATAAGGAGCCAAAAGTGAGATTTGTTTTATTTCCACACATCGTACATAATATTCGACGCTCAAGAAAGCACGACTTCTTCAACTTCGCAATCGTCGGCGTGAGCTGATTGCTCAACGCGAAGGTTATGAGCAAGAGATTGGAACTCCGATGGAGTCTCAATTGAGTGTTGCTGAACAGAATACTGTCAAACAATTGCAAAAAGCAATAACCGACATGAGAACGAAGCTTGAAGCAGTTGCCAAGAAGCGCAGTGATTTGGAGCATCGAAAGAGAACCCTTGAGAATCATTTGAAGACCAATTTGCTCAGGAAGCAGGAGAATTTGTCGGCGGTAATATTGAGAGAAATCAACACGTTTGATATTAATTTTTGCAGAAAATTGACGATATATCCGATAATGAACGGCGTCATCGCTTGCAATCTCATCAAGCTGAACTCACTTCTCTTTTGAATCGATTGTTCGAGATCAGACAGTCATTGGCGTCTCTTGACGAAAGTCTCACCGAGTATGAGGAGAAGTCCGAGCATTTGAGCAGAAGTCTTGATGATATACAAGAACAACAGAAGGATCTTGAAGCGCAACTCACCGAATTCGCGAAACAATCTGACACCATTTGTACAAAGCAGGCAGCGCTTCAAGCGAAGAGAGAAGACAGCTTGAAAAAGGTACGAGCGAGCTCGTTTATGAAAACTGTTTTCCGGCGAACACTGATTTTTTTTCAATTCTAGATGCGACAACTTGGGGCTCTGCCAACTGAGGCTTTCTCCAAGTATCAGAACATGAAGCATAAGGATTTAGAGAAGAAACTTGTCTCATGTGTCAGCGAACTGAAAAAATATGAGAACGTTAATAAGAAAGCTCTTGATCAATATTTGACGGCGTCATCGCAAAGAGAAGAACTCTCGAAGCGAATGGAAGAACAGAAAAAGAGTGAAGCGGTAAGTCATTTATTAAACGTTCAGTTATTTAAAATAAAAATATTTTTAGTCGATTGAAGAGCTTATCAAAGTACTCGAAACTCGAAAGTATGAAGCGATTCAGTTGACATTCCGACAAGTCTCCAAAAATTTCAAAGAAGTTTTCAAGCGACTTGTTCCGAATGGTTAGTCAAATTTCGATATTTTCCCTTTTTAAACTTTAAACTCCTCTTAGGGCAAGGACAATTGGCTATTCAAGTCCGCGATTCTCAGCCAGGAGACGATGATTTGAATGCGGTTGAGAAGTTCAGCGGAATCGCAATCCTTGTCTCATTCGTGTCGGATTCCGGAGATGCTGAAACGCGCGAAATGCAGCAATTGTCAGGAGGGCAGAAGTCCCTCGTGGCTCTTGCACTTATCTTTGCTATTCAGGTATAATCTGGGAATTGCCTCTTCAAATTTTATTTGTACCATCGCAAAAAAACGAGCACTTTGAAAAATTGTCGGCAACTCAAATTTGCATTTTAACAGAATTCGATTCCAGATGTGCGATCCAGCTCCATTCTATCTTTTCGATGAGATCGACGCCGCTCTTGATGCTCAACATCGTAAAGCTGTCGCTGATATGATCCACTCGCTTTCCGATAATGCTCAATTCATCACCACCACTTTCCGGCCAGAATTGCTCGCATCCGCTGAGAAATACTTTGGAGTGCGCTTTAGAAATAAGGTGAATTTTAGAATTATTTTCGTTCGAAATTAAATTTTTAAAACTAAATATAAGATTGAGTTTGCGAAACATCTTATTTTCAGGTTTCTCACATCGACGCTGTTACTCGTGAACAAGCCTATGACTTTGTTGAAGATGATCAGACCCATGGATAACTAATTACCTCTTTGTTAAATTTTATCGTTCATTCCGCCAAAATTGTATTATTTTGAAATTGAATATTTCGTGTATCCACTGTACTATCCTATATGATCTCCTTATGTTTCCCCGGATTTTATTTTATGCATTCTTCAATTCATCGCCAGAAACAGAGCATTTATGCGATAAAAATATAAACTAAAAAGTGAGACGATTTTTTTGCATTTTTGATCGAGGGATAAGGCCGGTAGTGTTAGAAAATATACAAAAAGAAAATGTTTGAAAAAATAACAAAAAAATGAAACAAAATCGAGGTTTTGGTAGAAAACGATAATAGGGAATGCCATAAAATAAGCAAAAAATGGGTGAGGAAAATCGGAAAACTGACGAGTTGTGACTAATTGGGATGAATTGCAGCACAATCCACTATCCGCATTTGCACTTCTTCTTCTGATTGTGCGAGCCAGTCTCCTTCAACGAAACACCGCCAGATCGGTTCTGACGCGGCGACGAAGTGTCGGGATTCGCTAGTTTCGCGTTGAGGACAAGACGAGTGATGCATTGGAACATCTGCAAAAATACTCATTTGGTTCTCATTCGAGCACCACAAGCAAATATTATCTTTGTAGAACACTTGCGAAGGGGCGGGTCCTCAGGTGAATCGAAAAAAATATTTTGAGATTCATTGAGAAACTAACGTGTCTCTATAATATTTTAGATTTTTCTCAATCAACTTTAGAACTTATTATAAGATTTTAAAATTTATTGAGATAATTTAGAATTTGCTCAATAAGATTTTAAAAAATATTTTTAAGTTTAGCGATTCTCAATAAGTTTTAGAAAGTATTAATAAACTTTAGATTTTCTCAAAATATTTTATTTGATTTGCCTGAGTCGGACCGAAAATTTTCCAGACACGTTTTGAACTGCTCAACAATAATTTATTTAATGAACAGGTTTCTTTTTTATTTTCAACTCCAGTAAGGTCGTCGTAGTACTTCAAACAATGACGTTTGAAAATTCGGTTTAAGGGATTTGGAAAAAAAAACCAAACATTTATTTATTTATTTTTTTTTATATTTTGAGAAAGTAAAAATTTGAAAAATCTCAATTCTAACATTTATTACGCTGAATGTAGTCTAACCCTTAAATTTAGAGTGTGTCGTTTCAGATCGGCGAGGCGAGGCCCGCGGGAATCTTTGTTTAGTTTGGTCCCGCGGGAAAGTTCTCTTTTTCTTCAGATGGTAATTATTGTAGAGTGATGCAAAAAATCGAAATATTCAGTCATTCGCACATTTCGTTTACATGCTCGAATCCTGCTCTAACCAGAATCATACCACACAACAACCAAGAATATAAGATAGTCATATGGAACTTGAAATGTTCACCTTCCGCTTATGCCAATCAATCAATAAACTCACCGGCTCGACATTCCTGTCCTCTTTTGCGCTAGTTTCGAAGAACTTGATATTCATAGAATCCGCATAGCTTCTCGCATCCGATTCGAGCACCACACGCTGACTTTCAGCCTCGCACTTGTTTCCCACTGAAATCGATGTTTTTTTTTCGTAAAATATTCGACTAATTTCCAACCAACCCAATACTTTTTGAACGGTATCGCAGTTGTTCTCGATTTCGAGAAGCCATCGTTTGACATTTCCAAACGATTCGCCGTTGGTCACATCATAGACAACGACGACACCGTGGGTGCCACGATAATACCTAAAGTCGATAATGACCAGCTCGTTCTTATTGTTTTACTACGTACGTCGATGTGATTGTTCGGAATCGCTCTTGTCCGGCAGTATCCCAAATTTGCAATTTGATCTTTTGCCCATCAATGTCCATTGTGCGAATTTTGAAATCAACACCGATTGTTGTAATATAGTTTTCTAAAATATAAATATTTGATGTAGCATATAAAGATTCTCGAAATTTGGGTGATTTTAAATTTGAAAATTCTCATTTTCCAGAGTTTTTTTTTTGCTGAATAAGATTCATCGATTTTCAAAAAAAAATTATTACAAATGTTTTTTTAATGAAATCGATTATTCAATAATTTCTAGCTCACCCGAGAAGGTGTTGTCCGCAAATCTGAGAAGTAGACTGCTCTTGCCGACTCCAGAATCGCCAATGATGAGCAATTTGAACAAATAATCGTAATCTCTGGCACCCGCCATTCTAACTGAAAATTGGCAGAATGCACATTGAAAAATAATATTTTCGGAATAGATATATCAAACAGCAGAAAACTGTTAAATCGGTAATAATTCGCAATATAACCAATCAATTATGATAATATTGGCCAAAAAATGTTCCGGAAATACATTTTAAAAAGGAACAGAATAAAGAAAATTAAAATTGAGACCATTTTACAGCAAGAGAACGCAATTGTAAGTATAAAAAACATAAGAAAAATCAGACCTAGATACCGTTTCCAGCTACCATCGTCATCTTCATCTTCAGATTCAACTAAATGCGAATATTGAGGTGTTTGTGGGAAATAACGACGAATCGGCATTCTAGGGAGTCAGATCATCGAATGAATGAGTCAGAGGGAAAGAGTCAAAAAAGAAGAAGGGGGAGTGGACATAAAAACAAAACAAAAAAAGAAGAAGCGATTGTTTAACAATACAAATCGAAATCGATTCGAGCAACTGGATTGAATGATCCCGGCGTGTTGAGGCGACGCGCAACTCCTTTTGACGCCAATTCCCCTTTTTGTTGTTTGTCGGCCATTTCGGACGAAGTGAATGGTCCCTAGAATTGAAAATTATACTTAATCAATATTAAGTGAACGTGAAATTCGTAAGATGGCTATAGTATATTTGCAATAAAAATTAAATATTCGAGTAGAAAATGGAATTTCATTTCGTTAATTATTCATTAAAAATTCGCAATTTTATGTGTACATAGCTACCAAATCGTGCGAATTCAATCGATATATTTTTTCAAATTGCTTTTTCCACTATTATGGGGGGGGGGGTTTCATGCAATAAAAATGTAAATAATTACACATTTTCCAATGGTGAGATGTGAAAAAAATGTAAATGTAATGTAATTTTTTGCATTTTTTTTGTAAAAAGAAATAATTTCATGAATAGGTTCATTGAAAATATTTCATCTCACATTTTGTGTCGAATTTTAAATTTGAAACGGGTGCAGAAAAACACAGAGAAGCAAATTTTGCATATTCTAATAATAAAAAAATTCAGTTTTGATCATCACGAAACAAGCATTTTGGCTAAAATGGCTTTATTATTTGAATTGCCGCATTGTTTCTCACAAGGAAATCGTCCATTTTTGAATTTTGCAAAATAGCTATCATATTATGAAAGAGAGTACCCTCTTTAACGGTCAGTTATCACCCCCCTGGTCCACCCAACCAAGGAACGAAAAGCTTGGAAAGCTGTGGTTCGCGCCTCAACAGGCGAAGGACGAAGCGACTAAGTGACTAAGTAAGTGAAAGTGATTCGCAGGCTATCCAAAGTACGGTACTCGAATTCCCGAAGCTTAAATCGAACTTTGAATTACCGCTCGAAAAAGTGCGACGTTTCAAAATTGCCCAAGGTGCCCGTTTTTTTTGTTGCGAATATTAGATTTTTTCAAAATAAAGGTGTGAAATGATAGAGTACGATCACATTTTATTTCGTGAGACCAATTAATTGAGAGCCGGCGACATTCAAATATTTCAAATAAAACCGTCCAAAACAAAATAAACGTTTCCCAAAAAAGTTTGTAATAACTAAAAATGAAAGCAAAAACTATGATAAACAAGTGTTTGTGCATAGCAATGCGCTGCTCTCTAATCTTATCATAATGCGCAAGAACCTCACCGACAAAAGTGTCGCGACTCAGGTTAATCGGGGTTTTTGACGGCAAAATTTAATGAAACATGCAAATTTAACAAGCGAATTAGCATGAAAACCAATCATTGGCTCGTATTTGCGATTTTTCGTAATCATTTATTTAAAAATTACCTGAACTTTTGTTCCCGGCTCATCATTTTCCTTATATTCCCATTTGACTTCTTCATCATCCATTCCTACATTTTCTGTCGATGGTTTAGAGCTACTTTGAACTAAAAAATCAATTTTAAAAATCAAATGAATTGAATTGAATGTACCTGGTTCGTCTGAGAACATGTCGAGATCATCAACTGCTGTTTTGTTCATTTTTTGAAGCATAAATTCAATTTTCTCTTTATGCCATTCGTATGCATCCATCTAATAGATATAAAAATGAATGAAAATTCATAATTTTGGAACTCACAAATCCAGCAGAAATCAATTCATCCGCCAACCCACTTAATTCTGCTGTTTCTTTTTGCCCGTCAGTTTGTTCGAAAGTTTTCCCAGCTTTTTTCGCCGCCCATCTCATTTTTCGCTCTTCTGCTGCCGTGAGACCTACAAATTGGTAAAAACTACAAAAAAAATGACAAAAGAAATGTTACCTTTCTTCTTTTTTAACTCTGTTAGTGCTTTGGCAATTGTTTGATTTGGTTTAAGAATCTGGAAATGAGCAATTTTGATAGAAAATTTGCGAATATTACCTTTGATAGAGCCTCAAGAATCTCTTTCTTTCGCAAATCACTCATTACTGGTGGTGCAAAATCATCACTTTCTTCTTTCTAGAAAATAAATTGCAATTACTGAAAAGAAATTACAAAATACCTTATCATCACCTTCCCATTGATCTCCAGCCTTCTTTTTCACAGTAGACCAATCAATTCCATCAAGCCACGCATCCTAAACGAACATTTAAATTAGCTTTAACAAACTATACAATTTTAATTAATCTCGTTATCCTCATGCTCTATTTGGAATTTTCGATTACAGAAAAAAAAATTTTTGAATTTCATTTAAAACGTATAATCCTTTCTATTGAAACGGATAGAAAATGAGAAACTCGGACCTTATAAATGTTATGTTTTTCATACTAACCTAGGGCGGAATTTCAAGTATTTTACACCTTCGGTCCAAAATAATATCATGGAAAAACATAAGGTTGGAATTATTTGCTCGTTTATGGTTTTATTTTAAATATTTTTCGCTTCAATTCTACGACTTAATGGGTTTACCTGAATTTCCTTTTCTTTTTTATCGAAAATGAAATTTCCGGTCTCATCAAAGTGCCCATCTTCCATATCTTCTTTCATGTTAAACGCAGTAATTTTAATGGTGCCATCAAAATCCATCGTCGAATCTTCTTGGCCTTCCACTTTGTTCACATCGAGTCTTTTATGGTCTTCTTCTTCTTCTTCATCTGATTCCAGTGTATGGAATTTCTCTTTTGGCTCTTCTTCCTTTAAAATTAAACAATTTACGAATTAATTAAATGTAGGCAAACTTCATTGTTATCTGGACGATTTTTCACCGGTTCATCACCTTCTTCCATTGGCAAATCGAAATTCTCATCTTTTTCGAGGTTTTCGAGCTCTCGTCGGTCTCTTTTAAACGAACGATACTCGATATCATCAGCAAATGAAACGGCTCTTTTCGGCATCTACAATGTGATAAAAACAATATATTTTAATTAAACTTTAGATAACGTGATTTCATCAATGTTTTGTTAATTCAAATAACGCACAAAGTTCTACAAAATAAACATTTGGCATTGAATAATGACTAACCAAAAGATAAACGAAACAAAAACGGTTAAACGGACAGAGAGTAGAGAGAATTGCGAAAAATTCGTAAATAAATAGAGAAATGCGGCGTTTGAATGTGTTACGGTACGCAAGAACACACGGCACAAGTCCGCAAACACATCGCAACAATTTATTGGAGGCAAATTTAAAACTGAAAATAAATATTTCAAGCTTTCATTACTTACATTTTTTATGGCCATGTCAATTTTTTTCAGAATGGACGCTCTCGACGAGGCACTGTTACAATTAGGAGAGTTTTCTGATGAAGAAACAGAAACCAAAACAAGAAAATCAAAATTAGAATGTTAGATAAAATTGATTTTTATATTTTTAAATAATCGTATTAAGCATTTCAAGAAATCGACATTCTTGCCGAAATCCCAGGACCGTCAAAAGAATCACCAAAAAAATCATTAATAGAAAGAAAAGATGAGGAAGATGATGAATTATTAGTAAATCGGAAAGAACTGTCCGAACATGGACGAGCAATTGAAAAATGGCTGAATAATAAGAAAACAACGTCGAGTTTTATTTCATCACAGGAATTTCAGTCTAGTCGAGTATGATCTTTTTTCAAATTTTAGTTTCTAAAATGTTTAATTTCAGAACAATGTACTCATGGGTCTTTCGAAACCTACAATCTCTAAAGGAAAAGAAGGCGATTTTATTGCAAATATGGATAAATTCCAAATCTCCGTGAGGTGATTTTTAATATTCGACGTTATAAAACTCAATTGGATATTTAAAGGAATCCCAAAGTAAGTTCGCAGAACTTTGGAATACTCACTGCCGGAATGAAACTCGTCAAATTAACAGAATTAAAGCCTGACTCAAATTTCAAAGGTTCAAAACGGAATTATTTCTGACAATTGACTATCAAATTAAGATTCTTGGTGCACAATGGGAGTTGTTGTGGAGAAGGGGATCAGCAAGAAAAGCGCGAACGGAAACGAGTACCTTATTTGGAGAGTTCATGATTTGAAGGATTGCCAAACACCCACACTGAAATTGCTAATGTTCGGAAATGCGATTGAGGAGCATTGGAAAATGCCGGTAAATGATGAGATCAGAGTCGGATGCTGAATGAAATGTTTTTTTTTAAAGATAGGAAGTGTTATTGCACTTTTGAGCCCTCAAGTGTCAGCAGATTCAACAGCGGCTCCATCCAGTGAGTTTTGTAAAAGTTGGCTTGTTGATTGATGACCGATTCACAGAAAAACCCGCAATTGTGTTGAGAGTTGCAAAAGGACGACAAATTCTCGAGATCGGCTCGTCTGCTCATTTCGGAACTTGCAAGGCATCGATGACACTGATTTCGAAAAAGACAATCAATTCCAATTTTGCAGGGAACTCGTCAAGACAACAATAAATGCTCGAATTTCGTGAATACCTCGCTGAGCGAATTCTGCGTTTATCATGTGATGAGTGCTGCACGGAAGATATCAGCGAATCGAGGAACATTCAATGCTGTCACTTGCGGTCCGAACCTCGGCGGAATCGCGATGATCAAAAAGAAGACTGATTTGCGAAGAATTAAAGGAAACCCTGTACCGCCTACAGCGAATGCGCCGACGATTCGACCATCAGCATGCAATTCATTTTCGACGTTGAATGCCAAAAAAGTCACGAAGCAAGAAGAAAAGGCGAATTTGGAGGATATTTTAGCGCAGAGGGTTTCTTCTTGTTTTTTAATTTGCGAATTTTGCATGAGCATTCTTTTTTCAACAGAAAAACACCCTTGCTGCACGCCAATTCCTGAAAATGAAAGAAAACGAAAAAAGTGTGGACAAAAAAGGAAAATTGGAGGAAATTCTTGGAGAGTTGGGAACTAATCGGCGAAAAGAAGAAAAACAAATGTCGATGGGCGATTTTTTGAAGGTTTTTGTTTGCCGATATTCACCTGCTTAATTTTTTTCTTTTTTTTTGAGTAATTTCAGAACGAAGAAAGGAAAGAGCGCGAGAACGTTGTGGATTTGTCGCAAACGAGTTCACCGGGCGCTTCGAGACTTTGGGCTTCTTCAATGAATCAGGCGAAGAAGCCAACAGGAGCAAGAGATGCTCAGGAATACGCAGCAAGAGTTGGCAAACCATTCAAATTTGGTTTCAGTTTTTTTTCTCTGATTGTGAATTTCAGCTGCGCGCTATTGCAATCCTCAAAAAGCAGAAATCGGAAGGAGCGGTGAAACGAAAAGCGGAACCGCCGAATAATGAGCAAGAAGCGAAGAAGGCGAAAACTGAAAAAGAGGAACGAAGCAAAATGGACGAAATCAAGAAAATGTTGGCGCGGAAAAGTATTCATCACAACGAAGCCGAAAAGGTGAAAAGAAAATATCTGTTTTTTGTTGACCGTCTGTCGATGGGCAATATTTGTCTTTGTTTCGAGACATTTTTTTCTTTGAGAAAAAAAAACCAATCGAATACTTTTTTTTCCTCAAAGTAGAATAAACGAAATTAAGGAAGAAAATGATCGTCTTCAAAAACATTTGAGTAGTATGGAAGAGCGCGAAAAAATCGAAACATTTACCACAACTTGCATGTCGGTGAAGAATATCAAAGTTGTCACGTGTAATCAGGTCCGAACTCTCGTAAAAACGCATTATTCATGATTCGAATTTCAGTGCAAATACACTGCACCAACGGCTAGTAAACTTTGCATCGAGTATGGGCATAAACTGGTGAAGCATGAGGCGGAGAAGCGGTTTTTCAAATGCTCTGGTTGTAAGCACCGAACGACTTGTTTCGAATTTATGCCGACGAAACCATGCAATGTATTTGATTCCAATTTCATTTTTTTTTTCATTTGTGCATTTCAGACTTGCAATGAAAACAACTGGATTCGAGTAGCAATGCGCGACGAGCGAAAAGTGCTTCTTGAAACCGAAAATCTCGAAATTCGCGGCGAGGAGCGAACATTTGTCAATTCGTAGTAATTTTGTAACATTCTGTGAATAATTGAAATATTTACTATTAATTTGAAAACGAAACAAGATGAGTTAACAGAAATATAACCGGACGATCTCTAGGAATCGTAATCACGATGAGAATTGAAAGCAATCGACCCAATGATGGCAATATTAGACTCTGAAATTTTTTCAATATTCACTTGGAAGTTGGAATTTGGATGAAAATCGTACTTTTTGATAACCTGGACGACGTCTTCATCATTGAGTACGTGGTCTTTTCCAACACGTTGTGGATTATGCTTCGCTGATGATCCCCAAACAAGGGCACTGAAATTGTGATTATTTCTAGAAAAAATTTTAGAGATTCCAACCATTTGAAGTCTTTTTGTAATGACTTGTGAATTTTCATGCACAAATCCTCAACCGTATTTTTTTCAGCGTTCAAAACAATTGGTGTCGCATAATCGGGCAATTGTCCCTTCGGTTTCGTATAACTGAACACACAAGATTTAAAATGATTGAATATCAAATGAACAACATACATTCGAATTAAATTGAGATATTCCCAAACTTTCTCTAATAAATCATCAAAATTCCATTTATGATGCGCCGAAATTGGAACGGTATGCGGGATACGGTAGATGATATCGAGTTCCTCAATCGAAATTTGATCGATCTACAATGGAATTGTGAATTTATTAGAAAAAAAAACAGTATTCGAATACCTTATTAAGAACATAAATGCACGGAATATAGACTCGATTTCCTTCGATCACATCGATGAGGTCTTCAGAAGTCGCATCGTATCTCAATGTGATGTCAGCATTATGAATTCGGTACTCAGCCAGAATGTTCTTGACCAAGTGAAGATCCAATTCGGTTTGTGGAACGAGCATCGTCAAGTTGATTCCTCCCTTCTCCTTCTTCTTGAATCCAATGTTCGGTGGCGTTTTGTTGAGTCGGATTCCGAATCCCTCCAATTCATATTCGAGAAGTTTCTTGTGTTGAAGCGGCTTCATCACATCGAGCACCATCAGAATTAGCGAACAAGTACGAGCAACTGGAAGCACATCGAATTGGGAGGCAAATCGAAAAATGACGTACCCGCAATAACTTGTTTTCCTCGACCTTTTCCATCTTTGGCGCCCTCAATAATTCCGGGCAAATCGAGAAGCTGAATTTTGGCTCCCTGAAAATTACAAGAAATTCTCCTCAATTCGGGTGGAAATGTTTCATTTCTGGTGAATATCCCCACCACTCCGAACAATCCTTCAATCTGTCAAACGAAAATTCAATCATCTTGATGATTCCAGCGAGCATTTTCATATTTTCGCGAATCGAAAAACAAAACGAAAAATGCGTTTAATGCGTTCCGAGCAGCACAAGTTCGTTCTCATGCTCGAGAGTCGATTTAATAGATTTCAGGGCCGACGCGAGTAAAATGAGATAACAAAAAAGCACGGCAGCTTCTTCATCTCCCCAGCTTTCTCAATTCTTCCCATATTTGGTAAATGTGTTGTTTTTCGGTGTTTCAATTTGAAGCTCACGTCATTTTGAAAAAAAAGGGAAATTCAACTTTTCGCGAAATAAAAACAGAAATCATTTGAAATTTCTATGGAAACTCGCCCAATTTTTTTTTGATTTTGACAAACGAGGAAAGTGTGTTGGCAAATTTTATTGAAGTTGCACTTTCATTTTTTTTTGTTCTAAAAATTCCAAAAACCAATTTGTTTTTACTTTCTCGTTTTCATCAAACTCACGCAGTATGCTGCATAAATCTTTGTTAACGAGGTCAATTATTCAAACTTTTCTTTCCGTTTTTTTTCGCAAAAATTCTAGAAATTAGCTTTTCCCCCCAAAAATTGCATATTTCTTTTCACAAAAACTTAAAGAAAAGCTCGCAGATTTTGAAAATAAGCGAGCTAGTTCCAACATTCTTTGACCACATCCATATATGAGCATTTCCTCCTTTCAAATGAATCTCTTCAACGCATTAGAGCCAACTTTTCTACCTTCGAACTCCAGAAAAAAAGTGAACTTTCGTTTTTTTCGCCGAGATTTGCACAAACTTTGCATATCTCTCTCTTTTCGCATTCGCGCGGAAATCGAAACTCGAACTTCGGCCGCAAGTTTGTTTCTCGAATTCTTCGAATTTGCCAACATTTCAAAAAAAAAGCCTTCGAGTTCTTTAATTCAATCAAAATTTCTTCCAAAAATCCAGGTCTCATGTGTAAAAGAGAAACAAAAAGCAAGAAGGCGAGATTTCGTTTGAGTTTCACCACATATCAGCTGATTTTCAAGTGTTTTCAAAACAATTTTATTTTCTTGAAATCTCAAAAAAAAAACGACTTGATTCGCAGGTTATTCATAGTACTCGACCGTACCCTAACTACAATTGTTTAAATTCAAATTTTTATTACCGCCCCAAATAATACGAAGATCTAAAATTACTGAATGTGCTCATTGTTTTGTGTCGAAGTCGGGTGACTGTTCGAGACCATTTCTGGCATTTAGCCAATTTGTCGCAGTCAAGCGATTTCGACAATAATTGATCAGAAAAAAATTGATATCTTCCAAATCGAACCTTTCAATTTCAACCGATCGATCTTTATATTGACCGGTAAGAGTTCATCAAAATTATAGTGATTTCTCAGTTTTTAGATTCTTGCTCATGTGCCTTTAAAAAAGGAACATTGATTAATAATTCTAGGCAGTAGTTGGAAATAGAAAAAGTCGTGCGGAGTTTGCTCAGATTTTCAGCAGAATACGCAGTCTCCAACAAAACTGCTGAAAATCTACGCATTCTACGCACGACATTGTATACTCGAGAAATTAAATTCAAAACATTTAGGCCAAATTCACTTTTAAATTTTCGACATTATTGCAAACTCCGATTCTGCTCGTCGAGACCCAATTTTAAGACGCATGGTTAATTCCATCAAATCGATATATAATATGCAATTTTACCTTGTATCGAATGACTCCGGGTACGGTGGTGAGAGTGGTGAATTCATAGGCGGCGACTTCCGAGTAGACGCCAGCCAAATTCGAAAGAAGCGTCGATTTTCCGACCGACGGAAATCCTGAAACAATCGCCATTTCATTCTCATTCGATATTTATGATGTATGAGTGCGTCGAGTGTTTTTCATGTTTTTTTTTTGCACATTTTCAATAGTCTAAAAACGCGCGAAGAACACGTCGAAGAGGGCGGGCAAACGAGAGAGATACGCACGGCGGCGAGCACAAAAAAAGTGAGCAAAATCGGGCACACAAAAAAAAGAAGTGGAAAAAAAACGCGGCGGAGAAGAAAGAATTGCTCGACGACGGCCAGTAGTAGTAGTAGCTCCAGCGACGACGAATTTTCTTCTAAACGCGGCTTGTCAGCACATATAAAACAAGTTATTCTCTTGTTCGCAAAAAATAAATACATATTAATATATACTCGGGTGCTCTCGTTGTCGCCGCGCCTCAAAATTCGGGCTCTCGCCAAACAAAAGCAAAAAAAACAACACGAGTTTCTGGAGACCCTCATCATATTTCACCTCGGCCAGATCTCACCCAATTGTTTTTTTCGTCTCATATATAATTTTTGTTTCTGTTGTTTTTCTCGCTCAAATTGAATACAAAATATTCAATTATTTGGTCGAATGTGACACTGGCAAGTCTCATTCGATTATCGTTAAAACGGAGAAGCGCGAGGAGGTCACTTTTCGAGCATTTTTGTTTATGAACCTATTCACGCAATGGACAAAAAAATGTAAAAATTGCACATTTTCCAATGCCGGGATATAAAAAAAAATGCAAATTTAATGTAATTTTGTACATTTCTTTTCAAACACAATACATTTCATGAATAAATCCATTAAATTTTCTCACAGAATTCATATTTTCGAAAATCAAATATGAATTTTGTATTTTTAAAAATGCACATAATCAGCACAAGAAGCACATTAACCGATATGCGCTTTTAAATGTGATTTTGCCACATATGACTACTAAAAAAAAACGATGCCATGATTTTTCAATTTCATTGATTTATATGTATTTTTAACGAGGAATTTTCAAAATGAATAATCTTCTTTCTATATACTATTTGGAAAATCGCTACTTTTTTCACGCGAGAATATATTAAAAGTGCGCATTCCGTAAATCTGCCCGATTCTTTCAGACTTCAAGTTCAGTATATAAATAGATTGTTTTGAAAATAAAATAAAATCTAGTTTAAAACGAAATGAGTAATCTTTAAAATTTTTATCTTCGAATTCGCTTCCTTGATATCACTACAAAATATCAAATCACTTACTTTTCTCAAAAAGGTTTTCTGAACTTAAATCAAAGTTTAAACAAAATCAATAAAAAAATAATCTGCACAAAACTAATTTCGTCCCAATTAGACATAAATCAGTGAAATAGGTAAAAAAAGATAATGCCTACAATTTGCACTTTGTAGTCTCTTGAATCCGCAACGGAAACCAATTTCCGGATTCTCCTATTTATAATTCATGGAATTTGGCAATAATGTTTCAATTTTACCCCATTCCAGCCTCATTTTCTTCTCTGCTAAAAAAATAGGTTTTATTCTCTTTTCTGAAGATCAAAGCTCAAATCTTCTGTTTTTCTGAACGTTATACTCACACGAACACGCACCTGAGCCAAGAAAAAGAAAAAAAAACACACACACACGAAATTGGTAGGTTGGGTCCCTTATTTCAATATACATCATTCCGCCTCATGGCGAACCTCATAATTTCTCCGCATTTTTCTTTTCATTTTTTTGTGTTCGATTTTTCTCGCTGGAAAATAATTGCGGAGGTAAATGATTTTCATACATTGTTTTTGAGAGAGAAAATTTGAACAAATAATTTTGTTTTCAAGTATATTTCGCTCCTCCCATGATTAGACAAAAATCACGTTTTTTTTACACAGAAACATAAGAAGAGCGGCGACAACCGCGGTGGGATTGCCAAGCGGTTTTGTCTTCTTTTTTTTTGCACAGATATCTCACGGGAAATGGATATATATGGGCAAGGAGCACATTTGAGTTGGAGAGGAGCAGTCACATCATTCTGCTCAGAAAACTTTCCCTTTTCTCTAATCGAAGTTTTTTCTTTCAAAAAAAAAATCATAGGTCTCCTCAAGTTTTCATCCCGCGGCCCAAAATTAATCCTAACAAGGGAGGTAAGAATTCAAAAATCAAATCCAACCTCGGCGTACCGTAATTAACTACAAGATTTGAAAAAATGCTCGGAGATCCAACCCTTTAAGGAATTTTTTTATCGTTTCTTTAATAATTGTAAAATCCGTCCCATAATTCATTGATAAACCAGGCTCTAATCCAAATTAACAAAAAAAAATAAGCACGCACAAAATGCCCACTATTCATAAGCTCCGGAAAACCACTATGAGCAATTATGTCCCGGAAATTGGGAAAAGCTCACCATTTTTCCGAGAATTCGTTTTTTTTTTCTGTCTCCACACTTTTTTTTTTGACCTCATTTGTTTTTCGAATCCTACCGAATTCCCTGTTCGGGCGGGATATATTTCGAGCAACGGAGCATGGCGCCAAGATGACGAAAAAACACCCCAAAACACATTTATTTTGCACGCTTGAGGTCTGACTCAAGTTGCTGCGGCTCAACGCATGAACCCAGTTCGTGAACAATTTGAGCTTTGAAGCACGAACAATCTAATAAGCTCAATTATTTTCGATTTCTCCTTCATTCATCAAGTTTCTTTTCCAAGGATTCCAATGATCATTTGAATTCATAATAAATATTTTATACAAAATATTAATATTGGCTTCCAAATTAATTAATCTCTTCATTCTGTCACTGACGTGTTTAATACGCAATCGAACAAATTCCTCATTTTTTTTAAAATAGGATTTACTCTGATCATATTTTCAGCTGATAATCTCTAGTAAAATCCACAAAATTTCTACGAAAAAAGGCAAACTAGACTCGTAATTCCTTTCCTCCTCAACTTTATCATTATCATCATCGAGTTCTGAGAAGCTTGTTTCACCTCATCGTTTCCCAAACAATATAAATCATTATTCATTTCCATCCACATAAATTCCTATATAGTAGAAATTAGAGAAGAAACAGCATTAAGCGCTCTCGGCGTTCCGGTCTTCCCCCCCCCCCGCGCCCGTCGCGTTGATCCCATTCTTTCGTTTGGATTATGAAGACGGCAATAATTAATCTATTGCTGTCGTGTGTGCTTATTCTTCCTCGTTCTTGAAGCGAAGAGAAGCAAATGAATGAAGCGCTATTCGTCGCGAGAGTCAGCAGCAATAAAAATGATTGCCTATTATTTGAGAAAATGACAAGAAAAGAGCAAAACACAAACAACAACACAAACAACAACATCAGCAATAAACAAAACAAAAAAAAAGAATATACAAAAAAGGGAAAACGACTAAGGGAAACCCCGACGAGGCACGTATAAAGATAGACGCATGCATCCGAAGTCGAGCCGCCTTATGCTCGCCGAGCATCTCTCGCTTCGCGGTTTTTTTGTGTGTGTGCCGTCAAAAAACGTCTTCTCGTCTGGCACACTCTACCAATCCACCGGGCTTCGCCACTTTTTGCGTGCTTTTCTATTCAAACTTGTCTCTCGGTCCTCTCTCCCACTTCTTTCTGAGCAACACATTTTTTGCGTCCGTCTCCCATACCGCTTCTGATAGCTTTTATGCATATTCGCAACACTTTGTCATCATATAAACACTCTGCCCATCTTCCGCAAAAACCAACCCGACAAAAAATAAAAAGCGAAACCAACAAGTTATAATTTCAGAGAGTCTACTCGAACTCCGCTACAGTATCTGGCAATCGATGCCAGTTGGTCAATCGATGCCGCAATCAAGTTGTTGACAAACAATGTCGCGGATCGATCTTGGATATTATGCCGGTGGCTCGAGTCGTCAACACATTCGAATTATGATCTCGTTGATCATTCTAATCGCCCAACTCGACCCGTCAATCGCAGAAGTCTTGAGGTTATCGAAATTAGTTCCTAAATTCCCAACACCGGCCGGTGTCGATATTCCATTTTTGTGTTATTCGGATTAGATACGAGCAAATTATTTTCGCGGCTACGACATCGATGAAAAGCTTGTGAGAAAAATGAGAATTTTAAAAATCTTTGCGTTTTTTTCGTCTCCGAGATTCATTAATATATTCCCACAATAAATTCAAAGGTCAATTTTGAAATGAGAACGTGACTATCGAATCATCTTTTTTTTTAGTTTATTTCCTAAAATTATTCATCATCATAATTTTTGTTTAATTGGAATGATTCATATTTTAAGAGCACAAAAAAGTAAAAATATCAAAAACAATGAATTGTAAGGTTGGTTCGAAATATACCCAAAAAAAATGTCGAGAGAATTTCGCATTCCAATTTCTGATCATTAGTCCAAAGTTTATGCGCCTTTTAAATTGAGTTTTTGCAAGTTTTCCGACTAGTTTTTCTTCATACCATTTTTCCCATTCTTTTTCTATAAAATTTCGACAAAAATTCAAAGGAGCTGAGGTATTCTATAAAAGATGATTTTGTGTATCCAACTAATTGCCCACAAAAACAAAATATAAGCTAGTTATATGCGCGACAATAGATCGATTCGAAAAATCTCAAAAGCGAATACTTTTCAGGAGATCATTGGTAGAGAGCCCATACGGAATGAAACCACCGGAATACATGTTCACACCGATTCCCGAATCGCAACCGGACGTCGTCGTCGAGACACGAAGGCCAATTGTATGCAACAATCAGACGGAATTCGAGTGCATCTGCGTGCGGCCATTCATCTCGACACATCCAAGCTCGACCAACAACCATTCAATTATGTCGTCGAAGCCCGATTGCAGTGTGTTCATAAAGGTACGCATATCGAATAATCGCAAATCATCAAATTATTCATCGAATCAATAATTTTGGCGAGTCGCCGTCAAAATATTGAATTTCCGACAAGACCACGAAATTCGATCCCCTCAAAGTGCGAAAAAAACCGGCTCGTCACTCATTTTTTTTCAGCGGGCGGAAACCTTTAAAAAGAAAGAACCAATTCCGCCATTGTATAATAAACTTCCTGAAAGGGGAAGAACCAAGTTTTTTTTCAAGAATTGCTTGTGATTTTTCAAAGAAAAGAAAAACGCGAGCCATGTGCGGATTTGAGCGAGTCCTTTGCCGCACAGCAATTAAATTTAGCTTCAAACGTCTTGAAGAAGAACAATACAATATACGAAAATATTTGTTTTCGATTAGAAAAACGACGAGATCACAATTGTGGGATCTCTGAGCAATTGTCGAATCGAACAGGTGTCAATGAAAAAAAAAAACAAATTGCAGTAGGCGCATCAAAAAAGTGCAATTTGGCGAGAGTCGTAATTATTTATGAGCATTTTTCGAAATGTTTTGTGCACTGGAGATATTTCAGACCGATGAATTACCCGTGGTCGATATGCGAATGCGACATGTCAATACGGAAGCAATCATACATAGCGGTATTAGTTATGAGGTAAACAAGTCAAATAGTTATACAATAACTCTATCATAAATGCAAAACTTGGGTACGGTAAACTATACGGTATTTTTCATAGTAGGCCATGGCTATATATATATATTTTTTTTTTTAAACATATATTGTTGACATCGATTGAGTGACCGAGTTTAAAGGGTCAATGCAAAGAAAATGAAAAAAGAAAACAAAAATAAAAATTGTTTTCTTTTTTTTCTGCATTGACCCAAAAAAAAAACTGCGTACTCATTTTAGCATACGCACATTTAATATTCACTAAACGCTTAATTTTCTAATTACATAAATTCGTCTAGATGATTTTGAAAGACGTTGATTTCTGAACATGCTACTATCAACGCCCGAATTTGTAGTATATGGCTTCTCGAGAAGATGTTCGAATTTTTGAAATCCAAACTCTGATATTCAAACCTGGCGAATTCATATTTTCAGGAATATTTCAAAAAACGAATTGCGAGCATTGTTTCACATTATTGTCAGCATAATACGAACGAATGTCCCGGCACTACTTTGCGAACGAGCCAAGTGAGTCAGGTACTTGCACGTTTTCTCTCTCTCCCTATTTTCGGTTCCTGTGTTTCGGCGGCTTAATTTGCATCTAGAGGGCCGTCGCATGCCGCGTTCGCGCTCGTTTTTTGATCTACCGATTCGCATTGTCATGCCCTGCTTGGTTATGGACACATCGTCTCCGATTTTTTTTTTCATTTTCGATTTATTTCAATTGCACTATCTGTCCCCCAGCACGAAATTACTAAATTTAGCCATAATTAACAATCAACACTTTCTTTTATTTATTTTTTTTTTGGAGATTGGATTATTTATAATCTATAGATAAAATCAATCAACCCTTTAGGAGTATGACAATGACGAGATCGACAAATCAGTGTTATACGCAGAACGCGACGAGAGTGAACCGCTCTTGAACAAGGTCTCTACTATATTATTTTTTTTTCGTAAATATTCCCACTTTTTTCGGGTAGTAAAATTGTTGAGTTTCGATCGTAAAAATTGCACCGATTTTTATTTTTCTCAATTCTTTTTTTCGCATGACTTTCTTTTTTCTAGTGCTTTCAATTCTTTCATTTGCAGTGAGCAGCAATATGAACAAAAAATACATAAAAATAAAATGAAGCGAATCACTTCTAGGTGCAAATTGGTTTTTAGTAGATATTCTTAGATCCTAAATAAATAAACGAAAATTTGAAAAAAAAATTTTCAATTTCGTTATTCAATAGGAAAACGTTGTAATTCTACGAATGGAGCAACTTCGCGGAAATGTGACGAGAATTTTATTCGTTGTCACGAAAAATGATCGAGTTGGCGGAATTGTCAGCGAGAATCTGATAATTGACCCGATTAAGGTAGTCGTCGAAAAAAAAAACGCCTTCTGAATACATCAATTGATTGTTCAGGTCAAGTATATTCTGGCAAGCCAGGTTGGTCCACTTTCACGGGTCTTGGGTGGAATTCGAATTGATAGCGTTCGAGCGGCGAAACTTAAAAGGAACGAGAATCTCGGATCATTAGCTTGGACTACTCCCGAGCAGCGAGCCGACAATTTGAAGAGCAATTCGAAGCTCATCAAGGGTATTTCCTGAATTCACGAGCCAATAATAATACAATTCGATTAAAGGACTTCTTGTTGTCTGCGCGTTCTTCCTCACAACCTACTGCATCGCATTCGCTCAATGCATTCGCTATTTCTACCGTAAACGACAAGCCGAGCGACTCGCCAAAATTTCCGAGAATGGTCTCGCCGCGACAGCGGAACGAAAAAACTATGGAACTTGTGAGAATCAGCGGAAACCATCGAGAAACGGACACGTCAAAACTGAAGAGCGTGTCCCTTTGACATATGAACAGATTGATGAGAACGCGAACGATGTATGAAAACATTGAATGAAATTGGAAGCTTGAGTTTTGAATTCAGGAACCTCAGCCATTGACAGAACGTCAAATGCGGAATTGGTTCGCGTGTGATGCCTCACAACTTCCAAGGGAGCCAACAATCGATGATTCACTGATGACCTACGAAGTACCACATGGTCCGGTATCCTCACCAAAACCAACAGAAGACCTCAAAACTAAAGAGGAATCACCGGTAAGAGTTCCTTTTTTTAAAACTATTCTATGAAGTATAAATGCTTCAGATTCTAACGAAACGAGAAGCCCCGAAAGTTGTGGAGAAACATTCGCCGGAAACTGCCTTCCCGCCTTCAGACGAATTCACCAACTACGTTGAGGACCAATATCATAAAAGCAGGACCTCATCCCAAGGATCGAACGAATATAAACCGAAATCACCGGTCGAAGATCCATGGGATGAACTACCGAAAAATGTTCCACCCGTAGTTCTTCTTCAATCCGAAACTCCAGACATCCCAGTCTATCCCACAACTATCGATGAAGGAGAAGATTTTGTGGGTAAATTGGGTGGTCCGAGTACGCCATTAATACGACCTCGATCTCGACGAGGAAGCCGGATAGACGAAGAGGAAGGAACACTCGATATACCCGAATTGAAGCCATTATCGTTAGTAGATCAAAACACATTTTCTCGAATAATTTAATTGCACAGTTTAGAAGCGACGATCCATTAAAGGATCCAATGGATGTTCCAGTTCCTCCGGAGCAAATCAAAACAGAAATTGAGGAATCTGATAGATGGTCCAGCAGCGAAGACGGCGAAGTCGATGTTTATTACAAAATGAGCGACGACGAAGACGTGACACAGGAAGAAATCGAGTTCAAGAAAGCTCTCGCGAAGGTTCGATGATTAATGTGTTTTTAAACTTTTCTGAACATAAGGGAAACATTAAAATCGTCTTGAGACCCATTAATCTTTTCGCGTCGCATACAACTCACTCAGTAAAAAAGTACATCATTTAGGTGTCCCTGGAAAAGCAAGAAAAACCAAAGAAACAAGAAACACCGCCATCTTCGCCGATTCGCACAAATAATAACATCGAAACTGATTCGGAAGGTAATACAGTTTTCCGCAAAAATTCACCACTTCTAATTAACAACATTTATATAATCGTTTTTCTTCTAATTTCTCGCCTTTCCATCTCTGACAAATTCAGACGAAGACGAGGATGTAGTGATGAAGGAGAAAGAGGATGAGGCGTTTGTGTATGAGAGGCTACGAGAAGAGCTGTCACCACAACCGCCGATTGTCGTCGATCTTGACACCACGGATCTCGACTTGAATCCAATCAAGGTTTTCGTTAGTAACTTATTCTAGCCGCGCATGTTCAACTAACAAACACATTTCAACCTAATACACGATTCGATTATAATTCGAAAAAAGAACGATTATAAAAATGAAAATAATTTAGGCAATGCCTCCACCACCACCAGGAATGTTTCCTGAATCGCCGCCGGAAAGCGGAAGCGACAATTTTAACGGCAAAAAAAGCACCGAGTACAATTCTTCGGATGACGAAGACTCGCTTAGATAGATCATATACGATTATATTTATTTAATTGTACCCTTTCTCGCCCCTTCCACTCCAAACAATTGAATTTGCTCAAAACTTTATTGATTATTAGGTTTTATTTACACATTAGTTTCACGAATTTTACTATATAGTTTTGTTAGTGTTCATCGATACTCTCCCGGTGATCTGATGAAACTCGCGCTACTTTTTTTTTATAAAAATATTTTTTTCATTGACTTTCTACCCAACTCAAGTGTGCCTACATTGACCAATAATAAATTATTTTGCGAATAACTGAATATTTCTTATCGGCATCGCGCGATTGCCAAAATTCCAAAAAACAATTAAAATGGCACAACTAAACGTGTTGATTTACGGAATTACGTATAAGGATAGGTTAAAGGCGCATACCGCGTACCGAGACCTCTTTTTTAATTTTTTGGTATTTAGCCAATTTTTCGCAGTCGCACGACGTCGACAATATAAGGAAAAAATTGAACTAACCGACAAACCCAATTCGTGCGTCTCCAGTTTTGGCTACATCGAATCCTTCGCCAGCAGCGCCGCCACCACCTTTTGGTGTAATCAATTCTCTTCGGAGTTTCGCTAATTTGGCCTGAATTCGAAATTTGGAGAAAAGGAGAAAGTCGGAAATACCTTGAGAATACCCAAATGTGCATTTGTCGCTTTATTCTTTTGCGTCCTGGCCATCTAAACGTGATATAGCTCATATTAACGGGATTATTATCCAAAATACCTCAGCCTCAATGTCGGCAATTTTTTGAATTATCGACATTTTGAAGTTAAGCTCGAATTGTATTCGAATTCCCAGATATCTGTAAAAGTAATTATGAAATGGTAAAAATTAAAGTTTCTGAATAAAAATATTCGGTTCGACGATCTAGTCTGTTTTTTCAAAAATATTAACATTCTCTTATACATATATTATACAATTCGTAATTTTACATTTTGTATAGCAGAACATTCAAAATGTTCGAATTACTAATTTATAAAACAGTAATTATATTTTACCTAATTTTTATCAATGCAACGAGAGAACAATTCAAAAAATGACATTTTATATTTCTAAATATTCATTTAATTTCAAAGTAAAGGAAAATGCATGAAATTGACAGAAATGTGTACTGAAAACTGGTAAATTTAAAAAATTGAAACGCAAAATAAATTCCTACAAAATAGTGTGTAAACACCGAAGTATTACGAGGAACCACGTGCTTGCAATTTTACGACATCGATGAAATGAACTGGCAGAGGGTGGCGAACAATTTTTTTATAGGGTTAAAGCTTTAGAAACGTTTATCAATATCTCAACTTTCAAAATCTGTCAAAATCGGTATCAAATTTAAAGGGAACGTCCGAAAAATTCGTTCCAATTCACCACAATCTATACCTCAATTATCGCGAATTTTGGTGAAAACAATCTTCAAATTAAGTATTAAACTTTTTAACATCTAGAAGATTTGACGAAACTTTCTGGATATTTTTGAAATTTAAAAAGAAATTCTGCGAAAATCGGAGGAAATTTTTTATCACTTATACTGGTTGCGAATAACATACGACTTTTTTTTAACTTAAAAAAGCATTTAAAAAATTTAGTCATTCGACTCACTTTTTAAAAGTTTTTCTTTAAAAAAATTATTCTCAAAACTGGAAAATTAATGTTTTATATTTCCGATATTAACTTTTTTTTGAACACTTACCAAATGAAGACTGTGTACCGGTGGTGGATTGGTGAAAATTCTCGAACCTTATGTGGCGAGAATTAAGATCAAGGATCCCGATTTTTTCCTGAAGAGATGTGTCCGGTCAGACCGTTTCGGGCCATGTTTTGACCCATCGAACACACCTAGTGTCCATCTTTTTTAATAGGTTATTTAAAAATTTGGCCAAATAAGTTATTTGATTTAGGAATTCCTGCTTTAGAGATTTTCGAAAAAAAAGAGTAAATAAAAATCAAATCTGAACTCACGTCAATTTTATTTTTTTTTGGAGCTTGCGGAAAAAAAAGGAGAAAAATGGCCAGAACTGATCGAAATATTTTATCTCGTTGATCTTCTATATTTAATTAATCGGTTGAGAACTAACGTAATTTACCAATAAGAGAACATTATGACCGAAATATCAAAGAAATTTTTTTTGTTCAACCGAATACAAATTTATCAGCCTCGTAAACTTTTTCTTTTTTTGAAAAAGCTCATTTCAACCAAAAAATTCCTAGCCTTTCGAATTGAACGAAGAAAAAGGTCTATAAATGAAAAATGAGTTGAATTTATTCGAAATAAATATGGTAATAAATACACGAGCCAAAAATGGTTTGGTCAAGCGACGGAATAGCGCGCGGTGCTGTATTGTGCTGTAATGCGCCTTTAAAGTTTCACAAGCGTTTTTTTGCTTGAAATTGAACTCTAAAATAAGAAAATTTTCAACTTTTAAAATTTCGACAGATTTTAGAAAATCAAATTTTGCGACATTTCATTTTAAAATTTTTCCTATTTTCCGCACACTAATTCAAGATCGAGTCAATTAGTGGGATATTTATTCAATCACAAAAATACACATACAATATGAGAAAATCACAAAAAAAGAATGAAATAGATGATATATACAGTCGCTGAATGAAATGGCGTTTCGATTTGATATAGTAGAAAGAGAAAAACGTGAATGGGGAAAGACGGACAAATAAGGAACGAAAATAAGTGGTGACCCGGGTGATTATAGTCATGACTTTGAATGACATGACGGATCGAATCAGTCGTCGATTGCAAGCAAGTTGATGTTCTCGATCGGCTCGGCGAGCTCGCTGTCGACGTCCGCGCTGAGTTCGCTGATCTGAATGCTGCGGCAGATCGGGTTCGGACACTCGCGGAGATCATTGAGCGACAACACGAGCGGATGAACACTGCATACGATCTGCACGCGTCCGACGCATTCGTATCCGCATCTGCAAACAATTCGAGATCGTTTATTGCGAATCGACCCAATCGCGAAACCTCTTGCATACGACATGACAGTTGCGTCGTTCGCACACGCACACGTTTTCCGGCGACTGGGCGACGATCGCCGCGAACGGACTCGTCGTGTATTTCTTCGGTGTGCCTTTAACATGCACAACACGAGGCGTTGACACTGTTAGCGAATTGGGAGTTGTCGGCGACAGTTGCGACATTGACGACGAGCTGCGCGACGAGGGCGTCGACGCGATATGAAGCTCACGCGGCGTCGTCGATCTGCGCGACTTTTCTTGGGCGGCACGAGCACCGCGATTTGATTTGTTGCTATTACTATTATTATTATTATTATTGTTGTTGTTTTTTGTATTATTATTATTGTTGTTGTTGTTGAAATTGTTCCGTTTTTCCATATTGAAAATATTTTTACTCTTCTCCTGAATCGCATACGAATAAATGTGCCAGCTTCGCTGATTTCAAACCTTCAGAGAAGGAGTTGGAGGAATAATTTGTTCCATTAGTGGGCGTGGCTTCGATACAGGCTTCTTGCAAGGCGCAGAAGGGGTTGTAGTCTGAAAGATTTGCATCAAATCGCGTTTCGAACGCACAACAGAAAAACACCTTCTCCTCGACGGGACTTGTTGGGGATTTGGCCTGGCCGCGACCACACTCAAGCAGTTTGCGGGGGACATAATATGCTTGGGTGGGGCGTGGAGTTCTGCAAAACATTCTATCATCTCCATTTGGCTTCGGAATCAACCCGATCCGATTCTACGGTTGTCAGATCCGATTCGAATTGAAAAATTAAATCAAAACGGATTCGAATACTAACCAATCGGATCGGATTGATTCCAGAGCCGAATTTTGTCGGATCCATCCGATTGGTCTTGAGTTATCAGAGCGGGAGCAATAGTGGAAATGTTGCTAATGGTCTCGCCACGTTTGAATACACATTTTGTTATTTTCTCGTGAACTCTTTATTTTTAGCTTGATAAATTTGTAAAAAAAGTTTTTAAAAATATTAAAAATCATCGAAGTCATTCATTTAATACCAAATAATCAGTTAGTCTGCGCGAGACCACATCGCCCGTAAATCTACCCCACCATACATCAATCGCCGATCACATGCAAAACTACAGTATAAATTAAAGGCGCATGCGACGAATTCGGAAATTCGTCCCTAAAAATTTCCGATATTTGTCAGTTCTCGACAATACGAATTCGATGAGAATTTCGAAAATGTCAGCATTTTCCAGAAGAAATTTCTCGGCGTCTATCATTTGTACTTTGAGTTCATCGATCTTTTTCTATTTCATCTCACTGATTTTGCCAATTTAAAAGTCATCAACGATTGATAACCAAACATGGTCATAAAACATGTTTCGGTCCATCCATCGAATGATTTACTATTTCAACATAAAAACGCCGAAATCGTTGAATGAAATTGGTTGGAGGAGATCTCGCGGGCGGTATACTGTCAACAATAAATCAAGCAACTTACGAGTGTGGTCGCGGTGCCGTTGTGACGTCCATTACCTGTAAAACCTACAGTAATCTTTTGGAAGGGTTAGACGAAGGCGACGGACGAAACCAAACAAAAGAAGGGAAGGCGATGAAGCGCGGGGGCATGCTGGCGGGGGGATGGCGTCGACTGGAATGCCCGTCTGTATTATGTTCGATGACAGTCTTATCGACACTTCTTCTCCTTCTTCAGGCGGTTCGTTTTCACATTTTTTTTTGGGGACACGCCGAAACGAGCGAGAGAGAGCGTGAGACGCGGAGACGCAGGCAATTAGAGATTCGACAAACCGATAACGCCGTTATTAAGACAGTTTTTTAAGGAAGTCGACACATTTTTTTTTGGGAGGGAAAGGCGGTTGTGGTTGTCTCGCCCAAATATTTGTTTGAACGCAACAATAGACCTGGAGGCGTGCCGACATGTGTATGTGTGTGTGGCTGGAGAGGAGTTATTGCCAAAATGAAACACTAGTAGACCGGAAGTGATGAAACGGTGGTTTCTTTTTTGAATTTCGCAAAGAAAAATCAAATTGCCAGAATTGGAACATTGCTTGACAATTTGGACGAGACAATCAAACCAATAAAGATTGCGCTGTTGCATTTTTATCGCACAATGAAACATTTTGATTGCGACAAATATTATTCGATGCAAAATTAGGAAATTTGAAATAAAGGGTGACGTGAAAATGCATTTAAAGGAGCATAGAACTATATAGATGCCAATTTAAAGGAAAATTATTCATAATTTGAAAAAATCACATTTTTATCTCTATTTATGAAATGCGAAAAAATTGGATGAAATTATTGAAAATTCAAAAATGAAAGTATTTCATTAAAGAAATGGCGATTAAGATAAACAGTAAAAATTGGCCTTCAAAGACAAAAATGATGGAATAAATTGGTAGTAATAAATGTTGATTACTACATAGTTGGAGACAGGCCTGTTATCACCGCGCCGAATCAGACGAAGAAGATCCGAAGCAAAAAGTGCAACATTAATACAATATTTGTTGATGTGATGAGTCATGTGGGAAAAATCATCCGCCTATATTCGAGCAACCAACTAGGATAAAAAAGAATTGATGTTTCATCGGTGAATTCAGCCGAAACGGGTTGATTATCAGCACGATTCAAAGGACAAATCGAGGAAATTATGTAGGTATCGCATGATTTATTACACATTTTCTCGCAATTGACAACTATACGGTTTTTGGGGTGGGCGACCGTCGATATTATTAGTGGGTTGGGTAGAACAACAAATGGAACAAATAAATATATATATTCCCTTCTTTTTTTGTAAAGAATCTTGCGAAACATTCGAATTCAATTCGGATATATTAAAAAATAGGTTTAATTTCGAAATTGCTTTACAAAATAAAACAAAACTCGATTATTTGAAATTGATTTTTCGTTTGTTGTTTGTGAAACAAAACTGAAGCATAAGTCTGAAGACGTTCATCATTAAACAAAGGAATCACACAGATCACTGTATTATTTTGACTGCTATGAATTGGTATGAAAAGCGAAAAAACCGGAAATAGAAAAATGAAGGCATTGTGAAGAATATCATATTTATCATCGAATTAGTGAAAGAATCTTCTCAATTTTCGATGATTCGCAGATTCTGTGAAGCGAATTGAACTGTGTGATAGAGTGGGTTTGATATACCCAATTTTTTGGGAAAATTCTACCAGTTTTGTCAAAATTAAACCCAAAAATCCTTCACAAAATTGTCAATTGATAGAATTTTGAAGCATTTTGAAAATATGCGGGAAAAAATAAAATAGGAAACGAGACTATAATTGTTCACGAAACAAAGAGACATTTGGGGGCACGCATGCAATATTTTTTTTCTAGCAACCAATAATCCCATCATTCGATTAAATGCAAAGGCAAAAAAAATCGCTAATAAACAAAAGATCGGACTGGTCCAAAACATGTGTGGAAGGAGAGGAAGGCGGGGAAGAGCGGGGAGGAGAAGGGAGGAGGAGGTGGTGTTGAAACAAAGATGAGTCAATTTCAAACAAAAATTTGCGACAAGGTCACTTTGAAAGCGGCGCGAAAAAATTGGAATTCAAAAACTTGTCGACACTATCATTTATCAAACAAAAACTGCAAAAGAACCACACGGAGTGTAACAATTAACAACAAACAATATTGGGTGGAAAGTGTCTATTGGCTAGCAGTTGACAGCACAAGATCATCTCTTGATTGTTGGGATTTGGTTTTGAATTTTTGAGCAAAAGATCGAATCGAAATTGGAGAATTAAGACGAACTTCAAACAAAACACTATCGCGCGAGAAATTCTTTATATATTGTCGACATCGCGCAAATGCGGAAAATTGGCAAAATTCCAACAAAAAAAATGAAAATGTGGTCTTGGCGCGAGGCTAAGTTTGTAGATTTACGGGGTTACTCGAAAAATGTTTAAAATTGGACAAATGCGTTCAACAAGCGAGTTAAAGGAGCACATGCCGAAGCGGCTCATCGCGCCGAGACCTCTTTTTCATTTTTTGGCAATTAGCCAATTTTCCGCAGTCAATATATGCGGTGGTGGGAAATTCAACCACAAAATCAGTGTGTGTCCACGAAATTCAAAATTTACTCTCGGCCTTATTTGCGCGTACGTTAAAATGCAGAGTACGCAAACACGCGCAAGTTTGTTTTTGTCTCGAGACATCTGGCAAATAGCCAATATTTTTGAATTTCGTTCAGTCGTTTGACGCCTACAGTACATATTGTCGAAGACGGACAAATTTGAATGATCAAACGCTATTGCCATTTTTGATCTTTGCGTGAAATCAACAAATTTTCGCATGCGCCTTTGATATCTACTGTAATTTTCAATTGATCAAATCGAAAATTATTTTAGAACCATGGCGCCAAAATTTGAATAGTAAGCTTCACCCCTCTTAATTCGTCCGTCCTCAACAATATACAAAAGTAAGAAGCGAAGCGAAAATGGGCGGGACAATTCGGTATACATAAGAGTGAATGGCAAAATGTTTGAATTATTTGCTCGATTGGCGGGGGGACAATAAAAAAACAATAGATGAAGGCGATAATTGAGATTGTTTGCATTCTCTTGGCTTCCTGAATTTTCGCATTCCAATCAAGAGTTCGAATCGCGCAAAAAAAAACGAACTTTCAGGTGCTTCTTCTTTTGGTTTCTCTGTTGGAAAGACAGGATTCAGATGATCACAAATTCAGAATCATCTGAATATTATTGAGACATTCAAGCTGAATTTTCGAAAATTTCAACAATTCGCCATGTGGTTCTGATTTGAGGAAAAGTTTCAATATTCTTTTAGAATGTTTCGAAATAACTGCTTCCAACTTATACGTATAACAAAATGTGGAACAAGAAGCTAAAGGTCAATATCTTGAAATGTTCCGCAAACAAACTTGAAATGACTTGAAATTAGATGCTTAAATGCTCTATTAGCATGAGAGCAGGCCACAAATGCAAAAAAATTTGAGGCAACTATCAGAGTTTCTTGAAGGCAACCAGAGAAAACTGAAGTATAGAATGAATGGTTTGTGAGTGATAAACGGTGTATTGACAATTGGAAGTACTTGAAATCGAGCAAAGACACCAAATCGCCCCACTTTGAATGCGGACGCCTCGTCGTAATTGAGAACGGCCCGCTTGAACGGACAGAATGAACTGTTGTTGCTGCGAAACCCATTCGAATATAGCAATAATAATAATAATACTAACAATAAAACGAAAAAGGAAGGATCGGAGGAGAAGAAGGAAATCGAAACGAAGAGATAAATGAGACGTGCAAATCGGTTGCAATTTGCATATGAAACGTCGCTGTCTGTCGGTGAAGGAATGAATGAATCGAATCAGCCGGGAAGGAAAACAAGAAAGAAACGAAAAACGTTCGCGAATTTATCACAAATCGACGACACATGCACTCGGCGAACCGATGAAACAACCATTTTTTGTAATGAAGACACATGATGCACACACATTTTTATGGGCGGCCACAACGGCGAATGTGATTCGTGCTTTTATTTCGCAAATGTTTCAATTTTGATGATTTGAGGAAACGAAATGTTGGCGAGTGGAGTGAAGAAACAAAAAATTGAAGGAAAATGTTTGAATCTTATCAATTAATTTTGCAAATATTTAGCAAATCAAAAATATTTAAATCCAAATCTTGGCATTTTATGCGAATTTTTCAATCTTCCAGAAAGTTCCTGGTAGTTTTTTTTGGATATTCAGAAGCTGAAGATCAGTATTTGATATCTAAATTTGATATCTTCAGCTTAGTTTTGTCCGACTATTATACCCACGTCGATTTCTCGTCCTAGCTATAATTTCAGATTCATCATTGTAAATATTTCCGAAGAATCATTTTTCCCTTAAAGAAGCCGAGCTTATTTTGAGTGAGCGAGAATCAACGTTGTCAAAAAAAAGGGCTCGAGCTCAATCAGACCGGGCCGGACCGGGTCTCCAATTTGGCCATCCTGACGAGAATACTCTGCGGAAATCTATTGTCGGAATCAAACGATTTGACGAAATTAAAAAATTATTGACTAGGTGCCAATGTGTCTCGAGGCAGCGAGAAGTACGCGAGACTGCGTACATTGCATTATATTATACGCGCATTTATTATTCAGCCAACGAAAAATTTGAATCTGCACCGATTTCACGAATTTGAAGGTACCTTCAATTGCTTGATGCTAAAACTAAACTTTATTCAATAATAATTAGAATAGAAATTGATGCTAGATGTCAGAAACAGGTCCCTATTGTCTCGGATTTGAACTTGAAAATATGTTGTCGAGGACATCTAATTTGCATTTCTCTTTTTCTTTCCTAAATGATATCATTTTTGAAAATTATTTTAAAAAGAAATACGATAAAAAATGGGAGGAAAACGAAAAATATCTAAAAATCGAAAATTTCAGCCTTCATGACCAAATCTTTAAATTTTCTTTTTTTTCTCGTTTTCATGCGACCCACACGATTCTCCAACAATGAGAATATATTCGAACTCTT